ATGCGAAATCCACTGATCTCCATTGAGTGCTGGTCTCATCTGTATGAGATCAAAATGCACCCTCTCGAATAGCGAGGTCGCCTTCATCCCAAGACGCCTAGATATCTGCTAAAAAGCCCATGAGATCTTGCATGGCTCGCATATTCACTGATTTCTATTGTAATCATTCCAATCGATAATTTCGACACCCATAACGGCTTCAGATAAGCGCCTAATTGCGTCTCGATAAACATGACCCATTCGACGGTACCAATCTTCCATTCTTCCCTTCAAAATGAACGATTTTTCTGACTTCTTGATCGTCTGTATAAGAATCGCGTGTACGTGTAGATCCTCGCTCAATCCTTCCGATTTCTCGATAATCCATAATCCTATGAAATGATCCTCTAGTCGAAACACAACCTTGCCGTTTCTCGTGATGCGATTGCGACCAAAATCCCATTCGTATTCTGCTTGTTGGACCTTCCTGGCGCTTAGAATATTGGTATGCAGACCGAAAACGTATGCCACATTCTTTAAAATGATCGTTTCTTTGCCTTTATCGCCTCCGCAATTAGGACAAATCCTGACAGTTCCAGTGCCTAGAATCTTGATAATTAAATCGCCTGCTCGCAGATCTCCTATCGCGTCCTCGTTCAGTGATTCAAATCGCGAAATATCGTTGCATACATGCGTGGACGCTCCTGAGTCAAGAATAAAGCAGTTCTTTAGAGGTGAGGTGATCCCTGCGTTGAATACAAGCGTCATTGTATGGAAGAGTTGAGGCAATTCGTCCTTCCAGTTCCGATCGATGTAGCCCCTGATCACTGCACCGAACTTGATCTTTCGCGATACTAAGTCTCTGATCTTCTTGATAATTGCTTCATCTGCCTTGAATGAAGCAGTCCTTTTCGATAAATTAAGATATGCGCATTCCGCGAATCGGTGGGTTTCTCCACATATGCAATCCTGAGAACTCTTTCTTTTATCTCGATTTTCGTTCGATTTCTCGTCCGAATGGCCGTTTAATGAAGTCATTGCGAATTGGTCCTTTGATTCCTGATACTGCCGGCTCATAAGATAACTTCTATATCGCGCGAACAATTTATAAAATGTCTCGTCTTCGCGTTCGTCGTCATCAACTGTCTGCAACTGCAGATCACTGAATATGGACGATACAGGTCCAATCGCCTGCAAGAATACCCTTTTCACATGTCTATCCTGGCTTTCTGGAAAGCCTCGTTTCTTGATCGCTGCATACGCAAAGGTAAATTCATCCAATCATGCCTCTATCCTGCCCTTCCTGGGGGATCTCCTGCTAACCGTATTGTATAGCTTAAGGGCCCTATCGTCAAGATATCTCTCACTCGGCTTGAATTGCTCCTTCAGCGCCTTGATCATCTCTCCCTTTTTTGTGTCTTCAATTATCGGTCTTGCCCGGATCGGTATGGAAGATCTAATTGCTTCCTCTACCTTTGCTATAACGTTCGTCTTATCCTTCCAATTCTGAAGCTGATATTGCCATTTCCTATAAGACTTATCATCGAATTCAATCAGATCCTTAGGACGTTCTGACTCCTCTGGGTATTCCTCTCGATCAGGATCGAAGTAATCCCATATTGCGAGACAATATGCGTACGCCTCTATTTCCTTGATCCAATCGCGCCAATCGTCCGGTCCGTTGAGGACAATTTTCACCTTCACAGCGCTATCCGTATCGATTCCGCTAGCCATGGTCCTCCGATTCGCTGGAATACTGCTCAGAGAGGTCCTTTGACGAATATAAAGATGAAATGACCGTATCTCTAGACCTAGAGGGTCACCGGGCTCATAACTGTGGAAGGGCGAAGGCTTGGCAAGCAGAATGACTAAGGATCCGGATAGATTGGACCACTAAAAAACGATTGAATGAAGCAATTGAATTGGCTATATCCAACGAGTAGATTGAAGGTGTTGAAGACCTCCTTTCCGGCTATCTAAGAGGTCTATTTATAATGCTAGAATCGCTTATTTTGACCGCTATTCTATAGCTTCATATTGCAATATTGCAGAATGCGCAATACCGCAATTTCGCTGCCGAGCAAGGCGATGATCGCCTTACCGCAACTGCTTAGTCAACTCCGCACTTCAACAAGTTTTATGTCCAGCTTAAATAGTGTCTTGTCGGTATCGAATTCTAGTAGATAGTATCATGATAATCCGCATTCATGCACCAATAGTCTTTCTTTGGAGCTTATAACTTGCCTCTTGTTCTCTGCCACCGCCTCAGTTTGGTTTTTTTTTTTTTTTTTGCTGTTGTTCCATTTGACGGTATTGCTGAGATTGCTGAGATCATCAATCCGACGTGTATGAGCTCCGCTAGAAGGAGCAAAGAGCGTGCCTAAACATTGAATACCGAATATAACATTTCTAGGAAAACATAGTTCAGTGCGCCCTACTTTTGCACCATTAGCAACTGGCATTTTCTTCGCTTTCAACAAAGCACCGAAGGGGAGGTAGGTCTGACTGAATATGTTCTTGAGTATTCGGACCTGCTTGTCACTGTTGTGAATCGAGGCTCGATCAAGTAAACAATAGAGCTTCGTATACGGAACTATTCCGAATACGAACAGATAGATTTCCAATCAATCTGATATCCATCTTGTTTACTAAGCCCTCAATTTTTCGGGCGTGAATAATAATACTTAATCTTCCTCTGAACCATAACAGTCATAAATCCAGCAAACCTTGACCCCAAGTCATGCCAGCTGATCTGACTATGAAGGAAGCCTGAATGAATTTGGGAGAGAATGGTTATCAACCATCCTTATCACCCGGCCAAGTTGGCTTGGAGGCTCAATTTAGGCATGAGAACTATACCACTTAACGACGGCCCACTCTCCTGGAAGACTATGCCAAAGGAATGTTGTATCCCGCAGCCTCTGTGGCCACGGAATAAATAAGCCGAGTCTGTCTAATTAATACAAACAATCATGGCTATGACAGCCAAAGCGAACTCTGGTTGATTTGAAGCGTTACCAGAGCGTCCATCGTCTCAACCACTACCTTCCCAATGCCCTGAGATCTGGCCTGGCGCCAACCGAGCTGTCTCACAGCCCAACGCGCACTTCTAGATGCCGAATTCATCTGCCTCTTGCGCGTTACAGATGTCTTATGGTCTGTCCTTGTTTAGTCGGCGGCAATGGAATGATATGAAGAATATAGTAGCAGCCTAGTCTTCTCAAGTTTCCCATAAGCTTGAGGGACTATGAAGCTCTAGTTAACTAATACGGCCGTAACAGCATTGATAAAGCGTATAAACTGATATCTCCCTGAGTCACCATTGTAATACTTCCATCTAGCACCTAAGAGGCTTGGCCCCCTTGTGCTATACAGTCATTGGCCGACTTTCGTATGTGCAGCTTACCTACGTTGCCGGTGGAGCTGTCGTCCGTTGTAACTCGGATTGAGAATGCTCCTCTTCGAACCGGTGCTCCTTGGTTTCAAGATATGACACAATGTAGTTCGCTGCGGAAACGAGACGAAAATATCTCTAATAGGCTGCTGTATTTCAGGTTCAATGCTACAAGATAAAACTCGTGTGTGTATGGCTACGGCTGTGGCTTCTGCCTTGATTAGGCCCTCTTATGATATATTGCTACAGTATCTATTCAATTTGAGTCAGTGGATTGAAAGGCGCCGTACTGTATAAGTAGATATCACATAACCCTAGCCAAACAATATGGGACCATTTTTGAATGAGCGTGACAACTTTTGCTTTATACTACCATCTTTAAAACACCCTAACAATTGGTGCAGGTACTGTACTGTAGAACGGATAGTTGCAGCTTTTGGATTTCTATGATTATTGCAATGGACCTTTCTACGAGTGCCTTCCACGTAAGTACTATTTCACGTTCCTTTCATTTGGCAGAACTACTTTGACGCCTCTTTCCCATAATTCCTCTGGCGTAGTGAACCTGTATCGCGCCTGCTGCTAAACTTTTCGAATGTGGATATAGAGGGAGGATAGGCTAAGTCTGTATCAATCCATCTCGCCGTAAGGAAAGAGCGCGCCCCAGTCGAGCTTGCTAGAGGCATGAAAACTAGTAGAATAAGCCATTTCTCAGATTTATTCGGCCATACCGGAAAATTGACTATGCATACAGTACCTGTCCTCTTCTTTCGCCCTCATTTGTACAGTGATCTCATGTTCTAAGACGACGGACGCGACTGCTGTTCAATGGTAGAACTGTAGTAAATAGTTTACCGCGTAATACTTCCTAGCTTTCTTCTGCTGTAGTGATCATCCAATTATGGGCACCGTGACGATATGTGGAAACTAAGATCAACAACGTTCTGTAATTATCTTGAAGGTCGCTGAACTTTTAGAGGGGCCGGACAGACTTGGCAAAATCATGTTTATTTGACTGAAGTTTGTGGGCAGTTGCGGCCGAGTACGTCTAGTCCGGGCGATCAGTGACGAATCTGGGAGTGGCCGGGACTTGCTCCGGATTACTCCCGGATTGCTCCGTGCGCGATCCGAGAGCAATCAGCACACGCACCGGGCTCACTCATGCCACGATCCCGGCTGATCCCAGAGCGAAAAGCAGCGCTGACCTAAGCCAATTCTGGAAATGGAAAGTCGATTCTCTTCCGCAGAAATGTTATTCAATAGTTGAATGAACTAAGTGTGATCGGAGAAATTGAGATCTTCCGTGCTGTTACCTACCTGATAATGGCTAGTGGGGATTTATTGAGCGGGCGAAAGAAAGACTTGGTAGCTTACACCTTACGCATCTAGAACACCCAAAGATATCAACAGACCAAATGGTAAGCCGAATTAGAGGCAGTTGTTCTGTAAGGTTCTATGAAGTTTCTAGGCAATTTTCCGAAAGAAACACCCAACCTTCGCGTCTGAACCAGCCTTGCTAGAGGGGGTATTGAACACAAAAGATAGAAAATCAAAGAGAGGAAACGAAAAAGCCCTCTAGCAAGAACCAAAAAAGAGAAAAGAAAACGATCCAAGTCGTGTCATGAGCCTAGTGGGTTCTCATAAACCAAGCCTGTCTGACCTCCCATAGACTACCCATATCTTGGTTATCCCGATAAGAGCGAAATTCCTTCCAAGCGTTTCCATGAGGCATTTTTGTCATGCGGCCATCGAGCTCCATGATCTTATTGACAAGTGGGTTGAGCGAAGTGATACCCGATACTATTACATCTTCACTTTTCTCCGAGGTGTTTGAAGGTGCGGGTCCTTCCTCTGTGCCCTTCTCGCCCGGCTCAGATGCATTGGCTGGGTGTGGCGTATCAGCCACTGCTTGGTCACCATTCTTCGTCTCCGTAGAGCTTGTGTGCTTTTCGTCGACTGGCGCAGCAGTCGTGTTTTCTACCGCGGGCTGGCAGTCATGAGTCTCCGGGGTGGTACCTGGATTCTGGCATGCAGTGTTTGGAGCTGCTTCTTGGTCACAGAACGCAGGAGTTTCAGCCTTTTCGGCGTTCCACGGCCGTGTCCGACGCCGTTTCTGAGCTGGGGGTTCTGCATCGGACGCGCCAGTGTCCGATTTACGTTTCTGGGACAAATCCATATCTATCGCTCCGTTTTCATTCGAAGGTACTTCTTCGTTCGGTTTCTGGGCCTCTTCTGTTCCAGCCTCATCGGGTTTCTGTGTAGTAGATTCAGGCTGAGTGCTCGTTTCCGATTGTTTGACTTCGCCATTGCTGTGGGAGAGGAAGACACGTTGACCAGAGGGGATAATAAATGTCAACCGTGGGCCATCAATCGACACGATCTAAAGAAACATTTAGAGCGAGACCAGAGATGACAGGTGACGGTTTGGATACTGGACATACCTTGACTTCTTTTTCCAACAATATCTTATTCGCGCCTTGGCCAACGCATCGTGAATATCTCCAAACATCACCTTCGCGAATAATCCCTTGCTGCATCAGCGTTTGCAGTTTGACTTGGGCGCTTTGCCCCGCTGCCAGGTTCCGGTCGAAGGTCTGTTTCTGTCCCCAGAACTCCTCGTACTCCCGTTCCTTGAATTTGTCGAATTTTCCCGCCGCTCGCTGCGCCGACGCTTGCTCAGCCTGACGCAACCATTCCGGATCGTAGCGACCGCTTTCGAGGTCGAGCTGGAACTGGCGGACCCCGTCGCGCCAGTTATTCGAGTACCGTAAGAAGGACTCCGGTAGAGGGGGTATCTTGGCGTCGGGGTCATCCTCGGACGGATGAGGGTTTGGGTGCACATCTTCGGGCAGTAAGCTCAGGATTTCCTTCTTCTCCGATTCCTCGAGATATTCCCAAGCTTCGGGGCGGGAAAGCAGTTTCTACAGCAGCAAGCATGTTAGTGAAGTTATTCTCAGCTGTACTTGGTCTGCATGAGATCGAAGTGATCCCAATAGCGTCACATACCACAAGATCCAGATCCACGAGCGGCGATTTGGAGCTCGTCATCAATCGTTCCTCCTCCCATGGATCTTTGGCGGACCGTCTTGGATTCCGCTTCGGTCTGGTATTCGTAGCTGACATCGCCGAGCTGGACTCGTTCGGGGCCTTCGTTTTGGCTGCATTAGCAGATTTAGAGGTCCGGCTCCTGGGGTGGGTTCATAATTAGTTCTGTATGCTCTTCAAGAGGAGTCTAGACCCGGGGGTGTCTGTGGCAGCGACGTACCTTGTCGTCGCCGGCTTCGTATTGCCGGCACCGACCGCCTTGCGCTTGCGGGCCGCCATGATTCCCCGTCGATCTGGACAAGTAAAGGAGGTCAATCTGCACCGCGACAGCTGAACTACAGCCTGCTGGGTACTCAAGAGGAGTTTGAACTGGACAGGGTGCAAGTATAGCTCTAGCACGATGGTCAAATCAACTCAGATTGCCAGGCTCGATGGTAAGATTGTGCAAGTGAGACTTGAAGAGGTGGGAAAGTGGTGACAGTTGCTGATCGGTGGTTGGAGTAGGCCTGATGTTGGCTGCGTCTGTGGACGATGAACAGGTAAGGTTTTCTCTTTATTCCATTCACTTCGGATCCTCGTCGTCACTGGTACGCTAATGCCCGGTTTCTCATGCAGGCTGAAGTTGAACTCTCCGAGATCAAGGGTCAGGCGAAGATGATCTTCCGGCGGTTGAGTCGCAATGCAGCACCTCAGGCGAGCATTGAATCCGGCCAGTACAATCTACAGTGAGTCTTTCCTTTAAGGTCTGCCCTGCGGGGGATAGTGAATGTAATGATCTGGGCTATTGACGAAACTAGCTACCTGATCCAAGATGATATCTGCTTCCTGTGCATATGCGATCGCTCCTATCCGCGCAAGCTTGCCTTCACTTATCTCGCCGACCTCGCAACCGAATTCACCACAACATACTCCCCCGCGCAATACCAGTCCCCCAACCTGCGACCGTATGCCTTCGTCGAGTTTGACACTTTCATCCAGCGCACCAAGAAGCTCTACCAGGATAGTCGAGCCTCGCAGAACCTCGACCGACTCAACGACGAACTCCGTGATGTGACCAAGGTCATGACGAAAAACATTGAGGATCTTCTGTACCGAGGCGATAGCTTGGAGAGGATGGGCGAATTATCGGGGCGCTTGCGTGAAGACAGCAAGAAATACAGGAAAGCTGCGGTCCGCATCAACTGGGAGTTGGTGCTTAAACAGGTGAGTTCCGTTTGTCGCAGCCGAGAAACCGCCGCTCTGACATGCTATAGTATGGCCCATTTGCCGGGGTCGGCCTTATCTTCATTTTCCTTCTCTGGTGGCGCTTCTTCTAGTTCTCTTGCGAAGCAGTTGCTTCTGGATACCCACTCGTCTGAATGTACACATAATTCCTCCAGTGGTTGCAGGACACCACTTTTTCCTTGCTCGGGCCTTTTAGGCTTTTAAAACAATTTATGATCGATGAAATGGCTTAGGACAGCCAACGGGACGCAAACAATCGTGGGGTAGGCGAGTCGAGGCGATAGACTTTGATATTCGTAGCGACAGTGCTCCAATAGAACTTGCGACTAGAAAATGGTATATTCGGAACGTGGTAGGTCGAATACCACGTGCGAAATTGAAAATTGATGTTTAGTTTGCTGGGCATGACACAGCATGCCTAGGTGGGACGGCATATCCTGTAGCCGTCATAGCCAGATTGCTGCCACATGCAAGATGCAAGTCATTTCGCGATCAAACACAACAGTTTTGGCATCTTCCCCAGGTATGGCTCTCGTTTAGAGAATCTAAATCTCGTCCTCTTCCTCGTCAAAATCGTCTTCCTCTCCCATGTCATATAAGATACGCCCACCCTCACCAGGGCCGTCACCCTTCTGCGCATCAAAGTACGGCAGCACCACCCCTTCTCTATCCCGCCTTTGTTTGTCGGTAAGACGTAATTCAAACGTCGATTCCGGCTCCTCTTCACCGGCACCAGCATCCGGTTCCTCGGCAGGACGATACAATGGGTGGTCATCAAGAAGCGTAACAATCTCCTTGAGTTGCGACGGCGGGTACTGAGAGGCAGGCGGAAGGTAATACCATTCCAACACGCCACGGCCGCTTTTCCGCCGATGTTCCATCTCTAGAACGACACCCTCCGCTGACCCGTTGCCGGTGTGCTTGTCCACTTTGCCGATAAGTACCCCGTCCTGTTCTTCTTCGAGTCCGAAAAAGGGCGCTGCCAGACTGCGGTCCCGGGCGGCTTTCTGGGTGAGAATGTGCGAGAATGAGTGGAGTCGGATGACGGTCGTTGCGAGGTAGGTTAATATGGAAAACGGGGATGGCGAGTAGGGCGAGGAGCTGGGAGGGCTTGGGACATCCTGATGGAAGGTCACGACGAGGGAGGATTCGACCTTGGGTGTCGAGGGGCTCTGAGGCATCAGAAATGAGCTCAGGAAGGTCGAGAGGTGGAATTGTGCATCAGTTCGCCGGGAGTGGATAAGGGGGTTTATCGAGTCGATTATGATGAGGCGGCCTCCTTAATGTTAGCTTTAATTGCCAATTGGCATTTAGAGTGTATAGTACGCAAGGAACATACGACGCGAGGGGCTGGAGGAAGCCGCATGATGAACCGAGCTGACTTCTTTGGCGATATCCGCCGGCTTCTTTCCCCGGGCGGAGATGAATGCATCTACCCCCTGAGGCGCCTTCAGTGATTCAAAGGCGATGTAGGTGACATGAGCTTTGGATATCTGTCCTATGCGTTAGTCGAAGCTGCACATGCTCATCCAATCAAACATATCTTAGCCTAATACGGGCTCAAGCATTCGAGTGCGGGCGCATTGAAGATATGTGTAGGGTCCGGACTCCAGCGCAATGCTTAGCACAATAAACACGTAACTTACCGTTGCGCGTCGAATATATTCCTTGAGTAAAGGCGTGGCGGGCTGTTCTAAAGAGTCCAGGAGCAGGGTGAGGGGTGACGCAGTATCTCTCAAATTAAGGAGCTTAGAGATGAGAAGCAAATTATGCGTTTGTCGGTGAGACAAATTTGAGGAAGCCATATCTCCAGAATTGTGCAAGCGCCAAAACTCTTGATGGATCGTAAGGGAGGTAAACGTCAGAAGAGTATCTGCGGGGTCATTGCGGTCATGGAGGGGTCGGAAAGTGCGGACAGAAAAGATTTCCTCGGAGTCGCTGATCCTTACCGAAGCTGGGCCTGGCTCGAGGCTCAGCGGGACGGCCCGCTATCTTACCTCGAGAAATGCCCCGCAGATTTCAATTCCCTGAGACCTGACCTGCATGAAACAATTACGGACTATGCAGTTCTCTATCCGAGAAAGGCCATACATGAAAATTTGCATTATAAAGTACTTGATTTTACGTATGGTGTTTGAGTACGCCAGCCTGTTGGTTCCAATATAAGAGTACTAAGTTAACCCTAAACAAAGGGTCTACTCAGTAGGTTACAAAGTTCATTTGTTCATTTGGAGTGCTGTGCAGCTGCAGGGGTACATTATGGACATAGACATGAATTTGTTCTGAAATCAATGTAGGAGGCCTTGGTCTCTACCTAAGGGCATCATCCAAATGCTTGCCATGGACTGTCACCTTAGTACTTCACCGTGCAGTTGATGATTTGGTAATGGTATGGGGGGCGCGCGGTGCGGAGTATGAAATGGGCAAAAACCAAAAAAAAGTCCAATTTTGGTCCCGCAACAAAGCGACACCAGGCAGGAGGACAACAATAGCCATGGGGCATATCTAAAGACTGCAGTGGTAAAAGAACCACCGGCAAAAAATAAACGCTCCCCCGAACCAGAATCGAACTGGTGATTTTTCGGTTACAAGAAAATGCTCCATTACAGCCGAACGCCATAACCAACTAGACCATCGGGGGTTGTTATTGAGATAATCTGCATATTTTGGCTTCATGGTGCATGGCATTGGCGATGCAGTTAGAAATAAAATTAGAAATGCCGGAGAAACTTAAACTGACATTTCACGGCACTGCGGGCTTCCGCCACCTTCCTGACCGCCCAGTACTTTTCTGCCCACCCCGCTGATACAACAAAAGTATGGTTTCAAGAATGATCTGGCAAAAAGTTATGTTGTTCCCCCGAACCAGAATCGAACTGGTGATTTTTCGGTTACAAGAGATACCCATTACAGCCGAACGCCATAACCAACTAGACCATCGGGGGATGTTGATGGAGGCGGTCAGCACTATTTTGTTATGGAAGCAAAGGCATTTGGAGGAGAAACCAGTGCATACAACAGTAGCAAGAATGAACCAGCTACTACGGATAATAACGGATGACATGAAGCATGGGAACAATTACTATGTAGTAAGCCAACAAACAAAAATTTAGGTTCTCTGGCCGCTTCCCAGTGCTCATATCGGGTGTCGGATTCGTACACAGAAAGTATTCTTATTACTTCAGATCAATTGACGGATCTTAAAGCTACTGCACTACTTACTACTAGACAGTGTGTACCGATGAAGAAATGTAGACGTTTTACTTCAACAGTAAGCACATTTCTAGAATCGGCGCTAGGATCTTGGCGAGTAATCGTCTGTTCTGCTCTATATTTTCTACCTAATAGAAGTTCTTGAATTGAAAAGCAAAGAAAAAGAACAACCTCTGGCAAGAACCAAATTGATCTTCTGTGGATGCCTGACGGAAGTTGTCGAATTTGAATGCATGTACTCACTACTCAGTGAGCCTAGGTAGCAGAACCTCTGTCTGCCGCTGTCTCAACTTCTTCCAGGCCAAGTTCACAAACGGTATTTCGAGGAATGACTTTGCCCGCGAGAGCCTTCTACAAATTAGACGGTCACGAGCAACAGAACCTTCCCTGTGTATTATACTTCATAGAGTAGTACGCGGATAGGAGCGGCAAGCTAACCGGCCAGGTCTACGGAAAATGACAAGAAAGATCAAGGAAAGTGGAATGGGATTGAGGCACCTGCAAAAAGGAAAAAGGTAACTCCCCCGAACCAGAATCGAACTGGTGATTTTTCGGTTACAAGAGATATCCCATTACAGCCGAACGCCATAACCAACTAGACCATCGGGGGTTTGTTGAAAGCGGCGTCGCACTTTAGCTCTCATATTCTCAGCACATCAAAGAGCAGCATGCAAAACGTAGGCTCGTTCTCATTAAGATGAATCACCATGCAACTCAGTCGCAATGCTGTATTTTTCTCCGGAATATGCACACTACTCTAATCTCTAAAGATAGTTTCTAGGGTCAAGAGAGGAAATCTTGGCGCTCTTGGCCTGTCCATCAAAGACAAACTCGCTAATAACCTTGCCCGTACCAGGCGCATTTTGAATACCCCAGCAGGTATGACCTGCAGCGAGATACAAACCCTTGGTCCCGGCATGGCCGACTAACGGACCTCCGCGCGCAGCCGCGACATTGGGCAAGTAGCAAGCTTGGCGCGCGCAAATCTGGCCGTCGCGTAGCTCATCTGAGACGCTACCAACCTGATTGATGATATCCTGGCATCGTGCTTCGTCGACTTCAACATCTGCCGTAGTTGCTGGAAGTGGCACGACGTGGTCACCCTCTCCACATGCGTACACCGTTTCATCGGGGCGGGCGTAGATCTCCGGTTGCGCAACAGTCGGTCGTGAGGGTTTCGATGGGTCGAAGTTGGCGGGTATCTCAATGTTAGTGAACAAAGTATATCCACTGACTGGTCTCGTGGGTCGAATGACCACACTGTGGGCTCGTGTCGCGGAGATTGGGGCGTTTGGCATGACCGATCTTGTCCAAGGACCGGCAGCAACAACGATGTCCGTGGCAGGTATGGTACGGGCTTCGCCCGTTTCCTTGTCTGTGTAGGAAACCGACTCAACGGCATCTCCTGAATAACCGATGCCTGTTACAGATCCGAGAGTGATCTTTGCGCCTTTCTCTTCGGCAAGTTTTGCAATGGAGGTGGTGAAGAGGTAGGGGTGGACTTGGGCAGTTTCTCCGGGATCACTCATGCTCTCGTAGCCTCGCAGTAGATCTGGCTCGATCCAATCAAGATCCTGTGGGACTCTTGCCTTCTTCAGCTTCGCCAGAGCATCTGCGCTTCGCTTCTGTAGAGATACTGAGCTCCCAGCCTCTCCACCCGTTGCCTCTTTCTTATCGTTCAGCGTACGACCCTTTGCGATCAGTTGCCCGCAATTGACCTCTCTGTAGCCCCATCTATCCTTTCCACCGTGCTCCTTGGCCAGTTCCGCATGGAGTTTGTAGCTCAACGGCACGATGTTGCTTGGGTATGCCCATTGCGCCAAAAGGCCACCGGCCTTACCAGACGCACCTCCGGCAATCTCAGAGGCTTCGATGAGCGTCACTGAGTGACGCGATGGGTCGAATGACGGGTGTCTTGTCAAATAATATGCCGAGCAGCAGCCAATGATACCACCACCTTGAACAAACCTGTCAGCTTGGAAGACTCAACGGGCGGGGTAAGATGTCATGAAAGGGTCGGATTCTTACCGACGATGACAATGTCACGACGCTCGTTTGTAGGCATTCTGTGGTATCGAGCGATGTTGGATCCTAAGGCTCGTATTGAGGCCACGGTGACGAGTGTTGGGGGATGGAAGTCTGGGTTGTTCCAGGAACTACGGCGGCGTGGGGAGCCTTTTAAGAGCCCATACGTCACTGCCAGTCATGTGCCGCGCCGGAGGTTCAGTAAATTAATAAGAGATTAAATCATCCGAAGGAAGAGTTAAACCTGGTTTCCTAATTTTTGATTTGTACAAGGATATAGATAAGATCTCCTGTAATTCGCTAGATATCCCAGGTGCCCCATAAAGTGCAAAAGAACCAGCTCCGTAAATGCATATGAACCGCACCAGAATTAGACCATGATGAATACGCCTCCGTCAGAAGGAGGGTAACGAAATAAAACAGAGGGAGAAGTGATAGAAAGTAAAAGTAACAGGATAACAGGAGGGGTGAGAAAGATGTGGATTTGGTATAATGTAAGGTGCAGGTTTTCTTTCACGTGCGTGAAGGGCTGAGTGGTCGGTTGAATCCTCCTATACGGTTCATGTACTGTCGGTATTCTGTCTTCTTCTCCTTTCGCACTCCGTAGACATTGTTCCCGGGAACCTTGGTGTTTTTTGTACTTCGGAATTTGCTGAATCCCATGCTCCTGCGCATCATCTCGTCGATGTCGTCCTCTGCGACAGGGTCGTCGGTGTCTATATCCATTCCATCTCGAGGCCGGCTTGTCAACTTGGGGTCTGGTGCACCGTTTGCTTGGTTGCGATAGTCTCTGCGGTCATTTCTGCGGTCGCCTCTGGGGGCTCGCACTGGCGGTGTTCTGGACCTATCTCTGTTGCCATTGCGGACGGGCGATCGAGAGCGGTCTCGATATCTGTCGCCTTTTGATGGGTAACCTTCACAGCTTGTTAACGATCGAACCAACGAGATATTGCGCTATAAATCCATACCTCGTCTTTCATAATGTCTGTCGCGACTGACGCTCCTTCTGTCTCTGGGTCCACGCTCGTCCCTGTCCCTCTCCTTTCGGTCGCGATCGCGGTCCCGGCGGTCCCTGGACCAACTCCTGTCGCGCCTCCGATCTCTCCGGTCTCTCGAACGTGAGCGATATCTTCTGTCGTCGCGAGGGCCGTCACGCCGTCCGTCCTCCTTTGGATGTGTTTCACGTCTTGGGCTCCTGTCGAAGTCTGACTCTGCTTCATCCGGACGGCCCTCTTTGTCGTTCATGTCCCACATAGTCGAGCTGTCCACCCGACGAGCTCGTTTCGCCGGTGGCTCTGCCATCTTTACCGGTAAAGTTTTGTGATATTCTGAAGTTTTCGGACCTTTGGGATGAAAGGTTCGGTGCGAGGAGTTGAATGAAAGTTCGGTGGCACCGCCTAAGAGGTGGGGTGAGAGGGATGACAGAACGTAATAGAAGAGGATGACGCGATATTTAATTTAATTCCATGTCGTTAGGGTGTCGTCTTTGACTTGTTCAGGGGTATTAATCGTCTAAAAGTGAGTCGGAGTCTGTAGCAGCGAATGCAAAAGAGATACCGCGAATTTACGGTTGTCGAAACCTGTCGATTGCGCAGTGTATCCCAATCGGGTTAGATGCCATATTGGTCTTGGCATGCTAGTGTCAATCGCGCAGGTAGCTCCTGTTTGCTCTCATGGGTTGTAATAGCGACTGCTGGCTCCTGTGTGGTGGTAACTCTAGTTTTGATAGAGAGAATGACCTATCATAATGTTTCATTCAGCCAGAAATTCTCAAAACATTCACTCACCATACAGCCTGCAAACTCCAACCTCTGTCCTACCATTCGCCAAACACGGCAGGTAGGTTGTAGGTAGTGAATATAAGGTACCTAGGTATGTGGGCTTTCAGGTATTTTATCTGCGGTTTTTTTTTTCTTCCTTTTCATTTTCACGGTTCATCGCGGGGCCTCATCATTGCTCAATCGCTTCACGGTTCAGGCTCTCTTGGGACTTTTTCTTAGTGGCAAGGCTGTTCTCTTCTCGTTCATATCCTGGTTACAATCTTCCACATGTCCTCGAGGGGGGGGGGGGGGGGGGGGGCAAGGAGAGATATGGGTACAAAATAGAACAGGGCAATTAGACGCAGCACTCATGGCTGATGAGGGGGATAGCATTAGCAGTGCTTCGTCCCTGGCTGAAACCAGTCCGGAAGCCCTTGCTGCCTTGGACGCCTTCAAGAAAGAGAACTGGAATGATTATCGCACACATCATTCCCTCCTCATCCATTTGATACCTCTACTAACGGATAGATTGGAGCTCACGGCAGGCTCTGAACTCTTGCCCGCTGATGTTGAAAGCGAAACCGCTGATCAGAAGGGGCTACGGTGCTCAATTGTGGACAGATTGATAAATGAAGTTTGTCGCATAGGGCAGGTGTTTGAAACTGATTATTATGGGTTAACTATTACAATATCTTCGTGAATGTCTTTTATTGGCATCTGAGTAGGCAATCTCGCCTGCCTTCGAACCTCGGGGCATTGAAATCGATCAACACACGCACGGGAGGGGCTCGCAAGAAGGGTCAACGGTATAACGAATGGGCTGAAAAACAATCGAACACACATATAAAGCGAACCTCGCTCACGGAAATTCAGAGAAGTATGCGGCAGGGGACTGAAACAGGCAAATATACATCAGAGAGCCTTGCCAGCGATGTCCATGCAGGTCAAGGTCCTACCATCCGGTCTACTGTGAATAAAAAGGCACAGGGGAGGCCAGACGAGTATCTTGGGGAACCCGAAGAGGTTTCTCTTCAATTAGCCGGCTTTGGCCCTGTTGATCATATTTACCTTCTGGGTTATCTCATCGACACAGTCCGGAGGAATTTTAAAGAACGTTATGGACAGACCTTGCTAGCATATCAGAGCAACGACCTCCATGCCGAGCTCACGAGGGGCCTGGCTCAGGGCGTACAGGACCTCAGTAGGCTTGGGAAGTTCGATTTAGAGAGGTAGACCAATCTCCCGCCCCCTGTTCTTCCACGTCCATGGTCTGACATTTGTGGTCTTCTAAGCCTGAGAGGCCTACGCGGAACGCCCGAGTCTTCGAGTAGTACCGGTGTATATCTGCACATACTTTGGAGGAAGCGTGACCCTGGTCGATTCTGGCTATACGTCGGTCAAGCTTCCAGGCTCTTGGACCGAATCGCGTGTCACAATGATCCATGGTATCGCCGGAATCATCCAAGTCTTCACTATTGTGTCTGGGACGCGTTCGAGGACATCGAGTCAGTATTTGTGACCCTGGTTTCGCGTGAATCTATTACAAGTGAGGTGGATCGATGCGTATTAAACATTCAGGAAATGTGGATGGCTTGCCTTTTTCAGACACTCACTCCCAGGCACCTGGATGAATACCTTCCTCCGGCTACTAAGAAACTATGGTCTGGTCGGCATTTGAATGTTGTGTCACCCATATGGCAGGGGTTTACGGGAGATAACCTCGTACCCGCCGATGCCGTTGGGGGTAGGCAGGGCTTTTGCGACTTGATTCTGTCACCGGATCCAGCTATACGCGGGTGGGCGAGGCACATGAGAGACGCATTCAATGACCTTCGAAACTCACCAGATACTATCCTACGAGAGTATTACTATCTTAATATGCTCCGGAACCGAAAATTAGCGGAAGAAGCTATCGTGAAGCGTAAGTTGGAAAATGTTCAGAGGTACCTCTCGGGGGGGTATATGGAGAACGATCACGGGCTCGGACGGTCCACAAGGCGCACACCTCGTCACATGTAGCAATTTCGCTTTTACCATTTCTCGGCATTTGCAGCTTGGGGTCCGTGTCGGTGATAAGGTCCAGATGCAGTTCCATCTCACTGAATCTCCCAACTCTAGAATGTATGCTAAAATGGCACTGCCAATTGATCCTGCGAGTCGGTTAGCAGTGTCTATAAGAGGTCAGGGCGCAAACGGGTCTTTTCATGTTTGGTTGAGCAACAGGGCAGAGCTGGTGGTCAGAAGGATGAACTCGTTGGTGGATGCCTTGGAGGGCTATACTTTGAATGAGTCAAGGGAGTTCGGACGGAGGTGGTACGTACAAAGGGATTCGGTGTCATCGGAGAGGATTGTAGTCTACATTTAGGTGTAGCAATTCCGCATTCTGTTAATTCCCGTGTATTGGTTATGTGTTGTCAGATCAGGAGGTGGTGGGTGACCTCGAGAGTGGTCTGATTTACAATTACGACATGTGTGGAGTGCCTAGGTTTTTGCATTGCCTTGCAGCATACACCCAAGATGTATGGACCGAGATATAAATATCCAGCTTGAACACTAGCCTGAAAGACCGTAGGTACAACACAGAGCCCGACCGTGACGCCAGTTGGAATAAGGAAGCAACTGTATGTTATAAGGTGCCTGGGACTTGTGAAAAGACACATAGAATATAAACCAACAGCTCTGGCGTAAATATGTGTTTATTGGTGGCCATAGCATTTGGAATCAGTGGCCACTGATTTACGCCGTGCATCGCTTGTATTTGATACTATAACACTAATATTTGCCGCCCAACAACTGAACCCCCGATGGTCTAGTTGGTTATGGCGTTCGGCTGTAATGGATTATCTTTCTTGTAACCGAAAAATCACCAGTTCGATTCTGGTTCGGGGGAGTTACTTTTTGCTTCTTATATATCCAATCCATTGTCTCTTATGTTCCCCGATGTATGTTTCAACAACAGCGAGTTACAGTTTATGTTCTGCCGTCGCTTCCCGCCCGCTTCCTCTGTGTGTCCATGAAAAGAAGAGAAGGCCTTCCTGTACTTTTTATGCGTAGCTCCTTTATGCCTAGATCATGATGTCAATATTGGGAAGCTTTATTCAACAAACCCCCGATGGTCTAGTTGGTTATGGCGTTCGGCTGTAATGGGATATCTCTTGTAACCGAAAAATCACCAGTTCGATTCTGGTTCGGGGGAGTTACCTTTTTGCCGATTGCAACTACACTCCTACACTCCTTGGCCACCGATACCCGATTCTACTATATAGTATGCGCCACTTGCAATGATAGTTGAGGGCCACCACTTTGTATTTTAGTTACCATATTCTTCGTCCTTTCTGTCCCATAGAAAGTCGTAGACCGTATACAGTTGACCTCCCAATATAGTTGAAATGGCGTGTTCACCACTGCAATTCGGCATTCGGAAATCTGTGGCAAGGGGTGAGCCGAACTGTATGCTCGGGAGCTTGGACCATGTCATATGCGGAGCGATCAAGCTCCCGTCGGTCATGCCAGATAGATAACAAACCACTAACAACCACCATCCAACGCCATCGGAGAAAAAGCTAAACTGCGTTCAGTCGTTCTCTATGGTCACTCCTCGATTTTCGAGGCCCCCATTCCTTTCTTCATGTTTCTGATTTAAATATGACTCGCTTCAATTTCTACTCTCTCTTACTCCCATTGTCCTGGGCGGGTGCGGCTTTTGCAGGCCAAACAGCGACCGGCGATGAGTCCATCCTAGCCAAAGAGGCCGCAAGAGCCAACAACCAGTCTCTGCTATGGGGTCCCTATAAGTCAAACCTCTACTTCGGAGTGCGCCCTCGAATCCCGGAAAGTTTATCGGCCGGATTACTGTGGGCGAAGGTGGATGACTTCGCTACTGCCCAGGGGAGTATGTGTCCAGCTATACAATCCAACCCGCCTTTCAATTGCTGCTTTACTCCCAGAAACTGGCTGCCAATTCCTTCAATTGACTGACCGCATTGAAGACTTCAGACACACCTGTGAACAAAATGAAGGAATGGCTGGTTACGGCTGGGACGAATATGATATCCGGAAGGGCGGCCGCCAAACGATCCATGACGCTGGAAACTCATTGGACCTGACAATCGATTTCGTCAAAGTCCCCGGTGGAGAGCACGGAGGCAGCTGGGCTGCCCGTGTCAAGGGTGTGCCTCGCGAAGATGCCCCTCCCGACCAACCTACAACCATTATCTTCTATTCGACTCTGGAAGGTCTCGGCGACTTGGCTGTCACAACTGAATCCGAGGACCCTCGGGGATTCGAAGGCGATGTGAGACTTTCTGGAAACACGCCTGATCTCGGTGACTTTTCGATCGATGTGACTGCGGGCCCCGAAACCAACGAACACCCCGAGCACGACCACCCAAGCTACGAGGATAAGCCATTGGATCGCACCTTGGTCTCTAGTTCTACCGTTCAATCCGAGCATGTTTGGCAAACAAAGGGTTCGCTTATCTCAGACCGATTGTCAATGTGATACTAACATGCTGTGTAGTTATCCTGTTCTCGCAGATGAAGGGCGAAGTCAATGAAATCATCCAAAAATATGGACCAGATAACCCTCCTCCGCCTCCTCAAGTTTTCTCCATCAAAAATATCCCAGGTGATGGAAACATTCATCTCGTTCAAAAGGTGTTCAAGGGCGAGTTCGAGGTATGTATCGTCGTCTGGCCTAGAAGGAAGTTACTTACATCCACCAGTTCGACATTCTTTTCTCTTCCGGCTCTTCACCCCAGCCTGTGACATGTGAGTTGCCCCTAGATCGTAACCTATACCTTTTACAGCACCCACTGATCTCAATTCTCTTTAGCCGAGAAACTGACCGAAGAGATCGCAAGCGCCTCGCTGTCTTTCGCTGATCGGTTCGAAAAGATTCTTCCCCCACAGGCCCCCTTTGACTCTAAGGACTACTTTGAGTTCTCTAAGTCAATGCTCTCCAACCTTGTCGGCGGCATAGGCTACTTCTACGGAACGGATGTTGTTGACCGCTCGGCAGCTCCAGAGTATGATGAAGAAAATGAGGGCTTCTGGGAGGAGACGGCAGAAGCAAGGGCCAGGGCCCATGCCGTACTTGAGGGGCCAAAGCAGCTCTTTACCAGCGTTCCTTCTCGGCCGTTCTTCCCCAGAGGTTTTCTCTGGGATGAAGGGTTTCACTTGATCCCGGTTCTTGAATGGGACACTGATCTGGCGTGAGTACCTCACCATTCCATTGTATCCATTGTATTGATTACCAGCACTAACTTGCATCTAAAGGCTCGAGATTGTCAAGAGTTGGCTCAGCCTGATGGACGAGGACGGCTGGATTGCTCGAGAGCAGATCCTGGGCTCCGAGGCCCGCAGCAAGGTTCCGCCCGAGTTTACTGTCCAGTACCCTCACTACGCCAACCCCCCGACCCTCTTCATTATACTAGAGGCCTTCATTGATCAGCTGGTAGCAAACAAGAATATCTCGGTGGATAGGTCCCAAGAAGATCTTACCGAAACCCTCGGATCGGTCTACATCCAGCACCCCGAATTGGGTGAAGCATACATTCGCTCAATCTATCCTCTCCTTAAGAAACACTATGTCTGGTACAGGAACACCCAAAGAGGAGAAGTCAGTTCCTATGATAGAGAGGCATTCTCGTCTAAGGAGGCATATCGCTGGCGGGGCCGCTCTATCCAGCATATCCTTACGTCCGGACTGGACGACTACCCTCGTGCGCAGCCTCCGCACCCGGGCGAGCTCCACGTCGATTTGATCAGCTGGATGGGCATGATGACTCGCGCTCTTCGTCGGATCGCGGAGACCCTGGGCGAAACCGAGGACGCCGAGGAGTTTAAGGTATACGAAACGGCCATCGAGCGAAATATCGACGACCTTCACTGGGATGAGGAAGCACAGACATACTGCGACGCCACTATCGATGAGTTTGAGGAAAGCGTCCACGTGTGCCACAAAGGATATATTTCCCTTTTCCCCTTCCTTACGGGCATGATCGGCCCGGACAGCCCTCGTCTCAAGGCCATCCTGGACTTGATTGGCGACCCTGAGGAGCTCTGGAGTGATTATGGAATCCGTAGCTTGAGCAAGCAGGACGAATTCTACGGAACAGCTGAAAACTACTGGAGGAGCCCTATCTGGGTCAACATCAACTATTTGGTGTTCAAGAACCTATATGTGAGTTATGCATCTTCCAAAATAGAAGTTGGTCGATTCTAACCCTTTCAAACCAGGAAATTGCAACTACGGCTGGTCCTCACCAAGAGCAAGCTCGTGAGCTGTATTCAAACCTGCGGAAGAACGTGGTCGAGAACGTCTTCAGGGAATGGAAGGAAACCGGATTTGCCTGGGAACAGTACAACCCGGAGACCGGCCAAGGGCAGCGGACGCAGCATTTCACTGGCTGGACTAGTATGGTGGTGAAGATGATGTCGATGCCCGACCTCCCCGCAAGCAAGCAGACCGGACATGATGAGCTGTAAATGAACAGCAGAATATCGACAGATAGATAGACCTTGGTATAGAGCATCAAAATGTTCGAGTATCTGTACACAATCTTTTCCCCGTAAACGCCTAGCACCCATTACGTAAAGATGGACCAGAAAAGCGGCGCGGGCTCAGCGCCGATGGTAAGAGTCCGAATCCCTTTCGCGTGAATGCGGATGCCTGCGATCTTCTCGTCTTCTGCGATCATCGTCTTTCCTGCCCCCGTCCCTGTTCCTAGACCGCGAGCGTGACCGTCTTCTCCGGCGATCCTGGTCTCGTGAGCGGGACCTCGACCTATGCCTGTGGCTCCTGTGGCGATGAGAGCGCTCATCGCGATGCCTCCGGTGCCTGTGCTCTCTATCTCGGTCTCGATCCCGGCCACTGGCACGATCTCGCCTGCGATCCCTGTCCGGGCTCCTGCTCCGTCCGCTTCTCCGTCTTCGATCATGTCGCGAGTGTGAATCGACCCCCACTGCCTCCAACTTATCATCCTCGTTTGCGCCGGGCACAGAGGCGCCCGCGCCCCTGTAAGAACCATACCCGACACCCTTGCCCATCCCGTCACCCGATAGATCCTCCCCAGCTGCCGTCTCCCGAAGCGCATGTTGAACGTCTTTGTCGCCCAGTGGTGTCAAATTGGCGTTGGCGGCGGCGGCGGCTTTGGGGGGCAATGGGAGACCCAAAGCGAGCGCCATCGCCTCTTCCTCGGCTTCCTTGACGCGCTGCCTCTCCTCACGCTCTTTGGTGGCTTGATCTTCAGCGTCGTGCCCGGATCGGGCATACCAGTGTAAGTCACGACCACTTTGCCAGCGACCGACCGGCGCCATGACAGAGTGGCCGAGATAGTTTTCTCGGTGGCTGGAATCTTTGACATCGGACCATTTGAACTCGTTGCGGCCGCCGCTGTAGTAGAAGATAGAGCCGTAAGCGACCGGATGACAGGTTGGTGAAGGGGAACAGAGGGACGGGAAAACTCACCGGCTGCCTTCTTTACGAACACTCGCGACGAGATCCATGATGGCAGAGAGGTGATGACATGGATGTAGGAAAGACGAAAGGCGACCGACGAAAGTGAGAGCTCCGACGGGTGGCACGTGCGCTCCGCGGCCTGAGGCGGCGAATGGCACGACTGACTTCATCGCCCTCCGAAAGTGGATTCTCGTCCTGTCGACCGTCCAGATTCCCGGAGAGGAGCTTCGTCCGTTGTGGCTTCTGCTCCCCCCAGGCTCGACAATGTTAATCCTGGCTGGTCTCCAAATTGACAGACCCCCCGACTCCAGTGATATCATTCTGCATCTGTTTCATGTGCCCCTCGTGTTTCTGTATGACAGCTGCTCACCGTCGTCATAATTTGGATTCTCCCCCTCCTTCCTCTGTGAAATTGTTCTCTATCCGAAAACCCAACCCTAGGCCGGCGTTGATCGTCTGGACACGCTGCTCCTGCACGGAGAGTGCTTGTAGCAATGGCGTTTGGTCATCTCGCCGGTAAACGACCGCCCGGCCGGAAGTCTCGCACGCGCGAGGGCTTGCATCTTCGGCCTCTGAATGTGGAGAAGGGCGAAAAAAGAGTGCGTGCATTTCTCATCATCGTAGACACTTATATGCATTTCAGTTATATTTGCGTATATATCGACTAACATCTTTAATCAGTTCTCATCGTAAGCCATACACTCTCGGCGTCGGAAGCATCAACATGTGTATTGACTCGCTGGCTTTCCAGAGCAGATGATTCATTTCCTCCTCAAGCTGCGACATGGCGCAACAACCTCGTATGCTCATCACTGTTCTATCCGCCTAGTTGCATTCCTCCGATGCTGACATGTTTAAAGATCGCGCTATCCCAGCGTCGCAACCTTCTGTTTGTCGCCTACAGTCATCAAATCTATGTCTGGGAACCCGCGGGGTCATTCCAGATGCTGGGCTCTGTCCCGTTAATGATCATAACGCCTGTCATGAAGGAACCTAATGCTCGCGGGTTTATCTCTCCTAATTCTCCGCACGCGATCAACAATATCCTTGTGGACGATCTTGGTCGCGAGGAGGTTCTCCTACTCGTCACGGATTCGGGGAACGTATGTGGTTATCGAACCGAGGCAATTTTCTCAGCTTTGGCTCGTGCTGCAGAAGACGATGAGAGTCGCCCTCTGAATGGCTCACAAGTGGACCCGTTCTTTGTTGAGTATGTCGAAGCCAGTGCATGGGGGTTGGCTATCCACAAGTTCGCTCGCTTGATTGCGGTGAGCGCGAATACTGGCCTAATTACCGTTTTCGCATTTGCCCTTGTAAATCCTATATCTGGAGGGAGCAGCGAATCGAGTCAGCGACTGGAAGAAGAGGTTGACTTGAGCGACTATGGCCAAACCTGGCTCCACATAACGACCAGCGAGCAGTTTGTGCAGTTACGACATCGGATGCCCGAGAAACACCGAACGCGCAACATCAAATTAACATACACGGGGCATTTTGCCAACATCCCATCCGTCTCTTTCCTCAATTGCGACCTCGACCCTAATGGTACCTGGATGGTTAGCACCGATATCGACAATAAACTCCTAGTTTGGAAAATATGGGACGGCCTTGGCGCATTTAATATGTATCATTTCAACGACATTGGTTTCAGGTCCTTTCACGACACTCTGCGCAACGAGTACGTTGAACCTCTTTCCCTTGGACATCGACCGGTTTACCTTCTTGCGTGGGGTACCGCTTCCCTGGCCTCTTGCTGACGAACCTAGTAGCGAACGTGGCTGGTCTGTTATCGCTCTTGACCCGCGCTCCTTTCATCTTCTCAAGTCCACTGAAGAGGCGTGTGGTGGGAGGCCTCAACGCCGAGTAAAGGATGGCCAGCCGGTGTTTGATCTCACGAAGCTAAGTGGCCGTGTGCCGAATGCCTCGCATATTTACAATTACTTCCCTCCTGCTGTCAAGGCTGAGCCAGAACGACCGGTACTACCCGATATATTCGGCCCTGATTGTCGCATCAGCAAGGGAGGTGGCACTCAAGGTGTGGACCGCGTGGCGTCCTCGGAATCTAGTGATGCCAAGGAGACCAATCACTTCCATACAAGTACTGGGTATCTTCGCCCTTCAGACTCTGCTGATGCCTTTAGTCATCGCGCCGTCGATGGTTCTGTTTACGACGATAACATGAGCCATGGCAGCTCTTCTGAGCTGAATCTTGATGCGGATTCCCAGCAAACCTCTGGCCTGGAGACCACGCAGCAAATCAGTGATTCGGACCACCATACCAGCCATGTTCCTCCCCGGACTCGTCGTCCCCCTCAAACAACGCCAGAGTTCCTCCAGGTTGCCCTGCTTGAAGCCCTCGGAGGGGGTGACATGCATGGTGCCGAGGAGTACTTTGACGGGTACTCGGTATTGGATGACGATAGTTATACCGAGGACGAAGATATGAATGATATAGATCTTGACCAATCATCGGATGATGGAGGGTCATCGGCAACCGGGGCAGTCGCATATCAGGTCTTTGATCGTATGTCACGTAATGCCTTCCCTGAAGATGCTGGCTTGCATGGACGGATGGAGGCGCTAATTGGTCTTCCACCGACACCAGCTCCAGTGAACTCGAGGTTCCCAATCCTCCACTTTTCGCAAACCGACATCCGACTAGTTGCTCATCCGTTTGCTCCCCACGCAAGCGTTGTCTGCGGCGCACCGCTCCGACAGCCCTTCACCCACCCTATCGTCTCCATCCGAGCTTGCGATCGGTTCAACATGGTCAAATATGTCCCCGAACACGGTATCGTTGTAGCCGCCTCTCAGAAAGGCCGTGCCGCGATCATCGCCCTAACCGAATCCGAAGCCGCCGGGCTCTCTTTCCGAGTCGACTGGATCGTCCCTTTCGAGAGCCAGGAAAAATACGGCGACCGTCCCCTGATCCCTCTTCTCGGCATGTCCGTGAGCCCCATCCAGGGGTTCGAAATGCCCCCCGACGTCCCTTATATCCCTCGCGATGTCGACGAGAACGACCTCACCTTCCGCTACCAACACATCTCCGACGACGACACAGACAATGCCTCTATTGCGGAACGATCATCGGATCGCTCGTTCAGCGAACTCAACATCCCCTCCGATCTCTCCGACATCAGCGATGAAGCGGTACACGGCCACCACGTGCATCGATCTCCCCCTACCTTGCCCGAGTGCCACGCTCGCGCAACCCGCGCCTACCAGCCCGAGGAGCGCTGGCGTGGATGGAACCCATCCCGACGCTATCGTCTGCTCCTCATGTACGCAGACCACACGGTCATGAGCTACGAATTCTGGTACAATTGGAACACCGCAGGCACGAAAGCCGACGAGAGCGACGAGGATGAATTCCTCGTGGTCTAATCGAAATCCGGCCCGAACGAGATCAACCCACGAAAAATGACATGAGATGTGTGAAATGTCTGAACGGGCTCTGTCTCTATATCCATTATCTATTCACTTTTCTCGCTTGATGTGAATTCTCGGTATAAATTTGTCTATTTTTCTGCTCATAACTTCGGGGATATTTTCTATGTCGTATCTTTCATCGTTTTATTTGTCTCATTTCTTATTTTTTTCTGTGACCCCCTCAATGTTATTAACTTGATACCATACCATCGTGCTATCTCGCGATCTTGTGACCTATGCATGCTTACTTACTTGTTTGTTGTTTGGCGTCTGAAAATGAAAGTAAAGACTGAGTCTTCCAGCTGACGCTGACTTTACCTACCCGGTATACTCTACCACCATGTACATATGAATCACCTACCTAACTACCAAAACACCCTTTGCAAAGTACGACTCTCTCACAGGTTGTATCATATGGTAACACCTTAATTTCTTACTGCTGAGCTATCTCATTCCATAGGTCTCGGATTTTTATCAAAGTCGTGAATTTAGATCATGATATACATTGCAGATATATTCCTCCTTTCACCCTTTTCAACTCTGGATATGTATGTACCTAGGTAAGAAAACAGTTTATACAAACCCAGCAGGCGAGCCAAGAAACTTAAAAGAAACACGCTGGCACCAGCTCGCTAACATAATGCAAGTATTCATCAAGTTCATAAATGTAACAGGGTAAATGGCCAATCCAAATCCAAAAATCATAGGAAGGTTTGCCCCTTCTGCTATCATCACTCTATTAAGGATGCAGTCGTGACACAATTAAAAGTCATCGTCAAGTTCGTCACTGTCCCATTCGTCTTCTCGGTCGTTTTGGACCAAGTCCAAGAATCGTTGGAGTCCTGGATGTCTCACTGGTCCCGGTCGAGCGACGCCATCTCCATTGGCTTGCGGCCGGGGCCCATCAGCACCGGGACGACCTCGCACTTCGGCGATGGCTTGTGCCTGGGCTTGTCTCTCTGCGGCGGCCGCCATGCCTGCCGCGTCGAGGTTGTTTGCATTCCCGTCGCCTTCGCGGTGCCTGGGACCGTTTGCGCCCTGGTTAGCTCGCGGCGGCGCAGGGGCGGGAGGTGGAGGTTGTCCCTGAAAACGCCATGCAGGCTGGTCCTCGTCATCGCTCTCGTCAAAATCGACAAGGTGGTCGGGAATGCGGTGGAGAGCCTCGGCACCATCCGGATTAATGCCGTCGCCACCTTCCATGTCCCAGAGTCGATTGTAGCACCCGCTATCAAACTCGTTAAAATGACGGTAAGGGTTGTCTTCCGAGAGCCAACTGGAGCAGAGGTAACAGAAGTGCGTGTCGCACTTGAAGCATATCATGTGGTTACATCCCATTTGCTTCTGGCAAGGAGCGCTGCATGTCGGGCAAGGAGAGGTGTACATCTTCAGATATTCTTCTGTAGCCTTTTCTTCTGCCGACAGTTCCGCCTCCCGCCGAGGGAAGCAGCGCACCAGCTCGCCATGCCAGCCTTTTTTACAGACACTGCAGAAAGCATAATTGCAGTCTTCACAGATAGCAACACGGTCTGCCATTGGGGGTAATTGGGCCTCATCTCCAAGAGGGTCAAAGGCGACCTCGTCGTCTTCATCGTCAGAGTCCTCCAGGTCATTTGCCATGGGGTCCGTAGGTTTCGGGTGTTTTTTAGAGCGAGCCGCGCCCTGACACCATTGCCGGGGGCAATACACCGTCGACTTATCAGCCTCGAGCTTCTTCTTTCGCTTCAGAAAAACATAGCGCTGCACTGTTTCCTGTTCCAAAGGGATCTGGAGAAGCTCGCTGGGACTCAATGTACGGTCGTTCTTTTTCCGTTTCTTCCCTGTGGCTTCCCCACTTGAAGCGGTTTTTGGCTCCTTGCCACAGTCGGGTGATAAACATTTCACATTGTCCACATCGCCTTCTGTGATACATGTTTTGTAAAAGTCCTGAAGACAGGGCACACAGAACACATGAGAGCAGGGAAGCAACCGGTGGCAATTGGCGCCTTTTTTGGGCTCCAAACAGACACCGCACTCGAAGGTCTCCTGCTCAAACTTCTCTTTCTCGGCCTTGTTGTTAAAGTCCAGCAGAGAAATCTTTAGCTCCCGGGGAAGCCGAATCTCGCCATTGGGGATGTCTTGGATTCCGAAAGCCGTCTCAGCGAGCTGTTGAAGATGGTCAATGTACGTGAATATGACCAGGTCCTTCCCGCATTCTTCCCAGAGGCGTTTCCCATCATCCAAAAGACCCGAAACAATTGAAGAAGGAAGCCATGATGGATCGGTGCTGATTTTGACAATGGGTGGCTGCAAAGAAGGATAGCCTTCGGGAAGATCGACCACGAGAGCAATCGGGGGAAGATGAGGAAGGAAGTGTACATCGTTTCCGGTATCAACAGTGAAGGAGTTGTCGCCGGGTTTCGTCGTAGGTGTGGAACGAACTTCGGCAGCACCCAAAGAGTTTGGAGGAGTCAAAACAGTGGGTGACCCAGCTTCTGCGTGCTGCTCAAAGCAAACCCGCAGGGGTGCCGAAGGCTTCACGGGGATATCCAACGATGCTCGGAAGGGAGTCGACGGATCGATCTTGATTTCCGGGTATATCGCCTCAATCGACGACAACTCTACGAAGCGATCGTCATCGGGGATCTCAGAATCCATAGTGACGCAAGCAGGAGGGAACTAATCGATGCTCAACGATCAATTCGCCGATGCGGCGTTGTACTGGTGGCAAACTTCACTCTTCGGTTGGTGACTTATTATAATGATATCTGGAGATAGATCAAGAACGTAGTGTCGCCGAAAGTATTCATCCCTTGGAGAGAACCGATGTAAAGAGGCAAGGGAAGGAAAAAAGGTCGACCGACTGGAAGGTAGTGGGGTGGAGGTGACGGTGGTGAGGCTCTAAGATAGAAGAAGGAATGATTGTAGATTAGTCAAGGCCCAGCGTTTCCCGGTTTGGTATGTGGCGACGATGGAAGGGGCCAAGGCAGTCGATCGGAGCGAAGAGAACCAGATGGATCACGGAGACGAAGGAGCTGTCAGATGGTGCAATTCAAGCGAGACTAGCCAGGAGCAGAATTGGAGATTCGAGGGGAAGGGGAAGTGCGTCATTTTCTGGCTGTTGCGATAAGAGCGTAATGGCAGAATGAATGAGTCAGTTTATCAGTTTAGAAACCGATGGACAAGAGGGAAGTTGAAGGAATCTGAATGGAAGAGAGAGGAGGAGAGGAAGAGAGGAAGTAGAGAGAAAAGGAAGCCGTGGCCCTCAGGCAATCAGGCATTGAGTTTGGATGCCCAGGCCATTCTTTTTGTTACTGAAGAATAAATAAAAGCAAAGAAATTAGATCATCGATGACTGAGGCCGCCCTTTTCCCCTCCCCCTCTTTCCCCTCGCCGCTCTACCCTTCATACTCACCGCCTGAGGCCTGTGTAAAAGCGGCGAGAAATACTGCCCAAAGTGGGACTCGAAAGTGTTCTCCGCATCTTATCTTTCTTTAGTCTTTCCTGCCGCGTTCCTTGGAAGCTTCATCCGTCCACAATCATCACGATGTCTTTTTACTAAGGAACCTCCTTCATCTTTACCTACTTTCATTGCAGCCTGGCTTGTACTGCTGAACAGCTCTACACTTTCTTGTTGGGTTCACCCTTCCAGATTCATTAATCCTAGGATAGTGAACAGGGTTTCGGTCTACCTGGCGAAAAAAGAAAACCATAAATCTACAAAGAAAAGGAAACACTATACCCCCGAGGGTCCTCGTTTCCAACATGGGGGAGGTGCCATTGGCTTCACTCTCCCTGACCCACGTTCATTATGTAAGTGATACTTCTTTCGCGGTCTTCCTGGACCGGGATTGATTTCATAGGAGAGAAACTAATTAGACATGTCGGCGACTACTATAGAACCCCTCTGATCCCCTGTCCTTCCTCTCTGCCTGGCTCGCTCTGGTTCCGCAGGCACTATGTGTGGCCTACGTCACTCTCATCTGGGCTACAAGGGAAGCCGAGGTGCTTCTCATGTTTGCCGGGCAGATGGGCTGTGAGGCCTTGAATTTTGTGCTGAAACGTATAATCAAAGAGGAACGGCCAAAGCGTATGTGGACTACCCAACCCGCTGCTCTTCGGTGGACCGATAGCTGATGCCTAGATTGGCTTTCTAGAAATGTTCGGTAAAGGCTACGGTATGCCGTCATCTCATGCCCAATTTGTCTCTTACTTCGCCGTGTACCTGTCGCTGTTTCTTCTCTTCCGACACGCCCCTACCCTGCCTCATTCGGACGCGAAACTACACTACTTCCTCAGATTAGTGCTTTCTGTGGGACTATGCTTTGGTGCCGGTATGGTGGCCATTAGTCGGGTTTACTTGAACTACCATACCCCGAAGCAGGTCCTAGCAGGCTGTGGTGCTGGAGTTGGGTGTGCGCTGGCTTGGTTTCTTGTGACGGAAGTGATTCGAACCTATGGCTGGCTAGACTGGGCCTTAGACCTGTCAATATCCAGGCTTTTCAGAATCCGGGATTTGGTGGTAAGTGAAGAACTTGACGAAGCCGGATGGCATCGGTGGCAATCGAAGCGGAAGTTGAAACGTCAAGAAAATAGGGATGACCAGTCCCGCAAATCGGAGTAATCGCCGTTTCGACTACTTCTAGCATTTGCTGTTTCCGAAGGCCTGAGAGTCAGGGCCAAGAGCTTGTACAAGATTTGGCTTTTGTGATACCCCCTTCCTGGATATTCTTACACCGTTGCTATAGACATATATACTTATTTCGGTTCCTGAATCTTCGCATCTAATCTCTATTGAGACTATAACTACACTAAGCAATCTTGTCCGGTTAGGTTCTATATTATATCTCGTAGAGACAGACTGCAATATATACTCACACATGGTGGCTGAAGTAATATGTCCTACAGTTGAGTGACGTCCATATGAGTTTCAATGTCTGTATAGCAAATTTCAAGATCTGAAGCATTCTTTTCTAAGAAACTAACGTGATATAGAAATAAGTATCGCGGTGACCGTGGTTGCGCTGGCCCTCATCCCACCGGTACCTTGCACGTGACCGGCCTCGCCCGCGGATCGTCACGTTTCCCCGAATCCTCCATCGTCGATCACAAACCGCTGCCAAAGACGTCTTGTCAAGCCTGCCACTCGACACCATGTGCCTGCATTTGGGTTGATTACCATACTAGGACCCTTGTCCCACTTTGCCTGCTTCATATTTTCCCTTCTTAATGACCTAATCTATATTTCATCTGCCATATCTCATGATCTATCCTTGACCGATACCCTTGCGACTATTGTTTGATTGCATTTTGGGCATTTTAGCTCTCTTCCCTATATCTTTTTTACCTTTTCTTGAAACCAAACACCTGTCCAGTGGCGCAAATGGACGACCCCACAGGCTCCACCGAAGCCTCCATGCAAGAGCATCACTTTGTGAAGGCCGATGAGGTTGACCAGACCGGGACCGATATCAGCCCAGTCTCGGACGATCAGTTGATGGAAGAAGTCGTTGAGGGATTGCGACAGGAGCAGGCCTCGCAATCCACCTCGGCTGCTGCCAATGAAGCGCCCCCGCAAGTGGAAAAAGCGGCTCGACGACCCGAGTTACGTCGTGATGTCGCGGCACCGCCGCCGCCTCCCTTGCAACCCCCGCCTCCAGCACCAGTGCAGCAGAACTCAGAACGGCCGCCGGACTCACTGAGTCTTGCACAGCTGAGGCAGCTAGTCCAGGAGATGCCGAAGATTGAACAGCCCGCTTATGCTTTCGAATATGCGGATTCACAGCCTTTCGAGGAAGAGATCGAGGAATGGTTTCAGTACAGTGAATTTGATAGAGCGATGCTCCTCGGTATGAGATCTTCCTTTGAGCAAAAGTGGACCGCTTTCGGAGAGAGTCATGAGATTGGCTCGAATGTCTCCTGGACTGAGGCATCTGATGCTCAGCGCAAGTCGTTTATCAGCCAGGTCATTTCTCGCCTAAGAGACCGGGAGATTTTGGTCCGAATCGAAGCGCTGGAAATTCTCTGTTATGTAGTGACTGGCGTGTGGGGAATTACTGCAGGCAGATCTGTCCATGATGACGACCATCAAGACGATTCTTCGCAGACGGCGGCAAAAAATCTGACGCCCAAATCTCTTCAACTCAGTTGGATCGAGAACAACGTTAGCTTATTTCACGACTGCTCGGGTATCCAGCCATTATTCGAGTGCTTATGCCAGACATTTGAGAAGAATCGCAAATCGCCTAATACCGACTCCCAAAACCCAGGACACGAGAGCGCTAACATTGCATTCCTTGCTGCCTCCGAGCGAGAGGCGAATCTAGTACTCACGGCATTTTATTTGCTTGTGGAAACTGGACGGCGTCAGGAGGCCCGTAATGAGAAACATACGCCTTTACGAGATAGTATCATGGACTTGAATCCTAACCTCTTGGTTTTTCTGGTGGAAATTATTTCAAGGCTGCGATGGGACGACTCGGCCAATGTTCCGCTCACAAGGATCATCTTATTGTTCTGGAAGTCCTTGCTTCTCTTCTTCGGCGGCAGCGACAGTCTGAAGAAAGCCAAAGAAGAATTAGAGCCAGCCTTCGAGGAGAGGGAAAAGTCGTCATCTGGAAGAACTCCTTTTTTAACAGCGTCACCGCTTGACTATCATGTATTTCGACAGGAGATCACGTCCAAGTATCCCGCCTATAACCCACCGCCTCTTGTTGTCCCCTTGGAGCTGGAGAACAACTCAATCCTCCCCCCTCTTCCTCAGCACCCCAGCAGAACAACTACTTCGAACGGTCTCTTTTCTGGTGTTGGGCCGTCGGTTTCCGGCGGAAATGGCTCAATCCTTCACCAGTCGGTTCATATCGCAACCCCGGCACCGTCGCCTCCACCGTCACCCATAGGCCCGGGTGGTAAGGCGGGGAAGAAGCAGAACTACCAGACTAACCAGAATTTCCCCTTCATGTACCCGCCTCTCGATGACTCGAGCAACGATATCGGTGGCAAAGGGACCGCTGAGATTCAAGATGTGCTGGTAGGAAAGAGATGGGAAGGAAGTGACGTCCCGGCATCTATCATTGAGGCCGGAAAATTGTTTTCAACGCACGTCAAAATGACGAGAGCCATGCGGCAACTATGGGAAGAGCGAGAGCGGTTTATGAAATACGACCGTGGCTGGTACTTGGATGACAACGAAGGTCCTTCGGATGAGGGCATTGATATGGAATTGACGGAGGATCTGCAGGACTTGGATCTACAAGAGAAGAAGAAGAATAATAGTAGACAAGCCAGCCCCGACAGAGCACCCCAGAAAGAAACCGACAACGAAGATATTCAACGTCGCCTGGACGCGGTGGAGTCATTCTATGTGAGTCCAGCCTTTCTCTTACCTCCTCTCAACTACCAGTTCACAATGGCTTATGGTACCGAATAGACACAAGCACTCGTTCATTTGCAGTCGATTACTATTGTATTCTTGAAGGTCATCCTTACCAATGTCAGTGCTGTGGTCAACCAGGCAAACGGACCGAACAATCAATCCATGGGGTATGTCAGCCATAACGCTCCTGATTCCCACTCAGTAGTCTAACTGGCATCTCTAGTGAGGGCTACGGCTCAGTCAATGGGTACGCGACCGGATATAGTAACAACATCATTGGCGAGCTCAACTCCGAAGCTGCTATTGATGAACTCGACAACCTTCGGCTGCGCGAGATCACCGGCAAAGCCATCTCGGGATCGCTGTTGCTTTTGGTGAAATGGTTCAAGCGATCCCGTAAGTTCAAGCCTGCCAAGGACTCCTGCATGAAATGCTGACGAAAGTCTAGATATATTGAAGTTCGAGTACATGACTCAGTTGTTGCTTGACTCTAACTATTTGCCTCTGATCCTGAAAATGTTCGCCCACCAGGATGTTGATCAAGCGGTGGCACAGAAGAACGACCGTGAAGAATTGGGGTTAGTGCCATCTTGACCAATATAAATTTGACCTGTACTGATAGCGAACTAGCTTCTTCCACTTCTGCCACCTGCACTCAGATCAGCCACCCCAGCAGACCGAACACTCAGAAGGCGAGTCTAGCGAGGACGAAGCTGTGCCGCCCCCCATTGCCCGGCATCGACAAGATTCAGGGCATGAAGGTATCTCGATGCGCGAGTCATCTCCTGAAGAGCCCACACCCGATTTCATCGAAGAAAATCATCGGCCCGAGGTTGACGAACTGGGATACCCAACTGCGCCGCCCCCTAAAGAGCCGATCACGATCTTCTCCTTCCGCAATTTCTTCTCGGCCATCAATTACCTGCATGTTATGCAGAAGATCACGCGCGACAAGGCCCACCGGTGTCTGTTACTTGTACAGTACAAGTCTAGCACCATCCTCCGCAAGGGACTCAAGATTCCTGATCCTCATTTGCGATTCTACACGCTGAAGCTATTCAAATCGCAGGTCCCGTACTGTGGCCGCAAATGGCGCCAGGGTAACATGCGTGTCATCACCGCAATCTATCTCTACTGCCGGCCAGAGCTGCGGGACGACTGGCTGGCAGGATCCGATATTGACGCCGAGGTCGAAGAAGCGTTACCTCTGGAGCAAGCCCTTCGGGGCATGACCCATTGGTGGCACCTGCGGCAATACAAAGACGTCATGGGTGGCGAGGAGGGGACTTCTCTCATGGAAGAAGAACGGGATTTCTTTTCTCGCGAGCTTGAGTCGATGGGATGGGGGTTTGCGGCCGACGACATCAATGGAGTCTGCGAGGAAGAATTGGTAGCTGCTGGCGGACATTTGCCCAACGGGACCGAATGGGAGGCAGGTCCTATGCAGATGGAAGGGTGGTAGGCCTGAGACCTGACCGGTGGTGATGGCAGTCAACTATCTTTCATCATCCTCCGTAGACAGACCATTGAAGACTCCATAAAATAGCATTGTCATATTGACAGTTGATACCCTTTAAGAAAAGTCTTCACGAGAATGAATCCATCCATTGTTTTCTATACAATAACTAAACTCTGATTGGCTTGTGGCACTGATAACGATAAGAATCACGGGTCTTATCGATAACACTCGTACCACGTGACTGATCGCTGCGGTAACTCTTTTTTTTTTTTTCTTCCTCTGCTCATCTTCGCCGAGTCTGCGCCTCGAACCCCCAGATTCTTTCCCCAACCACGGTCCTTTGCTGTGACCACGAACACTAAAAATGTCGTCGGACGAGATTGTCTGGCAGGTGATCAACCAGCAGTTCTGCTCTTACAAACTCAAGTAAGTCTTTTGATGAAAAGATTTGTCGGCGGAACCCAGCCCGGGGAGAAGATTGGAGAAAAAATAAATCGAAAATTCGAAGAGACGAAAATCTCAAGAACGAATACCGTTCTCTCAAAGGTTACAAGAATAGGTCACTAATAGCCAATTCTCCAATAATCACAGAACCACCAAGGAGCAAACCTTCTGCCGAAACGAATACAATGTCACCGGACTCTGCAACCGCCAGTCCTGCCCCCTGGCCAACTCCCGATATGCCACGATCCGATCGGACCCCGAGACCGGCGCGATGTACCTGTACATGAAGACGGTGGAGCGATCACACATGCCCAACAAGTGGTGGGAGCGGGTGCGACTGTCGTCCAACTACGCCAAGGCGCTCGAGCAGGTCGACGAGCGACTGATCTACTGGCCCAAGTTCTTGGTGCACAAGTGCAAGCAGCGACTTACGCGACTGACGCAGGTGGCCATCCGCATGCGGAAGCTGGCCCAGGAGGACGAGCGACTGGGCGAGACGGTGGTGCCGCGGTTGGCGCCGAAGATTCGGCGGAGAGAAGAGGCTCGTGAGCGCAAGGCCGAGTCGGCGGCTAAGGTTGAGCGCGCGATCGAGCGCGAGCTGATTGAGCGTCTGCGTAGTGGTGCCTACGGGGATCGACCGCTCAATGTGGAAGAGGGTATCTGGAAGCGGGTCCTGCGGGGCTTGGAGCGCTCGGGTGAGGGTGAGCGTGACGAGGACATGGATGATGGGGAGCTGGAGGAGGAGGAAGAGGAAGGTGTTGGAGAGGTGGAATATGTTAGTGATCTGGATGACGAGGAGGATCTGGAGGATATTGAAGACTGGCTGGGCGGTGAGTCGGCGGACTCGAGTGATGACTACGATGACGAATCGGACGAGGATGAAGACAGCGACGAGGACAGCGACAAGGAGGATGACAGCGCCCATAGCGAGGACGACGCGAAGAAGCCTAAGCCTGGATTCAAGAGAAAGCGCCCTGCTCCCCAGGCCAAACCCCGCAAGAAGGGACCCAAGGTGGAGATCGAGTACGAGACGGAGGGAGTTGGCAAGGAGAGTGCGCTGGCATAATGATTGAAGTGGAAGGGGAATCGCCGTTGAACATAAAAAAAAAGCACTGTGGGACTGTTTCATGCACGGCGTTGTCTGGCTTTTGTTTCGTGGTTTCTGTTCTGCTGCGATCGGGCGTGTTGTGGCCCTTGCATAATGTCTATAGTTGATTTGTTGACATAGAACCCCGATCCTGCAGATCCGTCGGGAGTTAGAATCAAGCATTGACTTTCTTATGACTGGTCTATTTCCAGTTCCAACACGAGGAACTCTGGACACTCCACATAATCCGTATGATGGTACGGTAGTTATCCATACTTGGTAGAAGTAGAGGAATGACGCCGCGGCTCACGTGCGGCGGTGAGACTCGGAAATGCCGCCTTCCCTTCCCTTAATCAACTTGAATCAGTCCATCAGTTCATCATCCTCATTTATTCCCCTCCAATTGCCCCCCCCTCAATCACCCCCTTTTTGTCACGTCGATTCTCTTCTCCTGATCGGTTCAAAGGGATACCGTGTTCATCCAGTCCCCGAATTCTCGCCACCGCCAATTCTTCCCAGGGGCGTGGCCGCCTTTCCATCCCGCCACATTCCCACCCCTCCTGATCAACCCACCGACAACTTCACTCTGCGAAGTGACGCACCTTTCGACCAAGTACCAACAACATGTTCTCCTCTCTGACGTCGTCTTCGGCGCTGTCAAATCTGGGCACGCGGCTAAACTCTTTTCGACGCGCCATCACCCTGGGCGACGAGGCGGACGATCCCGATCACGAGGACTGCTCGCACATCTCGAACGTTCTCCGGGCCTATTATACCGAAAAGGGTCGGCCATACCCGTCCTGGCTACCCCCCGACCCAAAGGCGCCAACGCCGTCACCGGCCCGGGTCATCGCGACGACCCAGATCCAGCCTGGCGCTGGTGCACCAGCGGCGTCGAGCTACGGACGTAGTAGTGGTGGAGGACTCGGGGATTTGTGGGGAGACTCAGGTGGTGCACCGCAACCCCCGGCACCCCAGACAGCAAGTCTCCGACGAGGACGAGGTGGTGTGAGCGGACCCCCCCTGGCCACGGCAAATAGCGCACCGTCCGGGTCTCTGGCGACGCCACCGAGTCAGTCCCCCACGCCGCCGATGCTGCACCCCTCGGGGGCCCGACCCTTGCCCAGCCAGCGAGCCGGGTCTTACCAGTCGATGTCGGGAGCGCAGCCTTTGGAACGGGCAGCATCGGCGCAGGAACGACTACGGGCCAGGTTACATGGGGGCCGATCTCCTAGTCCCGGTCAGAATCCGAATGGTCGGCCCAATTCACCATATTATGGAGGGGGAGCGGATCCTAGTGCACGAAAACCGATCGGGATGCCTCCCGGAAGAATGCGAGGGTAACAGGGGAAAAAAGGAAGGAAGACTGGAAGAGTCAAAGAGACCATGGGACGCCAAGGGAGGAGAAAGGGCAAGAGTGTGGAGTTGCGGAGTTGTGGAGAGCAGCGAAAGAGTCAAAAAACGAGGGAAGGAACAAGAAAACCAGACTAAAAAGCCTAGTGCCTGTTCTACAACTTCTACTGGTCTACCACGACAATCTATTATCCTATCAAATTGGCTAGTCTCCCCAAACATCGCAAGTTTGTTTCGAAGCATCGCAAAGCATCCCACGCCGGCAGTGGAGCCCAAGCCTTCTGGGCGCCGTCTTAACGCACCACACAACGAATGAGCGTCTCGGTTTCCAGGCTCGATCCTTGGAAGGCCCAATATCGCCGGAGACTCGCCGAAATTGTCCCGGAATCGGCGTTGTTGGGCGTGGTTTGCTTTCCAGACTGGTCCAAGGCCGATGCACCTCGTGAGTTTTTTCGTCCCGTTACCGACGGGCATTTTTCTCCACGGGGAACGAAAAACACGGAGTTGGTGTGGAGATCGGCATCGCGACTAACCCTCCTTGCTGCTCTTGCATTTTTTCTACCTTACCACTCATGACTCTCCCCGTCTCTCGCGCTCTTTTGGCCCTCCTCCCCCACGGCTGACCCCCGTCGTCTTGTTGGCTTGTTTGAGCGAATAATTGACGTCCTGACGTCGGCGTTGCACAACAATGTTTTCCCTTCTATCACCCCGCCTTGAGTCCGGGGTTTTTAAATTCAGCGTTATCCCCATGCTCGTTTTTTCTTCTTTTCCCTTTTATTTTTTTTTCTTCTTTCTTTTTTTCTCTGACCTTCTCTTCCTCCTTACTCCTTCGTGACTGTCTCTCCACTGGCTGGTTAGCACTTCGGTCCTTTATTGAGGGACTTCTTCCTATCCACATCAGCATAAGAGATTCGTCATGGGTTCCCTCAAGGATGTCGAGGCATCCCATGATGACCACAAGGAGCCTGCGGCGCTGGAGATGGACGACATCGCTAAGGACCCCAAGGCGTCCGCCGAATACAACGAAGCGGCCATGGACGCAGAACTCCAACAGCTGGAGGAACAGTTCCGTGAGTTGAAGCAGCCTCGCTTCCAGGTGACCTTGTCCAACCCGGCTTTCTTCACTTATATCCTTGTCGCCTTTGCCTCCATGGGTGGTCTGCTTTCGGGTCTGGACCAGTCTCTGATCAGTGGTGCCAACCTTTTCATGCCCGGTGCTCTACATTTGTCGGACAACGATAGCAGTCTGGTCAATGCCGGTATGCCGCTGGGTGCTGTCGCCGGTGCCCTCATCCTGTCGCCTGCCAACGAGTACCTGGGTCGTCGCATGGCCATCATCGTCTCTTGTATCCTGTACACCATCGGTGCCGCCCTGGAGGCAGGTGCCATTAACTTTGGCATGATGTTTGCCGGCCGTTTCATCCTGGGTGCAGGTGTCGGTCTTGAGGGCGGAACGGTCCCTGTCTATGTTGCCGAGTGTGGTATGTAACAACATGATCTCATTTCATCGCAATCAGTCAACTTAATCGCTAACGTGTTCCGTCTTCTAGTTCCCTCAAGGATTCGTGGTAACCTCGTCTCCCTGTATCAGTTGAACATCGCCTTGGGAGAGGTTCTTGGCTATGCAGTGGCCGCTATCTTTGTCGACGTCACCGGTAACTGGCGGTACATTCTTGGTTCCTCTCTTGTCTTCTCAACCATCCTCTTCGTGGGCATGCTTTTCCTGCCCGAGAGCCCGCGTTTCCTTATGCACAAGGGCAAGCCGGTGGAAGCGTACGGTGTGTGGAAGCAGATTCGCGGCTTCGACACGCTCGAAGCTAAGGACGAATTCTTGGGCATGCGGCAGGCCGTCACGGCAGAACATGATGAGCAGCAGAACACCAAGAAATACGCCTGGATGGATTTCTTAACTGAACCTCGTGCTCGCCGTGCCATGGTCTACGCCAACGCCATGGTCTTCCTGGGCCAGTTCACCGGTGTCAACGCCGTTATGTACTACATGGGCGTTCTCATGACAAAGATCGGTTTCGATGAACGTACCAGCGTCTTCATGTCGCTAGTTGGCGGTGGCTCCCTGCTCATCGGTGCCATCCCTGCCGTGATGTACATGGAGAAGTTCGGCCGTCGCTACTGGGCCAATGCCATGCTTCCGGGCTTCTTCATCGGCCTGGTTCTCGTCGGTGTTGGCTATACTATCAACTACGAAGAGCATCCCGCCGCCGCCGAAGGTGTCTATCTGACCGGTATCATCCTCTACATGGGTTTCTTCGGTTCCTACGCCTGTCTTACGTGGGTCATCCCCGCCGAAGTCTTCCCCACCTACCTGCGATCCTACGGCATGACCACCGCCGACGCCAACCTCTTCCTCTGCTCTTTCATCGTCACCTACAACTTCACCGCCATGATGAACTCCATGACCCGTATCGGTCTCACCCTGGGCTTCTACGGCGGCATCGCCGCCATCGGCTGGTTCTACCAGATCCTCTTCATGCCCGAGACAAAGAACAAGTCCCTCGAGGAGATCGACGAGCTTTTCTCGCGCCCCACGTCCGTCATCGTGCGCCAGAACATCAAGAGCACGGCCGAGGTGATTCGCGACCTTTGCCATTTCCGCTTCAAGAAGGTGTTTTCCCCCGAAGCATAAGGAATAGCCTGTCTTTGCTTTTTAATCAATCATACTATTGTCTTTGTCTCGTATCGGGGTGTGTCTTGAGATTTGACATCTCATGGTCAATCACGAAGGAGGTGGAATGTTAAGTAATGGACGGGGGTTGCCTTTCATGATATTCACGATCTAACATGCATTATGTGATGTACGTAAGGAAGAAATGAGGTGAGACGAGGGGATGAGAGAAGGAGATCATTAATTATTTCCATTTTTCAAATTAATATTATTCCACTCTTCATACTAGTTCTCAGTTATTGACCTTTCCCTCTGCTGTACGAAATATGAACCTTCCAAATGGAGACCCAGTCCAATTCATGACCGAGATAATATTTCAATGACTGATGAACAAGGTGGACAGTTCTATGTATGTATGTACCAAAGTAGAATAAGTTGACGACGATGTTGCTAAGCGACATAACAAAAAAAAAGCGTGAAAAAGAAAAAGTGGCTAGATGGGTGAACCCTCACAAAGAGATAAGATAGATAGTATAGTATAGTACACTCACAGTGGGTAGTTTAGAGATTCAGCAAAACAGAAGGAGAAAAAAAGGTATAGAGAAAGAAGGATAGATGGATGATGGATGATATATATAAAGGAAAGGAAACAAAAAAAAAAAAATAAAAGATAAAAAATAAGAAGAGAAAAGAAAGAAAAAGGGGAATCATTCGCTCCAGTTCCAAACACCACCATACTTCCCTGACCAGATGAACTAATCAATCAATCTCATAATAAATGACAGTAAGCAGTAAGATTTTTTTCTTCTCTTTTTGTTTCAACCACGGACTTTCCGGTAACTGGGAGGACTCCAGGATCGCTTGATCAATTTCCCGGCCCAAACAGGGATGACGGCCACGGCGCATACGGCGCACACGCGCCAGACCCAGTCCACGGTGATGACGTACTCCAGATCGAAGTAGCTGCTGAGGAAGGGGACGCTGCCGGCATAGAGAAGAGCGGTGCCCAGGAGACAGAAGATCATGACCGGGTGCCAAGTGGTGATGGCGATGGCAACCATCAGAAGCTCGTTGATGACGAGAGCAGTGAAAGAGACGCTGATGAGTCTTGGCCCGGAGATAGTGTCGAGCAGGATCTGGGAGAGACCTTGAATGACGGCTCCTTGGTAGACGGAGACGAGCACCCAAGTGGAGAAAGAGCGGTAGCTGAGACTACGGCCAGTCTTGAGTTCCTTGTATAATTCGGGGTAGAGGTTGGCCATATGTTCGTCGACGTCGCGGTCGAAAACAAGAGAGAAGACCGGTGCGTTGGTGTACACGGTGGCATAGCCGACCATGAGCCAGTTGATGAAAAGGCCCTTGGGGTCGAAGTGGCTGGCAATGCTGTACATGGTTTGGCAGGCACTGATAACAAGTCCACGGTGCATAATGAACTGGGCCAGTTTGGCCGATCGCTTGTACGAGTTGCGGCCATGCCAGACGAGAAGCTTGGTGAGGTGATGGAACTGCGTGATACTGAAATCGGCCGCTAGCGAGGCCTGTCGACCCTCTTTGCCGACAATACCGATTCCTACATCGGCAGCTTGGATCATAGATACGTCGTTTCCACCATCTCCGATACAGCAGACTCGCTTCTTCGTGTGATGCCGGATCAGATCGGCAACTTCAGCCTTTTGGGTCGGAGAGCACCGACAGGCAACGACAGCCGGGAGAAGCACAGCAACAGAGATGAACGCAGACCGGAACTGGCTGAGCATAAGGGCTAGTGACTCGCCATCGATGAGAAGACAGCAGTCAGTCTTATTGCGTAAGAAATCTAGCGTTTCCTGCGCAGTCGACTTATCCTTCACTTTGGCGACTGTGTGGATGTATTGGCCTCGGGCAACCAATTTCGCAGAGATCGCCACACATCGCGCCGTTTCAACTTTGTCTCCCGTCAACATCCAGATCTTGATCCCGGCGTTGCGAAGGAGCTCCAAAGAAGGTTTGACATCCCTCTGGAGGCGATCTTCAACACCAGTTACTCCCAGGAGTTCCAGATCACGTTCTAGATACTCGCCAATCACCTTGGCCATTCCAGCATCTCGCCCCTGCAGAGCTAACGAGGCTTGCCTGTATTTCCCACCAAACTCTTGATACTGCTGCGAAGATAGTCGCTTTCGCCCAACGACAAGGGTTCGCAGGCCTTCTCGAGCCATGTTCGCGGTTTCTTCGTCAAGCCAGTCGTTTGCCGCAACAATAGTCGACATGACGGTGTCTGCGCCCTTCTGGTAAAACCAAATTTCACTGTCCTGTTGGGGCGAATCTAGCATTCCACCCTCTGTTTCGAACTGTACGATAATCCCCATGCGCTTGCTATCAGAGGTAAAGGGGAAGATATCGAGGATGCGGACACGCACGACAACATTACCCGTGTGAGTTGACTCCAAAAAAATGGTTTGCCGGTCACGATATGATAGTTTGAGTCCAACTTCCTCAGTGTACCGGACAATGGCTATCTCATCCGGCGAAGAAGCCTGGTAGCTCGTTATCTTCACCCCGTCTTCTTCATCCATGGTTGGTGTGACATTATGACAGAGGGCAAGGGCTAGAACAATGTCCCTGACGCGCGAGCCAATTTCCCTCCTTGTACGAGGAGCAGCAGCGGCAGCAGCCCCAGCCTGAGCGCCGAAGGCAGCCGAAGCGGTAGTCAGGGAGGAACCAGCAAAACTTTGTTTGACATACGAGGCTACTTCTTCCATAGCGTCGTTTGCATACGAGACCGTCCCGACATGTATCTTTTTCAGCTCCATTTCTGCTTGGATTAGCAAACCGGAACGCGACCTGCGCAAGTAGACAAAGAGACATACCGTTTTGGGTCAAGGTCCCCGTCTTGTCGGAGAGCAAGTACTCGATTCGACCTAGGTCCTCGGGTATCGTACTTGTTCTCACAACCGTATCAGGGATATCCTGGTCTCGTTCAATGAAGCGACCGTATACTGACTTTGCCATGTCGAGGTTTACTCGCAAGCTCATGGGAATGATTGTGGAGAACAAGATAAGGTATATCATGATTGCAACATACCACACCTTGTCGTTCGTCGGTTGGAACCCTTCTAGAGCGACTAGAACGATAGACAGAAGGAGGGTGAGAACACATAGGATTTTAGTAAGGTTGTTAATTTCATATTCCAACAACCCTACCTTAGAGCGAGATGGCGATGTTGAAAGGGCAGCCCGCGTCTGCGAGCCAGTGTAAATGATGACGGCGTAGGTAATTGTGTTGGATGCGAGAACGGTGTTGGCCCAGGCGGTGTTGTCAATTGTTAGAGGAGCAGAGTTGGCATCTGAATCCTCATTCTCATAGTCCCTCCCATCGTCTGTCTTATCCACGTGAGGATCATAGAACCCGGACGGAGGTCCCAATTCGAGGGTGCCGACAAACTCATTGACTTGCTTATCCGGGGCACTTGCTGTCACCTTGAGCCTTGGAAGATCATTGAATGATAGATTTTGAGATAGAATTGACGGCAGGCGAAGTTTCCAATCGGTCTCACCATCAAGTTGATCTGTTCGTATGAAGGTATCGCTGCCAGATTGAAAGCTTCCGTCGTCTGTATGGGCATTTGAGGCAGGAATATCGTGGGTTGCAGAGGGTGAAGACGGCCCTTCTGAATGGATGAGATCTGTGGATACTCTCGGGGTGGAGGTTTGATGAGCATTGCCGGAGTCGTTGGACACACTTTTCAAAATCACCACATCGGCCGGCAAGCGCTGATTTTTGCGAACTTTTAGTACATCGCCGACTTTCAGATCGCGAGATCGTTTAGTCATTTCCATCACATTTCCGGCGTTAGAGTGGACATTGCCAGCAGTCGAAACCACTCTTGCGCCGGGCTGCTTGTCGAAAGCGAGCACGGAGAAAGTCTCCGCATTTGCCTCGGCATCTCTCCTTCGTCGACCGATATCATCCAAGGCTTCTTTTCCGAGAGAGATACAGACAACAAAGGCAAGCGGTGCGATGTATGACGACATGTAACCTATCCGGAGCACGGGTATTATCTGCGATAGGGCGACAAGAAGAAAGTAGATGTTGAAGAAAAAGGAGAATTCGTTATAGAGTGTACGCGGAAGGAAGCTCCACGGTGTATATTTTGCGTTGGAAACGATATTCGGAGGATATTTCGATCGTTGCGCCTGACCAACAAGGACATCACGGGGAGGTTTCGGTTGCGAGGCTTCACTATCGGCTGTCGTTCGGCCTGCGGCACCAAACAACATACTGGCCGCTTTTATGCCTGGAAACCGTAACCGACTTCCCCTCTGCGATCCCCCCTCGACGTCTCCATAGGATCGAGCAGAACTCCGTCTGCGTTCGTTCAGCAACGGCGCATCGTCTTCGGTGAATTGACGAGAACTGGCGTGTGACGTCCGAAGTCCGGTATCATCGCGGTTGTCGAGAAGACCTTCCCTGTCCTCCGATCTCCTTTGGTCTCCCGAAGTTTGTCGCCATATTCGATTTCCGACGCCCATGCGTAGGTTCCTCAGCGCTATCCCTGGACCGTGGCTTCTTTGCCTACCGAAACCATCTCGGGAAAGTCGAGGCGATGCGTGAGGAGAGGTCGTACCGGGGTCGAGTTCCTCCAAGTCAAGGTCGTCGTCTGAGCCGGAATCCCCTAGAATACTGGACTGCTCGTGCGGGTGTACATAGTCGGGTGATGAAGGCATGATGATGTAGGCGCTACAGAAGTTCGGAATAAGCTCCCCCCAGAAGAGAAGCGACCGTTAAGCTCCTGTATCAGAAAGCGGTTCTCATTTCACGATAAGCTGCATCTATAAATTCTCCGCAGGACCATTGTTGTTACCGCCGGTTCGAGGGGGACGGTCGTGGTAGGTCCGAATGTACACGGGATTGAACGCGGAGATCGGGAGGGGTAGTGATCGAGTTAGGCAAGCACCTATGGAGGGTGGTGAAAGAATGTGGTGAAAGCCGAGGGAGACTGGTCGTTGAAGCAGGAACTAAACAATTGGCAGAAGGATGGCGGCCTGGAGGCTAGACGTGGCTGTGGCTGTCAGGCGGAGATGCGATCACCGGCAGAATGCAGGAGCACGTGATCGAGGAACGGGATAGGTGGCCCTTCCGCCGGAGCAACGAGGGACCGACGCCGAGAGATGACGGGGCGCGTTCCAAAAGGAAAAGTCCGGAGATTCGACGGGCGGCGGGTTTGTTGCTTTGCTTTACTTGGCCGGTCATCATCGTCGACTATCAAGGCAAACCGCCGCCACTAGTCACTTGCTGGCCTTTTTCTCGTCTTCCTCTTCTCTCCCGTCGCAACGGGGATTTGCAAATGTTGTCATGGTCTTCTAAATTTCCTCTGATTCTTGTGATGTTTTTCTTCCTCTCTTATTCCCACTCTTATCATTCTATATAGTTAATTTCCCTTCCATGTCTCGTTAATTAATCCAACCCTTGCCAGTCGCATCGGTCCGCAGGGTGAGTATCTCCCGAAACGTGTCCGATTCTTTCTTCGATGCTAATGATCTGGCCTGTCGACGAAGATCTAATAATATTCAATTATGGCACACAACGGCGAATCGGTCGCGTGGCATCCGGCTCTCAGACCGGACGATAACAATGATTTGGCTGCGACACACCCCGACGCGGAGGTCACTCCGAAAGATCCGCCGACACCAGAGGTTATTCCCGAGCAGGTTGACGCGCCTGTTGAACATACAGTACCCGAACCCATTCCGTCGATAGATCCGCCAGATACGGTCACCCCAGATACGACCGACTCCAACTCTTTCCCGCCTGTATTCGAGGATTCGAACCTGGCCGAAACAACGGAAGAACCACAGGCCAATGGCGACGAGTCGGCGGCAACGCAATTTCATGACCATGAGCCTGCCCAAACCCTCGAGCCCGTCGGTCAAGTAGATGGCGTGCATGAGCCGCAACCCGAAGTTGAAGATGTGCAGGCCGCTTTCCCCCCAACAACCGAGGACCCCTTCCAGACGGCGGATCACAACCCCAATTTCTCCGAGGATGATAACAGCTCGCCGTGGCCCAATGAGGCCGAAAATCAAGATTTTCCTATGAGTACGAATGGAGCCATTGATGGCGAAGATCGAGGCTTCTGGGAGAATCCCTCGAATGATGACGCTGGGGATGACGCCGGGGATGACTTTTTCGACCAACTCAAGACGCAAACTAAGCCGATTTATATCCCGCCAGAAACCGACTCTAGATATGAAGAGGGCGTTCCACTACTGGACTCGGCGGTACAATCTCCGGTTGAGGAGCCGGTAAAGCAACAAAATCCAATTGATAATGTTTTTGCTGGCGATGACGAAGACCAGGAGGGGGACGCGTTCTTTAATGAGATCCAGAAGCCCGAGCCCGTGGATGAACCTCCCCGGTCGTTGCACATCACTCGGAAGAGCACGACCCAAGTACTCGACTCTCTAGATGTCCCTCCTTACTCCCCAGCCAGCGACACGTCACCGACTGCTCAAGAGTTCAGCAACATTCTGGCGGCCGCTGCTTCGGAGAACCACGCTGTACCGGAGACTGTGCCGGAGGAGCAAGCCAAAAGTGTATCATCTGACGATGATTTGGCTGCTCGCTGGCAGGCTGAACTGTCGGATGAACCGCTGGAGACAGAAAAAGTTTCCGAAGACGATCTGGCTGCACGATGGCAAGCAGAACTGGACGATGACGACGATCTACTGTTAGGAGATGAAGTGGCTGAGAATCCAGCTACCCTCCCTGGAGTAAACCCCCAAAGCAGCAACGGAATTGTCCAGGATGCTGCCCCGGCAGCCCCTTATCAACCTGCACAAAACCCCGCGAACCCCGCTATGCAGTCTGCCGCCTACACGCCACACCAACCATCTACGTCGGACCTGCTCCAAGGATTTCCACCGCAAATAGGTGGAGTCCCGTCGAACTACTTTGCACAACAGCCCCAGACAAATCTGCCCGAAAGCAAAGCACCGAGTTTCGCCGAACGCTCTAAGGAGGGCTACAAATCTCCCTACGATCTCCCTGACGACCTCGCTCGGCCTCGTAGGCCCGCCGCCAGTCATAAACCCCTTGTTGTACCGGGAGGTAATACACCACCGCCGCCTGCTCGGAGCAGTAGTATGCCAATGCCTCCTCCCCCAGCATCGACTTTAGCGACACCTCCACTTGGGACATCGCCTATTACGACGGCCGCACCGCCCAAGAACTTCTATGAAGAACTTCCTTTGCCACCCCCCGTGCCACGTTCAAGACCTGCGACCTCGGGGCGCTATACTCCGGTCAATGCAGCGACTGCTCCACCGTCAAACCCGCCGCCCCCTCCGCAAGGAAATCAATATGGCAATCTCTCCGCTGCCTTGCAACAGCCTGGCTTAGTCGACCCTCAGCCTCAGTTGCAATCACCGGAACGGATGGAACCATATGCAAATATGTTGGCGCCTGCCCCCCCAAGTACACAAGGCGTCCCTAGTGCTGCGTCGAGATACTCACCCAAGCCTCCTACGTTGAATGCTGGACCTAGCTCCGCTCCGCCGCCGCCTAGATACTCCCCTGCGCCACCTCAACCCACTGGCCCCCCTCCTCCTAAAAATCGATATGCTTCGCAACCCTCGAGTGGGCCGGAGCCCTCAATTACCCTGCCATTCCAACCACGCACATCAAGTCCTCTAGCTTATCACGAGAAGGTGTCGTATCAGCCCAGGGAGGGTCCCGCATCACAGCCGTTTATGGAAACAGCACCAAGTCATGGTCTTTCCAATGACGTGCAGTCGAAGCTGCAAGAGCAGGAGAGCGCACGCCCCATTCCTCCACACCATGATGCTATGACTTCAAGTCCCATTAAAGTGGCTAGTCCTGAGCGCATCCCGACAATTTATCAACCTATCTCGCCGCCTAGAAACCCTTATGCTCCACCCGAACATACCAATGATATTTTGAAGGGGCCAGCACCCCCAGTTAGCAGCTTATCATCCTCCGCACCGCCAGCCGGTGATTCCCCGTATGCGCCCCCTCGCAGATCACAAACTCAGTCTCCCGGTCAACAATTGGGTGGTCCTCGGTTGTCTGTCCCCTCAATTGATCCTCTACAACGTCCTGCTTCCGTGCATGGATCTGGCTCCCCAACAAAGACTGCTAGTCCTTACGCACCTTCGCAAGTCTCTGTTCACAATCGCCTTTCTTCTCAACCGCTCGAATTCATTGCACCCGAAGATGGACAGCAATTTGATCCCCTCGAACGGTGGAGGGGCGCCCCTATCGTCAAATTTGGATTTGGGGGCTCCATAACCACCTGTTTCCCCAAGCATGTACCGAGGTATACTGCTGGGCAAGTGGCCCCGAAAATCAAATCCAGTCCGGGCGAGGTTCAAATCCATCAATTCAATGAGTGGATTCCTGTTCCGGAGAGCATTGTGCAACACCCTGGTTCCCTGAGGGCCAAGTCCAAGAAGAAGGACCTGCTCGCTTGGCTTTCTAGCAAGGTTGTAGCATTTGAGAACGAAGGGATCTCGGAAGCAGCGCAACTACATCCCGACTCTCACAAACGCCACGAGGAGAAGATTCTGCTGTGGAAGATTGTTAAGGTTCTGGTCGAACATGACGGGAACTTGGAGGCCTCAGCTGAGAGTCAAAAAGCCTTACGCAATGTCATTTCCCCTCATTTGCAAAATGCCGAAGCTGAGCAGCAAGCCTACGGAGGCGGCTTTCCTACTTTCGGTGCCCCACAGTCAATGGATGCAACCTCTCGACCCGATTCAGTTGACACTCAATCGTTAGAGAGTCTTCGCAACAGTCTTTTGATGGGTGACCGAGAGAAGGCCGTCTGGACCGCTGTGGACCACCGGCTGTGGGGCCATGCCATGATAGTAGCGTCGACACTGGATAGATCTGTCTGGAAACAGGTTGCCCAGGAGTTTGTGAGACGTGAGGTGAGATCGGCGACCAGCAACACCGAACCGATTGCCGCACTCTATGAGATATTTGCGGGCAATGTCGAGGAGAGCATTGATGAACTTGTCCCGCCATCAGCCCGAGCGGGACTGCAAATGGTCAGCAAAACCGAGGGCCAAAGTACCTCGAAGAATGCTCTTGATGGCCTCAACAGTTGGAAAGAGACTCTTGGCCTAGTGCTTAGCAACCGTAGTCCCGATGACCACCAGGCATTGTTGGCTCTGGGTCGTTTGCTGCTCTCTTATGGTCGTGTGGAGGCTGCTCATATTTGTTTCATCTTCTCGAAAGCCGCTGTGTTTGGCGGTGCCGATGATCCACAGGCCAGCGTTGTCTTGCTTGGGGCTGACCATCAACACCTCCCATCCAATGTTCTGCGCGATGACGATTCTATCCTACTCACGGAGGCATTTGAGTATGCCACCACCGTCCTCGCAGGCTCCCCCACTGCTGCGATGCCCCATCTTTTAGCATACAAATTAATATATGCCTGGTCCCTCGCCGAGCGTGGTCGTAAACCCGAGGCTCAGCAGTACTGCGATGGAATCGCGGCGGCACTCAAGGCTAGCACAAAGCCTTCCGCTTATCACCACCAGCACTTATACTTCGGGGTGGATGAACTCTCGGCCCGCCTTAGACAGACCACACACGAAGGAGGATCCTCGTGGATTTCCAAACCGAGCATGGAGAAGGTATCTGGCTCTATGTGGGCCAAGTTCAACAGCTTCGTCTCCGGGGAAGACAGTGATGCAGCTTCGACGGCATCTGGAAAGGCCGGGGATGCGGATGTTGGTCCCTTCGCTAAGCTGGCTGGAACACCGACCGTTAGCCGGTCGCCTTCAATGTCAGACCTGTATGCGCCCTATGCGTCTGCAGCGCAGCCTGTCGCCACAAGCGGTCCATCGCGATACCAACCGACTAACCAGTATGCGCCAAGTTCATCGCCGGAACAATTGCGTGGGAGGTCGTCGCTCGACTCCCAGAGATCTTCATCGTACGGGTACCCGCTGGGCCGACGTGGTTCCCAGGAGCCCTCGACGCCTATCGACAACAACCTGTACCAAGGAGGACCTTTCTACAACTCACCGCCTGTCGCTGGCTACCAGGGAACGCCTCCGCAGTCCTCACATATGCCTCTTGCTCCTGTCGAGGAAGACTCTGTCCCTCATTCCTACTCGGCACCGATGCAAGGGTCTCCGATGCAAGTTACCGGTTATCAGCCAGCCGACAACCTTGCCTTCGGTCCGTCTCTCACACAGCCACCAACTACAGTACCCGAACCTAGCGCGACTGGCTACATGCCACCCGGTGCTGGTGGTTATGAACCACCATTTGCGGACAACGGCGCGCACTTGATGCCCGAACCCACCGAGGACGTTCAGGGCGAACACACTATCCAGAAGAAGAAGTCTTTTATGGATGATGACGATGATGACGACATTGCAGCCCGTTCAGCTGCTATGCAGAAGGCTGAGAAGGAGCGCAAGGATCGTGAAGCGGACGAAGCTTTCAGAAAGGCTGCTGAGGCCGACGGTAAGTTTCCCTTTACGTCTTATTGATTATGCTCAGCCACTAATTAACATCGGTTATAGCCCAAAAGCCTGCACCCGCAAAGAAGTCGTGGTTCGGTGGATGGTTCGGCGGTGCTAAGAAGGAAGAAAATATCGGCAGCCAAAGCCAAGGACCTATCCGTGCCAAGCTCGGCGAGGAGAACTCATTCTACTACGACAAGGATTTGAAGAAATGGGTCAACAAGAAGGATCCCAACAGCAGTACCGTGACTCGGGGCGCTCCGCCGCCGCCGAAAGGACCGGCTCCTCCCAGCCGGACCGCGAGTGGCAGTAGTGCACCACCACCACCCCCAAGTGGCACTCCTGGTTTAGACAGCCGGCCTTCATCGTCCGCAGGTGCTCCTCCTCCGCCATCATCAACCGGCAGTCCGGCGCCGCCATTGCTCGGGGTTCCACCTCCGTTACTCGGGGCGACCGCTCGCTCAGTCTCCACTGGTGCCGCTGCCCCTACTCCACCAGGCAGTGCCCTCGGGTTGCCACCTCGTCCTGCTACTTCGTTGAGCAACGCTAGCTCAATCGACGACCTTCTCGGAGCCCCACAGGCGCGTAAGGGCGCTGGTGCCAAGGGCAAAAAGAAGGGCAGATATGTCGACGTGATGGCCAAATAAGGTAGATGATTGATGATGTTCGAGTGACTGGACCATTCTTCTCCGGATTTTTGATTGAGTGCTTTACGATACCTCTTTTTCTTGCACCTCCCTCGCGCATTCAACATTTGCACACAGAAGCGCATCTGGACTTTTAATCCCGGTTATAGAATTCTTGAACCTTTGCGAAAAAGTCTTGCATACCGTGTTTTCCTGAAGGAATCACGGCCTTTGGGTGTTCTTGCATGACTTTCCCCTTCATGTACTTTATATGTTTGCACTACATATGTTTTTATTCTTTTTCCCTTTTGTTGTCTTGCTTTTTTCATTTCCTTTGTCTTTGACCACTTTGATCTTCATTTGGGACCCGAATCTTGTGGATTCGTCTGTTTTACGAAGCATGGCTTGAAATATGCGCACGGTTTAATATCTCTATAATAATGTCATCATGGCAATACCTTTTTCATGATTTATTTACAGGCTTTTAATTATACAATGTAGCTCTAAATTCGTGAGTTTTCGTAACTGGGTCTAGCCCTTTCTCAAACGCGTCAAGACGCGTAAGAATTGATATAGTACTGCAGGATATGGATATTAGCAATTCGTCCTGAAAAAGTGACGGTCAAGCGGGTTCAACATTCTCGACCTACCGTTAGACAGGAATCTTCCCCATTCCAGCTCCCCGGGAGATATACGTAGAGAATCAAAGCAGTCTCATGAACGAAACCTGTAGGTCAATCAGCACAACGATCCATCCCATCCATGCATCTGGAAAAAGCAAACAGCCACAATCTACAGGAGGGGAGATGAAGGGAAAGGAAGTGAACACTCACAAGCAACCACCTTCGGACTCAACCTCCCAACACTCAACACCCGACCCCAATCCTTCCCATCAATCCTCACCTTCGCCCACCCCGCCTCATCATCGTCCGCGATCGCCCGCATCCTCTCACTCGGCAACTGCTCGATCTCCGTCTGCGACAGTTGGCTCGGATCCAGAGCCGGATTGACCAGATCCGTCCAGACACTCGAGATCCGCAACGCATCCGTCGCGATGGCCAAGCGTAACGATCCGTGCATGTTCGCCGATAACTCCAATTTCGCGCCACTGCCGCCAGATCCAGATCCATTAAGCAGTCCCCCACCGCCCGACGAACCTTTATTAGTACTATTGTTCGACGTCTCCGTCGCCAATCGCGTGAACCGCTCCGAAATACTCTTCAGCTGGGCCAAACTCGGCAAAATGATATTCACATCTGGATCTCTACATCGCGGCTCATGGAGCCCGTCCACGGCTGTCTGATGCAGCATCTTCACGGGCACTTCTTGCGTGATGACAGTCTCGCGTTCGCGCGGACCGGATGGCGGGTTTGGGCCCGCGCCGGCGGCGACGGGTTCCTCGCCGATGCCGATGCCGAGGGCGTTCGTGCCGTTGGTCCACGAGGAGACGTGGATCGTTAGTGCGAGGAGGGGGACGTTGCCTTTCTTGGTGAGACGGATTTGGGCGGATGAGGCTGCTGTGGCGGAGCGGAGGGCACGATGCAGGGCGCCGACGGGGACTTCGAGGTTGATGATGCCGGAGTTGGATTCTAGGATGTAGGTTTCGGGGTCGAAGATTGAGTCCTGGGGTTTGTTAGCTTTTCGGATCGGTTCCTGGAGATTGCATGGATGAATGGATGGATGGAATGGATGTAGAGGTATATGCATGTAGAGTAAGCAACATAAGATAACATACCACAGGCATCTGAGCCCAGACTTGCGTCCCCTGGTCAGGAATGATCGTGAATCGAACGACGCCATCTTCCAGTCGCATCCAGCATACTTTCCCCAGAGATGATAGCGATGCAGTTAATTCTTTCAAAGTCAAATGAAGTTGTTTACGAGGTTAGCGTGGGCATGATATCATTCATTGGTTGGCGACGCGGTATGGCGCGTGGAAACGCGATGATCGCGAGACGGGCGACATAACTTACTAGAGAAAGTGGCTATATTGACTAGTTGGGTTCGAAACCGCATTTTCTAGTCGAGCTACGGGATTCCACGGCCGATGCGATGATCTGGAGGTTGGAGGGTTGATGGCAATTGAGGCATTGCTTTGCATTGAATTGATGGAATCGCAATGGTGGTCGTCACATGACGGGTCTAGGACTAATCAGGTAATATTGCTTTCCATCGACCTGGGATTCTATCCTAGTAGTATCGTCCATTTTTATTCAGAACCTCCATTCCAACCAATTGAGATTGCCAGTACCTACACAGACGGTGCTTGTTTGAGATAAGGAAGACGGTTCAGCTAAGTAAACTCCCTTTCCCCCGAACCACTGTTATGTTTATATTCTGGCCATCTGCACTCGTTAACTAAAGTTCGAGATTTGAAATAACTACGGGCTTCGCTGTGCATGAAGCATCGGAGATGATGGCCAGACCACAATCATTTGCATTTCTTGATCTGCCGAGTCAATGAATTCAACCACGCCCATAAAGCAGCGTCCTGGTCTTGACCGACGTTCCTTGGAATCGAATCAAGGGACCTGGTTCGCCTTGGAAGTAGGTAGGTGATGCGACGCGGTTGACGCGGAGGTAATGTTTCAAGACCTTCATGACACGTATGTCCTCTAGCTCGAATAATCACGACATCCCGGTCGACGCTCTCAAGCAAGGCCTCAAGTGCAGCTCTACAACAGTTGCGTCCGAAGAATGTTCGGTGCACGGGATATTCACACGGCATAAGCAGGCGCAAGGTTTCTGCTATCGAATTGCCTTTGGCTATCATCATGTCGGAAGAGAGCTCCGATAGACTCAAAGCAAAATCACCATTTATCGAAAGTTAAAAGTTCTAGCCGTGTTGATATTATCTGGTTCAACTTCTAGCCCAGTTCTTAGTATGGCGTCGAAACAACCCAGCGATGCGCAGGTAGGGTATCTCAGAAGGAGAAATGTCCCTTGCCCCTGCGAGGGATTGCCTTCGCGTGAGTCGCGACCATTGGCCTGTGAAGGTTTCAGATTAGCCGTCGAGATCGGTGGTAGAAAGCACAGGACCACCAGGGATGCCGGCGGTAGGGCAGCTTCAACGCTCAGACCCATCCCTCGTTTCTTGTGTTTATTCCGGAAACGACGTGACCCAAGATAAAACAAAAATAATGAAAGGCAGAAAGGCAAGAAAAAAAAACATATTAATAATAGACTGACGGATAACTGCGGTAGCTAACCTTCCTTCTGGCCAGGAACAGCCCTTCGACCGAATGAGGACCGAAGAATCAATAGTTACCTCGACGCCAAACCCGTTCCAGACGAGATGGAAGGCTAGCTATGGAGCTTGCTCAGCTAGAGCCACGGCTAGCGATAGGAAGCTAAGGAAAGACACGGTGGATAACCCGGAATGCCGCGGTTCCTCTCCACGGGGAGTACACAAAGATCTTCCTGTGTGGCTGTGTACGCGCATGGTAAGGTGAACGGTGACTTTGGGTCAATCTGCAAGGGGTTGAGTCGATCATAGATCATCATCCTACTGCACAATGTGTCGGAGCAATTCCAAGAAGAGGACGAGAACTATGAAGCATTGGAGCTACCGAGCTACACAGAAAAAAACAAAACCAAAACGACGTGTGGAGGAGGACGGAGTCTAGTCGCGGTCTCCCGGCGAACTGACATGGCGACGGACTCGATGGACCAGTTGGACCAGGGGCTGGAGCGGGTCCTGTTCACTTGCAAAGAGCAAAGACCAAATAATAAAAATGAAGAGATTGAGTAGGACCAGGGGGGAAAGTGAAACAACTACAAGAGTCCCCTCTGCCTGCCACCCAGAAAGTGGACCATGCAGGTCGCACCGAGGAATTTGGGCTGACAGATCTCGCGATTCTGATGGGCGCGACTGCATGATTGATTGGCACTGCTTGCAGGTCGATTCATCCTGATTTCCTCCGTCCCTATTAATATTAACTAACATGAATTGGTGGTATTTGGCGTCAGCACCGTCGACTACTCCGTAAATACTAGGGAATGCCGGCGTGGGGAGATCTGGCTTCTAGAAACACGCAGTCGGCAGGTAAATTGCGAAATTAATTTTTAGTATTTAATATAAAATATTTAGATATTAATCTGAAAGACTGGAGAGCGGCCGACTCCATGACAATAATAATAAAAAAAAAAGAGTATAAGAATAGCGCAGGGCAACCCCTTTTAGAGCGGCTCCACCGACAACCGCGCGCCTCCGACTCTCCCAGTAGTCGGAGTAGTCAGTACCTACTACCTAGTCTCTCCCATCATGAACTAACCGTCTACAACTCACGGCTGCATCTTTCGCCAGCACCCACAAATAACTGTCCATCCCTATCCTATCGTTATCTTCCCACTCCAGACTACCGGGCACTTACGGACAACGTATTCCTGGTCGGCCCACGCTCGTTTGGCACTCTGCAGCCACCCAACTGCCCATCCCATACCCAGCCTTTCATTTGATTGTGTGATCTATCATTTCCGTTCCCTCTTCATCCTCTCTCTACATCACTTTCCCGTCCGTTCATTCTCTTTTAATTCTACCTCCCTCGGACCAAACTTTCTCTCTGCATTTCGCTCTTCCATTCTTTCTGCGCCTGAAATCTCCTCTTCGTTGTCGCATCCTTTCACTAGCCATTCGACTATATCGACAACGCATCGCCCCCCCCCTCCCGTGCGTTTGCGACTTCGCGTCCCCCAGCATGCTTACTTTCCAGCGGTACTCTCTCTTTCCCATGTCTGATACCGCTGCTCGACCTCCGTCTCGAAAAACGCGTTATTGATCACACCATTGTCCTCCCTCTCCTGTGAGCTTATCTGTTCTCCTGGAAGGTGGCCGTTCGCATGTCCGAGATGGCCACCAGTCGCGTCAGCCCCGTTCGGCCGCCCGTTCGCCTGACCCCCACGGACGCTCCAGCGCATCCCAATCCACGCACGCCCTCTCCAAACCGACGCGCCATTCCGAATTATCAAACGACCGATCCTCTACTTCGAAATTTGTCTCCCGAATCCACCCTGAAAGCCCTCTCCTTCACCGACGCCGTCCACACGAACGAACAGGCCGCCCACGACATCCTCTCCAAAAGTATCTCTCAGGTATCTCAAGCGGAACGAGCTCTTGGAATTCGCGCTGCGATCGCGGCGCAGAATCTGAGTCTCTGGTACAAAGAGATCCAGACGTGGGATTGGCCGAAACGCACCGACGTCCATTTGGGAAAGGGGTTCGTTCCCCCCTCACCCCCCGCGTCGACGACTCCACCCGAGCCGGAGTATTATGGCAGCCTGCCCGCCTCTGTCGTAGTACAGCATGAGAAACGGATCGAGGAGATTCGGGATGGAATGGATGGGTTGGACGTCGATGAACTCAAAGAGCATGTGTTAAATGCCCACATTCCATCGCGGTCTCGGCCTTCGTCATCCAATAGCACGATGTCCGTGCCCCCGCCCCTCAGCTACAACCAACTAAGCGATTTCACCGCGGTGATCACCGCCACAATTCTCCGTGCCCTCCCTCTGCTCTCCCGCCTCAACAATCTCCTGTCCACCTGGGACGTTCGATTGTTAGTCCTTCGCCAGGTCTCCGGCTTGCTTCGGAGCTTGTCCCTTGCCCGCTCGGAATTGGATGCCGCTCTGGCGTTGCTCAAATCACCAGACATCCCGTCTGAAACCGATGCTCTGTATTCCAGGACCAACTACCATGCCAAGCGCGCCCAATTGGAGGCCACCGTTCTCTCGGCCGGCCGTAGAATGGATCGTATGCTCGATGCGCTGGAGGGCCGCGAGGATTCCCTCCCTGAAGACTGGATCGACGATCTGGAAGCCATCGAGTCGGGTTTCGGCTCTTGGGTCATGGAAGCTGAGCAACGCACCGTCGCAAACGAATGGCAACGCATGATGAACGCTAAGAAGGAAGAGGCGCAAGCTACATCTCACGGTTCTACTCCGGAGTCCGTCGTCAGCCAACCCGAGCCTATCTGTACAGCTGCACGTTCCCTGCCGATGGAGACCATTCAGGAGGAGCCCGGCAGTCCCCTTGATTCCGTATCTTCCGCCAACAAAGACGACCGGTTTCCTTCCATGTCTCAAATTGACGAAGTCCTCCCAGCTACTTCTGATGCTCACGAAACCGTACCAATGGTCCGTGAAGATTCTCCTCTCGACTCAGAGCCTGTCGGCAATCCAGCAGAGGAAGATCAAGTGGTCAGCTCTACAACTACACCGGAAGAGCCTACCGATAAGATACTTGGCAATGACCCGCCAACACCCACCGTACAGAAGCAGACCGAGGAAGCTGCTGTTGATGGGGGACTACTGGAAGAAAGCTCACGTGCCCCTGAAATGACAGAACTACCTCCTTTGAAAGAAGAGGTTTCGCCAGCTCCCCAGGACGTGCGCGTGGAAGAAAACGTATCTCAGAATATTGTCGACCAGAGAGAGTCTTCTGTTCCGGAGAGTAGTACTGTTCAGACAGAACAATCGCAGGCTCCATGTGATGATTCAAGCCCATCGTCACTTCCCGGACCCCATCAACCATCGGAAACCTCGGCGATGCAGGAGAAGGATGAAGTGATCGCCATTCCGGACCCTTCCTCGGTGGCTGATGATCTGCCTACTCCAAACCAAGGGCCAGAACTGGTCCCAGCTGGTACCTCGGAAAACCCCAACAACTCCGCAAACCCTAGCGATCATCTCGATCGACCATCTACCTCTCCAGTCGAACGCGAAGAAATCGCTTCCCCCAGCGCCCCAACTCCGCGTTCTGCCTCCCGGACTCCCGAATCGGTGGTTATCAGGCGTGCTCCCCCGGCCTTGTCTCAATCTGCCAGCCCTCTGTCGATGTCTCACAAGCCCACCGCATTGCCTGACAACGACCAACATATCGCGACCCGTGAATCCGAAGACCGCTCACCTAAACAACCTTTGGAGAGCCCGATCAAACTCTCCAAGACTCGACCCGGACGCTTAGAGCTTGACAAAGACATAGCGCAACCTTCTGGTCGACGAGAGTCTAATGTTTCTGCCGGGTCCTTCTCCGAGACAGATTACCCGTCTCTCATTTCTAGTCCCGAGATTCGTGAACCAAGAACTGGCTCGTCTAACGGAACACCTCGCTACCTCGAGACCCCTCCTCAGTTTCAGCCTCAGTACCGCGCACCCGGCCCCATGCCTTCCAACAATGAACACACTCTGCGGGAAGACCGTCTCTTTCGCTTGGCCAGCGCGAAGGCATCTCCACGCTTGGCCGTTAATCACAACCGCAATCTAAGTCTCCCCTTGCAGCGGTTTATCAACGAGAGACTAGAATTGGACTTTGAGAACGAGCCTACAGTCGAGGTCGATGATACGGCTCCTACTCCAAGAACTGCGAGCCCACCTGTCGATGCCACCCCCAGAAATGATCGGCGAGCAGCGCCAGGACGTTCGCGCAGTGATAGATGGTCCGCACCCGGAAAAAACGCACGCCAGGCTTCTGGCCAGCAGCCTGCAAATCCTCGCGAAGGAAGCTCTACGCCAGAACCGACTGCACCTATCGGAAGGGTTCTCAAGACCCGAGAACAGAACAAGAAGTCTTTCGTAAAAAGCTCGAACCAAAAGGTTCTGGGAACAGAGCCTGCCGCACACCAGACGACGACTCGGTTGCGGAAGCAGTTGACTGCGCATCCCAGTCTTGAAAGCATCGGAGCTTACAAGTCGAAACCCCTTGAAAAGGCCTCCGCGAGCTCCAAACCAGGATCTCGATCTTCTACTCCAACCAGCCAATCAAGGAAACCTAAGGATCACTTGGATGAGAAAATCAGCTCCATTCTCACTAACCTTCCAACGCGAATTCATCTCATGTCAGCCGAGGAGCGTGAGTCCGATGATGCTGATGTGATGTCGTCTTTGCCTATGAAAGCCAGAGAGCGTTTTCGTTCCGTGTCCCCGCAAGGCACGGCCTCGCGCAGTGGCACGCCCACACCGTCTCTAACCCTAACGCCCGCGCCTTCTCGCAGAAGATACTCTCATGCACATGCTCCGGAGGAAAGCTCTGTGAAGCTATACCATTTGCATCGAGGCGGGAAATCTGCCCCGACCAAACTCTTTGTTCGCTCTGTCGGAGAACACGGAGAGCGGGTGATGGTACGAGTCGGGGGTGGTTGGGCTGATCTGGCTGAGTACCTGAGAGAATATGCTGTGCACCATGGACGCCGACACGTTTCCGAAACGCCACTCGTTGAGGTCCAGGGCCTCTCGTCTCGTGAATCCACGCCAAGTTACTCGCCGCCCGGAAGCCGATTAACACCGGCTGCCAATGGCCGAACCACCCCGTCTCGACCGCGGTCTGTCATGAGCAATAGACCGTCCTCGTCTTTGGCGGTCCGCAAAACACGACGGGCTTCGAATGTCTCAGATATGACCGACTTCAGGGGAGGCGCTGGTGACGCTCTGAACGTCTCGGTCTCCCCCAAGTCCATGGTCTCCTCTCGCAGACGACTGTCGGCATCCTCAAACGCCTCTTTTGGCGCGACGTCCTCTGTGAGTGAGATACGTCACGGGTCATCTCCTTCCACCACCATTGGTGGTAGCTCTCACTCTATCCCGCTTGGTCTCGCGGGGCCTAAACCTCGATCTAGACACGTCTCCATGACGCCGGAGAGTGAGGCATGGGTGGAGGATGTTCTCGGACAGGCCCGGCGAAGCTCGTCCTTGCGGCCCTTCACATATGGTCTACCGCCCCAAGAACAAGAACAACCGGTCCCCAAACCCTTATCTTTACCCAAATCCAGAAGCATCAGTGACCTTGGAACAGCCGGTTCTAGTAAGCGGATTGCTCTCCGTGGTCTCGGAAATCGGTGATAGACGAACTGTCTATCATTCCGTTACTCCTTATCTGCCGTTCCATATTTTCTTCAATTTTCTTTCTTCTGTGTTCAATTTGCCATCTTTTTTTGTTATTTGCATTGGCGTTCTGCCGTTCATCTCGGGGTTCTTGGTTTGGTCCATTCGAGTCAGATATCAAAAGCGTTGGCACATTTCCATCTTGCATACGGGTCTGGTCATCTTTTGCACTTACAGGGAGTTACTCTTTTGTCTCATCATTCCGGCTACTCTACACCGGCTTTTCATCCTCTTCCTGCTCTCTCCCAGCGCACATTAGCGAGCATTTTTATTCCCTCGGATTCCTTTCATATTTTACATTCTTCGTTTGCATATATTCATTCTCCTGTGGGCATTTTGTGCTTAATCTTTCTCCTCCCTCCCATTTGCATGCAGATACTAGTTAGATACCCTTCATCTAAGGTTTTTTTTTTTTTTTTCTTTTAAGGCTGTTGGCTCTTGTGTTTTGTTATGTTAGGTTGTCTGTCTGGGTCCCTCTTCTTTCCTCTTCCGTTTTCTGCACTGGCATTGATATCATTGACATCATTCATCCATACACTCTCGACCACCTTTCAGAGAGAAGACACTGCGCATACATACAACATATACACACACATAGAACCTAGCCGTTCTTGAATAAATTGATAAAAATGAAAAATTTCAAAATCATTTTTCATAAAGCATAGTGAAGCGAAATAATCCTTTGTTTTGGTAGTAAGAAGGAAAAGAGGAAGGAAAAGAAGATGAACAAGAAGAGGAAAAAGCAAGATAACTATCGAATACCATCCTACCCTCCAAGATACCTGATATTTAATCCAACCTTAGGTATGTACATGCTTTGGATTTTAAACGAGAGAAAAAAAAAAGCAAACCTGGTTCGACGCAATTGTTGAAAACGACATAAGGTTATTGAAATAGTAACGAAACAAGGATAGAGATGATCCTGAACGCTAGCAGTAGTGGAAAGAAAGATACATGTTGCGAGATAAAGTAGATGAAATCAAGAAGACAACCAATTCAGCTGTTTAACAGTCCTCTGCACCAAAGAGCCAAATTAGGCTCCAGGGGACGATTGCCTTGTCTGAGCAATGGACATCTACCAACGAGTCACCTTAACAGTCAAGACAATACCAGCGGTCTCACAGGCATGTAGCAATAGATTGAGTGAGTACTCATCAGTGATCGCAGGGTAGGAATAGAGCTGGATTCTTTCAAGCTGATGAAAAGGAGGACAAGAAGAAGTCTGCTGCCGCACCAGTCCCAAAAGCTCCAGCAGCAGACCGGGAAAATCATCCTTCACAATATCTCTAATCCCCAAGCTTCGGATCGTGGTAGGAAGTATGTCACATAGCTGCTGCTGGTCTCTGACTCCAAGTGTTGCGGAAGAGGGTGATGGTGATGGTGATGGTCTCAAGAGATGGGCATGTCGTATTGCAAGATCCTCAAGGACTGTAAATTCTTTCAACGATACCATTGGTCCGCTGGAATCGATCATCTCTCGTGCGGCACTGTTCATATCTATAGCGCCCACGTGAAGTGTCCGGAGAGTTGTTTGGGATGGTAGTAGCGCTTGTCGGAGTTCTGGGGCGCTGAAGGTATACGGGTCGTCTGGGTACCACTCGCCTCCGGACCGAACGAGTAGGATATCCACGTGCTCCAGCTGTGTGCATGCTTTGAGCCAGCCAAGGATGTCACGGTTACGATGACATGTCTGGAGTACAATCTTGCGAACTGGACGGGAAGAGTGGTTCACGGGCAGAAGAAGTGTCTCCAGTATCGACTTCCTGTATGTCGCGTCGATCTCCAACCCGCACACAGTGTGGTGGTAACGCATCCACCTGTAATGCACCCCTTCAATGATGCGCACGGCCGGGAAATAAAAGAAGGGCAGGATGAAACGGGAACCGATAGCTGGCTCCATAAGCCCAGGACTCGCTCGAATGTTTCGCAGACAAGGAAAGGGAGGTGCCTCGTGAAAGGGACGCTGTCGGTGCGCCGCCTTGCGAAGAATATCCGGCACTAAGCCTTCTGTGTATAGAGAAACGATCTCGAGGGTTTGCAGATGCGTCAGGCGAACGAGCAGGAGCCCCTTCCAAGCTTCTTCGCATCGTCTTTGTAGATGAATTCGCCATTTCGATCGGCATGCTTGTTCCTCGGGCTCGAAGATCTCGTCGAGCACGCGGTCAACAAATCCATTGAATTCGTCCCCAAGTCGGTTGTTGTTCTCGAACCTTATCTCAGAACAGTTCCATGAGAGAAAATAGCGGCGGACTTGGCTAGCGAGATCTGGTTGTTGCCAGATTTGAATGATCATAGAGATATAACTGAGGGAAATTTCCGACGGAGGAGCGGCGTTGAAGGGAGGAGGAAAACAGAAAAGGCAGGAACACGGCGCGAAGTTTCTTGGAGCACAAAGTCAGGGCACGGAAGTCGTCGAATTCAGCATAGTCGCCGATGGATATAAGCAGTTCATTTGGTAGAGACTCCATGTTGTGGGGTTTGAATCGTTGCACCTTTGCTGGCTGGCTGTGATAAACGATGAGTTCGATGTAGGTAGAAACTGTGAAGGTAGACAGACAGACCAGGCAGCCGTGCCCTGGAGTCGAATATTCACTCTTTGGAACTCGATGACCACATGGTTACCTTGACCCCCCCAAAAGAAAGACAAAGTAAAATTCGTGTCATAAGATCATAAGGATTGAAATGGCATAATTCGGTCAGAACAAGGAATTTCAATTGACAAAAGCAGCAGAATCAACCACGCTAAAAGAACGCCAATCCATCCATTCCCAGATTGATAAAATGTCGCACATACATACAAAGACCAGTGAAAGTCGGGCAGACAACCTCCCGGGAGCCTTAAGATGAGAGACAAACGCATGAACATGAAGTATAGGGACATCGTGTTCGTTCTAATCGACAGCGCAAAGGAAGCAGGAAAAGAAACAATTTACGACGGGTTTGCATCTCGTTCCGCCTGACGCTGCTCTGGCTCCGCGTGCTCTTTCCAGTAGATGGTCTTGTTGAATAGGTCTCTCAATTCCGGGGAAATGATTTTAGGCTGCTCCGTGCTGGAAGATCCCTGGGATGATGGGGGCGGCAGGGAGTTGCGACCGGCATTTACGCCGCTGCTGAACCCAGCGTTTGTAGAGTTCTGAGGGACTTTGCCCTTATTGGGGTCTGTGGAATCCTGAATAGGACGTCTTTGATGCGCGGCGGGAGCGGGGAAATTGTTCTTCTTGTCTATGGCTTGGACGGCGCGGTCGAAGCGATGGAAGAGAGATTCAGCACGGGTGAGGATTGGAAGAAGGTCCATGGTGTTGGACAGTTCGTTGACTTTCGCAAAGGTTAGCACATACAGCCAGTCTGAGTGATATCACGGGAGGCTTACTGTATTTGAGAACCTCATCAAAGTGCTTGAGGTGGTCCATAATCACGTCCCGGTGCTTCTCTAGGATTGCAAGGGCAATGAAGAGATGGAAATTGCTAGTTAGGTAGTCGGTCCAGAGAGCTTCCCAGAGACGAAGAACGTCGGCCCACTCGAATTCACGCTTGTACCAAACTAAGAGCATCCGGAAGAAGAAGAAAAAGTTGGTACTATCGGCAGACTGCAAGTGGAGGTAGAGCTGAGGATCCAGCAGTTGTAAGAGATTATCGAGGGTGAGAAGTTGCACGCGCATGCCCGACTGGTCGCGCAGGAAATTTCGCTCCTAGGAGGGAGTTAGCATTGTCAACCCCAGTGTAAGTGCTGGCGAGTATTTACCATTCGATCCATGAATCCAACAAAAGCCCAGAATGCAACTGCATCGTCTTGCATGACAGCGTAGATCGGGGCTAGCAGGTCGCTCATCCCTTGCACATAACCTAAATCGGGGTTGTACTCATTGTATGTCAAGAGCATGTCCTTCATTTGCTCGAGATGCACGTTGGTGCCAGTATCGGCAAACGGCGAGTCCGGATCAGGATGGGGAATATCCTCTCCTGCGAATAGAGGGATCGTGCGATCCGTACGATGAACATCTTTCTCTGTAGGAGTTCAGGTTGAATTAGCCAACAGCCGAGAGGCGACGCACAAAAATCAGTGAAGCTTACCTATGCGGTTTCTCTGTTCTTTCCACCACTCGTATTCCTCCGGCTTAGAAGACCCTTCGATCATCTTCTCCCACCAAGCGCCTTTTAACCGGATGTATTCATCCCGTTTCGAGTTCATCAGCGCCTGGCGATCCTCACGAGAGCTGTCCCATGGGTAGACTCCCAGCAGGAACAGCCACGCTTCTTTTCTGACGCCGTCGTTTGGATCCAGACCGCCATGGAAAATCCTCTCTTTCACTTCCTCGACGGTGATCTGCAGCCTGCCTGTGCTAGGATCAAAGAAGCCTTCCCACTCTTTAAGCTCCAATACCTTGCGTCGCTCCTGGATGGACATAGTCCCGGTCTCCAACTCCAAGATTTCAAAGTCTCCGACCGAGCTATTTTCCATCTCGAGCACATCTCGAGCCGTCCATATCCGCTGATTCTTTTCTTTCTCGCTCTGCTCCGAGATGCTCATTGCCCATCGGGCCAAGTATAGCCGAGCACTATCGAATTCGTCCTGCAAAGTTTGAATTTCGGGCGACCTCATCAACCGGCGCATCTGAGGGGGCAGACGTGGACTGTCGGCAATCTCGTTCGCCGTCCGTCTCGTAAACGTCGTGATTTTGCTGAATCCTTCAAGGACTTTCCATCCGGTTTCCTTCAGTGCCTTGGTGACTGGGTCCATGCCCGCATCCCGTTGTCTGCTTCCCTGTTGGGTCGAGCTCTCCGCACGCTGCATTTCTCGCCCATCGGCGGACAATGGGCGACCGAAGGACATCTGATCTTCATCGGACGGGTTAATGAGATAGATACTGTGATCGACGGCGGAGCGTTGGACCTCGGCATAGTTCCGTAGCCACCTCAAGACCTCATCGCCACCCCAGAACACATTGCCATCCTCTCCAAAGGGATCAAATGTCTCCTGTGTTCTTCTCTTCTTCTGTAGTATCGTCGACTCGCACTCCGAGTCATGAAAAAATAGGGCGGGGAAGCTATCGCCGGCTCGGGTGTTGATCACCAGACTTCCAAACCACCATCCCAGGCTAGGTGGCCGCACAAGCAAGGAGTATATCTCGGACAGGGGCACAGCAAATGCGTAGAGACCGATGGGGTCGCGGTATGAAGTTGTCGCGGGTAGCGGGGGTACGAGATACTTCTGCTTCGGAGCAGAGGTATCGTCGGCAAGGTCCACCTTGACGTAGGTTTCGTAGGCGTCGCCGAGAGAGGATTCAGGGACCCAGGCGAGAAGATAGGAAGAGTTGGCGCCATTTTTCGATGAGGCAGTAGAGGCGGTGGTGTTCGATACGGCCGGCTTTTGCTGGATGAGAGCAATGAAACCAGGGATGTTATCTCTGGAGGAAGGGGTGGGGTGAACGTAGACCTGCGGAAGCGCAAATGAGTCAGATTAATAGTAATTTAAATAGAAAGACGATATCACTCACTTTGCTCTTGGAGAACAAGAGTTTCACACCGCTTCGAGAGGCGGCATGTGAGATGGTGTTGTAGTCGTTCTCTTCAGCGTCGCTGACGTCGTAGAAGGACGCAGTTGGCGACGGAGGCGACGGTGGAGGCGTGAACCTCACGCCGGACCCTGCCATTCTTTCTTTTTGTGATGAACGGAAGAAGTATAGAAAGGAATTCAGTCAACCCAGCTGACGTTGTTCATTCTTCCGGGCAGGCAGGAAGATTTAAGGAAGACGAAGGCGAGGATCACGACGTAATCGAGGGGCCCACCTGATCGCCGAACATGTGATCTCCGATCGCGATAACAGAAATGACGCTCAACACGATTCTCAACGGTTGCCACAACTCTTTCTGATCACTTTTATGATACGATCCAGGTCGATTGTGGAAGGAACTTTCTGAACCCAGGTGAGATTGCGAGAATATCTCTCACAGGCGGAGTCCTCCATTGCCACCGGCGAGAACGACGAACAGGCAACAACGATACGACCTACTAAATTCTTGATCATAAGTCAAAGCTTCTGGAGCTTCCCGTCACGTCTTGTTCTAGTGATCATGGTCTAATATCTTATGTTTCTAGAAAACGGCTAACTTGTGCTGTAATTGTATGAGAGCCTAGAAAACTAAGCAATGTTCCACGCCGTTTCTAGAAGCCAGACACTGCATTTATAGCTTTATTTCTGATCTATGATTGATCCCTTGAGAACTGCCCCTCTCTTTCATGATTTGAAACATGATTTTGCTCCAAACACCTGATTAATAAACCTATCGGCTTGACTGGGCTCGGGGTTACATTGTGGTCGCCTATCAAGGCTCTGGTGCATACTTCCTGCTGCATCACACCCCCTTTGACACATCATCTTTCCACTCATTCGCCAGAACTCCAAAATATTAGATAAACCACCAACTCTCCTCGTGGGATCTGATAGCCTGTTCAGGCAAATATTCGCCTATCCAATGGGGGTGATGATAGTAATCCGATCGCCATGAGGGTTGAAAGTTGCTCGCTCTTCATATAGGGCTCGACTTGCTTCTGCTGCATCTAGATAGACTAGAACAACACTCTATCATCTTCAAACAAATAGTATAAAACTGCCCACCATGACGGATCTTGCTCGTACTCTGCCAGCATCCTGGTACCGCAGTCCTCCGCTCTATCAACTGGAGCGCAGAGCTGTCTTCTTGAAGGTACGCTCCTAGTTTCTCACGGAAGGGGACAAGGGAAAGACAGAGAGAAACAGTTATCTCACGTCTGCAGTCCTGGTATCTGCTTGGACCGGTAACTCGATTCCAAACTGTCGGAGAACAGGTCGAGTACGAAGTAGCTCAGCAGCCAATATTGGCCTCTCGCATCTCGGGCGATGCTCTTTTCCCCGAAGCAGATGAGATTCAGGTCGTTTGCGCGAAAACCGTAAGTGTTCTTTGATGCAAGTAAGGATTGATAACATGGGATCCATCGGACATGATTCCACCCGCAGCTCCATCTTGTATTTCGAATCAAGCCTGATGCTAGACCAGGAAAGGCCCCTACGCTGCCATGTCACACCCACGGGTCTTGTATTTGCGACCTTATCAGACGAAGCGCCGAGCTTCCACGAATATTTCCCCGAGCTGGAGCCCCTACTACAGAAAGTGGACTTCACGCAACGGCCCTACCGCCGCAGCATCAAATATGAAGGACACTTCAACTGGAAGACGATGTATACGCCTCTCTTCACTGTCACAAAGAAGACATTCTGACACAATTTGCGCTCATAGGGTCGATGGCTACCAAGAATGCCTGCATTGCCAATACACGCATCCATCATTCTCCATCTATTATCCACCCACATTCTACACAGTCCACAACCACCAGAACTTCTCGCAGCATATCGCAGACCCAAAGAAACCTGATGACGGGCTCTTCCTCTACTTCTTTCCAAACTGCACCCTGAATGTATACGGAGGAGGCATGTCCTCGTTCCGGGTGTGTCCGACGGAAGATCCAAACGTCACCAGGATGGAGTTCGATTATTACCACGTAGAATCCGGGGATAAGTTCGAGGACTATTTCAAGTTCGTTCGACAGGTAGCCATGGAGGATTATGAGCTCTGCGAGAGAGCGCAACATAACCTCGAGAAGGGGGTGTATAGCGAGGGCATCTTGAATCCGGAGAAAGAGAACGGTGTTTCCTGTGAGTATGGTCAGTTTCTGATGTTATATTCTCACGGCTAATGGGTTGAAGTCTATCAAGATCGGGTCTTCGAGTTAGTATGTCAGCAACATGCTTCGGATAGGCTGCGAGAAGAGTCGTCAGAACCCAATGGTGAGGGTCAAGTTAGAAGGCTAGAGCACGTCGAAGCTGTGGCATGAATGTAGTTCGCGTTGCGTCAGAACTTAGTCTTTATAGTAATGATGTTATCTGCAAAGAAGAGAGGAAGACCCAAAGCCTCTTAAGTCGTAGTAGCCCACACACGCAGACTTCTTTGCCCGCAGGAATACCAGCTGTCACTTCACAGACGCAAAAGAATCAGATCAAAACCAAACTAAGCAATGCAACATATCTGATGTGACACGAAGCCTTGAATGACACACAGACGCTGGAATTCCCCTCCCGATCCGGCAACGTTACGAGACGTCCATATCATTTGACACGAGGGCCGCAAGTCAGTGGATCCCAGTACAACGTACATACATGCAGACTGGCGGAGATAATGCATGAGACATTGATCACGCCTGCAATCGTTCAAGGTTTCCCTTATAAGTCTCGACCGTTTCCGTTTCCCCCCAAACCCGAGCTAGACGATCATCTCCACTTCCATTTCCCCGAGCTCTAAACATGGACATCCTGACTTCTGTGGTCCCCGTAGCACCATCAGTGCTGGTTGCGTTTCTCGCAGGGTTCATTTTCCTGTATCGGGCCTGGCCATATTTGTTGATTCGGGACAAGCGGCCATTATACGCCGGCAATGGTTTGAAACCCAATGATGCATCCGCAGCCGCAGTCGCAGCCGCAGCCATCACGGAGAACCAGGAGGAGGCCAACGTCGTCTCCAAAGAGCCGGAATTTCCTGCCGATTGGTTGGTAGGGAAAGAAACCTACGAGCTCGAAAGACGCGCAATATTCAGCAAAGTAAGAAAGCTTAATTTCCTGCCAGTACCCAACTCCAGTACGTGCTGCTTACCCCCCTAGACATGGATATGCCTGGCTCATCGCAGCCGATTCGCCAAACCAGGAGACTACCAGTCCTTCCAGGTAGCCGGGTTCCCCATCTTCTTGGTACAAGGGAAAGACGGACAAGTCCGGGCATTTCACAATGTCTGTCGCCATCGCGCATACACGGTCATCGAGAAGGAGTGCGGGTCATCGCCGGTCCTTTTATGTCGATATCATGGGTGGAGTTACAATACGTTCGGGAACCTCATCAAGGCGCCTCACTTTGACCACGTGCCTGGGTTTCAGAGATCGCAGAATAGTCTCTTCGAGATACATACCGTTACGAGCGACGATGGATTCTTGTTTCTGAAGTTCGATGCTAGTCAGACGGTGTCTCCGCCAGAGACTGATGCTTTGGATGCGTTTGTGCAGAGTAATGGCCTTCAGACACGGGCTGGTTGGGTGACAGGACAGACGATTGAGGGCGCTTTCAATTGGAAAATGGGCAGTGAGTGTTCTTTGATACTCTCTTGTTCGTTCACATGTAGCCTACTAATGTCAACCAGTAACATCCAGGGAATTCCTGAATGCTGACCACCTAGGGCGCGAGCTCCGAGAGCAAAGCGCCCTACCACTAATGGCGAGTATAGCGCGATATTTCCATAAGAGATCAGGTCATCACATGGTTTTACCAATAACTTCGATCCACACCATCCCAGGCACGGGATTCTGGTATTCCCTCGTCTTTCTTCCGATTTCAGAATCGCGGACAGCCATTCGATATGACCTGTATTGCAACAAGGCAACACCTAATTCTTATGCAATTTCAGATGTCATCGTGCGTTTGTTGACCGAGAAGGCTCGAGAGTTAGAGGCGCAATATCAGTCTCACATCTCTGAAAAAGGGTGAGTTGCTTCCTGCTCCGGAAATGGGTTCATAACGGAAGTCAGATAGCAAGAATGAATGACCAAGAAAATAACGAGATCGACACCATTTAGTGACCCTGCCTCCACGGATCCCCGTTTGAACCCAGGTATTTCCTCAAATATCTCAAGCATAATAGTCGAATAAATCATGACAAGTTGAGCAGAGATCCAAGAACGTATCCTCAACCTCCTGAAATTACACAGTAGGCTGGAGAAATCTCAAAACGCCGAAATATACCCGGCTATTCGAAAACCCAGAGAGAACTTGAAGTTCCAACAGGCAGAGCAGCGTAAGTAGTTTCCAGATTTCTTCTTTGACTCAAAGGTGCATGCTTGACACTCATGTATGGTGTTTACAGTGTGCAAAGAACTCGACTGTCAGAGCGATTTGAGCCGGAAAGATCTGTCCTGGTAAACAGACAACATGGTCCGGACCGACGTGAGGATCGAAAGAATGATCCTAGACATCAAATCATTGATAACTTAATGCCCGAAGGTTTGTTCCATGTGGTTTGCGTTCCCAGACCAGAAGAGAAAAAAGGCGACAAAAGCCCGACCCTTGCTGTCTTGGCGTGTTTCTGAAATCTGGTCAATTCGTCCAGTCCTCCGAGTACCGAATTAATTTAAGAATTGTCCACATGGCATCCCCTATAAATATACAAGCTTGATTTTCCGTTGTAGAGTCTTGACTTACATTCATTTTCCAATCCGATCAAGTGCGAGACCTGAATCAACCTCCCCTTAGCAGTCGAGCGTTGGGCGTTGACTGAATCGTGTAAACCTTCCTCTTTCTCGCATCCCCACCGCGAATTAGTGAGATCGGCAACCCCAGCTGAAGATCCACCGTTGAACTTTCAACTTTCAACATCTCGACACGCACCGTGGCCAGTCTGTCATCTTTCTTGATCCCTTGATCTGGGACTGAATCACTTAACTTTCCGAGTCCACCGTTGCTGTCCTTTGACCAAATTTCCTTGGGAGATCCCTCGGATCAGTCAACTCGTACCACAGGGGTACAATCCATCCTCGCGTTCGTATTTATTTGCTTTTGGGGTCAAAAACAGGATCGACGCTGATCGTTCACGCCAGAGACCAAGAAACGATTAAATTGCCAACTGCTGGCCCCAAATCCCACGTGGTCTCATTTGGATTCCATGATGGCGTTGCCCCCGGTTGTCAAGGCTTCGTTGCAGTCTACGCTGATCAATGCCGGATCAAATATCCTGGCCCAGGGTATCCAAGCCCACCAGAACGAGGTAAGTGGATTGATGAGCCAGGGTGAGATGGAGATAATGGCAGGACCAACTACCAAGTCGGGAAAGAGAAGAGCTAACCAACATCACTGTTGGTCTCAACTTGATTGCCCACGTACTACCTTATCGATCTGAGCGTCTTGGCTGACGAATCACCATGCCAATCGGCATCGCCGTGCATGGAGCATATGCAGATAATATCTGTAATACTCCGGCACGGAGATGTCGGGGAGCTTCCCTTCTCACAGAAACCCTTTGAGCTGGACCGGCAAGCCCTGTGGCTGTTCACCACGTGTGCCTTATTGATGTCACCCTTGACCTTCCTGTGGCTAGAAGGTCTAGAATCCGCTCTCCCCGGTTCATACGAGGAGAAGCCAGCCCCCAAGTCCAAGACGGAAAAGGACAAGGAGCAGAAACCCCGGTCGAGACTAAATGTAAAAAACATCATAGCCAAGGTCGTGATTGACCAAACGATTGGCGGTGCCTACAACACATTCCTTCTCATTGCCCTCATGGGTTACTTGCGTGGTGAGGATTACGGCACCATCATGGAGCAAGTGAAAAATGTAGGTGCCACCCCCTGTTGGGTTCAGGATTGAGCAATCGTTGATATTTTGGTGTTAGGATTTCTGGCCCCTTCTGCTTGCAGGAATGAAACTCTGGACATTTGTCTCAGTGCTGAACTTCACTGTGGTGCCTACAGATAAGCGAATGCTTTCTGGATGCCTCTTTAGCGTGGTCTGGGCCATTTATCTAAGTTTGCGCTCTGGGTAGCTGTCTGCTGGGGTCAGCCAGACTTCTGGGATGGCACTCGGCGGATGTCTGGCTGGAGTTGCGATTCTGTGACCGACGAGCATTCGACGCGAGCCATCGTTTAGGGCGGTTCATATGGATATTGGAAGCCTTAGCGCATGAGCGATCAAGCTATTGGTGGTTTGCTGTTCTGTTGGTCTGTCGGAACAATAGGGGCAAACACGCGGACATGAAACCGAGGGGCCAAAAAGAGAAAAGCGAGAGGTGATGACGAAGAGACTGGATCCAGGAACAAACTTCAGCAGGTAGTCAGCGAGGTCAGCACAGGAGAGTCAATGATATCATGCTTGGTTGTTTCCAAACTACTGTAGTTTTTCTTTCTCATGCATGGTGAAGGGATGATCATGACTAGATTAGCCAGGTACCTCAGTACGGATAGACATCATGGAGGACCAAAGTCAAAGAAGCCGAAGACAACAACACTGGGTTCATCGGCCGACGACGCGTCCGGTCTTACGCGATGGCCCCCAAATTGCTGGCTTGACTGGTAACGTGCGATCCATCCGGAGTACACAGTAATAATACCTCAGCACAAGTTGTTCGTACTCCACATGGAGCAATTGCGTCGGGATAATTCCACTAACGCAGGGGCTGAAGAGCCCGCCCCGTCAGCTTGTGCCCGATTTTCCATAATCGTCCCAATTAACGATGATTGTTGAGGACAGAGGAGCGCGTCTCCTGTCAGAAACCAGAAGGCAGAAATACGGCAGGTTCGAGCCGGTCGCGGGTGTGCCTGGACGGTGGACACTGGAAGACAGTGAGCAACAACACTAAGCTCATCCGCAGTGGAACCCGGAGCTGGGGCGGTGTTCTACTCCGTACTATGCAGTTGACATTTGAACAACGGCGATAGTCTACCCCCCTTTAAAACTCGAATAAAATGTGCCTCGTAGGGCATTGCCAAAACCTGAGCCTTGCTCAGCGCCTAGATGCAGGTGTTCAATGCGTGCCAAACAAATGCGTCACGCCTAGATGCTGGAGGATTGGCTAGGCCGCGGTGGATAGATGAAGACGGATGGGGTTCTACAGGGATGCCTGCATGCCATCAGTCTTGACGAGGTTACAGTTGTGAACTGACCAAGAAATCAGGTCGTAGTGGGCCTCACTAAATGGAGCCATTAATCACGCGAAGTGATTTCAATGAGGGGAAGTTTGACCGCCAACCCGTCAACCCGTCAACCCGTCAATCATGGCAATCATGGCAATATCGAGGCGCACGAGGCAATGCTTTCACTAACCCAGCCTTTTCCATGAGGGGATCAAGCGATGAAAATCACCGTCGTACGGCGCAGTCGCAATTACAACGGCATCCGTTTTGCAAGCATCAATAGCGAACCTTCATCGGAAGGCCTAAATATAATCACTCCCGGGACTCGGTCTGCGTCTGCGCCGTCTGGTCCTGGCTAGCTACATTGTTAGTCGCTCAGCCCCCAACCTGATTGGTATGGAGGTGCTTTAGCCCCAAGAACTAACAGGCGGACCTGCCCCAAGTTAGTGACCTACCTGCGGGATGCAGAAAGCCTGCTTACTTGACTTATGATTACCATCGTACGAACCGGACCTGCTGCGAGGGATGTCGATCGTCAACCGCTGGATGGCGGAGTATGCAGCGTGAGGTCAACTACTCAGTAGTTCCTCCGTAGTTTCCGGATGGAGGATGACGATGGTATCGAATGATCATAGATGGTTTTTACTGTGTACAATGTTGTGTGAAATTAGTAGATACGAAAGAAGAATGATAAACACGGAAGTTGATGATTCAGGAACGAGGAGGTTGTAGAAGAAAGTCTGCAGAACGCAAGACAGACAAAGGCACGAACGGGGCGATACGGCAGAATACGGCAGAATACAGTGCTGACGACTGACGGTGCATAAGGGCAGGTACGGTATTGATGGTATCGATACGGCCCAGCGTCTTTCCGGCCCCTTCGTTGTCTCTCATCATCCTGTCTTTTCTCTCTTCCTCTTCCTTCCATCTGCCTTCTTCCATCCTTCTGGAGATCCCTTTCCGTCTGACTCGACTCAACTCCGACTTTAATTCTGACGGACCCCTGGATCGCTCGTCCTTGGCTTCAGCCTACTTGCTCTGCCCCCTTGATTTGCTAAATCGGATGACACAATCTCCAATATCCGAACATACCCCATAATTAGCTCCCATGTCTCTCGCTCGCACTCTCCCGGCAGGGATCATGAAGGTATCCCTGGCACGTGGTGGTCAGACACTACGACTAGTCTTTCCAGTTTAATAAATAGTATATGATCGTCGATTCGCCGTCGCACCACTTCTGTGCGCCGTTTTTCTTTGTAAAATTTTGGGCCTTTCCCCCATCGGTTCTTTGTACTGCTCTTCGCCCATCGTGCTGTGTCCCGGATTCATTGGTTAGTTCGACTATAAAAATCGGCACAACCGTCCATTGTTCTCTGAAGACTTGAGCTAACCAATCCCTGTCAGCTGTTTCAGACGGTCTTTGTGCCCTCGCTGTTCTTAGAATATATCTCGGGCGAGGAACAACTTCTTTGAATAGAGCGTCGGCTGTTTCATCCATCCTGCTCTGTTCCAAAATTGTGCGACACCCCATTATAGCAAATGTCTTTCGCCTTGCTCGGCCGACCATCTTTGTAGAAAAGACAGGGAAGCCTTTGAGACTTGGCCTAAGTAAAGCGGTCAATAATAGCAACAAAGAGAACACACCAGGCTGGTCTGGATGATGTGCATTTTGGAAGATATTCAGAGACGCCTTGTCTGATTTCAGTGTCACAGCGACCGTTTCCCCCAATCACGTTCGTCGATCGCATACTTTGACGCCCTTTCACTGGCTACTGTATCTCTGAGTTCGTTATAAACGCGGATAAGGTTCTAGTTAGTGGTCAACTCGAGGGCTAGTTAAGCCCCATCTTTTGGCAAGATGAGGATGTTAGCGTCGCCTCTTGGGTTTTCGTCGGCGAGTTCAAAAAAGACTGAGGCTACCATGGCACCTTCTCAGGGTCGACTCTCGCCTTTTCCCCGCAAGAACAATGCACACTGGTTTGACGAAGAACTTGACGACGAACGACCGATCTCTCCCGCAATGTCCGACCGAAACAAGGCAGGGACTCATTACCTTCGTTTCTTCCCAGAGCTTTCCACTCATTTCACCCTTACATCTCCGGCCAGCGCTACCTCGCAAACGATGCAGTTGCCTCGCACCCAATCTCCGTCGTCACTCTACCCTTCTGAGTCTGCACGACAAACTTCGTCTTCGTTGTCATCGAGCGACCTTCTCGATCATAACTCGTCATGCTATAGTCGTCGATCCTCGGTAACGAGCCATAACTCCGATCCCGGCAAATTTGGCTTTAAATCCGTGGATAACCTCTCGCTCCTCTCCCCTGCGGCTGCAGGTGTATTCGACGATGCGGCGTCCACGCGCCACGCTCCTCCCAGCCCGTTGAGGAAGAAACCCACGTTGGCAGAGTTGAAGGATAAACCCTTGCCCTTAGAGCCTATCATTCAATTAGCTCCGTTGTCGGTTCGTCGTGGTCCTCGCGACCAGTCCCAGGGAGCCGGAAATGGTCTGAATGAGCATGGCACTCTGGCCGATCAGGTGCGTTCGGGAAAGCAGAAGCGTGGTCATCACCCGACTCTTTCTCAGGCAGCCGATGATCTAGAGAGCGCTCTTGCTGGGGTTGCGGATCAGCCCGCTCGGTCGCCCAATACCTATCAAGCCATGGAGGGGCCGTTGCAGATAAGCCGTGGAAATATGGACATGATTCCTTCTCGACGACCACCTCCGCCTCCCATCGACGTACAAAAAAGCGAGCAGCTACGCGTTGCGAAATCACGCGAGGATCTAAAGCCAAAGAAAACCCCCAAGAACAAGATGCCCTTCACCTTCAACTTGCCCGGTTTCGGCCGAAAGCCTAACAAACCCGACTCTCGCTCACCAAGTAGCTGCGACGTTAGACCCGAAACCGAGACTCAACCGGTGCGTGAAATGGACAGGCTGGGTCCAATGGGGGTCGAGGACCATTTCGAACACAGCTTTGAACCGAGAGAAAGATATGACTCGATGGAGCTCCCGGTCTTCATGGAATTCGAGCATCCGCCACGACCCTCGTTTGAGACTAGCGAACGTGAACTGCGTTTACAACTTCCTCGTCTACAGACCAACGAAATTCATGCAGATCAAAGGGCCCCCAGCCGCGCGGGAACCACTCCCATCGGCACCACTCCCGTCGGTACTACACCCATCGGTACCACCCCTATCGGTACTACGCCCGTCGGAAGTATTAGCCCGGGAGGCCCGGTGATCATCTTTGAAAAGGGCCAGGATGATGTCCGCGAAGAGAAGATATTTATCTCGTCTAGCAAGGATACAAATACGGATGACCATGCGCACTGTGAACCCGAGCCGCTAACCCTTTCGAATATGGTTTACGAACTCCATGGTGACTCTCCGCAGCAGAAAGTAGACCCTGATTGCCCACTTCGGAGAGAGTCCCTTGCATCCATGCCTTCCTATTTACCTGACAAGATTGTTCTTTTGATCATGGAACGTGCATGTTCCCTCGATGATCTGTTCCACATGGCAGTAATTGACAAACAGTTCTACCGTGTTTTCAAAGACCATGAGCTGCGCCTGATGAAGAACACTGTCCTCACAGTCTCGCCTCCGGCGTGGGAACTCCGCGAAATGAGCCCGGCGTGGGATTGCGAATGGCAAATTCTAGTCGACCCCGATGCACCGGTCCCCGAATACACTCCTTTTCTCTATCTCCAGCGCTACGCTCAAGATATATTTACGCTTGCACAGCTCAAATCGCTTATTCTTGCACAATGCGACGCTTTCCTCCGCCCAGAAACAAAAAGTGGTCTCCTGGGTGCGGATGAGACCCGGGCGTTGGCGGTCGACGATGCTTTCTGGCGCATATGGACTTTCTGCCGCATCTTTGGTTGCGGAAAGAACAGAGAAGGAGATATGATGGGCCAGTTGGATTGGCTAGACGGAGGGATTGCTGCCATGGACAGAAGCAAGTCCTCATCAATGTCCGTCACCGAGCCCTTCGGTGTCGACCATGTTCTGTTCGATCCCCCAGAGGGTTTCGGTCGCGGTAACCGAGGCGGACTATCGCGGGATCAGCTGTACGATATGACCGAGCTGTGGACATGTCTCGGGGTGTTACTTCAACCACTCCACGGTATGTGCCGCGAGGCACGGGAAGCTGGGATATTTCAAGGTCACGACGCTCCGGAAGCCGATCCTCTGAAAGAGGAAGCGACACTAGGTCAGTTTACCTTGTAATTTGCTGTGAAGATGTCTCTTGAGGCTAGGCTAACAGGTATTAAATCAACAGAAGAATGGACTTACTACATCCTCTCGCTAGGCCCATCGGCGGTCTTGAATGTCGGACTAGCTTGTTTCACAGATAGTACTACGGCGACGTTCCAAAGAGCCCAAGCGCTTGGGTTGACCAAATGGGAGCAGGCCGAATCAGGCGTCAGCCGCTTCAGCTTTTTGAAGGAGGCGGTTTCGAGAGGCTACAGACCACGGGAAAGCACTCCTCCTAGGGGAGTATCGCGGTCATCCAAAGAAAGCTCTCATTCGACTGGCTCCCAGGGCCATGTTTCCCGAAAGAGTAATGACTCCAACGAGAGTGGCTCCCAAGTCCCCCAGCACCGTCGTAGGCAATTGGTCTACGCGGAGCAGCTTAGAAACCAAAAGAAGGAACCCCAGGGTCTCGGCGTCAAACCCAATGCTGATGAACGTCCGATCTCAAATTATGGCGCCATAATGCACCACATAGAAGGTCACCAGCCCAGACGCCCATCGCCTGTCCCATCACCTGCTCCTGCTCCGCCTGCAATGGCTTCGCAAGTTCCTTCTTATGGCGAACCACATACGCAACGTCTCCGGGTTCCTTCGCCATCCGCTCCTTCCTATCACCCACAGGTCCATGATCCTGTCGACAAAGCCATTGCCATGATGGTTGGGGATCTTGGCTATCATGAGGAAGATGCCAAATGGGCATTGAAGGTCACCGATACGGGAGAAGGGATCGACGTTAACGCTGCGGTCACGCTGCTAATGCGGGAGCATCAGAATTTCGCTCTACGTAGAGACCCGTCTCTGCGAACCCAGCCCAAGAGTCTTTTCTCATCGGTGATCAACAGTCGAGAATCTGTGAACAACGGGTGGAGATGGGTCTAATCGCTGGCCCAAGATATACACTCTGTTGTGAGGAGGCTTTGGATTCTCATGATCTACGTTTTTCACACATATTCTGAACATATGGGGCCTTTCCTCCCCCCCCCCCCCCCCCTCTTCCTTCTCATGTTTTACGGAGCATACATGTTCGGAGTACTTGGAGCATTTCAGCCATTTCATTTCTGTTTGATACCCACGTTGTAAAATCACTTCACTGCAAAACCGGGATGTATGGCTACTAGATTTCGATTCGGACTTCTGTTATTTTTTTGGGGCGAATTTGGAAGCATTTGCATTATTCATATGATTAGAGGTACATTTGGTCGTGGGGCAAATTCATGACAACAATTGGAATTATACAGGTCATTGAACACATTTTGTCCTTGGATATTGACAATCATATCCACACATTATTCAACAATCGATTAGACACAAGACAGTCAGTCACCTTGGTATACTTCCATGGTGGGCAGTGTCTAGAAAGGCACCGTCGCACTAAGGCCGTCCAGTTCGCGCTGGTAGTTTCGATGCTGAGAAATCTCATAGAAGAACTGACTGACAAAGTCTTTCGCGTTCTTCGCGATCTGAACGCCTTCGCCGAAGCTCTCTGGCTTCCGGGGTGACCCAGCCGTAACCACTCCATACCAGTTGACTGGTTCCACCGAAGTGGCGATGTTAACATCAAGCGCATTGGCCAACGTCTGCTTGATGAGATCTGCTGCTTCGCCCGTACCACCGAGCGCCTTGAGATGACCAAAGGTCTCCGTGATCCAGTAGCGGATCTGTCCGTTGGTTTTCAGAACCGAAACGTGCGGCCCACCAGGGATGAACGTGGCATCGAACATCGTGGAGCGCTGGCCATCATATTGATGGTCGGCAATGACACCCTTTGCATTATCCTTGGTCTCACCATCAGCATAGATGGGCGATCGCTTCGTGCCGATGATGAAAGGCAGAGCACCGGCGGCAGTCACGGCCGCTTTCATTCCGCTGAATGCCACGGGGTCATATCCGTCACCGATAATTATGGCGATACGGCGACTGGCAATAGTCGGAACCTTGCCGGGGAATTCTGTCTGGGAGAGGTGCTTGGAGCGCTTGCCGTGGTTCTGGCGATATGCCTTCTCAGGAATGGGAGCGCCCACCGTCTCTGCAACCTGCTGAGCCAGGCTGAGATCGATTTCGGCAAGTCGGTGGCCAGCCAGCCGGTTGTAAACGATGGGGTCGTCACAGTGGTCCAGCTCGAAGCAGAATGCCTTCTTCATGTGCTCCTTCTCGTGTGCAGACATGGAGTTATAGAAAAGCTGCGCTTGATTGTGATGTTCACGGAACTTGGCACTCAAGGCACGCTTCTTGAAACCACCGACCTGCTGGGGGTACGATTCGAACCCGCCTTCTTTAGGAGGCGCCGGCGGCCCAGCTTCGAAGCGGTTGGGCCAATAGTTCACGGTGCCCTGGGTGATGCGATGACGCTTTTGACCGTCGCGGTTGTGGTTCATGACCGGGCATACAGGCCGATTGATGGGGATCTCCTCCCAGTTAATCCCAAGTCGGCTGATCTGGGTATCGAAGTACGAGAAGTTGCGGCCCTGCAGCAGCGGGTCATCGGAGAAGTCAATTCCCGGGACGATATGGCTGGTGCAGAAGGCCACTTGCTCGGTCTGGGGGAAGAATTCATCCACGTTGCGGTTCAGCTCCAGTTCACCGATCACGCGCAGCGGGACGAGTTCCTCAGGCCAGATCTTGGTAGCGTCCAAGATATCGAATTCGAAATCATCCTGTTTCTCTTCGGGGATGACCTGGATGGCAAAGTCCCACTTAGGATAGGCCTTGTTGTCGATGGCCTCCATGAGGTCCTTGCGATGGAAGTCCGGATCCTGTCCGGCTAACTTCAGCGCCTCATCCCATACAAGCGAGTGCACGCCCAGATGAGGGATAAAGTGGAATTTGACGAAGTGTCGCTTGCCCTCCTTGTTGATAAGGGAGTACGTGTTGACACCAAAGCCCTGCATCATGCGGTATGAACGCGGAATGGCTCTGTCCGACATGGCCCACATGTACATGTGTGTAGCCTCGGGATGCAGATACACGAAGTCCCAAAAGTTGTTATGGGCGGTCTGCGCCTGGGGCACCTCATTATGTGGCTCCGGTTTGACCGCATGAACTATTGTCATACATCAGTCGCTGCTTACACAGTAGAAGGGGGCATAATCGCATACCGAAATCCGGGAATTTGACCGCGTCTTGGATGAAGAACACCGGGATGTTATTTCCAACAATATCCCAGTTACCTTCATCTGTATACATCTTGACGGCGAATCCTCTGACATCGCGCACCGTATCGGCACTCCCTTTGCTACCCTGGACCGTGGAGAAGCGCAGAAATACCGGAGTGTTCCTTGAGGTGTCCGTCAGGATCCCAGCGTGAGACACATCCTCGGCGCTCTCATGCAATCGGAAGTTGCCAAAAGCAGCGGTTCCACGGGCGTGCACCACTCGCTCGGGAATCCGTTCATGGTCAAAGCGATGAATCTGTGCGGTGTTAGAGCGATTTGAATTGGAACTGGTCTAGCAAGGGTGGTCGGCACACTACCTTTTCTCGTGCGATCTGGTCCTCCAAGAGCGAGGGACCCGTGCGGTTCTCGTCGACAGACCGAAGCCATTGATCGGTGTTGCTGATCTTCACACCATGGTCGGTAGTCAAGCGCTGGTTCTTATCCACGGTAGTGGTCTCACTTCCCAAGTCTACGAGCTTCTTATCCTTGGACGCGGCTTTCTGGACGGCCTCTTGGGCCTTGCTTAGGCCTCCGGCAATGACACTTGCCATAGTGCTGTGGCTGGTATGATAAAATTAATTAAGTGAATTGAAAATCATGCACAGAATTTTTCCAATGGATATGATTACAAGGTATCTTATAGATTGCATCCATAGCTGTTAATGCTGGGTAATATATGGACTGTGAGTGGGCGTCAAAAGTCTTCGGACGTAAAGATGACGTTGAGCGCGAGGACGTCACCCTGACATCTCGCACTCGCTGCATCCCCACAGCCAGACCACCGGATGTACCACTCCAGACCCGGAAACAGCATCCAGTCAGAATGGAACGTTTTTAAATCCGATGATGCCATCAAGAAAACTTGCAGGGAAATCCTGCTGTCACCAGCACGGTGGAGGTAGAGTAGTAGCAGACCTCGGGTGATCACCGCCCATCATCCAGTCTGTCTCCAAGGTTCTCTCTCCATACCTACCAAAATAGTGGATTTACCTAGAATTTCCAGGATCTACCCCCGAGGACTAGAGTTCCATCGGCCTCAGGATTACCCACAAGGGTGACATGGCAAGGACATCTGCGAGTGATGAGGTCCTTACTGTTGCGGCGCCATAAGCAAGCAGATAGTCTCGAACTCAACTCTCCTTGATCATGGAGATTTTCCCGATGGTACGACCCAAATGCAGGGAATCAAAAGCTCCATGAATATCACTCCGAAGGGATTTTTCTCCGCAGGGGGTGTCATGGTTGACGGCAATTAAGTTCGTTGCGATTTATCTATAGAATGTAGGGCTACGGAGAAGAAGTCTAGCCCTGTTCTTATTATTGACGCCATCGAATCCCCCGGTCGGACATCACAGGGAGCGAAAAGGGAGCGTTCAAGGATAAGCTTCTTTTTATGTTCTTCGGCTATTCTTTCTCCCTTTCATGATTCCTTTTTCTCCCCTTCTGTAGGGTGGCCCGGGCTGATGGCTGATGTCAAAGAAAGCATGGCTTGAACTATGGCCACTATTCAACGTTAAAGTCTGAGATCGACGACAGATCAGGAGCGCAGGAACCAAGTCCAACGTTAAACTTAATGAGGAGCAGACTATTGCCTTGACTATGTCATAATGCCAGCCAATAATTGGATGCGCCTTGAAGGGTTATGATGTATCACTTCGGGCTGCAAGTATGCGTGTCGATCAGCAACGATCGCTTTGTTTGTCTCGGAAATATGACAGGTGCGACGCCGGTCGCAGCACTTGATCTGCCGCTGCGAGAGAGACAGAAAGAACGAGAAATCAGTTGACCCTCAAGGTCGAAGAAGATGCCGAGCATATTATACATGCACACACGCGATGAAAGGCTCTAGAGCGATAATGCGGTGAATCCATGTCTTCCCATGGCCGATGCAAGGGGGCCGCTTGTTTATTGAGCCATGCCAGGGCGCGAAACGAGGAGACACGAAAGGGGACTCGTCGCATCAATCATCTGCAGTACTCGCTTCGGTTGTTGATTGATTCGCCCGAGCATGAGAGAGCATGGTTACAGAGAAGGGAAAGAATCAGACTCACAACCTTTCTCCCTGTCCATCCAATCGATCAAATCGATCAATATCTCAGGTCTTTGTCAACCAGGCGCCTTCTCCCTGTCTCTGGGCTTGTCCCACTAAGGATGCGAGGGATGACAAGCACTGACTCTGGAGGAACTCTCCCAGTTTCCTCCTTGAAACGAGAAAAATATGCGGGCAGACCGTTTACTGCTGTTGGCCCCCATGGAGAAGACCTGCATATGCGCGCCAGCAAGTCCTACAGTTCATTGAAAATGACGCCTCACCCGATCTCTCATGCTTAATTTCACTCTCGAATTCCTGTCTGAGACCTCACGGAAAGGTCGTGAAACCCTGAAACCCTCTTTAATCTCGTTCGTTTCGTCTTTTTCCTCTCGCCCATCATTCCCTCCGTCGCCCACTTTGCCGTCTTCCGTCTAACTCCATGGTGAACATGGAGTGCGATCGCTACGTATCGCCTTCTGACCGGTGAGTACCATGCAATTTCTCTGCATTTCTCCTCGGCTGCAGCTCTTGCCATGGCCATTGAGCTCGGCTAACCGCCTGAACGCATTGACCCAGGGAGGTTGTCGGTAATTACAAGCTACATCCCGAGGCGAGACTGGAACTCGAAAAACAAATCACGCTTGGTGGTGCATCGCCTGTCACTCCCAGCCGTTTGAAGGCCAAAACGCGTATTCTACGAGCATCCGACGTCCTGCTGTCCTTGGCTGGGAGATCTACAAGCGGTAAGCTGCTGCTTCCCCCCCCGGCTACCTACATACCGGTGCATAACCGATCCGCGGAGGAGACTAAAGGAACATGCATCCAATATCTAGACACGGCAGAGCAATCCGCGAGCCTTGAAAACTTCCAGGAAGTTCTGCGTCTATTCCCGCCCTTTCGAGATGACGATGGGACCACCTTTGGAGCAATTGACGTCAAATGTCCCGACTGCGATGCGGTGTTTTCTTCCTCGTACGGTTTCTCATCCTGTGCTCTGCGAGAAAAATTCATTTTTGACTTAGTTGGATAGAACCGAGCTCAATAACCACTATCTCACGCGATACTGTCCCGGGGCTGCTGTCGCCGTATACGTGATGACGCGAGATCGGTAGTTCTCTCCTTCCCTATGGCTGAGGCGTGTTTTGTGCTCTCACTGACCTGGGTTCTCTAGGTTAATCACAAAGGGCTATCGCATGGAGAAACGGCTCATTCCTCTAGATTGTCGTCCCATGCGTTTCTTCTGCAACAGCTGTGAGAGGCATTTTGCAGTTGGCGACAATGGTGAGCGAGTGGACAGGCAGCGCAGTAGGATACCCTCCGGCTTACTCTTCGGTTCTTCACTGACAAGATATCTTTCGCAGACATGCCGTCCTTCGTCACCTGCAAGCATTGCGGAGAACAATGCAATATCTCGTCAGTATTCACTCAATATAGCTCAGGCCACGAACTAGCAGAAGGCTTCTTACACGATCCCGCAGATATGAACCCATCTTGAACGACCCCCGCGACGACGTAAGCTTTCGAGACGTTCAGAGAGACCTGTCTAGTATAGGCCACAGCCGGAGTCCCAGTCTTGCTCCGAAGAGCACCATGGGATCAAAATTCCCCACAACACCTGCATCGGGCGCCGAGCAGCCGTCTTTCGCAAGGCGTGCGAGAAAATTGAGAGATTCATGGTCTCATAGGAGTATGCGCGCTCTATCTTTTGGGGATCATTTTGAGATGACCGACTGGGCTAACTTGAGCAGAGTTCTCGCAAAGTGATGAAGATGAGTTAATAGCGATCAGCTTTGCTGGGCTGTACGACTTGGAGAGAGGTCTGTTCGTCATTGCAAGACAATATCGTCTGTTACTGACTATGCCAGTACACGCGCCTAATGGCATATACCAGCAGTTCGAGGGCAGTGCGACTGAAACAACTAACGGTCAATCGGTATCCAGTTTCACTTCAAGTGGTACGGAAGTCTTGTATTTGGATATGTTCATGAAATGTACTGATCAAACGATCCCAACAGCCTGCGACACACCCCTCATAGACAACAAAAGGGACGAGATGACCCTTTGCGCAGACGATGAACACCACAGGAATCACCTGCGAGCTGAGCCACAAGGGGACCTAATAGCTGCGAACGGCAACCCAGGGGACACCGCAGTATCTTCGAAAAGACAATCGTTTCTCCGGAGGCTTTTCGGACGAAAGACTTCCAAAGGTCGGTAAGACGAGGTTTGACTGTCGAATTATAGGCTAAGATTTCTACAGGGCCATCGCGAACACGATCTACCTCCAATCGCAGCAATAAGCTAATCAAGAGAGCAAATACGATACGATTTTCTTTGGTCAAATACACCCGGAGTGGGAGCAGAGCAGCCACAAGGGAGAGCTTATGCACTGCAGATGAATCACAGCCTGCGGAGACCCCAGAGACAGGGCAGAATCCAGAATCTCCGGTTGTTTCAGATGCAGAGTATATTGCACTGCTGCGAGGAAGCCAGAATATCTTCATCCACATGCAGTATATCTCGGGAGGAGCCGTGGTCCATGATGCATCCGGGCGTCAACGGATCCTTCAGATGGACGAGGTAGCCCAGCTCTATCTTCAATTGACAGACGAACTGTCGGCTGCGACTATCTGGTCTCGGACACTGACCACTCGACTACGGGCAGAGGCGGCGCTCAATCAGGGAAATTGCAGGGCTGCGGTGGTCGAATATCATGACGCCTTGAAGATGCTCGAAACCACACCGGCGCTGGATGTCGATAAGCTATCACGGGCGGCCATGTTGCACTCAATGGGCCGGGCTTACCGCAATCTCGATATGCCCGCCGAATCGGAAGCATGTTATCTGGAGTCGCTGGGTCTCTATAAGCGCACACTAGGACGAGACAGCCAGAAAAACTACGCCGTTCTCCACGACCTCGGAGCCCTCTGCGAGAGAGATGGATATGTCACCGAAGCCGCCGCGTTATATGAGCGCTCATTCGCCGGACGACTGAAAACTCTGGGTAACAACGCCCCCGAAACGCTGGGGAGCATGCAGGATCTTGCTTCGCTCAAGGTTTCGCTGGGGGACCTCGAGTCGGCGCGGCTTCTCCTTGAAAAGGCCGTCCCGGCTCTCGACACCGTCTTTGGGCTGCAGAACGCAACGACATTGAACGCCATGAACCAGCTCTCCCTTCTCTATCAGAAGCTCGGGCTGGACAAAGAGTCCCGCACAATCTGTAGCCGGACCATCCCTCACTGCCGGACCTTCTTCGGCATCACTAGCCCTATCACTCGGGACGCCGTCGTGCGCTACCTCCAGAGCTCTGACAACTTTGACTTTCCTGCCGACATCCAAGACATCCTCGATCAGTACCAGAAGTCTCGCGATCCGGACGCCCTCCGTGTCATCCACCGTCTCGGCCGATCATACATGGACGCAGGTCTCAACCGGGACGCGGCAGACCTTTTCGAGGCCTTGGTCGAGGACTTTCTCGCCGTGAGTGGACCAGAAGCCCAGGAGACGTTCGACGCTCTCAGTGCGCTGTGCGTGTCTCGAGAACACCTCGATTCCATCGACAAGGCGATTCTGGCCTACAAGCAGCTCGTCCACATGGCTGGCCGGACTCCTGAGCACCACCACTCGCGCAAGCGCATCGCGTACGCCGAGAAGCGCATCTCGGAACTGAATTATCGACGAGTCATGCTGGCCGGAGAAAGGAAAGAATGGATGCTACATGAGCCCGGGACCTGTGAGAACTGCGAATGCACCACAACGGTTCTCTGCAACAGTAAGTTTTACTCCTTGCGTTCACAGTGTCCTCCCTCCTAACACCACACCTTTTTTAGCCTGCAAGATCTTCCGCTTCTGTAACGAATCCTGCCACCAACTCGCCCAAGCCGCGCACTTCCCCTACTGCATCCCCTCCGTCTCACTGCGCGAATCCAAATCCCTCGCCGTGAAGCCCAAATGTCCAGCCTCCGCGCGCGACCAAGCCATCTCCAAGATCCGCCGCTTCAACGGCACCAGCGACAGCCACAAGTCCGTGACCATCACCGCCAACTACACCTTCTACCTGGACCCGCGCAACTTCACGACCTTCCGCATGCGCCTCAACACCACCTCCAACACCGTCATCCTCTTCTCCCTCGACTCCGACATCCAATACACTACCATCGACAACCCCCCGCTCGACCTCTCCCCCAGCGCGAACACCAACACCAACACGAGCACCTCCTCCCCCCTCTCCTCAACCACCACCACCACCTCCGCAACAGACCTGAAAGGCGTCCACTGGCTGTCGCCCGATCGCCAGGAAGCCATCTGCTACGAGCCCGGCGACGCGTCGGCCACGCAGTCGCGGTACGTGCTCGTCACGCCCGGCCGCGAGATGCTCAAGACGCTCATCGATAAGCGCATCGGGGTGCGCAGTGGCGGTGGCGACGCGGATCGCTTCAGGGGCCTCGAGTTGCCGGATAGCGAGTTGATGGAATATGCGCAGGGTTTGCTCTTGACGGGGTACCTTGGGGAGGCGTTTATGTATGTTATTGAGTGGGTGTGGAAGTGAACGTTTTCCCTAGCTTTAGGGGATATGGTACGATTGATTTGGTCGGTTCTTGTTGTTTCGTCTACCAGTTCCCGAAACCTATCGGGTTCACTTTGATATGGAGAGGGCAGGAAATGGGTATATATAACATCTCTTCTTTTCTGCATTTTATATTCATTTTCTGGGAGGATGATTTGATTGATTGATTGATTATTTGGGTGATATCTACATATGTTTAGTTTGGTTCTGTTAGGTTTAGTTTGGTTCTGTTAGGTTTAGTTTGGTTCGGGCAAGAGAAGTGAGGGAAATGGAGGAGGATCATGGACATTCTTTTCTAGATCAGATTCAGATCAGATACTTTCTCATTCTACGTGACTTCACTCTACTCTAGACTCTTTTTTTGAACTATGAATCCTGGATCTTAACAATTTTTGGAACTTCGAATAGTTAGGCGTATTTGTTTGTCTTTCTCTATACCTACATCTGTCTGTCTACTTGTCTATCGTTAGGAAGTGTGCAGTTCACGTATCGGATTCGTCTATTTATTGCATTAGAGTCAGGGCAAAATGGAAGAAATGTCTAGATAATATCTTTGATTTGTTTTAGTTCTATACAATCAAGTTATTGTTTGTTTTTCTGACAACCCAAATCTATACCCGTGAGTCGAATCGTATATGTAGGATCTCAAGTCTGGTTCTTGAGGAGAAAGTGATAAGAGAGAAAGAAAAAGAAAGGGACAGAAAGAAAGTAAAGTGGGGGGGGGAAGCCATGAGCTATCAAGTGCATCGCTCGCTTTTCCAAATCAACAACTCAAGCTTTCGCTCAATAAACAAGAAGTGCAACCATAGTGAAAGACATAAGTTACAGGACAAAGTAAGTAATTACCTCTAAAGGCACGGCCTTCGAAGCGGAAAGATGGGAATAGTAATAGCAGCAAAAGGTTGAATAAACGCGAGCTCGTCAAGTCGTGAACGCTTCCTTGAAGCTTCAGGGCATGAGTTCCTAGTTGGTTGAACTCCCACCCAGCAGGAATGATCTGCCCATCTCTATGAAGGGGAATGCGGGTCTTCTTCGTCATCGGACTTGTACGTGTTGTCGCTCTCGTACCCATCTGCTTCGAGAGATCGTCCGCGGATCCCGAAACTAAGGATAAAACCGACAAAGGACGCAGCGGCAAAGACCCCGAATGCCATGGCTTCGCCTTTGGGTTCGACGCGGGATGCGAGAGAGAACAGACCGCCGGAGATGAAGGGGCCCACGGCACGGCCAGCGGCGGAGAGGGTTTGTGCTAGGCCATTGAGGGCACCGAGGACGGCGTGATCGGGAGCAGAGTTGGTGATCTATGTGAAGCATCTAGTTAGTGGGGTCGTAGACTTTGTGTGTAGGAGCAATGGGGTGGAAAGGTGCCTTACAAGAAGTAGTGCGCTGGTCAGGCCGCCCACCGTAGCCACTGTCTTGACGAGCAAAGCGAGGCAAAGCTCCGCCGCCATCAGGGCAGTCTTGCCGCTGATCTTGCCATCAGCGTCCTTCCCTTTGTATCCGATGAAGGGCATCAGGATGAATGCGACGACGAAGCCGAAAAGACCAGCTCGATAAGACCATCGATTGCCCATTTTATCCCGCAGCCGACCGAAAATGCAAATCTGGAAGATAATAGTAACAAATCCGGAAAACCCTTGCGCGAGACCGATCTCTTCAGGGGTCAAGCCTCGACCGGTAGGAGGTGCGGCTTGCGAGAAGATAGGGAAAAGCGCGTTGAACGAGACGTTGCACAGTGCGAAAATCAGATACGTCGTCAGAAGTAAAATCGTATCGCGATTCCACAAGTCGCTGGTAAGACTCTCGTGGTGAGTTCCCCTGGGACCTGACGCCTCGGAGGCCGAGTCCAATTCGCTATCGTGATCCTGAGACTCCGAGGAGTGATGCCGGAGCGGGCGGTACGGGACCGTATGGGGCGGGTGCACCCAACGCGCGCGCTTCGCCATGCTCGTAAACTGCCAGAGCCAGGAGAAAAAAGACCGAACCCTATGCCCGATCTTCGGCAGGCTTTCGGCATCTTCAAGGCTTTCTTCCAAAAAGAAAACGGACGCAATCAAATCTAATATGAGAAGCCCGGCGGAGAGGACATTCGGCGCGAGGTAGGGGTAGGGGTTCGGTTTGCTCGAGTCCCACGGAAGAGTATCGAAAATCAGCAGCCCCCCAAGCAGAGGGCCAGTAATCCCTCCCACCCCATAGAGTACCGGAAGATAGGTGAACGCCTTCGACTGGTTGCTTCGATCCGTGATTTCACCCAGGCAGGTGGACACCAAGACCTGGTTTCCGTTGACGGCACCCATCACGGCTTGCACGATGATAGCCTGCACCAGCGTCTTGCAGAAACCGAATGCGAAGAATGACGCCGCAGTCAAGACGGTACCCAGCAAGATCACCGGCTTCCGTCCCACTCGATCCGATAGCCACCCCCAAAAGTAGTTTGTTATGAACTGCGCAATCGCAAATGCAGTGGCCAGACTTCCAACATATACACCGACCAATCCCGGCTGCACCTCCGGAAAAGAGGAAACCATTTCCGGCAGATAAGGGCTGATTGAGTTGAACGCCGTTTGCTCGCAGAGGGAGATCATCGCCAGGACAGCCATCTGCTTCTTCGGCAGAGGCGAGTGGTGATTCGTTCCATGGCGATGAGATTCGTCTTGCGGATCATGCGAATGTATTCCCGACGACTCCGACTGACCGGAATTGGGTCGTCCTCGAGATTTCGGTGGCGGGGTGTCAAACGTCTGGTAATGAAGCGTGGATGAATGTCGCCGGCTGAGCGGATTTTGCTCCGACGGTTTCATCTTGGGAGGAGGGTAGGCACGCGCACACTGGGACAGGAAGGCTCGTCTTCTAGATATTTAGATGATCAATGGGAATTTATATTTTGAGGCACCTTCGAGGTCAGTCCCGGAAGTGGCGCCGAGGCTCAATGGCCTCGAATCTCTTGCGACGTGGGGAAATTTTGCCCCAGGCGATTCAGGTACAGCCAGGGAAGGGTCTCTGAGGCCACGGGTATCGTGAGGAATGATAGCTAAAGGCCGGTCGTAGAAGAAAGAGGCCCAAGACTGATTCAGTCGAAACAACAATAAATTATGCGTGTAGAGAGGAATGAAGGAAAGAGAAGAAAGGAAAGACCAGCGCAAACCGGGGAAGACGCGGATGATGTAAGCGCTGCATTCTGGGAGCTGAGTCATCGTCGTCCAGACCATTGAAGATCGGCGTTTTTAATATCAATAATAATGGAGTAATTAGCCTCAGGGGCGATTCATTTCCGGCTGCGGGTGAGGTCATGGAGAGCGTTCCCCTTGTCCCTGCTGTGTAAATTTTTGGAGATGCGCTGGATTTGTTGGAGAAAATGTGAAACCGGGGATGAGTAGATGATGTCATCTCCCCGGATAACCAAATATATATCTGCATCCATATTCTATTATCTACATTCTACGATTATAGGCAATCAATTACAAGAGGTTATATTAGACTGCAGTATAATATCTCCATTAAAGAGATCATAGCTGAACATTAATCCAGGATATAATGCAAGAAATCACTTCATCAACAGATTGACTGCCCAAGGCACACTAAGCCCTCTCAGGTCCCCGTAATGCTGACCAACGCCCAAGAACACGATGGGGATACCAGTGGCATGTACCATGCTAACCAAAGTGCCAACCATGTCACCAACGGTGTCGCACTTGCTGATGATGAATCCGTCCAGGTTTCGCCCTGTACCAAAGGCCTGGTTGAAGTTACGCGCCTGCATCACACTGTCCGTCCCGACCAAGGCTTCTCCAACCATGAAAATCTTGTCCGGTCGCGCGAACTTGGCGAACTTCTCCAGCGAAGACATCAGACGCTGATCGTTATGGCGACGACCGGCGGTGTCGATCAAAACCACGTCGAATTTCTGGGCTGCTCCGTATTCAACGGCGTCCTTGGCGACGTTCGCGGCATCCTTTCCGTATCCCTTCTCGTATAGTTCAATCTCCCCAACGTTCTCGCGAGAGCTGAGCTCCTTCAAGTTACGAGCGTGAACACGAAGTTGCTCCACGGCTCCGGACCGGAAGGTATCGCACGCAGCGATCAAAACGCGGTAGTTGTTCTGCAGGAGGAAGTAACAGATTTTGCCCAGGTTGGTCGATTTGCCAACACCGTTGACGCCGACAATCGAAATCACGTACGGGCGCGGAGCAGCTTGACGGGTTTTCGGCGAGGTGACGGTATCGATCTCACGGAGCAGATCCAAGGACGAGGTAGGCGTCAAGATGTTTCTCAAAGAAGACTCCATGGCCAAACGGAGGGCCGCGTCCACGCTTTGGAAATTGCCCGTCTTTTTGCCGACCAGTTCTCGCTGCACACCGTCACAAAGCCGGACAGCTGCCTCGCGCGCCACGTTCTTCTTCAGAAGATGGTCTTCCATCGTCTTCAAAGACTTATCCAGATCGGCCTCGGTCAGAACCTTTCCACCGACGATGTTGCGCAACAGACCGCCGATCGCATTGAAGCCCGAGCCCACAAATCCCGACGACGCGGAAGTCTTCGCCTTTTCATTGTCTGCGTTCTCAAGGATTGAATGGACTTCGTCGCCAAGATCCTTCAGAACAAACTGACCCTTGCCGGTTCTACGTCCCCAAGAGTCTGAAGCAATAGCCTCCACCGCCGGGGCCGCTGTCTCGTCGACTGGCGCGGAATAGTCGAGCACCGTGCCGTCATCCTCGTCAGCCATTCCGTCGGCATCCCACTTGCGGCCTTTCTTCGCACTGCCGGTTGTCTTCCCCTTGCGAATTTTCTCATCGCCGGAAGAAGCGGTGGCGCTCGCGTTGGCGGCCTTGCGCGCACGTCGAGAGCCACGGGGCCCACCCTTGGCCGTGAGAATATGGCTGGCCGCGGGCGTTGGTGGTCGAGAAGTATCGGGGGTTTGGGGTGGCGAACTCTCATCAGAGGTCGACACGCCTAGCGCAGCTTGATGCTGCGCTTGGAGGCTGTCAGCAGGGCTTCTCTCACGCAGTAGACAACTAGTACCTTTGAGGAGGCCAGGCATGGATGGCGGCGGCGGACCGCCGTTGTCAGACGAGACCAGCGGGTCTTTTTTGTCTTCCGCATCGGCCTCGAAGCCTTCGGAGGTGATCGCACCCGAAATGTCCTCCAGCTCCTTCACCTGTTGATCGAAGTATCGGTCGAACGGGTATTCAACGATGCGAGCGCGCGTGCTCTTCAGTTGGTCCTTGTACAGATCGAGAAAGATGGTCGAGATGTTGTCCAAGAGTTTATCGATCCAACCGAGATGGAGCAGGGACTGGTATACGGCCTAATCATGTCGAGGTCAGCAATGAGCTAGGATAGCCCGAGTGTTTCTGAACGTACCACAAAGATCAGATTGAAATCCTTGGCCCTCTTCCATTTCAGCGTGTACTTCTCCTTTTTGTAAACGGGGTATGTGTTATTCGTAGCTTGAAGTTGAACTTTCTCCTCGATAAAGACATCGTTGATAAGGCTGTTGACCACATGAGCGCCCACCGGAGCGTAGGATCGCGACCATAGGACCACACCGGAGGTGGAAAGAATCTCAAAGGCTTCCAACATCTTGCACAGTGGTCTGCAGTGAACGAGGGTGGTGAGAGATATGGGGAAGAAGTCGATCCGCAAGACGGTGGGGAACAAATTGCGGGCGGCAAAAGCTGAGCTGTTCGGGGAGCCGAACTTTCTCAGCAGCCACGTATAAACCCAGTTGGGGCCCATCTCACTCTCTCTCTCCCTCCCTTGACCAACCTGCATCGCTTTCTCTGCTACCGAAGCTCCCCCCACACCCCATTCTTTTAAGCTCCCTGTGGCTTCCGATCCCTTAGATTTCTTCCACGATTGAGCTGTGAGAAGCATGTACCGCCAGAATTTTGCTCCTCCGCCCGCGCAGTCGCCTCCGCTTCACCATCCTGTGCCGCAACATGTGTCCACCGTCCCCATGATGCGTTCACCACCTCCCCCGACATCCCAACAGTCTCAAACGGCCAGTTATGGCAATCCTTACCAGCCCGCCCCTGCGCAAGGTGGCAGCGGCACCTACGCGCCCGGATTCGGGGGATTCATCAATGATCCCACGGCACAGATGGGATTCCAGGTCGGGAAGACCGCGATGGCTGCCGGACAGGAATACATGGAGCAGAATGTAAGCACTGAGACATGCACACTGGTGTGATATGGGGTCTCCCTTGCTGACGGGCACACCGCGCCTCTATAGTTCAACCGCTACGTCTCGATACCCGCGCTCAAACATTACTTCAACGTCTCCAACTCCTACGTTTTGAATAAGCTGGTTCTGGTGCTTTTCCCATGGCGACACAAGCCCTGGTCTCGCCAACAGGCACGCCTGACGACGGCCTCGACGGGGCCGGACGGCCAGATCTCCCAACAGCAGTACTCGTCCATGTTCCTGCCCCCTCGCGATGACCTGAACTCGCCCGATATGTACATCCCGGTCATGGCGCTGGTCACGTACATCCTTCTCTCGTCCATGCTGGCAGGATTCCGAGGCAATTTCCACCCGGAGCTATTGGGCTCGACGACCACGACAGCCATTGCGGTGATCATATTCGAAATCATCTGCCTGAAAATGGCCATGTACATTCTCAGTATCAACAACGAGTCGCAACTCCTGGACCTAGTCGCTTACTCGGGTTACAAGTTTGTGGGAATCATTCTGACCATGGTGTTCTCGGAAATCCTGACTCCAGGGAGGGGCACCGGCGGCTGGATTGGCTGGGTCGTATTCATCTACACATTTCTGGCCAATGCATTCTTCTTGGTAAGTACCACGCCTTAACGCTGGAAGAAACCCTCGCTCATTCTTATGCTTTAGCTCCGCTCCTTGAAATACGTCTTGCTTCCGGACTCGACTAGCGATGCGTCCATGCGCACCGGGTCGATGCACACCGTTGCCCGCTCGCAACGCAACCGCCGCACCCAGTTCCTGTTCATATACTCCTACGTCGTCCAGTTCATCTTCATGTGGGTGCTGAGTCGGGAGGGTCCCATCGCTATGGTTTCTGCCAAGGCCTCTGGCTCCGGGACCTCTTCATAGTGCGTAATGCCGATAGACAGTCAGGAGAAAGGCATGCGGCATAAACGGGGAATACTGTTTGGTAGATGGCTTGATTACGATCATTATGTATGCTAGATAAATACCACTATTTTGACATGTTTGCGTGTATCCGTAGAATGGAGATCTTGCTCTTCGTAGTTGACTCACCCACCATTTCATTTCGGTGGTAGTTAGGGTTGGGTTTGGGGTCCAGACCTTTCTCGAGTGTTCGAACGGAGCCTAACCTGTAGTTGTCTGGAAAAGCTGCTACCTGAAAGTACTACGGAGTATCTGTGTCTCGAGAAAGAAAACTAATGTCTTCAAAATCTGCATTCATAATATCTAACTATTCTAAACACTCTCAAAACTCATGCGAAATAAAGAATCCCTAAAAATGCAACGTTAGAAACAGAATCCAACATAGCAAGCAAAGCAAAATATGCCAAAAAGAACGTCCTCAGAGATCTTGGTGATGGGGTAATATCATTGCCAAGGCATCAATTACTATCTAGGCAGTGCAAGTTGTCTTCATAGGACGGGACAGGGGGGATGAGCCGCGGGAAAAGGTGCTGAACGTACCGAAGAGTGGAGAGCTGAGAGCAAGTTGAATGGAGCGTTGTTTGAAGAAATCCTGCATGTCTGATTGAATTAGCAACGTGACGACAATGCAATATGAGTGACAACAGTTGAGAGAAGTTTTCCAAGTTCAGAATATGTAAGAAAATGAATATCATGCTTCAGTACTGCTTAAGAAACCCCGGCGAGGGTTTCACAGATACTGGGTCAATCGCAAATTACCGCATCATGTGAAGTGCAGAGGAAGTGAAGATAGAGTAGGACCTACCAGTGAGAAAACAAGAAGAGGAAAATCTGAATGTTAGTGAAAGCGACAGTCGATTGAAGTCCAGAACATCATCTTGTTGGGACTCGTGAAGCTGCAAAGATGCTCAAGCAAAGCTGCTCACAGAAGGAAAAAGTAAAGCCGACAAGAAAAGCGGCGGAAGTTTAATAGCCGGCGGGACGGAGCGGAAGAACCCCCGTGGCCGGGATCAGGCGCTAAGGCTCCTTAGCAGCCCTAGGCCACACAGCGGCGAACGGTGAGTGGCTGCTAAGCGAGATTCTGTGGGCAAAGGGCCGCAACACCGAAATTCGCGATCCGGCAAGCCAGAGCGAACTTGTGCGTTTCGGACGATTCCTCGACAACCCCGACCCTTCGACAACTAATTTCCTCCCACCGACCTCCCGGAGTTTGTCGACCGTGAGTTCATGATCGCCTTGGCCGTTTCCCGTCACCACTGTGTTTACTGAGACCTTTTTTTTTGTCGCCATTCTAGGAAGCCTTCGCCATGGCCGATATCGATGTCAAGATTGCTCAATGGAAGCTCGTTGAGGTTGGCCGCGTGGTCCTGATCCGCCGCGGTCCCTTCACCGGCAAGCTGGCCGCCATCGTTGAGATTGTCGACCACAAGCGTGTATGTGTTTTCCCGGATTCTGAGGACAAATATTGGGAGGAAATGCGAGGACATGAAAATGAAAGACTCGGGAGGCAAAAAACGGAAAATCATCGGCCATGATATTGACAAGAGTCGCAAATCGATAGGTTCTGGTTGACGGTCCTTCCACCGAGGAGAACAAGATCGTGCCCCGTCACGTCCTCCCTCTCTCCGCCGCCACCCTCACCCACTTCGTCATTCCCCAGCTGCCCCGTGCCGCCGGTACTGGCCCCGTCCGCAAGCTTTGGCAGAAGAACGAGATCGATGGCAAGTGGGCCAAGAGCAACTTCGCCCAGAAGACCCAGAGCGCCGAGCGACGGAAGAACCTTAACGACTTCGAGCGCTTCAAGGTCCTCAGACTCAGGAAGCAGGTACGTTGAAAATAGTGGATTGATTGCGTTGGTTTGCATTATGGGCCGTGTCGGAGGAATTTTACGGATGGGAGGTTCATTTGCGACAGCAAAGGACTGAGGATCTTGAACGGAAACCAATGCGCTTGCGGTACGACTGGACATGACTGACATTGAATTTCTCCAGGCTCGCTTCGAGGTCCAGAAGGCTCACGCCAAGCTCCGGGCGGCTGCTCCTAAGTCATAGATGGTTTATTATGAGGCTCGGTGCATAGTGTGATGGGGTGCCTTGGGACGGTTAAATCTTGCTGAGGGTTTATTTTATTTTTCAGCAAAAAAAAGACGCTGTACGCTTTTATCATTGACAGCTTAAAATGATTCGAGAACCTTGATACCTTCACGGGTTACGCTCGTACGTCACAATAGACGGCACCTGTTTTCAGGCCAGTGTATGACTCTGGAATATTTATCTAATATCGATCTTGATATTGAAATGACCGGTCCACTCACTACCTCCGTTGGAATTGGGGAATGACCAAAATAAGCTGTAATCTTTGATATGCTCTGGGTCCATATTTTATGACCATTACTCCTTACGCACCACCAAATTTGCCCAGAATGAAAATTAGATCCTCACTCTGAATATCGTAGCAATTAAATCGATAGAGAATTAACAAGTGAATGGCCTTGTTGATGAACGTGAAGGTTCGATCTGTAGATGCGTCGCTTCTGTGTGTCCGGGGTGAGGGTCCCAATAAGCTCGCTAACGATTTTCGGCAGGATGACATTCACACAGCTTTGCGACTTCCCAACTTCAACCAAGGCAAAAAATACCCCCTCATCCACCACAGTCCTCTTTCTTGCGACTAGGTATGTAATAGCTGAATTTCCGGTCGCCATTTTGAATTCCGCCCTCGATTTTGGGTATTTCCTACGGTTTTGTGGGAGAACCTCGGGGGGTGGTTCCTTGGGCCATCCTTTCGAGCCTCCCCCAACCCAAGCGACCAGTCCTGAATTGAGAGACTTACTTGCTAACCATCGTCTTCTTTTAACCGACAGCCCGCTTTTAGGCTCGTTCAATTATCACAATGGCTGACCCCCGCGTTGAAGAGATCCACGACGAGGAGCCCCAGAAGGCGGGCGTTGAGGATGCCGGCAGCTCTTCTGAGTCCGAGGCTGGCGATGAGCCCACCATCCCCGGAGGTGCCGCCGTCACCATCCACTCTCGTAACGAGAAGAAGGCCAGAAAGGCCATTGGCAAGCTCGGCCTGAAGCACGTCCCCGGCATCACTCGTGTCACCCTCCGCCGTCCCAAGAACGTATGGATACCAACCCCGCCTTTGACGACAGTCGCTGCTTGAGGTGTCTTTGGAAAAGAACCTGGATACAATTTGATGGAGCAGCAATCATGAAGGATATAGGAGGCTAATGTGTCTGTTCTTACAGATTCTCTTCGTCATCAACCAGCCCGACGTCTACCGTTCCCCCTCCAGCAACACCTGGATGTATGTATCCACCTGCTTTCCCGGTTTCTGTGATATAGCAAAGCTGGCTTACACGTTTCAACAGCATCTTCGGTGAGGCCAAGATCGAGGACCTGAACTCCCAGGCCCAGGCCTCCGCTGCCCAGCAGCTCGCTGCTGCTGAGGCCGCCGCCGGTGGTGAGCACGCCGGTCACGACCACGAGCACGACCTCGGCACCGCCAAGGCCCCCGAGACCGAGGCCAAGAAGGACGAGGAGGAGGACGATGGAGAGGCTGTTGACGAGTCTGGCCTCGAGGCTAAGGACATCGAACTGGTTATGGCCCAGGCTAATGTGTCACGCAAGAAGGCCGTCAAGGCTCTACGGGAGAACGACAACGATATCGTGAACTCGATCATGGCTCTCAGCATATGAGCTCTGCCGCATTGATTGCACGCTATCAGTGGCTGAAACGTCTTAGCCCTGCTGGCAGGATGGACTTTGGGTGCGAGGTCAGGTTGATATCCCCTTGGATGCGTGTGCTGCCAGGCCCCATAGTGTAAATCATATAGTCAACCCAAAAAAGCAGAATTCATGATCTGAACCGATTTGAATAATTTATCCATGACGTATCAAATTTTACCATTGCAAAGTAAATATCAAATCCATGAACGCATAAACCAATTCCCCATATATCATTAATCCTGTTAAGCGCCCATATCCGAAGTCTTGGCTCTCTTCGTTTGTGGCCGTTCGGAACACGGGAACCGCCAGCCTCACGTGACGGCATCCCCATTCCAAACCTTGCCGAGTCAACCCTCACCTCTCCGAACCTCCTGCTTTGCACGTTGAACTCCCCTCTCCCACCCCCGTCTCCCTCCCAACACACTCTTCAAAATGGCTGCCGTACGTGCATTGAGCTCTCTAATCCCGTCTCCGACCGATCATGTCGGGAATTTTGACCGCTAACCCGTCTCCGTGGAACAGCGCAGCGCCGCTCTCAAGATCGACTGGGTCAAGGTCTCCAGCTCGCTCGGCCTCCGTGGCCAGACCGCCGCCTCTCTCCAGGCCTTCAAGAAGCGTAACGACGATGCGCGCCGCAAGGTCCAGGCTCTGTCCGAGCAGCCCCAGACCGTCGACTTCGCCCACTACCGCAAGGTCCTGAAGAACCAGGCCATCGTCGACGACCTCGAGAAGCAGTTCAACGCTTTCAAGCCCGCCACCTACGATGTCTCCCGCCAGTTGAAGGCCATCGATACCTTCGAGGCCCAGGCCGTTCAGAGCGCCGAGCAGACCAAGGGCAAGGTTGAGGCCGAACTCCGCAACCTCGAGAAGACCCTTGAGAACATCGAGACTGCCCGCCCCTTCGACGAGCTCACCGTGGTATGTTATGACAAATTGCCGATACATCGAATGGAACAGTGCATTGACTTCATTCTTTTTCTTTTTCTCAGGACGAGGTTGCCGCCGCTCAGCCCGAGATCGATGAGAAGACCTCCTCGCTGGTCTCCAAGGGCAGATGGATGCCCGCCGGATACAAGGTACGTTCAATCCTCGTGCAGATATTGCATATCGCCCTCTCAAACATCATTACGTGTGCTAATCCATTCTATAGGAGCGCTTCGGCGACATGTCCGTCGTTTAAATTGCCAGAACTCTCTTTCTGTCATTTTTTTCATGTCTCCTTTATCCTTCGACCTGTGTACTCACTCACACGACGAAATCTCCTTTTGTCAAGCATGTTGGCCAGCTAGGATACCCTTTGCGTCTGGCAGTGTGGTGTCGGTTGTTGGATTGTGTATAGAAACAATGTTCCATTTAGAAGATGATTTTCTTCGTGCCGTGGTTTGGTTGTTGTGTTGTAGCGTAGCGTAGAGTCAATATATTTGTAGAAGCGTATTTTATGTAAGTAAATGCTGCCTTCAATTTATGGTTTTCCGTTGTTCATATTAGAAGTCCCTTCGATGTTAGCTACTGTTTCCATCTGCAGAAGAGTGATAAATAACAAGGCCGTATCGGGATATATAATTGCAGAAGCAGATCACGTACTCCAAACAGGCAATAGAAGATTCGATTCACACACTGATTTGACTCAGATATATCCTGGATATTGACATACAGATAAATCAAACAACGTCACAACAATTTTAGAATAAATAGTAACGAAATAGAATAATAATGTAAGCCCAACTACCTCGCGTGAAGTGACTGGCGGGAGACCCAGTACGCCTTGGCCTACACTGTCATCAACAGTGCCGGGTTAATAGTCTACATGACCAATAGAGCAATATGGATATTTTATACTTATGCCGAGGAGTACCTCGTCCTAGACAATAGTAGGGTAACCTGCGGGATTCGCAATCTTAGTAGAATTGCTTAAGGAGTGGGTCTCTATAAGTTAGATGTTTTGATGCCTGAGGTGTAAATCTATGGCCATTTCATGTGGGTGGAGAGGCGACTTGCCCTCCTACGTAACATCTTCGAGAGCAGCATGATCAACCGAAGCCTTCTCCCCTACATTCTAAGCTCGACCCAGGAATTCTATGAAATGTTGAGTTCTTTCAGTCCTATGTATGCTCGCAAAAGCGAAAAGAAACCAAAAACAGAATGATCCGGCGTATATAGTCAAAATCAACGAACAAAACAGGTACAGATATGTTGAATACCGAAACCAATAAAAGCGCCCAAAACTCACAACAAAAAAAAAAAAAAAAAAAAAAAAAACAAACTGGAACGCATCAGGAGTAAGGAACAAGCAGACTAACTACTGACATCAAAAATCAAGCAAATGACAAATTGCCGAGGTATGAAACCGACCTCACCAGGCTATAGTGTTAGACTTGCAACATTGAAGCCTATTTTTCAACTGTTGACTAGGATAGTGCACTGCATCAAGGTCCTATTGCCACTCACACGACAATTGTAAAGAAGCAAAGCGACTTTACAACCTAGTCTGACATCCGCACCCGCTAACAACATCACAACACCGCCGCAGTAGATCATCCAACGATATAAATCACTCGTTCTGGTTCGAATCAAGAGTGCTCTATGCACCCTTTTCGTTGCTCACCAACGAGGAGTCCGGCGACCATACTGGTCCCGCTTCGAACTGCTGGGGTCGCTATTGTAGGGAGCATTAACGATCACTTCAATGCTACTGGTATATACCAGGTCTGAAGATAGAAACTCACCCTGAATACCTGTGGTGTGTAGTGAAGTCCTCCCTGGCCTTAATAGTGTTATTGAAAGCCCTATCTCTCCACTCTTCGTGGATCGTTCGCTTGCCGTAGGATTCGTAATGGTATGGGTGATCAACAAGAAGTCTGTCCCTGGCAATGGCCATCCTGAGCAAATTAACATCAAGCCTGATTCAGGGATAATTTCTCAACGAACTCGAGACTAGCCTCATGTATTTCCCGAGCAGGTTCGACAAGCTTTGCATGTTGATCAGGTAACAAGCCTGCCCTGTTTCTCTCATAGAAAGCCTTCTCCTCCTTGAACTCAGCAGGCCTGTAGTCCTTGAGGAACGTCCTCCTCTCTTTCTCATAGAGAGCTTTGTAAGCTTCGTTTATGCTGTTTGATGCGTGGGTAAGAGTCCGATAGTGTTTGTGGGCTGCTTGGCCACGAGCCTTGAGCGTACGTCCATGAGCTGTATCAGGGTACACGGTGCGTCGTTCTCGACCGTACGCCGCATCGGTGGTATTCATCCGGGCTGCATGAACAAGTTTGGACTTTTCTTTATCTCTAGGGTCCATTGTTAATGGCCTGACATCGTTTAAAGCGGACAAGAATGGGGTAGTGGAGACTGAGACAATAAGGCAATGAAGCAATGAAGCAATGAAGCAATGAAGCAATGAAGCAATGAAACAATGAGAGAGATTGGGGGAACGGGAGAATAGCATAATGAGAGAATGAGACAACGAGACAGTGAGGCAATGAGGCAGTGAGACAGCGAGACAGTGAGATAATAAGACGATGAGTGAACATTAAACTGAGTGACTGACAGTGTGAACTGATTTATGAAGTCCAAGGCGATTTAGGACGGGCTATACGGAAGACCATGATAAACAGTAGAGGCCTTTTGAAGGCGCGTAGTCATCGCTCCGAAATCATTCGACGAGAAGCAACCACCGGAAAATATGATAGAACAGATTAGTAGACATCTTCACACATTCGCAAGGGATGCCTTGTCAAAAGGTGTTGCAGCATGTGCAGATGTTGGAAAACACCAATATAGAACGAACCCGCATGATGGGCGCAGTAGGCACGCGATATCTGATTGTGCCAGTAGATAGGCTCTACCACCAGGTTAATAGAATTCTGATTGTTCGGTCAACTGAGGGAATCGTCTGGGGGTTCTGACTGGGAACGCTTGAGACAATATGAAGCAATTTGGTTCAGGCTGTTACCCGGACGGCTGAAAGAAATTGGCGGGAACTCAACTTCTATTTTCGATCCTTTGTTATCCTTCACCACCGTCCGATGTACCTTCCGAGCCCCACGTCTAACAACAAGACTTCTGCTATCCATCGGATACCAGGTTAATTTGAGGTCTTCTGCGTTCAATCGAGTACCTTAACTTACCTGTATCTTCCTACTCGTCTAAGAGCCTGGATGTCTCCTGCTTTCTCAACTCTATCGCCCGAGTTGCTGGTCTGCATCTTACAGTGGCTTTCCTCCCCTAAAGACCTTTGTTCGGCCCTCGGAGCGACGTCCCAATTCTACAGAATCTTTACAACATATAGGCGGTCCATATTATCGGCAGTCTTACTGCGCGCCATCCCGCCCCAGGTCGATGCGGACTTTCTCCTGGCATACCGTGCTCAGCGGATTTGGGATTTTGCTCTCGAGCGGCAACATGACAACCATCTTACGAGGATTCCTCGTCGCGATTACGGAAAGAAGCTCGAAACCCTGAGCCAAGAAACCACTGCTATTCTAAAGGCCGCCGAGTCAGGGAAGAGTGAAGAGCTGCATAATTTCGTTTCAGACAGCGAATCTCTGACCAAGTTATGGGGATTCTACCAAAAATTCGAAGACCTCATAACATTATACGCCAAAAAGGCACTGTCAAACTTGCAGCAAACTTCTGGTGCTTCAAATGATACACCGGAAAGTTTACGGCTTTCTTCTGATGAGAAAGTTCGCCTTCAAAGGGCTTTCTTCCGGTGGGAGGTCTACACATGTCTCTTCCAAATTTCACAAGTGACGCACCATGATGATCGCCATCCAGCACCTTCAGACGACCCAGCGCCAGTATATGCAACAATATTTCAACCATGGGAAATTGAAGAGATCTGCTGCATCTGTCAGTTCTCCAGAACCCTCATCGAAGAGGTTTGTGACGAGCTCGAAGAAGACTTTGTCACGACAGTAAAAGCCAAGGAAGCCGCGTATCACCCCCCCAGCGAACCAGATGTTATAGAACGCGACCTGAGCAGTAATTTGGATTACTATTGCCTCTGGTGGTATGACGAATCTTTCAAACGGTGCGACCGTGCAAAGCATGTCGCCTATCTAGTCGCTCGGGGAATGCTATCCATGTGGAAACTCAAACACGCACCGTTTCAAACAGTGAGACGCATGATCGTAAGGTCGCAGTTCGAGCACAAGGACCGGATATCTATCATTCAAGGATTGGAAGAACTGTGCTATGAAGAATATGAAATAGACGAGAGCTCGGAGGACTGCAATCTTGGTTGGCAGTGGGCAGTGACGGTGACGGAGGGATGGGGACCCTATGCTCCCGCCAATTACGCGCTGCGGAATCAAGGTTATGTGTTCTGGGATCAAGCACGCCTGGAGAGAGAAAAACAATTTCAATCGCCCCGTTGCCCAATTAAGAGTTTATATGAGTTTCCGCCTGGGTATCAAGCACATGAAAGACTCCCTGGCGTTGAGACCAAGCTCAAAGACCTCCAGGTCCGCTCAGAGGTTATTAAGGAGATAGCTGATGAGGTAGGTGGCATAGATGATGGCACTGATGTGATAGATTGGCGAAATTAGGCATATACTAGGGAATAGATAGAGTAGACAAAAAGACAACCTCACAAGGCCCACGCGCCGGCTGATTCCCTTCCCAAACAGAAAAACCCTCCGGCTCTATAGAGACATATGAAAAGCGCACTCGTCTGCGCTAATGTAGGTCCGCCTGCGTTGTAATAGTCCGGCGAGACGGGCATTTCACTACCTCATTAAGTTATTGCCTACCTAAGGTAGTATCCTTCCATCTTTACTTGTTGCATTCAAATCCCCAGAAATATAGATAGGGGGATACTACCCGAAGGGATGTAGTGGGTTACTTGGAGGTGATGGGCCAGGGCTTCTTGTTTGAGTCTCATGTATAGTACTGTGTTTATGTCATACTATATTCTCTGTGGAAGGATTAAGCGCCCGACCCCGCCTTGAAGTACAAATCATGTGGAACAATCAACAAGCGGAGACAGTGGTGGTTGATCACTATGCCTCCTTTCAGGGTAACTAGTTAACTTTAGCCAACTAGTTAACTTAGTTAAGTACACCCGGAGTATCCCCACAATGCCTCACCTTTCATCATCAATAGTCGAATTAGCTTTGCAGCTAGTCATATGGCATCGTTGGTCTTAGAAAGGCTGACATGGACGCTCCAGACCCACTGAAAGTAAGCGATCCTTGTCTCTTCTTGCTCATCGATCCAGCTAACCCAGACACCTTCGCAGCCTATAGAAGGAGAGGGCCCAACTCCCAAATGTTTCCCTCTCGATGACTGCGATATTTCTCAGATCTCCAATGAAACCCTGACCACATTGTTCGAAACCGAGCCAGCCCTCAATTCCTACCAAGGAACACGTATTGTACGCCTATCCCAGGCATTGATTCTCAAAGGCGGGACTAGAACTCGACCATGCGAGTTCAACATCCTCAAGCTTGTCAGTGAAGCAGGAGAGCGAGAGAGATCGAAAGCCATTCCAGTGCCTAGGGTACACCGAGTTTTCAACATTGAAGCGGACGAGATATATGGTTACAAATGCCTGATCCTTATGGATTTTATTGATGGCAGGTCAATCGAACAATGCTGGGGTGATCTGAGCCATACGGAACGGGTAGACGTCGTTTCTCAAGTCGCCTCCATAATAACCGTCCTGCGATCTATTCCTTTGTCTCCGCAACAGCAGCAACAACCCGGCCCGGTGGGCTGTAAATCCTGCGTGGCTCTGGGATATTGGTTTACTGATATAGGAGCCGGCCCAATTGAATCGAAAGAGTATCTCGAATCTTGGCTCAACGGTCGACTTGACGTATCCCAAAAGTTCCATCAGGCCCCCGACGACGCCCCACTGTTTCATTTTGACAAATTCGTTCTCACCCACTTGGATGTTGCGCTTCGTAATCTGATCCTGGATCCCCATGGCAAAGTTTGGCTGATCGACTGGGGCGATGCGGGGATATACCCTGATGGGTTTGAGGTGGCATCACTCAAAGCACGCAGGTTCGAGGCACCAGAGTACACTGACATGTTACTTGAAATGCTTTCCAAAACACTTCCAATGCATGAGGAGCTATACCAGCAATTGAGATCGGTTACGTTTGCTTTAACCACTGGCCAATGGTTATTTAGGGAGAGAGAATTTTGGTGACTTTAGCATGCTGTGATGTATCATGTTCGAGGGGGCTGGCATGCCTTCAGCATCCGCGTCTGCAAGATGTTCATTATGTTTTTTAGCCTTTTTTTCTGTGAATGGAAAACATCTTTTGTGAAGATAGTCACTATAGTCATAAACAGCTGTAAATGATAAGATCCGACGCAGTTCTACCGGGAGTGCTTCCTTGCAATACATTCCACCGGCGACGGGTCCGAAGGGTTTACTTGGAGACGGTCTGACTGTTTCTACCCAGTCAGCTGATGGCTTTTTCACCAACAACCAAAGGCTGGAATCCGGCTCCGCTGATGACACTGTGAAACGCTGGGATGGCGAGTCGTAGCAGACCGTGAGAGCTATTCCAGCTGGCACTGTAAAGAAGCCAATAAATACCCCTACTATATCCTTCTTACTCGGATCGAAAGTGATATTGGGAATAACAAAAGACAGTCAGACGCCCTCTAACATCATTGAAGAACGCTCAGGAGTCTGTTTATCAGAGACGGGACCCCAAAGTCTGACAAGGAATTCGAAGAAACAGATAACAAACATCATGCTATATCGCCGTAGACTGATTGGTCCACCAAGATCTAGCCCTATTCACTGAGGTTGGGAATTAATCGCGTTCTCGCTTCTTCTGGGGCAACCTTGATAGCACAGTTGACTTTGTACTGTAACTATTTGTGTGCTGTACCGCAGAACAAGCAGACATTCTTAGCCATGGTGGTTATTCTTAGTGTGCTGATACTTTTTATCTCTTACTTAAGTTTCTACTTGACTTATACTTACCTGTTTCCACGTCCTGGAAAGAACCATGCTCGTCACTGCCGCTCAGTGATCGGCGGAAACCAACCTAATAGCCTCAATATACTTCAGTCAAGGGCATTGCCCAATGCAAGTCGTCGACTTGCATTCGGAATCGATAATGTGTTCACAAGTACAGATGGCGCCTGTGTGAAAGACTTCGTTAATACAGCAACGCGCCTAATCAACCTTGGATATCCCCGATGGAAACATCTCTCTGTCATTCTTCAGAGTGCAGCTCGAGACTGGATAGTGAACGCGGACGACATTCGAATCAAAACTATGGTGCAGTCGCTGTCGCTGCGAGCAGCTCTTGCAGTGGTTTGGAAGGAGAATTTCAATGATAATATTGACGACAAATACCTGATCAATCTGGCCAATGCTATCAACCGCGTGTGGATAGCTTCAAAAGACATACGTACCACACGGGAGTTCAAAGATAACCGTGACCTCCAGGAAGCTCTGTTGGCTGTGTTTCCTGGTCATGATCTGACATGCCCTCGACAGAGCCCGCTAAACTTCATCCTCTCCGCCTTCGAAACGCTTTGGCGGATTGTCCTCATGACTTTTATCGAGGTTGGGTTCAAGACGGGCCAGCATCATCCCGAATGGCGAGAAGCTCTCATTGCATTTGCCCAAAGTCCTACAACAAAGGATTTTGAAACAGCAAACCCCATCTCTGCTGGATTTCTTGTCAAAGAAGCACTTCGTCTCTATCCTCCCACCAAGCGAATTTATCGTGCACACAAATCGGCAGCATCGAAAGAGCATACCATTGTCGCGGCAGATATAGAAGCTTGCCACATCGACCCCACAATCTGGGGACCAGATGCCAAGGCATACAACCCATCCAGATGGACACGTTTGACAAAAGAGCAGAAAGACGCCTTTATTCCTTTTGGAAGTGCCCCGTTCATCTGTCCAGCCAAGGCAGTTTTTGGACCCCGGATTATCGGGTTGCTTGTTGGAGTCTTGTTCAGTCAGCTACAGGGAGATTGGCGCTTAGAGGGTGTTGGAGATTTGGCGAGGGCGAGAGAGAGATTGAAGAATGAGAGAAGTTCATATGATGGTGCGGTGTTGGTTCGCTTTTCATGATCTCGTCCAGGAACATATTGAATTGAATTTTTTTTGTTCTAGCCTGTGTACTCGGGAGCCTTGAATAGATGATACAGTGCAGGCAACTCCAAAATAAACGAGGTGGGCCCTCGTCAGCGCTAACTCGAAGGTTGGCGCGGGCTTGAAGCGCTCTAGGCTCACTCACGTGTTACTCTTGTCGCGGCGGCAAGAAACTTGCAGCCCAACCCGAAACCCAAATTCCTTCCATGTGAGGCTATCCAAGCTCATGGAATCTCCCAACCCAATCAAAGGGTCCGGTCCGATGGGGCAAGCCTCTCTCCCGGTTGTAAACCGGTCACGTCTCGAACGTCTACCCGTGGAGATCATCCAAGAGATCTTCCTCTACTCTCTCGAGTTTAACTTCCCTAGAGCGTCGCGATTTATCGCTGGGATTTTATCCAATACGGTGATTTATACCTGGCTCATTCGACTCGCGTTCAGCAGCGCCAACGAGAGTTCAAAACGGGGATTCTTCACCCCGGACTATCTACCCGCGCCATTGGATTTCTGGGCCCTTTCGACGGAAGAGCGGAGAGATCTCCAGACAGACATCCTAGCCTGTGGCTGGTGTACCTTGCCGCTGATTCGGAAGTGTCAGCGGGAGTACATAGGACATGTCATTCGGCGTCAGATGCAAGTTTTCGAGTTCTGCGCGGACGAACTGCCCGCGCTGGCCGAGATGAGCCGTCTTTTCGAGAATCTGGAAGAGTGCGAAAACGACGAGAGGCTTCACGCACAAGGCGCTATCAACCTCAAAGCCCACGACCGAGCCACCGGCAAGGAAGTAAAAGTGGCAGCATGGTTTCACCACGGGGCTGTACAAATCCTGCAGCCGAGCGGGATGGACCCCCGGTACGAGATCTTTCAGCTGCCAGAATGCTCGACTGTTTGTCCGCCTCGCATGCCCGACAAGCTGCTCTGCCCCCCGTGGACCGATGCCAAGCTTGGATTTCTCCAAATACTTTCGGTGGCCGCGTACATCGACGAGGACTCGTTATTGTCGCGTTCGAAGCGTGTGCTTCGACAGGTGATCCGGGATCGGGACTTGGCGACCTTTAGGCGAGTAATACGGATGCACATTCTCGTACAGGACTACAAGTATCCCCAGCGCTGGCCAGTTCCCAATAGTATTTTTCGCGCGGCATTAAAGTATGCAGACGAACGCGACGATCCGTTCGTTAAGATTATGGTGAACCATTGTTGGGAGGACATCCCGCGCGATGATTTGCAGCTGAAGGACCAATTAATGACGAAAGCAGGGCTGAACAGAGTGGGATGAGATTATACGCAGGCTGCCAGGCACGACAAGACAGCAGACATTGCCCTATCGGCATTATGAGATAACGACGTCATGTCGCGCATACAGATTGGAGTTAATAGTGATTAAAGCGGGAAAACTATTGCATTGCTAAAAATACACGCCGACCGAGAAGAAAGCCTGCTCAGAGTAGGGTATGAAAACAAAGGAAAGGACAACGAAAAATCAGTGATATCACAACGATAAACATCCAACCGAAAACCCATCAAACATGATCATCATAACTCGTATGGTTTAGTCATCGAGACGAGGGGTGTCATATTCTTGATCTCCGCGTTGTTGTTCTTCTGCTTCGACCGCAGTAACCACAGGTGAGGCAGGTGATGACGGCACGGCAGATAGACAAGACACCATCGATGATGACCTTGCAGACAGCTCCGATGGCATTCACGATGGCCATTAGACAGGCACCGATGGACTGGAAGACGCCCTTGATCTGTGGAAGGAGTCAGCATCTTACTCAAGACATGCAACGCGGAGCTGAAAGGAGACAAGGGTGACATACACAAGACACGACGGCTCCCATCTTGATTTATTTGGCAGGCTTTGAGGATTTGTTGGACTTGGATGAATTGTTCGAGTTCGAGTTCGAGGAGGACTGAGAGGGAGACGAATCTCTAGTAGGTCCTTTCACAGAGTATGACGAGGAGGCAGTAGTATGAACGGAAGTGTCGCTGAATGGACGCATGATGAAGAGAAAAACCGCCGAAGTGACAAGAGGAAGGTTCTTTTATACGCCAAAGTCTGCCAACAAAGAAAAGAGAATGATGTATGCTGTACGAATAGAAAGGCCAGCAAACGACGTAAACCAGAGGACGGGAAGAGTGAAGATCAGATAGGAGACTGGCTATGATCAAATAACTGACCAAGTCTTTCCCACCGGCGACGCGATTCCGTCATAGCGACGCTGTCAAACCTGGTTCGCAGGGCCTGAATAGGAAAGGGGGCGTGTCAATCCTTATCATGACGAACCACGCCCTGATCCGAGCTCGCAGCCACTGGGTCCAAGAATCTCGCCACTCAGGGCGGGTTTGAAGGCCGTCCAGGTCCTTACTCGGCTTATGCTATGGATCGACCACTGCATGGATCGTATCCGGCTGGAGACACGGATGGATGATGTCATGGCACCGCAGGGGGACTAGCGTTAGGGCTGCGAGCTGCCCGAACGGGAAGAGGATCAGCTGATTCGCCAGCCCTACGTCGGCCTGATCGGGTGACCATCCGCCAATCAGCGCTGTCCGAGACCACGCCGCTTTTGCTCCGACAACTTCTTCTCTCAGCTCTTCTACGCTCGTCTACCAAAGGCAACCCGGTCCAGTTCACGCTCAAGCGCCAAATGACATGGCCTGATAAGACAACCTTATTTTGATGTTCCGCCGGGCATGCTGACCCCGATCCGAGTCCGTGGCCGCCGAAAAAGAAGATTGTCCGATGCTGCGGATCCCCAGTCCAGCTATCATGACCCGGCGACGACGGCCGCGACACGGCGACGGCGAAAGGGCGGTCGGCCCTTGATGTCCGTCGAGCAGAAGCTGACCGCGTCTCAATCTCAAAGTAACAAGCGCGCGCGACTGCTGATAGTCAAACCATCGAAGTCGCGCAAAACGCGCTCGAGACTGGAGGCCCTCCCGGTGGAACTCATCGAAAAGATCTTCCTGTACTCGTTGAATGCGAACCTGCCCCGGTCATCGCCGTCCCTCGCATCTGCAGTCTCCAGCGAACGGATCTACCGCGCCCTCATCCTGCTAGCCTTCTGGAATGACACCTCGTCGACGCCTTCGGTTACCTCCGGTACCACGATCGCGAAAATCCTCCGACCGTTAGATTACGTCCCCCTCGACTATGGCGAGCGCAAAGCCCTCCAAATCAACATCCTGCGCTGTAAATGGTGCACCGTCGACCGACTTCTATCCCAACTTCCGGACCTCATGAACCTGACCATCCAACGACACTGGGTAAACGCAGGGATCAGTATGGCGGCCGACCAAGAAGCGGGCCTTGCGCGCTTCCTCTCGCGACAAGAGGATCTGCGCACCTTTGAAGGCACCGACGCCAACAACGCCCACTACACCTTGTCCATCAACCCCCTCATCTCGATCCAAATCACCTGCCACGAAACCGATCACCAGCAAACGCACCAGATCCTCGGCATGCTCAACTTCCCCGACAAACTCCTCCGCGGCGGCGGCGGCGACCACGACCCGGACCTCTTCACGCAGGAGCACGTCGCCTGTCTCGAAATCCTCCGAGTCACCAGCGGGTTCGCCCGCCCGGACCTCATCCAAACCAACATCCACGTCTCGCGCGAAGCCATACAAGCCGGAATCCACACCGCCCTGATCGAACACAACGCGCGCGCGCTCACCACCCTCCTCAAAATCGACGAGTACGTGTTCCGCAGCGAGCACACCGCCATCGGCCCCGACCAAACCAGCACGCCCTACACCCTCCCTGCAGAACACTACCGTACAGCCGTGCGCGTCGCACGCTACGACCCCACGCTCTTCCAGCTCCTCCTCCGCGCCAGCACCGAGTCCATCCCCGCCGACGACGCGGAGATCACACAGTGGGCTATGGACCTGAATGATGCTTTCGGTCACTGGTTGCTCGATCTGATGCTGTGTCTGCCGCAGCGGGTGGAGGCGGCGAACGCGAACCCGGTCGACGGGGCGCTGTTTTATCTCGGCAGGGCGAATGGTCAGTTGGATCTTGCGCGACGGTATTTGAGGGATGTGTTGGGGGTAGAGGAGTTGGGGTGTTGGATGGAGGAGTGTGAGGTGGATGTGCAGGGGCTGTGGATGGAGAAGGCTGTTGCGTAGGAGGGATGTCTCCTTTTAGTTTGAGATAAGGCTTGATTGCCTGGTTGATTAGCTGAGTTGTACATATGTAGAATTAATAATGTAATGAATGAACTATGGACTTGAATTGTATTAAATAAATCTAATATACACACCCCTCAATTAATAAAAACAAGAGAAACTGGGTGGGCTCTACTCTTCATCCCATCCATCATCACCCTGACCATCATTTCAACCACCCACCCACCCAACCTTTATGACAAAAAACAAGACAAAAAGGTAAAGGAGATGAAGGAAAGGATTACATATTCCCCAACAACCTCACCACCCCCCGAACCCACCCCCCAATCGTAATCTGATACCCCGTCTCCACGACCCCCTTACACATCTCCCACGCCTTATACCCTTCATCCCCTTTCTGCCCGTCTCCACCCTTGCCAATCGGATAATCGACCCTCGGCGGAATGCGCGTCGCCATGACCCTGGGCCACCGATCCACACAAACACTCTTAATATTACAAACCCCGCGGAGTCCTTCCTCGCCTGCGAACCGACCGTATCCGGACCCCTTGACGCCGCCAAAGGGTAACTGCACGGCGTAATACGCGCCAAAGTCGTTCACGGCGACCATTCCGGCTTGGATTCCGGAGACACATGCGGAGATGGAGGGCGCGTGGTAGCCGAAGATGGAGCAGCCGAGGGCGTAGTCGGTGGAGTTGGCGATGGAGATGGCGTGCGGGACGGAGGAGGCGCGCATGAGGAGGAAGATGGGGGCGAAGAGTTCGGTTTGCGCGATTTTCATGTCTGGGGTTACGTCTGCGAGGAGGGTTGGGAGGAAGTAGTGCCCGTGCGGGTGCCGAGGGTGTTTGTATTGCGTGCCGCCGTGGATGAGGCGCGCGCCGTGTGCGACGGCGTCCGTGATGAGGGATTCGAGGCGCGAGAAGCCAGCTGGGGAAATCAGGGCGCCCATGTCTGGGGTGCGCGGGCCGAGCGGAGGAGAGTCGAGGAGGATGGAGCCGATGGAGAGAGATTGGATGCGGGAGGAGACAAGGTCGAGGAGGCGGTCGTAGACGCCTGGGAGGGCGATGATGCGTTCGGCACCGACACAGTTCTGGCCGGCGGATTGGAAAACGCCGCGCATGAGGATGGAGGCGACGGAGGGGAGCTCGCGGATGGTGCGCGCGTCGTCGAGAACCACGGCGGGGTCCTTGCCGCCGAGTTCGACGGTCACCGGGGTGAGGGCCTTTGCGGCGGATTCGCAGACTTTGTGCGCAACAGGCTTGGACCCGATGAAGGTCAGCTGGGCGATGTCCGGGTGGGAGGTCAGGAAGTCGGCGACGTCGGGCAGACAGACGACGCTCTGGACGAGGTCGCGCGAGTGGCCGCAGCTGGCGAGGGCGCCGCGAGCGACTTCGAGGAAGAAGGCGGAGGACCAGGCGGTTTGTTCAGAGGGTTTCACGACCACCGCGTTGCCGGCGAAGAGGCCGCTGATGACCGGCCCGATGAAGTTATGCAGCGGGTAGTTCCAGGAGACGCAGGCGGCGATCACACCGAGAGGTTCGTACGTGACCATGTTCTTCTTGTACATCATGAGGAAGTTGGTCGGTCTGGGCTCGGGGGCCAGGGCCTTCTCGCCGTGATCGATGGTCCATTTCAGTTTCTCAGCCGTGACGAGGATTTCTCCGAACGAGGCGTCCACTTTCGTCTTTCCGGAGTCGAGGCAGCATGCGGTGGCTAGTTCATCCTGATGCTCGAGAACGTATCTGCGAGGGAAGGAAACAACCCGTCAGTCACCGCGTCCCAAGTCTTCCTTTCCAGAGCAGAGAGAATACCACATACTTCAACAATGTCCTCAGAACCTTCCGCCTCTCCGCAAAGCTCGTCTTCGCCCATTCCACCTGCGCATTCTTAGCGGCCTTAATCTTGCGATCGACCCCGTCCTTCGTCTCAGGCTTGGTTCCTTTCCCCAGCACTCTTCCATCGGCGGGACAATAGCTCATAATCAACTTGTCGCTCCATTGCTACAGCAAAGTCTCGAATTAGCACCCCATTCCAACCAAATAACCTAGCAACCATCCTCCCAGTATGAGAAAGAGAAAGAAAGAAACTTACCCCCCGAACCTGACCCTCCAACAACCTCTTCTCCTCCCCATCCACATCCTCCCATTTCCGCCCACTCCAATTCGGTCGCACCTCAGGGGGAATCGGCACATTGAAGGCAACAGCAGCTTCTCTCTGTCCGAGCACAAAAATATAGCCTAGATACACAGCGCCGAGCGAGACCAGAGCGAGACCAGCCCACGGCGCGTGCTCCGTGACCGGCTCCGCGAGGGACTCCGCGAGGGTGTAGAGCGCCGGAGGGATGTAGGGCGCCCAGCTCTCCATAGTGGATGGTGCGTGGAGGCAGACAGGCAGTGGCGAGGTAATTGGTAGGGGGTCCAACCGTGGAGGGTGTTGGGGTTGTCGGCGTCGCGAACCGCGAGGGGAGAGGAATGGAATTAAATTAAGTGGTGGTTCGATGGAGGATGGGAAGCTCCGGGTGGAGCACGTGCCAAGGCGGAGATCGTAAGGTACGCTTTTTCATAGTACTATATTTTATGGGAAAGGAGGAATGGATATGAATTGAAAGAAATGACTTTTGATGCTCTGGCTATACTATGTTGATTGATCCCCGCTTATGCTGAACAAATGAAAATGAACAAAAAAAAAAAAAAAAAAAAAAAAACCTCCTCGTAAATGCAATGCACCATTTCGACATACCTGACCCAACTATTCCGAAGAATCGGAGGTCTCGAGTTCACTCAGTTCAGATTCAGATGTCGATTCATCCGTCTCTGAACGAGCCTTGCGACTAGCTCTTTTCTTCTTACTCGCAGGAGTAGAGCCGACCGGACCTCCCTTCCTCTTCCCCGTCCTCGTAACAAGATGATCAATCACACATCCCTCCTTCCACCCCGCCGAAGACTGTCCCGTAATAGCGCGACAGCGCGGACAGGATTTCCCATGGCGAATCAACAACTGATGAAGCGAATACTTGAGATGATCCGGAATGCGCACCTCCAAGTGACTGAACGCCGTGACTTCCGACGCCTTAGTCGGAGGCACCCAATTGAGCCACTTGCAGATGCGAAAAATGTGCGTATCCACGGCGAAACAGGGCCGCTGCAGACAGAAGAGAAGCACGCAGGCGGCGGTCTTGGGCCCGATGCCGGGGTACTTCACCATCTCCACCATCGCCTGTTCCGTGCTCAGGTTGTGCAGGTGATTGAGGGAGAGAAAATTCTGATCTGCACATGCGATTTCGTACTGTTTCTTGCCGTCGTCCTTGGTTAGTAGATCGGCCGCGGGACCATCGCCATCTGCCTTTCCCTCCTCCTTCTCCTCCGCTTTCACGAGGATATCTCTGCGCTCCTGATTCTCCTTATGCACCATGTCCAGAATGGCTTTGAGATTCTTACTCTTGACATCAGCCAGCCCGCCGCTCTTAATGGCATCAAACACATCTCTCAGCGAGGCCTGCCGCACCGCATCCCAATTCACGCTGCCCTTACCGATTCCATTCTCCAGAATCCCAAACTTCTGCACCAGCCCACTAAACGCCCTGGCCGAGTTATTCCCCGTAGTAGCACCGCTCAGTAAAGTGCGGATCAACGCGTCCAAGACCGACGGGACCTCGCCACAGCCCGTCACAGTGAGCGACGGCTCCGGGATAGTCGTTGGTGCGACAATTTCCCCATGCACGGTGGAAAGCAAGCGATTGACCTCTTCACATTCCTGCGGGGTAGGATGGATCCAGTCCGGGAAGGGACTGACGCCGGGCGTGAGGCCGTAGAGATTGGTCTTCTTGTTCTTGGCCTTTTTTGGTGGTGCATTCTCGGCCAGTGTAACTGTGGCTTTGTCGACTGTGTCTTGGATCTCCGCTTTGATTTTCTTAGGGGTAGTTTCGGTCTTTAACGTTGCGGTTTTCGCTTTTTCTGAACGAGACCCGGCTTCTGAGTTTCCTGCAGCGGCCTGTTGTATCACTGTGATCGCTGCACCGAGGTTATGGGGAAGCTCGTTGGCCGAGTCTGCTTTTGGAGTGGGAGTGGCGGATTTAGTTTGGGTTGTCTTGCGTTGTTTGGTCACGGGGGCTTTTTTCTGGGCCGCAGCTCGTTTCTTTGGCATGGCGTATGATGATGACAGCCCTGAAGTGCCATTGCTAGAGGTGTCCTGAGCAGCTGGTTTTGGTGTAGGTTGCGCATTTGTAGCAAGCACTGCGGCTTGGCGTGCTGCAGAACGAGTGGTGCGGCGCTCCATGGCTAGAGGGCTGTGGTACAGATAATATATATCGGGATGGGAGACGGGTATGGCTCTAAAGGACATAAACATCAAACATTAAACATTTAACAAACATTTAGACACCGCCAAGGCAATTGACAGCGCAAAGACGATGGAAGCACAGAGTTGGACGGGGAGTGGACGGAAGACAAAACTACAGGATGCAACAGCCACAACGGCAGATGACATCACATGATCGGCTCTCTTTTCCTCCCAACATTTTCTATTCGCTTGAAGAAAAATAGGTGGATATGAATAAATGTAAATCAGAAATCTTCAGCATTGGTCTATTGATAATCATTCATGCCAACGGGTATTCCAACCCTGCAAGTCCTAGCTATGCAAATGAAATATCATCAGAAAGCCTCCCTGTCTCGTGTCTACGGCAAAACTCCAGTACTCCAAGTCAGGGGTATGACATCATAAAGAAATTAATCAAGAATAGATAATCCCGTAAGCTTCATAATCATGGGTGGTCGGCGATGTTGTGGATGCTGATGTCCATACGGTCTCGCACCTTAGGAGGCTCCTCCTTGGGGGTTTCCTGGCGGGTGGTGTACATGCTGACCTGCGGCACCTCGGACTCGCCAGGGGAGCCGGCAGGAATGATGTTACCGTTGCCGTCCAGCTTGACGCCGTTGGCAGCAATCTGGAAGTCCTTCTCGCTGGCGAAACCATGCGTCACGGCTTCCTTGGCGCGGTCCAGCGCCTTGATCTTGCGGCCCTCACCCCGGATCTCCTCCAGGTGATCGAAGTAGCCTTCGGACACGGGAGTGATGTAGTTACCGCAGAAGACACCGACCTCGAAGTCACGGGGCTCTTCCAAGCCGTTCTCATGAGCAATCTCGGCACAGGCACCCTTCAGATCCTCCAGGGTCTGGTAGATGACGCTGTCTGCTCCGATGTGCTTGGCGATGGTGTCGGCGTTACGGTTGAAAGCAACGAGCTCGGTGGGCGAAGCCAGATCGATACCGTAAATGTGAGCATGCCTGTGCATACTGGTTAGTAAATCGTATGACGAGTTCAGCTAGGGCATGTGGTAACGTACGTGATCTCAGGAGCGCAGCTGGCAAAGTAGACGTTCTTAGCGCCGGCTTCCCTGGCCATCGTAACAATCTCCCGACTCGTGGTTCCTCGCACAATACTATCATCAACCAACAGGACATTTCGGTCCTTGAACTCGGCCTGCATAGCATTCAGCTTGCGACGGACACCCTTCTGCCGGGTCTTCTGCTCGGGCATGATGAAGGTCCGGAAGACGTAGCGGTTCTTGACGAAGCCTTGGCAATAGGGCTTGTCTAGATACCGGGCAACGGCAGCAGCCGACGTGGTAGACGTCTCGGGAATAGGGATAACGACGTCAATGTTCTTGACCACTTCCGGTCCAAGAACATCGAGCACTCGAGCGGCGAGACGGTCACCCATCCGTTGCCGACTGCGGTACACGCTGATGCCATCGATGACCGAGTCCGGACGGGCGAAGTAGACGTATTCGAAGATATCCGGAGCGTACGCCTTCTTCGGGGCCACTTGGCGGAAGACCGGCTCACCGCCCTTTTCGATGATGACAGCCTCACCGGGCTGGATATCCCGGATGTTGGTGAAACCAAGCTGGTGCAGAGCAACCGACTCGGAAGCCATCATGTAGTCCGTACCGTGGCCATCAGCCGAGGGCCTGGACCCCAGGACGAGAGGACGGATACCGTACGAGTCACGGAAACCCATGAGACCAAATCCTGAGGAATGTTAGTTACATGCTTATCCCACACGAGAGATGAGATAACCCACCTGCCAGCATGGCGGAACAAGCCCAACCACCCTCGCAGCGCTCGTACATGCGGGCTAGAGCAGCGAACAGATCTTCCTTGTTGACACGGGCCTTCTTGGTCTCGCTCAGCTCATCAGCGAAGATGTTCAGCATCAGTTCACTGTCGCTGTCCGTGTTGATGTGCCGATGAGCCTCGAGGTCCAAGTGCCTCTTCAGCTCGGGGGCATTGATCAGGTTGCCGTTGTGGGCCAAGCAAATGCCATATGGACTGTTCACATAGAATGGCTGAGCCTCCGCATTGGCACTGCTTCCGGCGGTAGGGTATCGCAGGTGACCGATACCCATGAAACCAGGAAGGTCTGCCACCCGAGCACCGTCCTGGAAAACCCGAGCTGCCATTCCGTTCGACTTCAACTGGTAGATACGACCACCTGCAGCGCAGGTAGCAATACCGGCAGCATCTTGACCTCTGTCTGTATTCCGAGCAATAAAATTAGCCCTTATTTCACCATATCGCACGGGTTCGGATGTTTCGGAACTTACGCTGAAGGAGGTAAAGAGCCTCGTGAAGGTCGACGGCGGCGGAAGACGACGGATTCGCCTGGATCAGAGCGATGATACCACACATTTTTCAGGATAGTATATAACTCTGGAGAAGTCTTGGTTATCAGTAGGAGTCCTCGAAAACAGAAGAAGCCAATAACCAAAAGATAAAAGCAAGGCAGTAGTCAGATCGGATTCTCTCCGCAATAATGCTTAGGTAGTCTAACATCTATAAAAAAAAAACCGAAATTCATCATATAATAAAACCCAAGGACAGAAAAAGAAAAGACCCCGGATTGAAGCCCAACCCGGGGAGTTATGTCAAACACTCACATGCTGTGAAAAAAATTCTGGGCACACGCACAGAGGTGGGGTGGTAGAAAGGTAGGACTTTCGGTCAAGAAAAGAAAGGAGTGAATGGAATGTCTCTCTCAAGACATAACAGAACAGGGGAAGGAGATAAAAGAGGAATAAGATACCCAGGTCACACCCACGGAGGGATTGGATCAATGGATGACATGGTTAAGAGAAGGGTTAAGAAGGAAAGGAAAGGGCGAGGGGAAACGGGGGGATGATAATAATTCTCAGTTTCTTCTCCACTGCCAACCGAGTCAAAAGACAGAATTTTTGCGGGCGCCGCTTAAGGAACCGGAAAACTTGCCGTGGGGCGGCGGGCAGATTCGCCGATGCCGGTGCTGACTCACCAGGACTCACCAGGGGGACGCTAGCCGCTTTCGTCCTTCTCCCTTACTGTAGTTACGGTGCACTCCGTAGGGAATTCAAGATATTCAATTTCAAGACATTTGACCCAGGAGTACTTCATCTCGTATGATCACGCTCATCTGACAATTGAGCTCGCTCAGTCTCAACCAATCTCCGAGGCCCTGCACCCTCAAAAGGCGCATATTTATCGACCAAATAGTACAAGTCATCGTAGGCCCTAACAGGTCAGCTTCACAGAGAGGACAAAAAGGTTCAATAGAACTCACGCCTGACGGACAGCAGTTCCCTGGCTGCTATGGTTGACCGAGTAGATGACATTGTAATATACCGAATACATGCGAATCCGGTCATCCCATTCCTGTCGTGGCTCACTCGGCGCCCAGTGACGCAGATATGTGCGTGTGTACACTTTATTATGGATCTTGTTGTAGTTGCATCGCCAGTTGCCGATCTCCATCTCATTGTGTGCATAGAATGCAGCAGAGTCAAAGATGTAGATGTTCCTCGATTCAAACGCAGTGCCCGTGTTCCCCTCCCACAAATCGCCATGGATCAAACAAGGCTTCACACTGCGTCCTTCAGCCTCGAGTGCTCCGATCAACCGGGGAACGACACGTTCCACGGCTCTTTGTGAGAGTATATTAAGATCTTCCCAGGCTCCGTTGACCCGGGAATCCCGCTCCAGGACGTGTCGGAGAAGCTTGGAGAAAAACACAGCCCAGCTCCTCTCCCAAGCGACGCTCTGAGGCGTATTTCCCTGACAAGTCGTGATATGGAAGCCAAACATTCCCGTCGGGGAGATGCTGTCGCGATGTAACCGGGCGAGCTTGGTGCATAGTTGACTGGGATCCGGTACCTCGTCGCTCATGTCGACGAACTCGGACAGAAAGAAATATGTCATCGGCTCTGTTTGATCAAACTTCCCCCAGGTGTATGGCTTCGGCACAAAGTCTGGCATTGTTCTGTAAAGTTCGGACTGGGCATTAAATTCCCCTTGCATCATCAAACGTCCGGTGTTCTTGCTGGCACACTTGAGGAAGTATAACTTTTCGACTCCGTCTGCATCTTTTACGCAGAGGCGAGCTGTGGTTGTCCATGCTGAGGTGCCAGAGCGATTTGCTGACACGACTTGAGAACCTGGCGGGAATAGATTGACGACATTATTGTCAATAGAAAGGTCGCTTGTAGACATTTCAACGGGGAGAAATGTTTAGAGTAACAAGTGGAAGAAGGGTAGGTAGCCCGCCAACTTTTAGATGCTGTCCCTGAAGCGCGGGGTCACTGTTAGTATTATCATAGCCTTAATCGCCAGATGGTCCTTAATCAAAAGCAGTTTATTGGGTGATTCTTCAACTGATGTGGGAAACCCTGTCTAGTTGTTTCTTAGTAACCCCGCAGATTGTTTCTTTGTTTGCATCCAATTCTACAATCCGAGGAGAAGATACTCCGTACAAACCATGCCCTTTATAGTTTTTCTCGAATGGATTCTGTGGTTCTGGAACTGGCACAAGACTTCTGTCACCCGCTTTTACACAATCTATGATACACGGATGGTGGATATCGTCCTCTAAAATCCTAGTACTGCAGCAGCGGCTGCAAATATCATGAGATGTGCTATGGCAGCAACAGAAGTCAGTGTCTTTGAGCCCCTGCTAAAGGCTACAGGATCTAGGTGGTATTCATCAATTGAAACTTGGAGTGTAGTATGTGGTGCTTGTGGTTGTTTGGGGCATTGGTGGATAAGGTATGCAGTACTTGCTGGTAGGTTAGTGATTTTTTTGGCCCCTAGGAGAAGCGTATGGTGCGTGGTTCACATCTCCGCTGAAGTTGAATGTTCCATTGGCCTTGTCTTAGACCTGACTTCCTTTTCCTTGTGTTTGAACTTACCACTCACCACCCTCACCCGCGTTTGCTCCCCTTTCGCTCTTCGCCATCTCCCCTACAGGAACCTTAGCTTCTTCTTACCAGTGAATGTCTCTCATTATTAAATCCGCCAACATAACCAAGTTATCATGTCTTTGCCGCCGTCGCCTAAAGGTCACCCTCATCTACTCTTCATTATATTCTCAAATTCTCACCTTTATCCTCTCATCCTCTCATCCTCTCATCCTCTCATCATCTCATCCTCTCATCATCTCATCCTCTCATCCTCTCATCCTCTCATCCTCTCATCCTCTCATCATCTCATCCTCTCATCACTCCTTGTCTCTGCTTGCTCTTTCTCTTTCATCTACAAACCCTCCTCTACTATTCGTCATATCCTTACATCCTCACTTTCACTCTACGTATCTCATCTTCATTCTAGTTTCTTTCTTCATCTCGTCCAGAGCACCTTTTTCCCAATATTGTCGAACTCATCCCATTTAAAGAAGAATCCCCGACTGGAGTATCTTCGTTTCACTCCCCTGCCGATCCGACTTCATAAGCTCATCTTGCATCGGCTCTACAATGAACGTGCATGAAATCTCTGATGACGAATTCGATGACGATAGAGATGACAGAAGTGTCACATTGGACCATGATCCCAGCTTTGGCCTGGAAGAAGTCATCGATCTGACCGAGGAAGCTGAATTCTCTCTCACGGAAGACGACTATCTGACAGACGCGGATATCCGACGATTGCTCGGAAACTGGAGAGAGAATCAGTCAACCTCAACAACCGGTTATAACCCCCACAGAACGGTAACTGAGGGGATTTGGGTTAACGGTATTCTCTACGAGAAAGGTCACTCTGTCAAGCTGCGCAAAAAAGGGAGATATCTGAGAATCCGCTCTGTCATCCAATACACTAGCGGGGAAATCTTCTTCCAAGGTTGGAATATGATCAAGACTTCCAAACACAAAGAATGCTACATGCCTAAAGAAAAGGGTTGGAAGTCGGAGCTGGTGTGGATTACCAATGAAAATGATGCTGAAATTAGCATATTCGATGTGGAAAGATTCGTGACAATCCATCTCACCAACTACTGCGACATAACCAGGGATCCCCACCAAGGCCGGTTTTGCCGATTGAAGGAGACACTGGATAAGAGGGGAGGATCCATTCAGTATATCTCTCACCACGAAGCGGACGAAGGCTTCAGATGGAATCCGGCTGAGCTGCGCCGTTTGTGGAGGGGAGAAACACGACCTTTCGGCGAGGCCGATCAGTTTACCGCAAAGTCCTGCCAGCCCGTGACTGATCTGACCGGTCCAGATGACGAAATAGCTCGGCTTAGAAGACGCAGGTGGTACACATTTGGTGATGGTTTCTGCGGCGCCGGGGGAGTTTCCTGCGGTGCCAATCAGGCTGGCTTGGAAATCAAGTGGGCTTTTGATGGATCCCAGCATGCCACTGAAAGCTACCAATTAAACTTCGATAATGCTGAATGTGAACTTGGAAGAATTGATCACTTCCTTACTAATGACGAGGACTTCCAAAGGGTCGATGTGAGCCACGGGTCTCCTCCATGTCAGACATTTTCGCCCGCCCACACGAACGAGGGTCGAAATGACGATGAAAATTCGGCATGTATCTTCTCCTGCTCAGACTTGATCAGAACAGCTAAGCCGAGAGTTCATACTATGGAGGAAACCAGCGGTCTTTTTGATCGACACAAGCAGACTCTGAATCGAGTGATCCTGGACTTTATCGAAACGGGATACTCAGTACGATGGGGACTTCTTTACTGCGTGGACTACGGAATTCCTCAGACTCGTAAAAGATTGGTGACCATTGCGTCGGGGTAGGCTTTCCTTCCTATAATGATCGAGATCATACTAATTCTTCGCAGTCCAGGAGAGCTCCTGCCGCAGTTCCCAGAGCCAACACATGGGCCGCGAGAATTGGGACTGAAGCCGTATACCACAATCAACCAAACTATTGCACGCATCCCAACAAGAGCCCCGGATCACGATACGCAGGCAGCGTACCCAGAACCAAAGGCGCCGTATGACGGAAATAGACAGGCGAAGACCATTACTTGCGGAGGAGGAGAGAGCTACCACCCCTCTGGCCGGAGACGATTTACCAACCGTGAACTAGCATGTTTGCAAACCTTTCCACTAGACTTCCGGTTTGGACGCATTGAGGTTCGCAAGCAGATTGGAAACGCCGTTCCTCCGGTGCTGGCCCGGGCGTTGTATGCGGAGATCATTCGGTCATTGCAGCAAACCGACGAGACAGAGATGCGGCAGATTAGACAGGAGGAAGGAGAATTTTAGGCTATCACAGCATTGCACTGTATCTTTTCTTTCAGTATGAGTGTTTTTCTTGGCTAGATTGGCTTATTTTCAGGCGGAATATTGAGGGAGAGCAACTTCAGGAAAGGGATCGACCGCACATGCTTTTGGTGGGAGTTGAACAACCGAGAGGCATTGAGGCCGCGGAATTGGCTCAAGGGGGAATCATGAGGATGAAGTACTTGCAAGGACATCAATTGGAGTGATTAGAGCAATTGAGAAGAATTTTCTGATTCAACACTAGACACCAGCCGCCCGGATCGAGATGCGACCGACCAGACCGTAAGTCAAAGAATGAAATCATCTTCCTTGTGGCCGGCAATAGCCGTTGTGCAGGGCGGCCTCGGCCCGGCGTCACCAGAGCAAGTCGCTCTCCTCTCCCTCCCTTTCTTCCTCCTCATCTTCCTTTTCTCTCCCAACAATTTGTCTTCCTTTCTCTGTTTCTTTCTCACCTCATCTCTCCTCTCCCCTCCCCCTCCCCCTCTAATCAATTCCTCTCTTACCTGAGTATATTTCTTCCTCTTCCTCTCTCTTTCCTCTCTTTTCTATCATGTCTGCCTCTTGTTCGGCGCTGAGACGGCTGACCCACAGGTCTCCCCGCACTTTCCAGTCCCGCATCGTCTCCGTCTCCAGACCGGGCGCTTCCTTTATTTCTCGCTCTCCCCTGTCCTCTGTCAATTCCTCAACTCCTCGTACATCTCGCTTCTCAACCATGGCTTCGCTTCAACAGGCTGCTCCGGCCGCCCCGGTCGATAAATCCTACGATCCCGAGATCAAGGATATGGCCGACTACATCCACGGCTACAAGATCGACTCCGATTTGGCGGTAAGCTGCTTTCCCGATCCCCGCTCCAATTGATGCCAGTCCAGAAATTCTGACGGATTCCGCGCCCCCTGCTCAGTTTGACACTGCTCGATTGGTTTTCCTCGATACTCTGGGATGTGGGTTGGAAGCCCTGAAATTCAAGGAATGCACCAAGCTGCTGGGCCCCATTGTTGAAGGCACGGTGGTTCCCAACGGTACCAAGGTCTTTGGTACCCCCTACCAACTCGACCCCGTTAACGGTGCGTTCAACATCGGCGCCATGATCCGCTGGCTCGATTACAATGACTGCTGGTTGGCCGCTGAGTGGGGTCATCCTTCGGACAACCTCGGTGGTATCCTTGCCGTCGCCGATTGGGTGTCGCGCACCAACCGCGCCGGTGGAAACATCGCGGGCGGCAAGATCTTTACCATCAAGGACGTTCTGGAGGCCATGATCAAGGCTCACGAGATCCAGGGCGTGTTGGCGCTCGAGAACTCGTACAACCGGGTCGGCCTGGACCACGTGGTGCTGGTCAAGGTGGCCACCACTGCCGTCGTCTCGAAGATGCTGGGATTGAACGAGAAGCAGACCGCCGACGCCATCACCCAGGCGTGGGTGGACGGCCAGAGCCTGCGAACCTACCGACACTCCCCGAACACCATGTCGCGGAAGTCCTGGGCCGCAGGTGACGCCTGTCAGCGGGCCGTTAACCTGGTCTTGAAGGTGCAGAAGGGCGAGAGCGGACTGCACACCGTTCTGTCGGCTCCCATCTGGGGATTCTACGACGTTCTGTTCAAGGGCAACAAGTTCAAGTTCCAGCGCCCTTACGGCAGTTACGTTATGGAGAACGTTCTCTTCAAGGTGTCTTATCCAGGTGAGTAACCTCCCGGAAACATGGAACCCACGGTACGAGAATTCCTCGCTAACTATGAACAGCTGAGTTCCACTCGCAGACTGCCATTGAAGCTGCTCAGATCATCAACAAGAAACTGGCCGCCATGGGCAAGAGCGCCAAGGACATCAAGGAGATCACCAACCGCACGCACGAGGCCTGTGTCCGCATCATTGACAAGCAGTTCAAGCCGATGGACAACTTTGCCGACCGCGACCACTGCGTTCAGGTGAGTTTGACTGTGCATTCCGATCCTCTAAACAGCGTACTGACTGCAATAGTACATGGTTGCCACCATGCTGGCCTTCAACCGATTGACGGCCAATGACTACACCGACGGCTCGGAGGCCGCCACTTCTCCCCTGGTCGAGAAGCTCCGCCAGAGCATTCGCTGCGTCGAAGACCCCAAGTTTACCGCGGACTATCACGACCCCGCCAAGCGCACCATCCCCAACGCGCTGACGGTCACCCTGAACGACGGGACGGTGCTGGAGGAGGTTGTCGTGGAGGCACCCCTGGGTCACCGTCTGCGTCGCGAGGAGGCCAAGCCTGAGATTCTGGACAAGTACAAGCGCCACCTGCAGGCACACTTTGATCAGGCTCGCATTGACCAGCTGGTTGAGCTGGGACAGAACAAGTCTGCCATTGAAAACTACGAGGTGGACAAGTATGTTGACTTGTACGTGACGGACAAGATTGCTACTGCGTAAGCAGCTGGCAAGACGGGGAGTAATGAACTAAAGGTAGAATGTTGACGGATGTATGAATTTGGCGTATATATCAGATGTTATGCAGTAGACTCAATGCAATTATCTTGACCCAATCTTATGCAATACTAATTCAGGAGAATACTTGTCTTCAAAGAAATAGCGACGGACCGACGGCAAAAGAGAGATCCACATGAGCTAACAGGCATGCAGCATCGTTATGGAGATCAACATGACATATGCTTCCCCGCAACCCCAGACCAGACACTGATTCGAGGGAATACAATTCCTGCATGAAGATCGATGATGAGATTCTGCAGCCCAAGTCAAACTACGGACGAGTTTCTCCGCGCCACCACTCTTGGCTTGTTTCATAGAATGTGCAACTGCAATGTGGGATGAGCCATCTGGCATGATTCACTGAAGTACAGTCACGTAGACCTTACCTATTAACCAGGGGACATGAATCAGGATAAATGCATGCATACCCCCTCCTCCCTGTTCTCTACATCTCCCTACAGCCTCTAATCCCATCCAAAACCATGTCTCTCCTCACCTCCTTTTTCCTTTTCTTCATCCTCCCCATCCTGACCCTCTCCACCAACCTCACCACCCGAACAATTCCCCCGGACAACTGCCTCGTCGTCGACCAATCCAGCACCAACAACACCAGTAACGTATACAGAAACATCACCGCCGCCCTCGACAGCCTCCCCACTTCCTCGTCATCAGCATGCATCTACATCGCCTCTGGCACCTACGAAGAACAGCTCGTGATCAAGTACCCCGGCACGCTGACCATCTTCGGCGAGACCAACGATACAAGCACCTACGCGCATAATACGGTCACAATCATGCATACGATCTCCTCGCCTGAGGCCGGTTCGTTGGTTGATAGTGCCACCGTAGCGGCTGAGAGCGATGGGTTGAGGATGTATAATGTTAACGTTGTCAATGGGTTTGGGGCGGGGGCACAGGCTGTTGCGTATGTCTTTTTTTCTTCCCTTGCTCTACTACACATTTGGTTGTCATTTAGTGTTTATCATGATGAGATGTTAGTTAACGAAGTAGATAGACTCTCCGCGAACGGCGACAAAATGGCCTTTTATGCCTGCCAATTCATCGGCTACCAGGACACGTTGTACGCGAAAGACGGAACGCAATATTATAAGAACTGTTATATTGAAGGTATGTACCTCTACCACATATATCTCGTCCGTCCCTTCCCCCTTCCCCTCCCACCAACCCACTCAAACAGACAAGCTAACACCCCCCCAGGAGCCGTCGACTACATCTTCGGCGCGGCATCCGCCTACCTCTCAACCTGCACCATCGTCTCCACCGGCAAAGGCTACATAACAGCCATGTCACGACAACTCGAATCCGACCCGGCCTGGTACGCCTTCGACTCATGCACGATCAGCGCCGCACCGGGGCTCGAGGACGAGTTAGCCGGAAAGGTATACCTGGGACGACCGTGGCGGGTTCTCGCGAGAGTGATCTATCAGAATTCCAAGCTTAGTGGGATTATTCATGAAGATGGGTGGACGACCATGGCGGAGGGCGCGACCCCGCTGTTCTATGAGTGGGGGAATGAAGGGGAGGGAGCGGATACAGGGAAGAGGGTTTGGGAGAGTGAGATTGAGGGAGAGGTTGAGAGGGAGGTGGTTCTGGGGGAGGATTGGGAGGAGTGGGTGGATGTTGAGGGGGGGTGGGTTTGACTTTTGCTCTATTCCTTGGGTAGGGATAGGTGGGTATGAAGACGAGGTAGAGCTACCATGATAGTAAAACGAAAGAGGTATATATTCAAATGATAAAGACAAACACGGCACTCAATGATCCTGCTCGCGCTCAAAATCCGCCTTCACCTCCTCCGCAAATTTATCATCCGTCAAAATCTGACACGCCACGACAGCCATCCCCGCCGCACAGGAGAGACTCCGTTTATGCGACTCGGGCGATCCAGCGCCCTTCGTGAACTGAGGCGTGTGGTTGACGCCGTCGACCGGGATGGCGAACATCCCGTGGAAGCCCGGCACCGCATACGACACATTTCCTGGACCGTGTCAGTTCAAACATGCAGGATTGGGGCATTAGAGAGACACAAGACTTACCCATATCTGTCGAACCCCCGCCGAACCGCTCGTCGCCTTTCCCGGCGTTGTCGAACACGGTATGATGGCCCATGACTCGCATGGCGGAGACGTAGTTCTGGCAGATCGGCGTGTTCGTTTTCAGATCCGCATATGAAATGCCCCTGTAGCAATTAACAACCATTCAACCCTCGATTAGCCTCCGCCCATGCCATACTCACCAGTCAAATTCAACCTTACACCCCGTCGCCGTCGCCGCCGCCTCGAAACACTTAACCACCTTCTCCGTCAACGGCTTCAACGACTTCACGCTCGCCGCACGCACATAATAATCCACCGACGCTGACATAGGGATCACATTCGGCCGATCCCCACCATTCACAATAATCCCATGAATCTTCTGACTCGGCAGGATCTGCTGCCTCAGCAGCGCAATATTCACATACGCCGCGACCACCGCATCCAGGGCATTGATGCCCTCCCACGGCGCGGCCGCCGCATGCGCCGGTTTCCCCGTGAAAGTGACCCGCACTTTATCGTTCGCCAGGTACCCGCCGGGCAAGACGGTCGCGATACTCAGGAGATCTGGGTCGTTCGAGACGATCGGGAACGGGTGCACCATCAAGCAGGCGTCGACGTCATTGTATGCGCCTTTTTCGAGGAGGCGGACTTTTCCGCCGCCCGATTCTTCGGCGGGCGTGCCGAGGAGGCGCACGGTGCAGGGCTTTCCTTGTTGGTCCGAGGCGGAGAGGGCGTGGCAGGTGGCTAGGAAGGCGGCGATGGAGCTCGTTGCGATGAGGTTGTGGCCGCAGGCGTGGCCGATTCCTGGGAGGGCGTCGTATTCGGCGTTGAAGGTCACGATGCGGCCCGTGTCTTTGGAACCGGTGTCGTTGGAGCCGTGGGTATATTGGATTTCAAAGGCCGTGGGGAGGTCGTAGACGCTGCGGCGGACTTGGAAGGGATGGCCTTGGGATTGGAGGTCTTCGAAGAGTTCGCAGATCGCGTTGTGAGCGTGGTATTCTTCGTAGGCGGGTTCGGGGTCGGACCATATCTGGAGAGCGTTAGTGAGGTTGGATGGATAGCAGGTGAGGATAACAGACTTTGTGATTGATGCTTTTCAGCTGGTCATCGTATTTCTGCAGAGCTGCTTGGACGCTTTCGATGAAGCGGACTTGGGATTGTGAGACTAACATATTGTGATAGGAGAGTGCATTAGTCTGGAAATGTAGGAGTGTCTAGATGATGAGCGTCGGAGATATATATACTGCATACTCGCAGATCTCGCTGCATTGCGCGAGTGATCCTTTCCTTGCGACGAGCGTGCCGACATCCGACAACCGTTCATGACTCAAGGGACTCAAGGGACTCAACTGCCATGTCCATCAAAGTGAAGCTTATCTCCAGATCTCCAATTCGGCAATGTGGTGACGTCAAGTCCCGTGATTGGTGCGCCCGCGATAACATGCACGTGACTAGCCGACACAACCAATCAGCACGAGGACATCGGCATGCCTGGCGCTAGCCCCGATACGGCAACCGCGCACCTCAATTCCCAGGCATTCGTTTTCCCATTAGTCACTAGTCTTTTCTCTCTCGCCAATTTCTTGGGATTCCTCCGAACTAGCAGGTCTGTTCGTTATCGCCCTCACGACAATGCCTCCAACTCCAAGTGGGGTTCTGAATCGTATTTCCCCGCCGACCACCCCGCGGCTTTCCTCCCTTCCTCTGGTCTCAATTCCTTTCTACTCTGTACCGTCCTGCCAGACCAAGACGGGTCGCTGTTTCATTCCTGCAGGGGAACCAACTGCGTTCGACTACGATTACGAGAGAGAAAACGTCCATGGGAAGGACCTGCGATAGCCGAGATACCAAGCCAGTGGAGCAGACGGGCCACGTCAGGCTGGGTGACAATGCATAAGCTTGGCAGGAAAGCACGCTCTAAGACCGGTAAGGATCCACCGGCTGTTTGTCTCATTTTTTCGTATTAAAGGGTCCATCCGGGGAAGTTGCGCGAGATGGACTTGGGGAGTTGGGAGTGTGAAGCTCATCAAGACAGGCTGTCGGACATGTAGAATCCGCAAGGTGAAATGCGACGAGGAAAAACTGTCCGTCCAAGGGCACCGGGAACCGCAATGTCGACGATGTGCCGCCGCTCAAATCCTGTGCGAGTGGAAGGGCGGACCCATCCCACGGAGGACCGCAGGCGCCTCCAAGAAGAGCCAAGCGACGGAGAACCCACGCGCCGTGAGGAAATGGTCGCACTCTCAAGCCCAAGCCCAAGCCCGTCCGTCGGCCGCCGTGCCTTTGCTCCCCGCGCGGGACTCGTCTCCCACGGCGCTCCAAGCCGCCAATTCTTTGGCGCTGTCCGACTCTGACCGGACCTGTCTGGCCTATCTCCAAGACTCCGCCCTGGTGGTGATTCTTGGGAAGCATTGGCCGTGGTCCACCATTTCTTATGCGTACCATCGCGTTGCCGTCAGGGAGCCGATGGTGATGAGCATGATCCTGGCCAGCACCTCCAGCGAGATCCACCGGTCCCGGCTCCACGATCAGGACGGCGCACGTGCTGGCAGGGCGGGCGGTGATTCGTGCGATCTCGATGGCCGGTCGCATTACGGCCGCGCCATGGCGGGTCTGCGTGACGCCTTGAAACGAGACGTCAACGCGCCGGGTCAAATCGAGGCCATCTTCATCACGCTCTGGCTGATGGTCGATTATGAGAACCGGTTCGGGAGCGGCGCGGCCGGCATCAACGTTCATGTGCGAGGGATTCTCTCGTTGCTGCTCCATCATGTCGTGCCTCTGCTCAAGGACTCGAAACAGAGCCCGCCGTCGCCCAGGGCGGCGATCACCTCTGCCCTGGAGTCCGCCGAGACGCCGGCGGAGAGCGGTTCCATGGCTGAGGGGGACGACGAGAGTCATCTTCTGCCCCAACAGAGCAGTAGTTGCTCGCCCGCTGAGCATATTGGCAAACTCCGATCAACATCGGTGCCGCTGTTTCTGCTCTGGACGCTATACTTCTTCACACCGGGCGCGCTGTTCTGCGGTCCTGGCAGCGCGGGCGTGGACGAAGTTGACCTCTTTCGTCTGTTCATCTGCGCGGAATCAGGAAAGACGGAGCTGAGTTTGCCAGAGCTCTACAAAATCAGTAGACAGTCGCCCTCGCGATTCTGGGGGGCGACGTATCCAGTGACGGCCCAATTGGATGATCTGGAGAATCTCCCCGGCCTGACCTTGTATCATCGCAGCCATGTGACCCAATTCAACATCACCGAATTCTACCGACAGGGCCTGCCCAGCTGTCTGTCGCGGTCTACATGGGCCCAGAATTCGTATCGGCAGATAGTGGACGAGATTGCAACGATATCCGACGTAAGACTTGGCACTGTGATTTCGGCTAAATTGGCCGTTTATTTTGGGGAAGTCAAACAAACAGCAAACGGAAGCTAATCACTGGCAATGCAGGAATTCGACCTCCTTCTCTCGTCCGCCAAAGCCGCGCCATCCTGTGAGATTGTAGGAGACGGCCGGAGGGTGATGGAAACGGTATATTGGGCATCAATCACTTTCTACAGCACGATCGTATACCTCCATCTCTGCACGGCGGAAACACCGGAGCAGCCAGGAAACACAGAGCAGGAACAGGAAACGGTCAAGGAAAAACAAGGACGGGAGCACCACCGCAGACGACAACAGCACATCCTCTCGCGTGGCGAAGCCGTGTCGCTGGTGCTAGAACTCGCGTTGAAGCTGCATCGCAGTCGGCCTCGATTGATGGTTCGGATCGTGTGGCCGCTGTTCCTTGCCGGCATCGCCACGCGCGATGCTATCTATCAAGATTGGGTGTCGATCCGGCTGCGGGAGCTGGGCCGCTACGGGCAGAACTACAGTCGGGTAAGCAGACACTTTGACGAGATTATCCGGGGGAGGGAGGATCTATTCCGGATTCTTCATAGTCCTGCGGGAGGGACAGGAAGTACGAGTCTAGTTTGAGGGAGGTACATTGCATCAAAGTGGATTGTGAACACCCATCGATGCTGGAATACTTGCTCGAATACGTGAATGCTACGTATGCGCGTAGAACATGAAGTTGACACGGCAGATTCAAATAAATCCATTATGGACTGAACCGGCCTGTCCAATTCCCAGCCAGCCAGTAAAGAAGGACCATGGAATCGTTAGTTAGACTTGTCTACATTCATAACAAACCGGATCCCCGCTCCTCCATACAGGACCAGCTAGCTGCAAACGATCCCAAAGGACCCCCAAACCAAACCAGAAACAGCACTCAGACAACGTTGCATCGCGCACCGAATCGGATCGCGACCCAGACAGCGACGAAACGTAACCTGCACCGTGACGAATCCAGTCTGGGCCAGTCATCGCGTGACAAGAATCCAGCCAACATCCATTCAGCTTCAAGAATGGAATCCAGAACCGGGATAGTAGGAAAGAAAGAAAGGGTAACAAACAGGTGGAATCGAACCTTCTGGAATCCTTCTGGAAGAATAGTCTACCTTCGCCTTGCACACGGACTAAGATACTACTCCGTAAGAACAACGAATAGGACCGGACTCCGGAGAAAGATAGGAGAAACCACACTGGGCAGTGCAGCAGGGATCATGATCATCTTTCTTCCTCTCTAGTCTCTAGTTCCCTGACTCAACCTATCTAAGACCCCAAGTCTGACGGTAATCCATAAGACCCGATAACACAACTCCACTCCAATCCAACTCTCGTCGCGCCCAGAATAAATCCTATATTATTTAACGCCGACCCTGAACCAAGCCCAATCCAGCTAAACCACCATCCCTAGCGCATAGCCACTACTCCTAGTCCGTTGAGATAGGCTGATAGCAAGTTAGCCTTGTCTGGTGCCCCTCATCACGGAACTCTAGAAGGGAAAGACTATGGGCCAGTAGGAGTAGGCAGAGTTCGAAATACCAAGAACAAGTCGTATCCGTATTAATCATAGAAATGGACACAGATGTATTGGCATAAGGAAGGTCGGTCTCCGGCGGATCGAAGTTCCAACATCTACCGTCCATCTGGAATAATAGTTAGGGTTACTTACCCTCGGTTGTAGGTGTAGGGCCTACGGTGTGTACCTTAAGGGATTCCCGTTAGAATGGGTGGGGGCTATTATTCTCCTACTGTAGAGTTGCCCCTCAACAACAGCTTCTGATAATAAATATGTATAACAAGTGTACACAAATGTAGCACAAAAGCATAACCCCGAGTCCTATCCATGGTCCGATAGTCTATAATAAGTCCGGTATGATTTCCTATCGGTCTCTCCGCGGAGCAACAGACTGTCAGTGTACTCCGTCAACTCCGTGCAGGGCACTGGGCTGATCGACAGCATCGCGTGATCGGATAGTTGGGTTTAGTCTAACTTAGTCTGAATTAGTTCAGTTGGTGTCTTTTCATTGTTGAATTGAATTGAATTTCCCGGCTTGGTGTCTTGGATTGGCGCTGTGATAATCATGATGAAGGTGGCCGGCCCTCTCTAGTCTCCTAGGCGTGAAGGATTATGTCATGGCGAAGTCAATGGCTGAACCATTTTTATTGATTCATGCTAGAAGTACTGTACCTGTACCTATACATCTGAAATTCTTCATATCCAGATTTAATTGAACAAACAAACTAGAAATGGAATAAAATAACTAAATCTCGAAAACTCTGTCCCGCGACACTGACAAAATAACCAACCAACCATACCCCAACAGCAATCCCCACAAAGTACTATAGGAATAGACTGAGTAATGACTACGACTACCCAGCGCCTAAATCAACTAGCGATACTAACGACACGAATGGAAATGGATGGAGTAGCGCCGCACGCGACAGTTTCCTTCTTCGAACGTGTCAGATTGCGCCGTCTTGGCGGCTTGGTTTGGAGTCGGGAATGGGATCTATCTCTACTTTGGCTTTCGGTTGTGAATACGGGGGATGGGGTAGTCAATTGAGTTAGAGCATATACGCTAGAGGTCTTGTAAGTTCGAAGGGGCTATCAATCGAAGCATAGTGTACAGTTTGACCTAAATTTATACCTAACTAATAACTGCCCATAGTGACTACAATTTCTCACTACCTATCCAATTCACGCAGTAAAATAGACATATATCCAAGTATATATACACCATACACTGATCTCACAAGGAATACAAGACAGACAAGCTCAACAACCCCCGAACCCCCCAACTACACCCACGTATGACCTATCTATAGATTGATAGCCATAGACAACCACGCACGAACAGCTGTCGTGTCACATCCTCTAACTAGTTATGAACGATTCACCTACGCTATCTAATCAGGATTAATCAGATCAATCCGATTCAGATCCAAATCCAAACCCAGATTGAGGTTCAGATTCAGATCTAGTGGGAAAGACAGCTAGACAGCTGGCTGGCAAACAGCCACAGTTAAACTGTATCTAGACTCGTCATATGCAGGTGGGGAACTGACATTTACCTCATTCGTTCTACATATTTACTCTACACGTTCGTACTTCATAGGTCTCTGGTTTAATTAGCTAGATAGATGGACAGATGGATGGATATAGTAAGCTAAGAGTCCCCAAAAGGTAATTTCCCGAATGTACCCGATGCTGCAGTGCAGACGCAGACAGACAAACACCGAGATCGACACCCCGAGACCGAGCCTCAGCATCAGCTAACATACACTGTAGTAAAGAGGTTAGAGGTAGATATCTCGCTTGTCTCGGCGAGAGTAAATGCCGACAAGTTCTAAATTCAAATCAATCTAACACATCCCAGCAGGTAACATACATTCATCTGTACAACCGAAAAAAACAAAACAAAATTACAATAAGAGAAAATAGACGGGTTTAGAAGACCTTCACCAAGAACCCCTCTCTTCATTCTTTTACTTCTCAACTGCTATGCTGACTTCCTCGCGCCTGTATGGACCGAGTTATAGTCGGTTAGGTCCTCCGTGGGTCCTCCGATACTCATCCTCGTATGATGGGGTTTCCATGCAATCCCTATGGTTTCTAGTTCATATGATGGCTTATTATTACCTTGAGACGGGTAGTGTGGTAGGTAATAACATGCTGTATTATTATTATTATTATTATTATTATTATTATTATTATTATTATTATTATTATTATTATTATCCTCATCATTATTATCTATGTACTGTACTGTACTGTACCTCTGCACTCCAGAGTATGATGATGTGACGTGCAGGGTGCAGTTTCTTCTTCTTGTTACCTAGGTGGGTAGGTAGGTTGTCTTTGCCTTGTATGAGGTTTATCTTACTTTCGGTTCATTGTATCACGTTCATATATCTAGTTAGTTATTGTTTTCGCATATACACACCTTGCCAACTACCTAGACCTCGAATCAACATGATGTGTTGTCATCATCGTCGGTCGGCGAAATCAAGGAATTGAAGAAGGAAACTACGTATGTATGTAGCTAGACCGACAGCTACAGCTACGCCTGTACCTATATCATAGACCCGTTCGTGAGTTTTATTCTGTACTGTAGTCCTAGTGTACAGTCTCTAGTCCGGAAAGGTAGAGTCTGTCTACACACCGCAATTATGATATATCCGGCCCTGACAAGGAGGAGAAGAACGGACAACGGACAGGATCAGTCAAGGAGATGATTGGACGGTGGATAGGTGGATGGGTCAAGGTGTGGATAAGAATTAGGTAGGTAGGTAGGTCTATCATCATCGTCATCGTGTTGTTGTTCCTCTAGTTCCTCTATCCTGCTCTCCAGAAAGACATACACGATAGGTACCCCATGAGTAGTAAGTGCATACCATCTGTAGCTAGCTGAATGTAGATTCACACATGTATGCGTTCACAAGAAAAAAAAGAAAAAGACTCATATTCTCCCTCCTCCTCTCCGTACGTATGTATGTACATGTACTCCAGACTCAGACATGTCATATTATATCCCATACCAACACAGACTAACACACACTACAGATCACACATACTCAGTACGGTGTACTGTACAAACAGTCCCTGATCCAAGATCAGATGTGGGGATAACCCAAACAAGTAAGCACGAAAAGCATGGATTGGCGATATTGGGCATATGTACTGGTGATAAGCCCGCCATGACGCAAGACAACCGAAGAGTGGGAACGCGTGGTTGCAATGACTGCAGCAGGGGAAAGAATATCCGGGGTGGTTGGAGTTTTGACCAGACCGAAAGAATTCGACAGGATTCGATAGTGAGTTAGACCCAGCCAGAACCAGACCCAACACAAAATAATCAGGGGAAAGTGAAATAAGACAAAAGAAGAAAAAGAGGGTCCGGCTAGAAAAAGACAAGGTGGGCAGGAAAGACTTATCCACTGTCCATCTGTACGGGATTCGTACCAAATTCAGTCCAAAAACAACTTCTCCTCCACGGATTAGTCCGGACTCAATGGAAAGGCCAAGACCCGCTAGTACCAGCCTTGTCCCCGCACTCCCCAAAAGCCAAGCATTGGCACCAAGGACCAGCGACAATCAGCAGCCCTACCAAGATTCCTGTACGTATGGCCCCCCGTGGCCCGACCGGGTCTGTTCTTCTAGCCAGCGTTCCACGGTGACTTGGCGCGTTGTGCCATTGGCTGTTTCCGGGTGGAGTTCGTGGCCTCTACGGGCTTCTGCTGCTGCGGTTCGACGATGATGGCGCATAATGACACTGTTGTCGGATTTCCGGTTTCGGGTCAAATCGTTTGGTCTTTTTCCTTTTTTTCTTTTCGTTTCTTTTGCTTTTTCTTTGTCCGGGTTCCAAGAAATCAGGGAGAGGGAAGCTCGGAAAGGCAGGAGATAGGGAAAGAAGCACATAGGTTCAACCAGCAACCTTGTCTTCCCCTTCCCTCCCTCCTCTTCCCAAACTGTCGCCCGACCACCCTCCCGTCAAAACCGTCCAATGCATGGAAAATTCTCTCATGCATCAAGGATGATCCTGGGGATGGGGCGCAAAACTGAAGGATGGAGGGGGGAGGGGGGGAAAGGCGGGGACCAGAAGATAATAGAAAGTAATCAAATCAAATCAGCGTACTCACATCGGAACTAGACTCACGGCGCCAAACAAAAGGACCGCTCCGACTACAACGCCGACCAGATCGGTGCTCGGCCGATCACCCGCCATTCCCCTAGGAGCACGTCGGGGGTTCTGTTCGTTTCGTTTCCGGAACCGAAAGACGAGAACGATTAGAAAGATTGCAGAAGCAACAGGACACAGAATAAGATAGGTCCAATGAGATAGGGCAGACGTAGGAGACGGATAAGTCGGCTAGACCGGGCCAGCATGATAACAGTAACACCCACCCCCAAAAAAAGAAGGGCCGAGACTAGTGGAGCAACGAGACGAGCGCCGGGTTGCATTTAGGGTTGTGAGTGGCTCTCGGACCCCTCCCTCCTGCTGCGTGCCAAGAGCCACCAGGCCTCCAGGCAGACCGAAGGCGGGAAAGTACCCAAGAAGCGCCAAGGCTCTTCCGGGGCGCGGGAGACTTGGCGCTCCCGCTGGAGATGCAGGGAGTGGTGGCCAATCACGGACCGTCGCCACCCCTCGGTTCGCCGTATTAAGTCACGCCGCCGAGCGTTAGCCGAGTCTCACGTGGCGGGCAGCCGGTCGTCTGCGTCATACCCGTCAAGCATTCGTCCAGATACCCTCGTTTTGCCTCCCTCGTCCAAGGTTCGCTGCCAAGAAGGTTGTCGTCTCTGGCCCTGTGATTGGCGTACGCCCGCTGGCCCAGCCGACGGTGATAATGGAAATAATCGAATTGGTCTTGATGCCAAGCGGATGACTTTGCCCTCGCGTCATCCCAGTCCTAAAGTTAAATAGGCCATGGATTCCCCCCGACCCTCTGAAAGGAGGAACTTTAACAGCAGTAGGATCTAGATTTCCAACCCCGTGTGTCGGTTTTCAGGTTCGTGTATGGACTCACATTCTCTTGAGGACACAATCTATATGGAGCCACCCTAAGAGACAAAGCTTCATTAGTAGAACCAAGCATCGACGCAATACACACCCTTCCCCTCCCCACTCTCTCCCTCCTCTTACCTTTCTCAACATCTCCCTCCTCCCCTCCAACTTTCTGCCATCTTGAGACGCAAGATGGCACACGACGCAAAAGATCAGTCGCTGGGTGCGACTGAGCAACCGCTCTCCAGACCCGCCCACGCCCTCTCATACGAAGACGTCCTCCGGGAACTTTCCGTCAATTCGGAGGAAGGTCTGACGAACGCTGAAGTCAAACAACGGCTGAGCAAATATGGTCCAAACGAATTGGAGGGCGGCGAAGGCGTTTCGATGGTGAAAATTGTCATCCGACAGATTGCCAATGCAATGATGCTGGTGAGTATTCTTTATCTCCATCCAATTCGACATGACACTTACAATTCATCTCTCTTAGGTCCTCATCATTGCCATGGCCGTTAGTTTTGGTATCCAATCGTGGATCGAAGGTGGTGTCATTGCCGCCGTCATTGGTCTCAACATCGTCGTAGGTGTATACCAGGATTATGCGGCGGAGAAAACTATGGACTCTTTGCGGAACCTGAGTTCCCCCACTGGAGTGGCCACGCGAGACGGTAAAACTGCCACGGTGCCCGCCACGGAAATTGTTCCCGGCGACATGATTGAACTCAAAGTGGGCGACACGGTTCCTGCCGATGTTAGGTATGTCTTTGCTCCTTCTAGCCAGACGAATGGCTGGATGCTAACATGATCGCCGCTAGACTTGTCGACGCCATGAACTTTGAAACCGACGAAGCCCTCTTGACCGGAGAGTCTCTACCCGTGCAGAAAGAAGTTGACTCCGTATTTGACGACGATACTGGTCCCGGTGACCGCCTGAACATCGCATACAGCTCATCCACAGTCACCCGAGGCCGTGCCCGTGGCGTGGTTGTCGGTACCGGAATGCGAACTGAAATTGGAGCCATCGCCGCGGCGCTCCATGCTAACGACTCCAGGAAACGACCAGTGAAGCGCGGTCCCCAGGGCGAAACCAAGAAGCGTTGGTACGTGCAGGCCTGGACCCTGACCTGCACGGATGCCGTGGGACGATTTTTGGGTATCAACGTCGGAACGCCTCTGCAGCGCAAACTATCCAAACTGGCCCTGCTGCTATTTGCCATTGCCGTCGTTCTCGCCATCATTGTCGAGGGTGCCAACGAAATGCGCAACGACAAGGAAGTCATCATCTACGCAGTGGCAACAGGCCTGGCCATGATTCCTGCCTGTCTCGTGGTGGTCCTGACCATTACCATGGCGGTAGGAACCAAGCAAATGGTTGAAAGAAATGTCATTGTTCGAAAGCTTGACTCCTTGGAAGCTCTCGGGGCTGTGTCTAACATTTGCTCAGACAAAACCGGAACCCTTACTCAAGGGCGCATGGTTGCTAAAAGGGCCTGGATCCCGTCTATGGGTACCTACTCCGTGGGAGCGTCGAGCGACCCATTCAACCCCTATGAGGGTGACCTGAGCTTGCTCTCTGACCCGCCCGTGAAGATTGACCGTGAGATGCTCGGCAAACCGACCCAGCCGGAAGAGTTGTTGAAAGACAACAAAGTGCTGGAGGAATACCTCAACGTTGCGTCCATGGCTAACTTGGCCCACGTTCACAAGTCCGACGCCGACGAGTGGCAGGCCCGTGGTGAGCCCACCGACATTGCCATTCAGGTTTTCGCATCCCGGTTCAACTGGGGCCGCGATCGCTGGACCAAAGGCGAGAAGGCTATCTGGCACCAGAAAGCCGAGTATCCCTTCGATTCGACCGTCAAGAAGATGTCCGTTATTTTCGCTAGCCAGGACCGGGAGATGATCTTCACCAAAGGTGCCGTGGAGCGTGTTATCGAATCCTGCACATCCGTCATCTGGACACCGGGCTCTTCCCCTATCCCTCTGGATGAGAACATCAAGGAAGAGATCTTGCAGAACATGGAAGCGCTCGCTAAGGAAGGTCTTCGAGTTCTCTGTCTTGCCTGCCGGGAAAACCCCAATCCCGTGAAGGGCGAGGAAGTGCCTCCTCGTGAGGAAGTCGAAAAGGAACTTACTTTCTGCGGATTGGTCGGTCTCTATGATCCCCCTCGCCCTGAAACGGCCGGTGCCATTGAAGAGTGCTACCGCGCTGGAATCTCCGTTCACATGGTGACTGGTGACCATCCCGGTACTGCGCGCGCGATCGCCGCCCAGGTGGGCATTATCCCTACCGACATGCACCGTCTGTCCAAGGATGTGGCAGATGCCATGGTCATGACTGCCAGTCAGTTCGACAAGCTGACCGAAGACGAAATTGATGATCTGCCCACTCTCCCGCTGGTGATTGCTCGCTGTGCCCCCAACACCAAGGTCCGTATGATCGACGCGTTGCACCGCCGAGGAAAGTATGCGGCCATGACCGGTGATGGTGTGAATGACTCGCCATCGTTGAAGCGCGCCGATGTTGGTATTGCCATGGGTCAAGCTGGATCCGATGTAGCCAAGGATGCTTCCGAGCTGGTTTTGACTGACGATAATTTCGCTTCGATCATCAACGGAATTGAGGAGGGTCGTCGCATTTTCGATAACATTCAAAAATTCGTCCTGCATTTGCTGGCGGAGAACGTTGGACTGGCTCTCACCCTGCTCATTGGCCTTGTCTTCAAGGATGGAAACGGACAATCGGTCTTCCCAATTGCTCCTGTCGAAATCTTGTGGATCATTATGATCACATCTGGTCTTCCTGATATGGGACTTGGAATGGAAATCGCCGCGCCGGATATCATGAACCGCCCACCTCAGAGTGTAAGTTTCGCTGCCTTTCTTGGAATCTGTTGGCCAAGAACCGTCACTAACATCATCAATAGAAACAAGGTATCTTCACCTGGGAAGTCATCGTGGACACCCTCGTTTACGGCGTTTGGATGGCGGCTCTTTGTCTGGCCTCTTTCTCCCTCGTGATGTTCGGCTGGGGCGATGGCGACCTCGCCAGCGGTTGCAACAGCGACGCCTCGGACGAATGTACCACAGTGTACCGCGCCCGTGCAACCACCTTCGTCTGCATGACCTGGTTCGCGCTCTTCCTCGCCTGGGAGCAGATCGACATGCGACGTAGTTTTTTCCGTATGCAGCCCGACTCAAAGCGATACTTCACGCAGTGGATGTTCGACGTGTGGCGCAACAAGTTCCTCTTCTGCGGTATCATGATCGGTTTCCTGACCACCTTCCCCATCCTCTACATCCCCGTCATCAACACCATTGTCTTCAAGCACAAGCCCATCTCTTGGGAATGGGGCGTCGTGATCGTGGAAGCCATCCTGTTCTTCCTCGGCGTGGAGAGTTGGAAGTGGGCTAAGCGGATCTATTTCCGACGCCAGGATCGTCTTGGCAAGGGTAAGGGCGAGCGAAAGCTGCCCGGTGATTTCAGCCGTTATCCCACGATGAGCCGGTCGGACACTCAGGCCACGGACATGAAGGTTGAGCAGTCCATGGTTTAGATGTGGCCTTGAATGCCAGGTATCCGTTAGAGTGCCTGGATACGACTTGTTATCTCAAAAGCTTTGCTTGCGGATCCCGGGAAGCCTACCTACCAGATCCTTCAGGATGACTGTTCAGTGCACATCTCAACCGAGCAGTCCTCCATACCTCAGCGCGAAACACCCCCCGCGACTGTGGATGCGGATAAACACTCACCGAACTAGTTGGCTTCCTCAGGACGAACGCATGGTGACGAACTCTTTTTCTTCTTTTCGCTCGCACATATTTCGGAATGATTGGTTCACTGGATATGTTCGACATGTTGCATGTAATGAGATCATAGCATATAGAATTGATGAATTTCCTTGCACTGAACCCTCACTGTCCCTGAATTTGATGATAATATGTGGTAATGTGTAGAACTTACCTATAGTTCCAATCCTTCCCCAAGTAACGACCACCCTCAATCCGCAGACGAAGCCCACCCTTATATAGCATCACCTAAACCTTCAATTGAGGGGTAACCTGCACCCATCACGTAATTCCAAGCATTCTGTGACACTGAAGATTGTATCTGCCTAGATATCCTCGCCACCTGGATCGATCATTGGTATGACTGGGTTACCGGAGAACGTGGAGAAAGGGGACTATGGCCGGGGGAGGGATTTCTCTGCCGAACTTCTTGTTTGGGACTAGTACGTGTATGGGTTTGATGGTGGGGGAGATGTTGGTTTCATGGGAGGATAGAGTATGATGAAAGGATCAGATGGGTCATGATGAAGCAAAGAGTGGTTAGGTGGTGAGTCCGTAGGTGAGGGAGAGGAGGAAGAGGAAGAGAGGAGAGCGGAGAATCTCAGCGGAGGACATATTCACTACTATACCCATTAGGTAGGTAGGCACTACGTCGTACACAGGAAGTAGAGCCAACACACCATCATGTGACAGCAATTTAGGCAGCGCTCTTAACCCTCAACTCAAGTAACGCAAGGGATAGAGCAAAATGGAAAAGTGTAGAGAGACCACTTGAGCGCCAAGAGTAGGCCCAAGAAGCGCGGAATCAGTCGGGTCGAATCAAATCTACGCGGGGGGCAGTTCGGTCATACGGTGAATCGTGCCGATCGCATTGCTTCTATTGGATCGTAATAATGCCTCATCTCGGACTGAGTCATCGCCCAGCGGAGTGATCTCAGTTCAACCAACCAGCTAACAAAAATAAACAGAACCGCGCAAAACTGCGGGGGAGAAGGGAACGCTATTTACGAAGATGCTGCGGCCGGCGCAGGAGATACGCTTTCCGGAGTGGTGGTGGACTCGGTGCTCGTCGTGGGCGAGACATCGTCGCCCTTCTCGAAGCTGCGCATGGGGTAGTAGCCCCATTTTTCGAACATCACCCGATCCTCGTCCCAGCCGTTGCAATCGGTCGTCAACATCTTCTCGCCTGTGAAGACGGCGTTGGCTCCGGCGTTGAAGCAGGCAACTTGCTGCTCTTCAGTGAGAGCGATGCGACCGGCGGCAAGACGTACGATGGTAGCGGGAAGAACGATACGGGCAGTGGCAACGGTCCGCAGGAGCTTATCGAAGGAGATCATCTTGCGGTTTCCGAGCGGGGTACCGGGGATGGGAACGAGAGCGTTGACGGGGAAAGACTCGGGATGCGAAGGCAGGGACGAAACCGTGTGGATCAATCCGATACGGTCGGAGTCCGCCTCGCCCAGACCCAGAATACCACCGGAGCAGACGTTGATGCCGGCATCTCGAACATGAGACAGAGTCTTCAGTCGCTCATCGTACGATCGACTGGTGATGATGGACGGGTAGAACTCGCGAGAGGTGTCCAGGTTGTGGTTGTAGGCCGTCAATCCGGCATCCTTCAGCTCCTTGGCCTGTTTGTCGTCGATCATGCCCAGCGTCACGCAGACCTCCATGCCCATCTCGCGCACGCCGGAGACCATCTGCTTGACATTCTTGAGACTGGTCTTGCGGCCACGCATGTCGCGCCAGGCGGCACCCATGCAGAAGCGGGTACTCCCGTTCGCCTTGGCGTTCCGGGCAGCCTTGAGCACTTCGTCGACGGGGCTCATCTTGGTCGCTTTCAACCCGGTGTCGTAGCGCGACGACTGGGCGCAGTACGAGCAGTCCTCGGTGCAACCGCCGGTCTTAATGTTCATCAGGGTGCACATCTGGATGGCGGAGGGGTCATGAAAGCGTCGGTGAACCGCAGCCTAGAAGGACCAAATTAGGACTACAGCCCATGGGAGGGGTCCAGGAGAGAAGGGGAGGACGTACGGCCGCATAGGTCAACTGGTTCAACGGCGTCTGGTATATTTGCTGGACCTCTTCTCGGGTCCAATTGGTGCGCGGAGCAGTGGCGCCAGTGGCCTCTTGCAGAGCAATTGAGATTCTGCTGTTGAGGGAGGCGGCACTAGGGGAGTTCTGGATGGTGCCGTAGGATCTCTTCAGGAGAGTCCGGGGCAGGGACCGCGGCAGAGGAAGCGACATGATCGCGGGGTGGATGCTTCGAAACCGTGCTCACCAACGAAGTAGATGGACAAAGAGGGGGCAGAACGAAAGGAAGAGTGATAAGATGTTGTTGGCACGGAAAAAACAATTAAGCAAAGCGCCCACGGGAAATGGACCGATCGACTGGAAGAGGGGAAGTGGGCTCACAACCGGTGATGGCAGTAATTACTCACAAGTGGGGGGAGGAGAGCGCGAGAGAGCCAGAGAGAAGGAGAAGAAGAAGAACGAGGCCCGCCAAAGCTAAAGTGGGCATGGCACCAGTCAGCGAGAAGATAATCGAAATAACATCCCTCCTAGTGCCGTCATCGTGGGGAGGCCCTGTTGACCCCAACGCCCGTTCAACGGGGGGTTTGCACCCGTACGCAGTGTTCCGTAGAGAGAAGAGAATATCCACCGGACGAACGTCATTATGGTGGATAGACTCTAGACAGAGGATGTACTGTAGAACTAAGACAATCATTCTCGTTGAGAGCACCGAACACCGAGCACCGAGGGAGATCAACCGTGAGGATCCTCAACTGGACTAAGCCTGGCCAGCCAAGATGGCCGATGGGTCCGATCAGAGGGAAATGAAATATTCAACACTACGGAGTGGTATCCACCTATTGCTGGGAATCCAATTGACTATGGAGGATGTTCATCGGACCAAAGGAACTTGTACCTGATCTAACAGACCAACAAACTACAGTACTCCAGAGAGAATCAAAATAAAAACCAACCAAACCAGTCAGACAGGCACGAGATCTGCTGAGTCATAGGCACAACTCCCGTCGGGCCGCCGGTGAGCGGTGCAGAGTGTCCCTGATTGTCCCTGATTGTCTCTGCTTACGATTATGAGATACCTCTGAATTTACAAGGTGCCTGATCCTGGAGTCAAATTCTCCGATCGACGGAGAACTAGCCCGTCGAGGTTTCCCGGTAAACAGCGACAATCGAGAATCGACGTTATCGTTTAGCCGGGCGCGGGGCTGCCTTGGGCCGACAATAGCCTTCTCTCGGCCTGAGGTTCTCGACGTGCAGGTTCTACGAAGCACTACACTGTGTACGGTGTAAGTGATTAACTACGGAGTCGGAGCTGTCTGAACTCTGAATCTGAATTTATTCTCCACACTCTGCGCAATGTTTTATTCTCTTAGTCACCTCACCATTCTGAAGTTCTAAACTGAACATATAGTATAGTCATGATATATAATCGTTAAATCAACGCTTCCCGCAAGATAGCTTCCACCTCGCGCAGCGCCTCGGGTTTCGATGTCACGCTCGACATGAGATACAGCACGTTTCCTAGGACTCGGGAATGGACGGTGAACGTCGGTCCGCCTGCCGCCAGTTTCTCCTGGAGGCCTCGAGCTGCCGTCGACGTGTAGCCTAACGCGGTGGAGACGTCACATGTTAGTCGGCTGGGGTCGGCCACAAATCGAGCACAACCTGCGAAAATTGGATTTCTAGACTTACCTCCTCCGTGGAGATCTTTCAATTCGATACTCAGGACGGTTCCCACGGAAAATACCCCGTCGACGCTAGCTGCATGCGATAGATCGTGCACCAGCCGGTGAGACCACGCGCTCCAGACCTCGGGTGACTTCCCGTCACGACCAGCGTCCTGCGGTACTTGCCAATCCGCGCGGCACTCGTCCCACGACCCACCGGTTTCCATTTTCATCATGGTCCGCAGGGAGTCCACGGCCACCTGGCAGCCAACGGCATGGGCAGTGTAGCTGTGTCCATGAAGCAACGCATCGCTCTTCTCCGGGCTGAAAAAGGCCTCGAAGATCTCCCTGCTGGCCATGGTGGTGCAGAGCGGGATGAGTCCACCGGTGAGCAGTTTGGCGTTGACCGCGATATCGGCATCGACGTTCAAGAAGGAGGCCGATGACTTGCGGCCAAGACGGTAGAGCCCGGTGAAGACCTCGTCCAGGATAATCGGCAGCCCAGACCATGACGTCTCCGTCTGCGCTGCGGGGGCTGAAGTCGCAAAAAGTTCGGGATGTGCACGGACAACGTCGGCGAGACATCTCTGGAAAAGAGGATCGCTGGAGAGTTCGTTAGACGGTTGATCTTGAAGTTTGATCGATGACTTACCAAAACAGCATTCCTCCGGCACCCAGAATGACCGGCTCCATGATGAGGGAGCCAAATTTCATCCCTTTCTCACGGACCAGGGTCTCGATGGTACTCCGAATATACTCCTTGTAGCGCTGTCCCACATCAGAACGCACCCGCTCTTCCACATCAAAGACAGAGTTCAGAGACGGGAGCTCGAGATCTGGACCTAGCGATTCCTTGAGGTCTGCTGGCATTTCGATTTTCCAAACCCCCTGGGACATTTTCACCAGAGGGAAATCAAACCAGTATCCTCGGCCACGGTACCACTCCACCTTCTGATTGAAGGTGGAAGGCTCAGAACAGTCCATAACGCCAATAGTGTCGCCATGATAGCTGCCCTTGAGACCTAGGATGCTAATCTGTTCTTTGCTGGCGTCCCATCCGTACCGGTCGCATGCCGCCCGAAGACCCATCTTCACGGCCACCTCCATGCCGGTGCTGCCATTGTCCGTGTAGAAAACCTTCTTGAGACGCGGGTTTCCAATTGATTGGATCAACAATTCCGCCAGCGACAGGGCCGGTTCATGGATGTTCCCGGGGAACATCACATGTCCATACCGGCCCGCAGCGTAAGCCGCCGACAAGGATAGGTCCGGGTTTCCATGCCCTAAACCCTGCGTCCACCACGAGGCGGAACCATCAAACGTAGCTTGGAGTTTACCTTCTTGGCTCGAATCGTCAGTCTTCGAGAAGGTCTGGAAAAAATCACCGTAAGCCGAGTCAATTGGTGTGATATCCTTAGGGGCCATGCCCTGGTGTTGCGTGAACGGGTACCAAATCGTTTCATGAGCGCGGCTGGCCATGGCCTCCAACCGGTCGATCCGCTCGATGTTCTTGGCAGTCAACTGATCCAGCAGGCCTTCGATGTCTGTAGTTTGCGACACATGGCCGTAGTAGGTCGCCATGGCTTCCTCATCTCGCGCTAAGGATTCGGCGTCCAGTGACGTCGGCTTGGACGGAGGCGGAGTTAACGGAACAAGCGGAATGCTCTTCTTTTGGAAGTACGAGTGCAAATATTCATGATTCTGGTAGTAATCATCGCGGAAGAGTAGGACAGAGTGGATATCGTAACCTCGAAGCAGCAGTGACTCATACGCCGAGATAGACGAGGAAATGCCTCCCAGACGGGAATCCGCAACCAGCACGATGGGCAGCCGGAGTGGTCGGTATAGATCAGCCTGGGAGTTGCCATTGGGGCCCGGCGAGTGGACACCGCCAGCGGTCTCTACCAGGGCAAAGTTCACGTCGCTGCCAGCCCAGCCGGAGAGCGTCTTGTGAACGGAGGCGATGATATCATCGTCGCGCGGAATCTGATGAAACAAAGGTAAGCATTGCGTCCGCCCCAGTCCATAGAGAAGCGGCCATCATACAAGAAAATTCTTCTGCTGAGCCGCAATGTGTGGGCTGACCGGCTCGTCGAATTGGTATAGACACTTGGTCGCAACCCCGGCCGCGTAGCGTTGAATATGTCTACAATCCTTGTCAATAGAAGGAAATTTCTGCGCGGACAGGCCCACTTTACCGGTCGTCCGCGTCGTCCAACGCACCCGTCGAAATTGGCTTCAGGAATGCTGCTTTGCCCGGTGCTTTCTGACGTTGGACGGCATTACAAAGAATTGTCGAGACGATAGTCTTGCCTACGTCAGTGTTGGCTCCGTAGACCTGATGAGCGCGCAACGAACGCCAGAGGGCAGCTCCCACGGGGGCCATGGCCGTTCAGCTAGACAGGGTGAAATGAGATGGTCAATCGTGCAATTGAAAGGATTTAATGCAATGGTTACTAGAGCTTGTACTTAAGCGGCGAGGCCGGAGGAGAAACCATGGCTGACCGAGGCTCGTTTGAGGCCCGCCACGCCAGGCAGTCAGGCAGCCACCGCCTCCCCAACTGTTTTTATTTTATTTTATTTTTACTCAATTCTTTTCCCTGTTCCTGACGACGCTCCGCCGTGGGTCTCAATGTCTATTCAACACCTTCGACTTTCCCCCGACAGACACTAGAACACACTAGGGTCTAAGGATAGCCGAAATGGCACAAAATAAGCCACCACTGACCTGTGCCTTGCTCGTGTGCCGCGATCCGATCCACTCTATTCATGTTCGACGTGGCTCCACGCCCCGGTGTGGTGGATGGTGATAATGGCAGTGCCCCCCGTTAGACTCACAGACGCTATGTTTGTTGCATTTATTTGATCCCGTCCATTTTATTCTGTTGGTCCCGGAACGTCCTCTGAGATCGTCCCTATTCCCCGCACCAACCAACCCCGCCAGTATACTAGTCAACGTAAACAAATGGATCGTCCATCGCCTAAGTGTTTACGTGACTCATTGCGGCAGGCTCTGCATCGCCGAGAGCTCAAGGCTTCTCGTCGCAGACTCACCGTGCTGCCTCAATCGTCGGTAGACTTTTCGTCTAATGATTTTCTATCACTGTCCACGTCCTCGGTATATCGAAAACGTCTGCTACAACACCTCCAGCAAGCTCCCCCGTCATACCCGTTTGCCAGCGGGGGTTCACGGCTTTTGGACGGCAACTCCACCTATGCCGAGGATTTAGAAAACTTCATCGCCGAGTTCCATGGCGCGCCCAAAGGCCTTCTCTTCAATTCGGGGTTCGACGCCAATGTCGGCGTCATGTCCTGCATCCCGCAGCCGGGAGATCTGATCGTGTATGATGAACTCATCCACGCCAGTGCTCGAGAAGGCATGCGGTTATCGCGCGCGGGCAAACGGGTGCCATTTTCGCACAGCTCGCCGGAAAGCTTCGAGGAGGTGCTGCAGTCTGAGATTGAGAGCGATCCGCTGATTCAAAATGGCGCTCGGAATGTCTTCATCGCCGTGGAATCGATCTACAGCATGGATGGGGACATTGCGCCGATCCAGGAGTTTGTGCAGATTGTGGATCGACTGCTTACCGGTGGCAATGGGTACTTTATTGTGGATGAAGCGCATGCTACGGGGGCGTTTGGCCCTCGCGGAGCTGGCGTTGTTCAGGATTTGGGGCTGGAGGACCGTATGTTCATACGGGTTCATACGTTCGGGAAAGCGTTGGCTAGTCATGGTGGTAAGCTTTGTTGTTGATGCGACTGTCGAGAAAATGCTAATCTCTTTGCCAGCTATTGTACTCTGCTGCACAGATACTCGAGACTATCTGATCAATTACGCCCGCAGCCTGATTTACACCACTGCGATGGGATTTCCCTTCCTAGCGTCCATTCGCACAGCCTACGAGCTTCTATCTGAAGGAGAAACCCAACACGTAAGACCCAAGTATCCTGACTAACAAAGAAAAAATGGCTAACAGATATACCAGCTCCAGGACAAACTCCAACAACTAATCCTGTACCTCCGAAACCGACTCGGGGAGCTAGACTCCTGGGATCCGGCAATCTTCGAAGTGGACCATTTCCCCAGCTCGCCGATATTCTCGCTGCGCAGTCCGGTACCGCGTGAATTGGCGGCCGTGTGTCAACGCGCCGGGTTCGTGGTGCGGGCCATCATGTCGCCCACCGTTCCTGCAGGTAGGGAGCGGGTGCGGGTGTGCCTGCATGCAGGGAATACCATGCAGGAGATCGACGGGCTCGTGCGAACCATCGAGTTCTGGTTGAACCAAACGACGGAGAAAAAGGCTGCTCGATTGTGATGGTCCTAAGAAGAGGTTGTTTCATTGCACTGAGCGAGGTTCAAGTGTAAGAGTACGTGGGAATAGATGTGAAGTATCAGAAGACTCTCTTCAAATTGTATCGAGAATAGATTATCTGGATATTGTGAGAACCTAAAACTACGCTCAATTAACCCACCTTAGCATGCATCGTTTCGGAACCTGAAACGCAGTCAACAACAAAAACACATCCTCAACCCTCCTTGGTAAAATATAAAGTAAAATAAATCAATAAATCCAATCCATCCTACAACTCGGACACGTCGGCCAACTAGGCTTATACGGTTTCTTCGCAGTCCGCATCATATGAATCCACTCGCCCATACACTCCTTGTGATAACTGGTCCCACAATTTCCCTTGCACCAGATCCACCGCGTGAAATCGTAACCAGGCCAGAGATCTTCCTTATCCAGAGTCTGGTTCTGAGTCTGAGTCTGAACCTCGCACTGAACTATTTCTCTCTTCCTCTTCTTCTCCCTCCCCCCAGGGGTATCAGCTTCATGATCATGATCGGGGTCATGTATAGTCGGACTAAACATCGCCGCAAACAGAGCATGTGACCCCCCCGCGACGCGGAAATCGTATAAACAGATCCCGCACTCCCCTTGGACGGGGAATTTGGGCAGGACGTGGCTACTATCCAGACCGTGGTGTTTTGCGATGATGGTGCGTGCGACGGACATTGGTGTGCCTATTTTCGGGAACTGTGGGTGGTTGGGTTTGTTTTCGGGGTTGGTGATTGGGATGGATGTGAGATGCTGCGCTTGGTGTTCTTTTCGTTGCTCGGGGGTTAGGAGGCGGGAGAGGGGGGTGGTGATGTTGGATGCTGTTTTGTCATCACTAGCAACAGCAGCAGGAGTAGCAGTAGACGTAGCAGTGGGTAAGCTAGCGAGCGAGGTGGACTGAGATGAGCTCGTTGCTGTCGAAGCCGTTGTCGAAGCTGAGTTCGAATTGAAATTCGAAGCTGAAGTTGAACTCGGCCCATCCCTCCTCTCCTCCTCCTCCTCCTCCTCCTCTTCCTCTTCCACCTCCACCTCCCACCCCCCATCCAAAATCTCCAAACACCCCAACTCCCTAAAAACATCCACCCTCTCCCTCCAATAAACCTCGCTATCCCTACACGCCATGATCTTCAACCACCACAGCACCAACAACTGCCGCTCCCCACGCTTTCCCCGATGTTCGCGCTCACAGAGCATCAATGGCGCCAACTGCGCCAGACACTGCCTCAGAGGCGCCTCGACAGCGAAGAGCGCGTCCCAGGTGCGGATGATCTGGGCGGCGCGGATACGGCTCACGGGGCTGAGTTTGTGGGCGCAGGCGGGTTGGTGCTGCGTGATTGCGATTCTTTCTGGGTTATGGGAGCCGAGACAGCAGCGCGAGGAGGTGGGGATGCAGTTTAGGAGGGTGGATAGGGTGTGCATATTGGGCAGTTGGTTGACATCAAGTTGTTGGTGGGTAGAGGCTGTGATTGCGATTGCCTGGATAGGTGAGTGGGTGTTTTGAGATATGATAGAAATTTCAACTAGAGGAGATGATCTAGAACGTCCATCCCTGCCCCCTTTCCTCACGAGAATGAAGCCGATGAACACCCGTGAGCCAGCGATGGAATAATGATGATGAATACGAACTAGAAAGATAAGGTTGTGAGAGGAACGAGAGATAAGGTTTGGTTGACGAACTCTACCAGCCCAAGAGAGGCTTATATCAGCCCGATCTGTGGCTCTGCAGAGATGAATAATCGCGTTGTTCGGACGTGGCTGAACTGCTTAATGTTATCTGTTGCTATTCCAGGTGGACGTCGGCCTATTTTTAGTTCTGCTGTAACGTTCTTGCGATGTCGGTTGGTTCCCTGGATGGAAAGGCTGGCTGAGCCAGAGGTGGATCGGCCGATAACGGACAATTGGTAAGCTTATGTTGACAGGGAGAGATACTGGAATCCTTAGTTTTGGATGGTTCTCATAGTTTGGATGCAATCAATGAGGACTATCTAAAAGATGCCTGAGGTGTCAATGCCAAGACAGGTACCTTTTATGTATGCAGCGCCAAGAAACCTCTTTCATTCTACATCAATCAATAGAATTCCTGCAACTAGTCTAGACATTCAAAATCATCCATCTATTATTTGTTTCAATCATCGTGCTGGTATCCTTACCTCCGGAGTGCTTAGAAAAGATCTTCAGCGCTGTTTGATCAGAGAGACGCCTAACGTCCAGATCCCCTCACCACTTCCCCGCTTCCTCACCCAAACAACGTCATCAACCAAAAACAATCAACAATGGAAGAAGACATCCTGATTGTCGGTGCCGGCATTTTTGGCGTCAGCACAGCATACCATCTCGCTCTCAACGCCCCCAATCCCGCCCGCATCACTCTTCTCGACCGCGCCGACCCTCCATCATCCACCGCAGCATCCACCGACATCAACAAGATCATCCGAGCAGATTACTCCAACCCCCTATACATGGACCTAGGATTCGAAGCCATCTCAGCTTGGCAAAACCTCCCCTTCTTTTGCGACGCCGGAGTCTACCACCAAAGCGGATGGATAGCCATGGACGAGAAAGATAGCGACGTGCCGACGCGCATAAGGGAGAATTTCCGCAACAGTGGGCGGGAAGACGGCATCGAGGATCTGACGGAAGAGGAAGTCAGGCGGCGATGGAGCGTGCTAGGCAGGACGGATTTTACGTCGTTTGGGTCATTCTACTATAATCCCTCGGCGGGGTGGGTTGATGCTGGAATGGCCTTGCAGGTTATGACGAGGGAGGCTATTAACCTGGGGGTCGATTATCAGGTTGGGGAGGCGAAGAGGATAGTGTTGGGGAATGGGAGGGTTGAGGGGGTCCAGACTGAGTCCGGTCGTGTCTACAAGGCTGACAAGGTTCTTCTGGCGACCGGAGCCTGGACGAGTCAATTGATGTCTTCGGTGGAAGATGAACTGGGTCTGGCCGAAGCTGAAAGAGTGGAAAGTCAGGTCTCTGCTACTGGGGTCTCGGTTGCTCATTTTCAACTGTCAGAGTCGGAAAAGGAAGTGTATAATCAGCTTCCTGTGTTTGTTTACGGAGGATTGGGTGTGTTGATGATCTTTCATTTTTCCTTTTCACAGCTAACGAACACAGGCGAGGTGATTCCACCGACCGAGTCGGGAATTCTCAAATTTACTTTCTCGACCTCATTCAAAAACACCATTCAAACCCCATCTGGTCACAGAATCTCCGTCCCGTCATCCAAAAGTCAATGGGAAGTTCCGAAGAATCTCCAGGAAGACTCAATGCCGCAGATTCGTGCGCGACTCCCGCAGCTCGTGGAGAATGGCCGACGACCAGATTTCTACCGGATTTGCTGGGACTCGATTTCTTCGGACCAACATCCTCGTATCATAAGACACCCTGATCCAAATCTGGCAAATCTGTATCTTGCGGTTGGTGGTTCATTCCACAGCTACAAATTCTTGCCTACGATTGGAACGTATGTTGCGAACGTGCTGAATGGGACCGGCAATGGGCTGCAGAAAGACGAGGCATGGGCGTGGAAACAATCCCACGCATCCGAGAGGGGAGTACATGAGTCGCTTGTTCCAAAGAACGAGCTCGCGGATTTTGCATGAACTTGAATCTCGCAAATGATAGAAGCGATATCTTCATTTAATCTGTTAGAGTGTGATGGGCGGATGCTAAATGGACACAGCTACATCGCATGTTGACGATTGCTTCCACTGCACATGCAGGGACTCTCCGTTGGCAATTCAAATCAAATGAAACCACCGACCTCAGCAGAATGCCAGTTGCATATCGTCATCATCTACATAAAAGGACCTGGCAGTCGGTCCTCAGTTTCTTTTTTGTTCACCACTTTCTATCGGTTTCCTTGGTCAGAACATACTCGAGCACACCAATCCTATCTCTTTAAGCCCTGTCTCTCCTTCCAAAATATTTGCCTTATCCTTCACTGTTTCTAACACTTATCTTTAGATCCACAATCCCTACTGGTGCTCTCAATGTCTTTGACAACAAACCAAAGCAGAGGGCGTAACTTTCATTGTAGCATATGTGGGGGCCCTCTCTTTAATGGGAGCTTACGTGGATCCACAGCAGCTACTCGGGAAAAGCAGACTATAACTCTAGAGCTACGAGCCGATGATTGTACGTGTGGTGGTGCCGATCGAGATGAGAACGATACATTTCATTTTATGGAAGAAAGCACCTCTGGCATTGTGACATACGCTATGGTTATGATGCTCATATACTGGGCGAGAGCCAACTTGAGGTAAGCACTACACTATAAGGAATAAAAGTCGGATTGCTGATAAATTGGAATTAGTGGTTGACGCGTGGACGAGTGGTCTATGTTGAGTCCGAAATGCTGGATCCTAAAAGTGATGACGAATACCATGACCATGGATATTATCTCACAAAAGAAGTAAGTAGCTTTATTGCCAGTCTTTCGGTGGACCAATTGTTAATCTGGTTCCTCACAGGGCAGGTTTGACCAGCGTACAGGGTTGTCAGACAGAGACATTCGCGACAACAACGCATTTCCTGTCCACGAGTCATGCTGGAATATTCTCAATATCGCTCATGAATCCTTGGCCAGTGAAAGCGGGGTCGATATCCAGGAGCTCATCTTTGCCATTAAGGAAAGTATTCCGCTCTCTCGGACTCGAAGGCCTTATTGGGATTGCGGTGGTTACCTGGACGCAGAACAGTTCCAGATCTGGAATTCCTGGGAGCCTATAAAATCGTGGGAGGTGAGTAGTCATATGGGAACGCTGGTTCAATTGATATTTACCTAATTATGATGACTTAGCGACTTGTTACCGACCCTATGATGATTGACTTTGGACTGTTTGTCTCGGAGTGCTTTGGCAGAGAGCATCCTGGAATCAGGGGACTGATAACGACAGGCACGGCCGCTACAAAGGACAAGGATCCGTTTGTGCGCTTCCCAATGGAACTGCGCTGCATGATTCTACAGCTCCTCCCATCCAAGGCGGTTCTCGGGTTAGCAACCGCAAGTCCGGCATTCAAGTCCTTTGCCTCCGACTTACCGAAGAGTTTCTGGGAATCACAAATGCTTCTCCATATGCCGTGGCTTCTACCAGTGTGGCCAGAGTTGAACCGGGTTCTGAAACAGACCACTCGGCCAATCAAATACAAGAAGCTTTTAAGAAAGCTCAGATCGACCTCTACCAAAATCCAAAGCCGGGATCTGTTGTATGACGATTATCGCAACCAAGGGAGGAGAATTGGTCTCCAGAGCCTCCACAGGATTTGGATGTGCTGCAAAGAGATTGTGGAAAGTGTGCAAGCGAATTCCGTCATATCAATTGTTGGAAAGAATCCCATTTCGCCGGAGCTCAGGTCCCGCACATTCCAAAAAGTCATCACCCCTTACTTTCGAGATTTCCAGGCTTACGAAGAGGAGGCCGAGACTTTCTTCATTCGAGATATCCACGAGTCGCCTGATATACGCAGTATTACGATATATTTTAGTCCAGAGAGTACAATAATTGCTGGAATTGAATTTGCACTCAAGGGGAAGCGCTCTCCCCGGCTGCTGGGGCATCGATATCCCTCGCTGCAAAGTGTTCTCTTCCCCCCAAAGGCAACGATTCACGGGTTTTCGCTCTATACTGAGTCATACCCAGTTCGAAACTCGTCTATAAAGAGAATTTGCGGACTGGGCATTCTTACAAACGACAGCCCCTTTGAGCCGCGCTTCAAGCTTGGGTCCTGGAGTGATACGGGTGAAATACATCTGTTCCGGCTTGAAGGGCTGGAAACAGCCCATCATCAATTCAGTGTAGTTGGAATGTGTGGACACTTCATGGTTAGTTTGCCTTATTGAATCTATATGGGAACGTCTGGCTTCGAAGCGCTAACGAGCAACAGGAGGGCACAATCACTGGCTTCGGACTTCTTACCGCGGATTTATCGCCGGGTACAGCACGCGACATTGGTACTGTGTGGCCAAAAAGGTCCCTGGATAGTGAAATACATTATAGACAGGCTACCTATAAAGCCTGTTGGGCCCAGGGTGTCACTAGGGAAGTACTCAAAGATTACGATCCGAGTAACCCGCCCCTCCCCCCGCTTCCTCTTCCAAGGAAGGTCTGGACTGCGTTTGTGGACCTGGGTAGCAGGGATATCACTGAGATCAAAGCAAGCTTCGACCTCGATCCTCGGATAGTTTGCAGAAGACTTGAGTTCCTGTTCACTGATGGAGACCAGCAGACAGTCGCATGCTCTGACCGGCAGGACTGCATCAAAGGCCCCAAGCCGCATACCTTGCGCTTGCAACCGGGCGAAACGATCATCAGCAGTGATACCTGGCAAATTCCGACCTTGGGGCAACACAGATTTCGGGTAAGTAGAGTCTCTACAACTTAAGTACAAGGGCTAACCGTCGACTACAGTTTTTTACTAGTTACGATCGTATCCTGCATCTGACAAAGCCGAAAAGAGAGCTGAAGATTGAAAATTCCAATGACGAGGTTCTGAAATGGAATTGTCCGGAGAACCAAGTGATTATGGGGTTGAACTTCCACGTCGAGGAGGCTGGCATCTTAAGTGTTTTCCCGGTGTTTGGTGAGCGTGTTGTTGAAGTCGAGTGAGCAAGTAAATCAACTCATGATTATCGGTTTCATAAACTCATATCAAGAGACCTAAATTGTGCCATCATATTCTCAAGTATCCGCTCAATAGATAATATGTAATCCGCAGCCCATCCCAGCTAGTAGGCATAATACAACGCCGACTCATCATTCATCTGCCGAATCTTCCGATTCTCCCTAATCAACCAGAACTTCATCACCCACGCACTGGCCGCACACGCCACCGAGAACGCCGCACTCGACGACATGGCAATCGTATAGCGCGGCTCATCCGACGACGGCCACAAATACTGTCAACAGTTAGCTCAACGCCCTCCCAGTTCCCGGGGAACGCGAAGGAAACTCACCGGCGTCCAAATAAACGACACATTCGCAATCGTATTCACAATCGCCAACGCCGACGCCTTCTTCTCCTTCGTCTGCCCACACGTACTCGACACCCAGCCCAACACAATACTATTCACCGCATACGTGCCGATCGCAAACACCACCATCGCAAAGTACCGCGCGCCGGTATTCAGCGTCGCGCAGCCCAGCACGAACCCCACGATCGCGACCGCCTTGGCAGATGTAATATGCCATGTGCGCTCGTTGTATTTACCGGAACTCCAGCTCCAGAAGACAGAGACGAGCCCCGCGATGAGGTATGGCGGGCATGTAAGCACAAGCGTGATGGTGGTGTTAAAGCCGAGGGTTTCGACCGCTGTCGGGAAGAAATTCTTAAACCCATTCGCAGCAAGATGCATATGTTGCATGAACGCGAACAGCCACAGTCTCGGATCCCGCGCCGCCTCTTTCAGACCCGCAAAGGTGCTCGTCTGGTGTCTCGCGCCGACGGTATCCGCGAGGATACGGGCGTGCGCGAGTTCCCGTTCCTGAGGGGTCAGCCATCGGGTTTTGAGCGGGTCGTCAGGCAGCGTGAAGATGGAGAGGACGGCGATGACGAAGGTGACCGCGCCTTGGAGGATGAAGAGCCATTGCCAGCCGGTTAGGTTGGCGAGGTCGTCCATGCCGTGGAAGATACCGGCGGCGATGAGCCCGGCGAAGGCGGTTGCGAGGATGTTACCGGTATAGAGGATGGAGATGCGGGTGGCGATTTCTTTGCGCGTGTAGAAGATGGAGAGCATGTAGAGGGCGCCGGGGTAGTAGGGGGCTTCTATTGGGGGTGTTAGTGTTGGTGATTGGTTAGGGCTAGGGAAGTGGTATGGGGGGTTTGTTAGGGTTAGGCTGGTAGGGGAGGTGAGGACGTACCGGATACTCCGAGGAAGAACCTGACTAGCAACAGCCCCTTGAAGTCCTTGGCCAGTGCGGTCAACGCGCTCACGATTGCCCAGAGAGCCATGAATCCGGCCATGTAGAGTGACGGACGAACTCGAGTCAAGATCATATCTACCGTTGTCAGCCTTTCGCTCTTATCAAAAACACCACCCAGCGGCCACGCAGAACAAAGTAAGAAAAGTAAACATACTACTAGGAACTTGACCCAACAAATACCCCACAAACAAAATCGACACGCAAGTCTGATACTGCGAGCTCGACAACCCCAGATCCTCTTCCAAATCATTCAACCTGGCCAGGGCAATCGCATTCCGATCCAGGTAATTCAGCCAATACATACCCCACAGCGTCGGCATGATCCAGAGGTCCAGTTTCCGAACAAGGCTGATCTCCACGGGATCGGTCTTCTTCTGGGCCCCGGAGTAGTCGCCGCCAGCAGTGGACGTGAAGACGCCGCCTTCTTCGTCTTCATCGGAGCGGGCGACTTTCTTGTTGTTGTCTTCGTCGATGGTAAACTCGCGGTGGAGGGTTGAGGGTTTGGGGTCTTCTTTGGAATCGAGGGTTTGAGGGGGGGATTTGGGGTTGTGGATTGAGACCATTTTGTTCAGTATACTAGTCAAAGACTAGGGTAGTGGTAGAGAAGGGTAGAGAGATAGGAGATGGGATGGACAGGTACCTTTTACCTGGTAGCAGGGGGGAGGTCTTTATACCCAACACTCACCCACCCGGAGCGAGTCATATCCATTGCACCTCATATCTGCATGGACGGAGCATGTATGCATCTACCCCAGTAAAACCACCGGGGAAACGCACCCCGCATACCTTCCCCAGATCAGCGCCCACGCTTCTGTCAGATCCACAGCGGGGATATTATGGAGACCAAAGACCAGAAAAACAGATAGATACGGTATAGAAACCAAACAGACCAGTCTCGTTCACACACCCTCCGTAAACACCCGGTCCAAGGCCAAGTAGATCAAGATCAACAATGACTTCGAGTATTGGCAGACATCCTTCTCCAACTCTCTCTCTCTTCCAATAACCCAAAAGCAATTACATACCACATACCACTCGAGAGAAAAAAAGGAGAGAAGGAGAGGAGCATCTCACCCCGCCACCTGAACAACAAGAAGACGCCCAGAGCGCCAGCCCAGCCATGCCAACACGACCCCCCCTCCGCCATAACCACACCCAAGCCCTCCCCAAGCAGGAGGACAGAGAAGAACAAGAAAACAGGAGCCCGCCACGGGCAAAGTAAATACCACGACCAAAATATCACGCCATAACTGTCCTCTCGCCGTGCGGGCTCAGGGGCCTGACCTCGCCCAATCAAAGGGGCGGACAAGTCAAGTCCAGAAAGCCAAAGCCAGAAGTCAAATCGATAAAGTAAGCGCCAGGAGGCCGGACCCGGACCCATTACCTACCCCAGACGTATGTATGTACCGTACCACCTTCCCCGGACACAGATGCAGCTTTCCAAGCTTTGCACAGCCTCCCCCGTAGGCTTGGCGGATGGACCCTCTAGTCTCTCGGCCGCACGTACGGGGCATCTCATCTGACGCTCCGGCCTGCGAGTTGCTACTTGCCGGGGTAGCTACACCGACTTGCCAACCTACCTACCTATCTAGTTAGCTAGAGGGTTTCGAGAGGGGTGGAGATAAAGAAGGAAGCTCCCCAAAGACCGCGTGTCTCTTGGCAGTCACTTGGCGAATGGGGTAGACCTTATTTACCTGGGTTAAGTCGTACGTAGTCATACCCATGCAGTACGAAGTAGCATCGAGGCTTTCTCAAGAAAAGCACAAGCGGAGGGTCAAGTCAAGCCAAGACGAGACGCGATACGAATTAACATCTCAAAAGATCCCATGAACAGAAAGCCATGACAAGCCACGAAGTAGTAGGTAGGTCGGTAGACAAGGCCGTCTAAAACAGCCGACGTCGTCAAAAACAACCTTCCCCTCACTCACTCCCCTTATAATTACACTGGACGGACAGCAGGTTAGTAGCATCGTGGCGTGCACGACGATCCCCGTCCGAGACAAGAGAATGTCTTGGGTGGTAGTGCGGGAGGGTTTTTCAGGTCATGCGCGAGATGGGATTGGTCGGAGAGCGTATGCCCGACAGGTTGGGGTTGGCGGTAGCAGCGGAGATGACTTGTCCGGGTGATGGTTTCGGCGGCGTCTTGGGTCCTGCAAGGTGTCGGGGGCGCCGAGTGGGTTTAATTTTGCTTTTGTTGGAGATGATGGCTCAGGGGGAAGGCGACGTCATGGCTGATGGGAGTGTTGATGTTGTACATGGTGATAGGTAGTTCCGCGGGAGTTACTGGTTACTCATATTATATCTCGTTTGGTATGTGTGTAGTAAGGATGGTGCTCAGATGTCGATCATGACATGTAGTTGTCTTGGAATATGTCCCATCCTATAACTATACGATGGTGGGGATGATTTCGTGGATTGTCTGGTCAATAGAATCATTTTGAAATGTGATCCTGGGTCAATGCGCGAAATATCGGATATTTCTTTATGCCAATACTTTATGTGACCTAGTAGCTCTTCTTGGCTAGTGATTTAATGGTGCTTTCGTTATTAGTGTAGTAGCAACTTACGCAACAGCATGAAGTTATAATAGTATAGTAGGTCGAAGGGGGTTACCTGACCATATGCAAATAGAGACAACTAACTCTATAGAATATTATGCTTTAACCCCTCTGCTATCGTAAAATCAGCGAACTACTATAGACATAGCTTTCTCTTCAAGGACAAGCGTAGATGATCTTCCTAGAAGGCGAATGTCTTTAAGCGCATGAATAATACTGTTTATACTAGATCTCACCTGTTCTTTCCTTTCTTGTTCTTCACCCTGTTCCACTAAATAATGTTACCAGGCGATAGTAATATGTATGCAACATCGGTACACTAATGAAACTGGAACTATTCCGCGCCTATCCGCTGGATTGTTCTTTATCATGAGTTAACACAAGAATCATCCAAATCAAGATCCTCTTTAACATTCAAAACGGTGAGTACGAAAACTGAATTCGAAAATTGCCTGCGGTCTAATACTCAGCAATGATAACTCTTGCTTCGTTCTCGTGTTCTAGATATCTCTGACCTGATCCCAAACCATCTCCGCCGAATTGCGAAACCTTAATGGTATATATAGACACTTCATAGTGGAGAATTCAATTTTAATATGAAATAATATTGATGTATATGAGAAGAAGAATTAGTGAGGAGCGTGTAGAGCAAGACAGAAGATAGGAAATTTCGGCCTTGATTATCAAGGTCAAGAGAGTGAGTGATGACAATAGTAGATCGGCCCGAGAAGGCCTCTTTGAGTACAAAAAGGCCTTGCCTTTTTACAGGTTCTTACACAGACTTCCACTCTGCTGTTGAACGAGCTGCTCACTGCCAACGCAAGTGCGACACCAAAGAAGGTTGTTAGGGTCGTATTTCCGCTTGATGGCATGTAGACGAGGGTAATTAGGTCCCCAGAAGGACCATTGCCAGTTGGGCTCGTAGGGATTTGCCTGAAATGATCGATTAGCTCGCTTGTTAATATGAACTAGGTTGAGATTAGAATACCTCGTTGATATAGGCTCCGCTATCTGGTGCCAATTGCCGGAGGGCATACCCTTTGCCATAGGTCATATCATGAACGGTCTCGTTGGCAATCTTTTCCGACAGAGTATCATCCCAGAGCTGTTCTGTGATCAAGTGAACGACAGTATCGCGCCAGGCGGGGTTGAGTGCATTGTCTACGGGTGTTTTGCCCACGGTCATAGTTCCTGACACAGACGGGTTTGAAACACCGTTCTGAAGTATTCGTCAGAATTCGTGATATCCAGGTAGACTCAGTGAGCTCCGAGCTGGGCGACATACCTTTGGTTCGGTAAATTGAGGACCAATCCTTTCCAACGTTTGCGCAAAAAGCGTCGTGTTTTCGATAGCTTTTCGCGTTACCAGTCGAGAAGCTCTGACGCTACGCTTGGTGCCCACATCGGTTGCGTCCGCCAATGATCCCAGTTTCTCAATCAGCTCGTACCAAGACTCGGTCCAAAGCGCAGAAATCTCTGTCTTGACGGTGGCATTCGCTCGATCGAGTGCTTTTTCCAAGGGCTGGACCAGCTTCCTCGCTTGCTCAGCGCTGCTGACATTGTATGCTAGGATGGTGTTGTGGAAGAGCATAGGGGGCCCGCTGATCGTGTAGTATCCAGCGTAGCCAGCATCTTGCAGCTCTGCCATTTCCTTGTGCAGACTGGCGACGTTGGTCCACCACTGTTTAGAAGAGGTGTGGTTTCGCGGCGACACGTCGAAGTTCACGATACCGACAGAAGGCATGGGATGAGCTTTGACGGTGACCGTAAGAACTACGCCAAAGGTACTGCCTCCTCCTCCACGAATAGCCCAGAACAAATCGGGGTACTGGCACTCGTTGACCGTCAAGACCTCTCCCTCAGGTGTGACGAGTTCCGCCTCGATAATGGAATCGGCTCCCATGCCGTACTGACCCGTGGCGTATCCGTGGCCACCGGCAAGGGCCCATCCGACGACTCCGACGTCCTGGTTTGTGTTAGATCAGAAATTCTGGAAGATGTTGATAAAGGAGCCTTGGTTACCGAGTTCGTGCCTCCCACGGCAATGGCGTTATGCTTAGCCATCTTTTCGAACAATTCGTCATCTTGGACTCCTGCTCCGACGGTACCTGCCATCTGAGGCTCGGAGATCTCGCATGCTTTGAACGACTTGTGAAATTTGAATTCCTTCATATTATGAGTCCAGATACTGCGAATGTTAGCGACTTCTCACATCGGAGGCCAGGGTGAGAGTAAAAAGAAAATACCTTAAGCTTCCATAGGCCGAGCTATGCATGACGTTAGCATCTACCATATTGTTTATCGATTTAGAAGAATCAAGCGACCCAGCTCACCTCTTCTCAGGGTTATGTCCAGTATTTTTGATATTGATGCGGAGATTATTCTCCTTGGCGAACCGCAGCGCAGTCTGTACGTGAGTTGCAGAAGTGGCGTTCACCACGTAAGGCGAGAGATTTCCCAATCCGCATCCTTTGGAGGCCGCGTGAGGGTCTCCTGTGATGCCGGTGCCATTCGGGTACAGAGGGGGACAGGCGTCCCCAGACCAGATCGGGTCCAGAACACTAAACGGACTAGAAGAGTGGAAGACTGATGCGGTCCACTCTTCGACAATACGTTCGCAATCTGTCGCATTGTAGTTGCTTTCGGATTTGTAGCAGGCCGAGGCGGGTGGCACGGTCTTCATCAAACGTCCGGAGAGAGTGTCGTTCAAAGACGCCCATTCAGCCGATGATGGCCAGCAGGGGTCAGACGGACTCTGTAGAACAGAACCATGAGCATGAATACAGCGCAAGGAGAGAGAGCAAGGTGTGCTTACACATTTGCACTCTGAAGCACAAGAGGCCGCAACAAGGCCACCACTCAGCGAGAAAATTGAGAGGGCGACTTGGAAGAGAGACAAACGCATCGTACAAGGAGTGAATTGTTTTGGTTTTTTCAAGCCTTGATTCTTCACATACCGTCGGGGTGCTGTGTGCTGTGTCTTAAATAGTAACTTTGCGGGTACCCTCCGTGCGCCCCTCGTAGTAAGTCCTGGAAGCAAGCTTCTAGAATGACATTGCCAAGTCGTACTCGTACTAGGCACAGCATACGGAGTATAGCTGAAGTTGTGGATCGGCATTCGATATGTTTTTGCAGTATCATCCAAGAGATGACAGTGGAGCTAGTGGCAAGAGTCAAGCTACCTATTAGACTCATTTGTGTAGGACAGTACGGGGTAACCCATCTAATGAGTCTCTAATGCCCTGTATCGACTCCTGGTTCGTTACTGCAGTTGTGGGTGCGTCTCATTTCTTCGGCACTATTAGTTGTGGATCGATCGCCGTCGTTTTCGTACTGCTTGACTATATGCGGTAAGGTTCATCCATGGTAGTTGGCAGCAACAATCCATGGTTTTCATCTAGTCGTACTATTCTAGCCTTCTAGGACATAATACTGCGACTTCTGTTTCTCTTGTGCACAAGTTAAACCCGCTTAATCCGAATTAAGGGTCAGTCTGCTCCATCAGCAATTGTGTTACAACCATTCCTATCAGTTCTTCCTTATTGGGCATACTATCATACCCCCCTGGCTTAGCAAGTTAGATCGCAGAGTAGTAAGGGGTGTGACTATTCGGAAAAGTCCAATGCCTACGGAACGCAGCATGAAGGTGCCTGTCCCGAATTGGAATTACTGCCCTAAACGAAAAGAAAGATGGGTGTTACATGAGTTAGGTGATGAAAAACTACTTCTCACCGGAAGCTATCTCATCATTTCTTGTTTCTACCCTGCACACCTCAATCTTCCTTCGCCAGTCCCCTGGGTCATAATCGTTGGTCAACCAATATATTCCAACAATGCCCGGCAATTAGAGTTCCTTCGGTGAGAAATCTTTACTCATGAGTTATGCAACGCTTTAAAGCCTCGATCGATAGATAGCAATTGGATATACAATGGTTACTGATTTATTATTACACTATGTAAATTGTGCAAACAATGACAACACAACAATACTCAAACATTCCTCATCAGGCATACCCATCTAGACCCATCCCCCTATTTCTCATCCTCGGGACCCATCGGTCTCCTTCCTGCTTGTTCGACATTTCGCCTCTTCTCTCCCGCTGGCTTGTTCGGATCATTATGCACCTGCTCCGTCGTAGTTGTCGCTTCCTCGCCTTCGTGCGTTTCGCTCGTCGGGCCGGATTGGCTTGAGATGGGAGACTGGACGGATCGTGAATCAGGTGTATCGTCGTGGCGCGACTCCTTGCCCCGGGAGACGTTAATCGCTTGCGATTCCGGATTACTGGAACGAGGGTTTGCGACTTGAGATGATTGAGCGCGGATGGCGACCGCTTGTACGCGAGAAACTATCAATAAGTTAGTAACCCCGGAGATAAGTAGGGGTAGGACGATAATACCACGTGGAATGCGGGATCTGAATTGTCTGATGAATAGAGACATGGTTGATTTTAGGAATTAAATATTGTTTGACGCAGATAATTCATGGGGGGTTGTGGTGTTCAGTCACTCTGGCGATTCATATATGGTCACTGTTGGTTGCGGTTGATGGTGGATGACTTCATAGGTTTGTCACCATGTCACCATGTCACCAATGACAAAGTCATTACTGCTAGTTACTCGAAGCAAGTAGATATAGGAAGACCCACACTCGCATAGTTTCCTGTCTTTCTTGCATTGGAATAAATTTACAGGAGAATCTTGGTCATTTGGCCTTTGGTTGTGGCGGATCGCTGTCTACTCAGCGTATGACGGAAATCACGAGGGATGAATACATAACCAGATCTAAGATAAAGGTGGGCCCAAGTAGAGCAATAGCAGAGAAGATCATCTGCCATATATAGCCCCTATCATTGTTCAGCGTAGAATCAAAAAGCCTATTAAATATAGACTATTCAGCACGGCATGTACCCTCGGCTTACTATATGTGCCGGAGTCGTACAAAAATCAAGCAATTGATGCACTTGATCTATGCATAAAGCGATCTTACCAAGCCCCCACATTGGTTATTTGGCTAACTACTATCACATCCATTCATTCCTTCTCTTTGTTCGAAAAGTTATACTTACGTCAGCATGATGTCTTACGCGACCCAAGGTTCTCGTTGACCGTTTCAACGCTTTTCCAAGCACTAAACATATCACCGATGCATAAGTGGTCTGACAATGACAGGTGACTGACGTACATCCTAGTCTCTACAAAACCAACCCTATATAACCACATGTGGTCAAAGTGTCACCTCAATCAGAAGAAGCAATGATACTCTAACTTCCCATACTCATATAAGATTTCCTTCAAAATGCCAACTTCAATCACGCAAGGCCGTCCGCAAGCGGTGCGGTAAGTGTTCACCTGTAAATCCGCGATATTCTCAAAACTAATATCAGCAGATCCCGTAACATAGCGCTATTCAGCATAGTCGCTGTCATAGGCAGTGGCTGGCTTGCATTCCGCAGCCAGAGTCCAAGACAGGGAGATCAGTTCGCAGGAAGGAGAGGCGAACGTGCCGTGGTCTCGGAGCAGGACATCCAGACTATGAGCGGTGGCAAGCCGGGTGAGGCCTCGCCGGGCCGCGCACCATCGCATCAGAAATAGTCGAGGTTTTGCTGTTCTATTGAAAACTGTTCACGTTCGTTGGGCCTTATCTTTACTTGCTGTTCCTTGACCTAAACAAGCAGTCTACCTTCTTGTTCGCATCCTTATAACCTTACCTTCATTACTCCCGCTACATAGCGAGGTATCGGCCATTTACTACGGTGTACACTGTTCTACGAGTCTCATGTAAATTATACGCATACACTATACTAAGGACCAAATGGGATATGCTCTTGTAAACTTATCTGTCTTGAAGCAGTTCACGTATATCCAGGGCACAACGATGCCCAATTTTACCTATCGCAAAGAAGAGCCAAAAACGCCAACCCCTTCAAACAAGAACAGCCATGCCGGTATACATACGTAGCCAGCAAACACACAACGCACCTTCTCATCTATTGACTATACGCAACATGCGACCCATCCTCCTTAACCTCAACCTTCCGATTCTTCCTCACCGTACCTCTCCCCGTCTGGCCACGCTGTTTCTCACGCCCCTGTTCCGGCTGCCCCTCCGTCGGCCTCCTCCACGCACTAACCTCCGGATTCGCCGGGCTCACATCAAGCGGATTCCCAGGCTTCCCTTCCTCCATGCGTTGTTTCTCGCCGGCCGCGAGTTCACTCTCGGGCGCTGTGTTCGATGAATCGTAGGAGGTCGAGGAACGCGCTACTTCGTCGTCGGTGCCGGATTTCGTGACTTCGTTGCTCATCGGGTCGAGCTTTTCGCGCTCGTTGCTGTCGTATGTTTTGGGATTCTCTTTGCGGAGGAGGGGTGTTGTGCTTAGGGTCCGGGGGTGTTGGGGGGTCGTGAGGATGGGGTTGTCAGGGCGTAGGGAGCGAGGGCTTCGGCTGGTGCTGGTGCTTAGTAGCCTCTCGGAGACGGTTTTCCGGACGGTGGGGATGGTTCGTTTCCACATTATTGTATGGTGTATGGATATGTTGATCGACTGTGTACTCCTTTCTGGCTTTATCTTGTAGTTTGCTTGTTTTCTTTTCTTTAACGTAGAAAGGTTGGATAATCTTCCAGACTGTACGGTTCAGCAAAAGCGAATGGAATTGCAAGTCAGGCACTAACAGTATAGTGAACACAACACTGGGCTTTCGTCACGAGCTATCCACGCAGACAGCGGATATAGACTGTCATGAAATGACCAAATCGGTTGTACTGTACATAAGATGTAGGTAGGTTGTTCAATGGCAACTGGGACAATACATCCATGACGGATGATAGGGAGTACCGAATCTTGACGTCATGGGCTACGAATCCGTACTGACGTAATCCTTGTCAGCGAATAACTAGTAGGGAGCAGCGGTTTGTCAGCTTTCCCTGTGTCGTTCTATCTGTGACTACTTTAATAGCTCAGGCTAATTAACAGGAGCTAGTTGCTTGCACGGGCACTGCGGTGGTATACAGAGTTGGGGCGAACTGGTGGCGATTTTGGGAAATAATGACCCGCCAGTTAATCATGTTCTTCTGAGGATGGGCGATCGAGCGGTGGTGTACGTTATGGTTGTATAGCCTGTTCGTATTTTCCGGATTGCATTTGAGAACGGTGTTCTAGATGTAAATTCTTGGAAAGAAAAGGGCAAAGAAGACAAAATACAAAATCAAGATATCATGCCGAAAAGACGCCTCTAAAATAAACCAAGATGAGAAAATGAATGCACGCCAGACAACATCTGATAGAGGCGAATCTTCCTTTCTACCTCCCTTCCTCAAGTTTAAAAACCGTCGAAATTCAACTCCGGCACTGTCCACATATCAAACAAGTTCCCCGCGTAAACCGGCTCGAAACTTGTAAACGAATCAACCGTAAACGCCAAGCCCATCGAATCGTCCAACCCAGCCGGGAGGTCCTGTGCGTCGATACCAGCAAAGGACAATCCCGCTGATTGAGCACCCAGGTCATGATCCTCCGGAGGTGAGAGCGCCCGCGCGGCATTACCGCCGTGCGCACGCTGGACTAAAAAGTCGGCCTTCGCGGCGACATCCCGAGTGACGTTCGCGGCGCTGGCCGCGACGGCAAAGCTCTTCCCCATGATTTCGAACACAGCGATAGCGGTGTCGATGGCGTCGCGGACTGTCGGGGTGATCGGACGGAAAGGGTACGCTAGAGCGAACCCGACCATCGATAAGGCGGCATTCCACTGCCACTGGAAAGCCTCGTGCCAGCCATTCAGGAGCTTGGTCTCGGTGATCATCTGATACATGATGTGTGTAAGAGCCATTGCGTGGTGGACGCTCTTGGTTGCGAGGGTGTCGGCGTTTGGCGTTACCGTTGCTTTCGATGTGGGGAAGCAGATGAAGGGCCGACAGAGGTTCATAGACAGGTTATGATACAGTAGCTCGAGAAGGACGCGCTGTCGTTGGAGCCATTCGGGTGCGAAACGCTCGATTTCCAAGCACACGTTTTCCGTCGCGAATGCGGCTGTGCCATCTTTGCGTTTTGTCTTGAGTGCGTCGGGTACCGTGTCCAGCCAATTATGCATGCATTCTAGGCACGAAAGAAGGAACTCGGCGCATGTTTCCAACGACGTAGGATCAGTATACAGACTCTTCCCACCGGTCTTGGTCAAGATATCGGCACATTTGTCGAAAAACGCAACATAGACGCCCCGGGCTGACATGACCAGTTTCCCGAGCTGCACACTGTACGTCAGCCAGGTAGTCTCGCCGATGCAAGCGAAATTGGACCCTGAGAGGAAAACAAGATCCCGGTCATCAGAAGGCAAGCTGCAGGAGATGTCCGCCATTTGTACAGACCAGGGCCGACCGAGCTTCATGCATGTTTTGACCTCCACTGCGTACAATGTCCACCATAGCCGCTTGCGCAGCTCTTTGTGTTGTCGAGGGAGATCCTCGGGGGGTTCCAGGTGCAAGCCCAAGATTTGAGCCGTGCGCACTGCAAGAGCAAGTAGATTATGCGCCATGTTCTGGAACGAGGCATTGCACAGGTAGACAACCGTGAACATATGACACTGCAGGGTGAATATGGATGGACTCTCCAATTCGTTTTTCAACAATGCTTGGGATCGACGGTACAGCGCCCTCCCGGCGATGGTGGCATCAGTGCTATCCACGTCCGTTTTGAAGCCGTCGGTCTCGCTGCGCGAGAGGAACGAGACACCATACTGCATGCACAGGGCGAGCACAATATCAACCAGAGCAGACGGCTTTCGAGGACCAGACCCCGTCCACAATGACCGATAGTGTTGACGGAACTCCGCCTCGTCCAAGATCTGATACGTACAATGATACGAGTGCCAATAGAGGCCGAGAAAGTAGTCTTCTTGGATCTCCGTCAGATAGTCCCCCGTTGGATCTTCTGGCAGGTCATCGATCGCCTGTCCGGATTCGCGGAGGGCCGATGCTTTATCGGGCTGGGCACTGTTTGGACTCGCAAAAGACCTGCTCGCCGAGTTCGGCTGCATGTAATACTCCGAGGTGGGCTGACCAAAGACAGAGCCGAGGTAAGAGCTGACGCGCGCAATGAAATAGAACGACGACGAGGGGCCGTAATATTGCGTCTGGTTCAACTTGGCACTCCGGGTATGCACACCTTCCCAGCGCAGTCTGGCTCCTCCATGTCCTTGTAACGGGTCCAGGGGGGCACTGGGAGGCGTAGCTTGCTGACTGCTTGGCTCAACGGCAGTAGAATTCTGCGGCCTCTGCGCCTGTGCCTGCGCCTCCAACTCCCTCACCCTCTTGGTCAAGCGCTCTATCTCCCTATCAGCTACGGTTAGCCTGCACAGCCAAATGGCGATTCACGTACCTCGCCGCGCGTGGGACTGTCAAGATCTCATCCCTGGCCGAGGACCTGTCACAGTCACCTCCCCTCTTTTGACAGTTCCGACATTGTTGATTTCGATCGCATTTGACTCGATGGACGCGACACCAGGTGCAAGCCCGAGGGACTTGGGCTCGTTTGGGTTGGGACTGTGGTCGAGAACGACTTACCTGGGTTTGTCTAGGGATAGAGAATGGAGTGAGCATCTTGCATCGATAGATACGTTTCCAGGGAGATGAAAATGGATGGGTTTCGTAATGCAGGATTCGTCTAGTCCCTTGGGAAACCGGCACGTGTTAAGACTCGGATATAAAGGAGCTTATGTCCGGTGTATCAACAAAGGAATCATGTTTGAAGATGGGAAACCACATGGATATAGTCACAAGGCCTACCTGGTCATGAATAATCGGCTCATTATCAAGCAAGTCAAACACGAGCCATTATTTACGTCTTGTTACAGGCCTCTCATATACCAGTGGTTTCATTATCGTATTGCTCTTGAAAGAACTAATTCACATCACAACAAACTTGCCACTAGGCTTCCCACCCCGTATGATGCTCCCACCTATTGCATAAGCACAAGAGAAACGATGACTATTTTCGCTATCCTCACTATCCTCAAGGGTCCTCGGGGCACTTGACTTCTTTGAAGCGCAGCGTGACAGTACTTCCGGTATAATCATTCCTAAACTTATCACCAGCGACTTGCAGTCCATTATTTCCAGACGACTGGCCCACCAGATTGAGCGTAAGATAGCAGAAATAACCGCCACTAGGACAGTCATCAGTGAATACCTGGAACTGGGCGTAGTTCTTGTAGGAACCTCCGGCTGCATAGAAGTTACCCAAGTTGTTGCAGGCGGCAAATTCCCCGTTCTTCGAGTAATGGTTGCCACGGAAGTCCCAAAGATAGAACTTGCCGCCTTCCCTAATTTCCTGGTCATTCGAATTCTGCCTCTGGCAGTCTCTCATATTCTTGCAGAGTTGGAAAGTTTGAACGTTTGAACGGCGCCCGAAGGTGTAGTAATTCCATGCGGTAGAATCTCCTCCCAGCCAGAGGTCGTCGTCTTGCAGTCTGTAGCATTTCCCGTACTCCAGACTGGTACCGTTGCCCGCTGCATAGGCCGGGTCGTCATCATCGTCGAAGTTATTAACTTGGGCTCGGTCGACTTCGTAGACAAGGTTGCCATCATGAGGCGCTTGATGGACGAGAGCTGCTGGGTCATCGAACGCGTGGGTGTCAAGGCCGGTTTGATCGGGTGGAACATGGTAAGCACTTGCGGAGCAGATGGCCAATGCGGCTGTCCAGAGGTGGCAAGAGGAAATCAACATGTTGATGGCAGTTATGGGTGATGATTCGACAAGTGAATATTGTTAATGAGTGAATATTTCTCGTTTTCAGTGAGACTCGTCGGTGTTTAAGTAGTATTGTATGGCTTCTATGAAGGCTGGATATTGAAGAGTGTGTCTACGTAACATCAAAAGAATAACATCTCATCTGCAGTCAACGATGTCATGAGTTGTCTTAGCTTTGGGCAGTCTATGACGGCTCTACAGACCTCATGGTCATCTTAAGTCCAATATACTACACAAAAGCTACACTGACTTCCGTTTCCGTCTATGTTAAGATTACTACTATATATAAAGATCATCATGAAGTAATCAAAAGTATGGGCCATGGTTCGAAAACCTTAACCTTATATTGACAGGCGGCTGGACCAAGGTAGGGGAAGCCGTTTTCGGTTCTTGCTGAATCCGGATACCACCTTACCAGAAAATGCATATTCGTGGCCGAAGCTTTCCGACCTGTCGGTTTCCTTGTACGTTACATCTAGGTATAGCCCCTAGGCTGCATTATATCTTTCTATTACTGTGACCTTTAGGGCCTCCCGGCTATGAGCTTCTAGATGAAGGTTAAGGCGTACGAAGGACTATCTATAGCAATAATATTCCACGCCTTTTGCCCACTATGGCCTTATTAAAGAAGAAGAAAGTTTGCCTTTATATGGTAGAATCTACTAGATATAAGTACCATAAACCAAGCTTTCGGACTGGGATGATACTATTGTGGGCGTTCGTGTGCCTGAGGCAAGCTGCCAAGCATTTTGCTCGCTTACCTCTCACCTTTTAGATAGGCAACACCCTGGAAGACCTCGATTCTCTCTACATCAGGTACTCGTTCCAGTCTCGATCAAGATATCTGCTTATCTCATCATCCAGTATGACCACTGCGGTGCACCCGGTCCCTGCAGAATGCGAGCCGATTGCTTTAGTTACGCTTTTCTATTGATTATAAAGCAGTATGATTCTAATACCTACACGTGTAGTAGAGTCATTGATGATTATATGACTTCCCAGTCTTATATGTGATAAGAAGATTATAAAAAACGAGCTACATGTAATTCTTTTACGGATATTAATTCTATAATTCGCCTTGGATAAGCAGGTATAGGCAAGATAACTATCACAATGTTACTTAATGCCCTTATCGTTTTCATGCATTTGCTCTATCTAAGTACACAATTCATAGGTCCAAGCGAGGAAGGCCCTACTACTTTTTTAAGTCCTGCAACAGAGAGTTGATGTTGATTTTGAAGGATAAAGCTCGGATCTATCGATCGATCAATCAATCACTATTCTTGCGCGTGTTTTCCGCGTCGGTTCAATACAATATGTGGGCTTGCTTCTATATGTGTATGTGCTCTACATGTAGGTTTCTGATTATGTATGCGCTTGCTGTACACATCGGTTTCCTATATTCCATTGGTAGATCTTATAACTTTTTTAAAAAAAAAAAATACAATTACAATAATTAATAAACTAGCTCTTTTATAAGAAATGATATCGCCGCGCAATTGCACGGCCCAATATGCTTGTCCTGATGTGCACACCGTAACACTTTTCAGATTATGAGGATTCTGATATAGAAAACCCATATGCCTCGCCACCCTCAGCCCTACACATAAATGATAAAATAAATCCACAGAAGCAAGCCACCGATGCAAATCCCCAGGCACAGCTCCGCCACCAGACTCCACTCGGAAAAGGAATCATGACCGCAAGCTTTTACGTAGGCAGGTACGGGACATCTATTTAATTACTGTACCTCTCACACGAACCCGCAGATGTGACATCTCACGATCTACTTACTCATACCCCCTAACCGAACTACCCTGCACTGTAGTACTGTGGAGAATATGACGTAAATAACCCTCCCACGCTCCCTTCCCCTGCATTCAAGGCCATCAAAGACACACAGATGGTCTAGGCCAGGCAACCTGCAGACCGGAAGAACAGGTTGCACCCGATCAGCAATGACAAACAGCGATCAACAAGCAACGCCACTGCTGGTGACGCGTATGCTTACCTGGTTGTTCTATTCCGAGAACTGCGAGATGCAGGTACCCGTTTCGATAGGTCAGATGAACATGGTTAGTTTTGGTTTGGAATTCGTATCCATGATGTCTATACATGGTTTTGGTGTGATGGTTAGATGGACAGGGTGAGTACTGGTATGCTATGAACAGATTTGTGTATTGGGTTGTCTAGAGAGGGAGGATTTGGATCATGTACAATATATGGCTTGCAAAGCGATGGGATTTGTAGTTATTCGATTCTGTGATGTATATACCTGTTCATGTACAACGGTACGTAGTACTTGATGACCAGATGAGGCGACGAACTGTTCATGCCCCATTGCTATCATAGAACCATCCCAACTATAGAGATATTACCATCATAGCAGAACATCAAGAAATCCTGTCCATAGACACAACCAAATACCACCATTCCCATTCCCATTCCCATATACTCAACGCGACCAACCCAGAAAGGAAATGCAGAGTACAGATTAAACAAGCATATATTCACCAATAATAAATGCCTATGAAATTATAGAATAGAATATATCCCACGGTATATACAACCCCCCGTCTCACAGTACTCAGCCAGCCCTTGCAATTTACACGCTGGGCCATCCATCCGCCCACTGCAGCTGGTTCCACCCGAATTGGTACTTCTCCTTGGCCAGGCCGATCGTCTTGTCGGCGTAGTGGTAGTAAAGGACGAGGCCGAGGTCTTTGTCGTTGACGATTCCTCTGGTGTGGTGTTAGCATTCTTTCACTTGTTCATGGTTCCTAGAGAGGAATGGAGGTAGGGATGCTTACTGTCCACCAGGTCCGTAGACATTACCGTGACTCTCGAGAAGCGTGGTTCCGCCGCTCTCGAGACAGGACTTGCCGTTCTTGTCGACCTGCATCCATCTCATTAGCTTCTCATCCAAACCAGTCCGAAATTTCACAGGGAAAAAGGGAGAAAACATACAAAACCCCCAGTCCCACTCTCCGACCGACACACAACAACCCGATACTCATTCCCGGGCGCCGGCAAATTCGTCTCATACCCAGCGGCCTTGCCCGCGGACCACGTCAGATAATAATAATCACCGTGCTGAAAGATAAACGTCGCCTCGATATTATGCGTACCCGTCGCATTATACGCAATATTCGTCGGCTCCTGGCTTCCCAGCTTCAGTGGGCTTTCCATCGGCGCCTGGTACAGGTTATGCCAGTAGGAGCCCCAGTTCATGTAACTGGTGTCGGCGATCTTGACCCAGTTGGCGTCGATAGCGTTGTAGGGTTTCTCGGGGGTCGAGGAGAGTCCCGTGGTGCCGTGGTCGGTCCAGCTGCCGACTTCCATGGTGGGGGAGCTGGCGACGCCGATGACAGAGGTTTGCGAGCCGAGGGTCGAGACGGAGTAGTACATGTAGTACTTGTTGTTTTCGTAGTGGACGTCGGGGGCCTATTTTTCGTTCATTCATGTCTTGGTTAGTCGGGGAGGGATTGGGTTGATAGAGGGGAGAGCGGGGAGGGGACAGGGTATACCCAGAGGTTGGTGCTGCCCGGGTGGTCGATGGACGAGCCATTGGGCAATGCGTAGCCGTCGTCTGTCCAGGGACCTTTGATGGAGTCGGCCGAGGCGATGTGTACGCCGCCACCGGTTGCGAAACGGAAGTATTTGCCATCCGAGACGCGCTGGTAGAGACCTGGATCGTGAGTCCAGCAGTCTCCCGAGCAGGCGCCGGGGTTGGAGTAGGCATTGGCCAGGGCCAGGAGGGGAAGGAGAGCGAGCATCTTCATGATGAAAGGGAAAAGAATTACAATTAGGAAGAAATTATAAGGAAAGGAAAGTACTAGAGAAAAGAGAAGAGATGCTGCTGCTGTCTACAATATCCAAAAGATTGGGAATCAGTCGCTCTTATATAGGTTCTACATTCTCTACGTCGAGACATTCTCGCTCCTCCATTCTCGGGCTGTCAATGTAGGAGATGGCAGCGATTGTCCGCATCGGTCACAAGCCTGCACCGACTTGCAGTAGATCATAGAAGAGTGGGGGGGAGGAGAAAGTCTGAATCGAGAGCAGAAATTAGAAAATAATGGCGAGGAGAGGATGACTTGGAGATGCCGCTAATTAGGGTTTGGAAAGGTCACAAAAGGTCGGAGGCACCGCCAGGAACGAGATCCACCCCGGTCGATAAGCGTGGAGAATGGAAAATGGAACATAAGATGGATGGAATGCATCCGGCAACTCTCCACAGAGTCTAGCCTTTTTCATGTTTGTCATTGTGATTTATTCCATTATTTTGATTTGTCCTGCTATCTTCTCCTCTATCCCAATCTCAGGCTACAATTTCCCCCCGTTGTTGACGTGTCACGGCATGGCGTGCTTGCAGAAAGCCTTTCGGCAGACTATCCAGACCTTAATTTTTCGCTCTCTGTCCTGCGTGGTCAGAGCCATAACTCAGACGGAAAATTATTGAGGTATTTTCGGGCATTTATTGAATGATTGTCCCATTATTATCGTCTGACCGAAAGCGTCAAGAGGCGAGAGATGATCATCGCCGAAAACAAACGAGCCAGAGGCCGTTGCTGACCCTCAGGACTGCTCGCTCAGTGCGGAGAAAGCGTTAGACATATCAGATGGTAACATCATTAATATTTAATTCTCCCGCGGGTGGGCGATTAGGATTTTGGTATCGTTGGAAATATTACTTAATGTTTGCATCCTTAGGACCTCCTGGCATCTTGCATCTCGCTAGTTTGGAATGTTGCGAGTCTCCACTCGGTAAATCCCATGTCGATCATCGGGCCAGACGAGAAGGCAGATACTTAGGAGATCATAACTGGGTGCGCGATATTCGGTAGATCTACTTGATCGGAGGCCTACAGAGTAGATTCACTGACTAACAGCTAACAGTCATACTATCTATACTCCCCTCTAAAATAAACAATATACTCCTCACGGCTACCTCAAACACCATCCGTCCTCCACCATTGCGTGCTAGCCGGTCGAATTAAAGATGCAAAAGGACCGGGGTACAGAGGCCTGATCGGAGAATCTATTGGAGGCTAATCCCGGCTTTCATGCATCGTGTTTCGACCAACGACGTCGCAATGCTTGCTGCCCGATTACCTTGGAGAGTCTAGTTTAGTTTATTCCCCACAGCAAACAAAGAGCAGCCCACTTGCCTCTTGGACCGTCCTTTTCTTCTTTTTTGATTTTGCTGGCCCGTTTCCTCCTTGCAGCAGGATGAGCGACCGAGCTTTCGCGAGTCCTTGTCCTTGGCCCGTCAGCTAGCCGGGGGTCAATCAAGTCAACCGGCTTGTCCACGGTCGGAGTCAAGTTTTTGTTTCCTTTTTCTTTTCTTTTTCGTGGCTGTGATCAAGCTACTGTACCTACTCTATACGATCAGGCCGAGAGCCCTAAGCCCCTAGCCAATTCACTAAGAGTCTAGCCAAGGTTAGTTGAAGTAATGAATGAAAGGAGAATGTGACCGTCCGGCCGAGGCGGGTGATCGGGTCTGGATGATATGATGTCATTTGGCTATGCGGGAAGGAGTCCTATTCTGTGGTTTGGAAATTATTTGATTTTACTCGTTGCATTTATTTTACGCTGGTTATTGTGGTGGTGGGAGAAGTCATCCCTTCGTAGGTACTAGTTAGTTGATGTTAGTATAGGGAGGTAGGAAGTAGGGTACAGCAGTCACGAGTCCAGCCAAGCCCGCGGAAAGAAACATCATGGGACAGAAGAAAACAGGAAAGAAAGCAGGAGAAAAAACTAAAAACCCTCATGTTCAGGCACAGGCACAGCGCACGAGGTCTCTTTCAATTTCGGTCTTCATGCAGAATAGTTGCAGATGTCCTTTTTCCCCTCCTCTCATACATACGGTGTACATTTCGGGCGGCTGAATCGTCCGAATGCGGATAGCCCTGGCGTTACAGATGGAGATGGAGATGCGGGATGCGATCGGAATGATCAGGCCTGACTACTCGGTGGGCAGGATATTCTGACTCGGGTGATGGACATGGAGGGGTAAGGAATGTGTGCGGGGATTCTAACGTGAATATTCGTCCACATTCACGTTCATCTTGTCTTTGTCTTGCGACCTACTAGCTACACTCAGGTATACGGCTGGCTGCTATAGTAACAAATGTTGACATTCGGGTTAAGTCAGGTTACGCATCTCAGCCTCAGCCGATTACATCTCTCTTTCTCTCTTCTTTCAACCTACGTAGTTACACTCCGTACTAATTCCCTTCCATACTTTGTGTACGTACACCGAGTACAATACATAGGCACCACAACCAGCCCAAAAGACAACTCTACAACTAAGTAAGCGACTAGAGGATCACATCCCAGCCGGCCATCACCGCATGGAGAACAAGGATAAAGCCCGTCTAAAGTGTTGGCCCGCGCCCGGTCCAGTCCTAAACCAGCACGTCATGGGAGACAATTAACACGGTATGACCTCACTTGCATTAGTCTGGGCTAGTCCAGATATTAGTATCCTGGTTAGTAGTAGTACAGTACCTGTGTACGAAGTAGGTATAGCCGAGTTTAAGAGGTTAGGTATGACCGGGTTCGGTCAGACTAGGTATTGTGTTGGCTGGACGAGAGGATTAATCTACGCGAGAACTTGTACCCCGTAGGTAGAGCCGTAGCCGTCTGACATGGCATGCGTTGGCTACACAGCCTGGGGACGGCAGGGAAGCGACATGAGCAGTTGATACTGAAAACATATAAAGACGAGGCTGTGGACGGACCTGCCGACCGACCGACCGACTACCTGGGCGAGTTGGCTACTGGCGGAGATAGGGAGGGATGTAGATGCAGCCAAGCGACAGGTGGATGGATTCAAGGATTGCACATAATTCTGGCCGTGTCGGGCTGGAGTCAGGCTGACTTGACAGGTCTGAGTTGTTAGTTTGACGGTGCCTGTCGGGCGGTACGGTGTGAGATGCAGTTGACAGTGGGATGCAAGATGTGGAGAATAGAGGACCGAGAGAGTCCGACGTGTTGAGTGGACATCATTGTTGGGTGTAGAGCAGAAGTCAGACAAACAGAGACAAACAGAGAAGCGGCCGGGAATGTAAGTCAGAGTGCCTCAGGCAGCCGCAAACACCCACTAGACTCACTGTGGACATTTCCATACATCATACTGGCAACTCTCAAATCTTCCATCTCCATCCTTCAGATCTCCTACAAATCCACCTAATCCGCGCCACCAGATTACCATCTACGAACCTCGGTTCTCCCACGACGCTCCCCGCTTTTCCCCAGAATTACGCCGACGATCGCTGAGTTAATCCAACGTTGTGCAGAACACAAAAAAAATAACCGAGGATGGACGGTTATTCGGCAGAACGAGAGCGTCTCAAAATGGGCGCTCTCACTGTCCAACCCCGAATTTCCTCGTCTGGATAACGAGACGGAGATTTTTGATCAGAGATGGCTCTAGGTGAGTACCCACGTCTCAGGCGTCGCAATCTTGGTCGAAACCTGCTGACCCCTCCGGAAGTCGCCGCATCGGTAGCAGGCGCGGCAACTTTCGCCGCATACCTCAATGCCAAGTTTCACGTCGCGAAAGACCTCAAGGCCGTGTCGGCCCTCCGAAATGGGGAAAAGGGCTATACGAAGGCAGCGGCGCAGGGGAAGGGCAATGTGTGGTTCTTGTTTGAAGAGGCCGCGGCGCGATATCCGGATATGACGTGCATCTGGACGAGGGAGGCACAGTATACCTATCGCGAGGCCGTGGCGCGGGCGGCTCGGTACGCGCAATTGTTTCGCAGTAAAGGCGTGCAGAAGGGCGACATAGTGGCGTTTTATCTGCAGAATTCGGCGGATTTCTTGATCGCGTGGCTGGCGCTGTTGAGTATCGGATGTGCACCGGCAACGGTCAATTATAACCTCACCGGGGATGCGCTGGTGCATTGTTTGAAGCTCAGCGGCGCGAAGCTGCTACTGGTGGACGAAGATGAGGACTGTCAGGCCCGCGTCGAGGGGTCCAAGACGAGGATCGAGAATGAGCTGGGCATGGAGTGCCTGACGGTCGATGCGACGCTGGAGCCGACTCTCGCCTCTTTCCCCGCGACCGTCCCTGACGACGGAAAGTTGGCTCGCGACATGGCCGCCGAATTTCCCGCGATCCTGCTATATACTTCCGGGACTACCGGCATGCCCAAGGCCTGCGCGTTCACCATGGGAAGGCTATACAGGAGTCTGACGTATCGCCGCGGGTCCGTTAACGACCAGAGCGGACCAGCCGGCGATCGCTGGTATAGCTGTATGCCGCTATACCACGGCACGTCGGCCATCTCGATGATAACCAGTCTCGTCACCGGAGTCGGCGTGGCCGTCGGCAAGAGGTTCAGCGTGCGACACTTCTGGCACGACATCCACGACTCCGAGTCAACGATCTTCGTCTACGTCGGCGAAGTGGCCCGGTATCTACTCGCAGCGCCGCCGTCGCCCTTGGAACGCGAGCATCGCGTACGCTGCATGTACGGCAACGGCCTGCGTCCAGATATCTGGGAGAGGTTCCGTGAGCGATTCGACATCCCGGAGGTCGGCGAGTTCTTCAACAGCACCGAGGGCGTCTTCGGGCTATTCAATTACAACCGGGGACCCTTCTCAGCCGGCAGCGTTGGCCACCACGGACTGCTATTGCGACTACTTCTACGAAACGTATACGTGCCGGTAGCAATTGATCCCAATACCGGCGACGTGCTGCGCGACGAGAAGACCGGGTTCGCCTTGCGACCGTCGCATGAGACGGGCGGCGAGATCTTGGTGAACATCCCCAACGAAGAAGCGTTTCAGGGATACTGGAAGAACGAAGACGCCACGCAGAAGAAATTCCTCCGCGACGTCTTCCGCAAGGGCGATCTGTTCTATCGATCGGGCGATGCGTTGCGACGACAGTCTGACGGACGATGGTATTTCCTTGACCGACTGGGAGATACGTTTCGCTGGAAGAGCGAGAATGTGTAAGTTCATCTGACCAGCAACATACTACACGGCCCATTTCAACCCAATATACTAACCGAAGCAGCGCGACCGCCGAAGTAGCCGAAATCCTCGGCCAATACCCTGGTATCCAAGAAGCCAACGTCTACGGCGTGTTGGTACCTCACCACGAGGGCCGCGCCGGCTGCGCAGCCCTGCAGATCACCCCCGAGGCAAAACCCCAGTTCAACTACGCCGACTTGGCAAGTTTCGCTCGCGCGCGACTGCCCAAATACGCGGTGCCGGTGTTCCTCCGCATCGTAGAAAACCCATCACATATCCACAACCACAAGCAGAACAAGGTGCCGCTGCGCGAAGAGGGCGTCGACCCGGACAAGACAGGGCAGAAGGCACCAGAGGGAGCCGACGATCGGTTCTATTGGCTGCCTCCGGGGGAGTCGGAGTACAAGGAATTTGGGAGGGATGATTGGGGAGAATTGCTGGAAGGGAAGGCGCGGCTGTAGAGTTTCAATGTGTACATTTTCAGACAGAATCCCGAATACATTATGTTTGTTTGTTTCCAACCAACTTATTGATACGTGTGACCAGCAAATATGAGCTGTCAGTCCCCAACCCCCCCTATGGCTGAATTCGCCGAACCCCCCGACGGGCGGCATTCCACCGCTTCAACTACGCTCGCCATGCTCACCCTGACCTCCATCCTGAGCGTGCTTCTTTTCACGTCCATCTTCGACTCAACTACCGCGACATGTCGCTGTTTACCAGGCGATCCATGCTGGCCGGCCCCAGCAACCTGGTCGCAGTTCAACGCCTCCATTTCGGGGCGCCTCATCGCAACAATCCCACTAGGCGCGCCCTGCCATGATCCCAACTACGATGCAGCCAGATGCTCTCAACTTCGCGACGACTGGACCCATCCTCGACTCCAGTTTGTCCCTGTCCTTCCTCTATGAACTGTGCAGCGGCTAAGTGAAACTACAGCTATCAGTCCTCCTCCTCCGTCATGGCTCCCTACTTCGCCAACAACTCCTGCGACCCCTTCCACCCGCCCGGGAAGCCCTGCACGCTAGACAGCTACGTCGCATACGCCGTCAACGCCAGCACCCCGGAACACGTCACCAGAGCCTTACAGTTCGTGCGACAACACAACATCCGCCTTGTCGTCCGCAATACCGGGCATGATTACCTCGGAAGATCGACTGGCGCAGGTGCCCTGGGCGTCTGGATGCACCATCTCAAAGAGATCACCGTCGCCGACTACCGGGACGCTCGGTATACGGGAAAAGCAATCACGGTGGGCGCCGGCGTACTAGCCATCGATGCCTACCAGGCTGCAGATGCGCAGGGCCTACAGATCGTTGGTGGAGAGTGTCCGACCGTGGGACTCGCCGGTGGATATACGCAGGGCGGTGGGCATTCGATGCTATCCTCGAAGTACGGGCTTGCAGCCGATCAGGTCCTGTCTTGGCAGGTGATTACCGGAGAGGGGGAGCTGGTGACGGCCACGCGTGAAACGTATCCGGATCTATATTGGGCGTTGAGTGGTGGTGGCGGAGGAACGTACGGAGTCGTTTGGTCGATGACGGCGAAGGCTTACCCCGACACACCAGTCTCCGGACTGAATATGACGTTCTCCAGGGAAGATGTCGACGAGGAGGAGTTCTATCGTACCGTGTCACGGTTTTATGCCATTTTGCCGGATATTGTCGATGCGGGAGCCATGTGTGTCTGGAGCTTGACCAATACGTCCTTCTCGATCAGCCCACTCACAGGTCCGAATATTCCCGCCACCGAGCTGGTAGACCTACTCAGTCCGTTTACCGATCCTCTTGATGAGGAGGAAATCACTTATACTATCTCGGCCGACGATTTCCCTGGTTATCTTTCCCAGTTCCAGAGCATAATGCCGGACGTGCCCGTGAGCGAGACACAACTCGGCGGCTGGCTGATTCCGCGCGGCATTGTGCAGGATAACATCGAGAACTTCACAGCTGCGGCTCGTCAGATCGTCGAGGACGGAGCGTCCCTTGTCAGCGTCGGACTCAACGTGTCGAAGGCTGTCGCTGGGAACGTGGATAATGCCGTTTTGCCCGCGTGGCGGGATACATTGGTTCACGCCGTGATTTTGACGCCGTGGGAATGGAACGCAGACGAGAAAATGCGTGAGTGGCAGAGAAAAATGACGGACGTTTACGTTCCCCTGTTGAGTCGATTGGCGCCAAATTCGGGGGCTTATATGAATGAGGTTTGCTTTTCTTCCTTCCTTCCTTTGTTTCGTTCGGTTCACTATACTTCTTGAAGTCAGTGGCGGTGCTAACTATCCCAGGCCGATTTCCGACAACCCAACTACCAACGGGCATTCTACGGAGATAGTTATGCCAAGCTGCGAGAGATCAAGAAGAAGTACGACCCGTTCGATGTGTTCTATGCGCCCACAGCCGTTGGATCGGATGAGTGGACCGAGTCGAATACGGGACGCTTGTGTCGTGTAAGTCGTGTATGATCGTATAAACTTGATGTGCCAATAACCTGGGAAGATGGCTGAGTAGACAGGCTAAAGCCGCATTCACATGAACGAGGGCATAATTATAGTTATAATTATTATTAGGTGGTTGTAGAGATGATCTACTCGACTTACTTCAACCATACTTTGTCCCCACACCAGGTATAACGCTGCCATTAAACTCGCATAAAACCTGTCTTATCTTCTTTGCGTTTATCTCATGTCCAATCGAGACCCATGCCATCTCTCTATTATTCAATTACCCTCCAATCTACCATTAAACCCTACCTACCTACTAGTGGGCAACTCCGAGCATCCCCGAGTCTCATGCCTATACATACTTTCCACCACCCTCCATCTCTAAATCTGCCCACACACACCCTACCATGTAGGAAACAGCGGTTTGAAAAGCCACTGCGGCAACCTCCGACCGAACTTAGAAACACAAAATTAGATTAGTCCGCGGCCGCCGTTGTGCCGGTTTTTTGCTTTCTGCTAGCCACAGGCTTCCCCGACGGTCCGGATCCACGGGTTCTCGGTAACTTTCCATACTCCATGATGTCGTCGTCCAGTGTGCGCACATATTCTGTGCGGGCGATTTCCCATTCGGCCGGTAATCTTTGGTGGGAGGTGAAGAAGCTCGTGCGGGGCTTTGGAGGGTGATTGTCTGATCTGAAGTGGTAGATCGTTTTCTTGAGGTGGAGGGGATGGAGCTTCTAAGTAGTCTATTTATACATGAAGTCCTGCAGGGTAAGAGTTGATTCGAATCTGCAGGTTGCATTGCATCTGTTTTTCTACTTACTTTTGCTTGTATTGACTCAGTTGTTTTTGCTGTCATTCGTCTTTTGTCATACAATTGGCCGAGCTAGTTAACTGGTTCGGCTCATCTGCGCGTGTCTTCGTGCCAGCGCAGATTTCCTCAGTGCGCCCAAGCACAGCACAAATTTACCTACCTCCCTCCGTCCCTTATATCCATGCCACCCTCCCTTAAGTTGGTAATAACCACGCATGTATGGCCTGGGTACATAACCTCCACGCCGTCGACCCCAAAAGCCACATCGAACGCGACATCGCCATCTGTTTGATCTTCTCGACCCTGGCGTTCGTGGCGGTCGGCGTGAGATTCTGGATCCGGTTGCAGATGAACCGATTGCCCTGGGCAGATGACTTTGCGGCGTTGTCGAGTGCTGTTTTGGGGGCTGCTTATACCGGGATTGCTGTTGGTCGTGAGTCCATTCCTTTTCTGATTTATCTTCTGTCGGGTTTGGCCTCGGATAGGGTGGTGGGTAGAAGCTAATCAATATGCCTATGTTCTAGAAACGCGATGGGGTCTAGGGACCAGCGCTGCTTATTTTCCTGTTGAGAATGCGGTGCCGTTTTCAAAGGTTAGTTCTTCCATTTCGTTTCTATTGTCATGTACTGGGCTAAATGGATAGGTTCAATATGCCGGCGGCCCGGTCTACACGCTCGCTCTCCTCGGGTTCAAAGTCTCCTTGCTGGCGTCGTATCTCCGCATCGGGGGCTTCATTCGACCCTACAAGGTGGTTATCGTCGTTGTGATCATCGCCGTCGTGTGTAACCAAATGATCTTTACGTGCTTGTTGTTGTTTGCTTGTAGTCCAGTATGTCTCCTCGTCGGTTGTGTAATTCTATGATAACAGATGAACTGACGGGTTGCAGATCCAAAAACAGTGGGATATGATGGTCCCCGGGAATTGCATCAACACTATCGCTTCTTATTACGGTATCTCCTCTCTGTCTGACAGAAGATAGGACTAGGCTAACTGCGCAGCCCTGGCGGGAACTAGTCTCGGCTTCGACTTGATCATCATCGCGCTGCCATTGCCGGTGCTGTGGCGGTTGCATTTAAGGTTGAGACAGAGGGTATGTATCATCTCGATCTCTCTTTCTACTTGATCGAAAGCAAATATACTGATCAAGTGAAAGATCGCCCTCGTAGCCATCTACGCCCTCGGATTCTTCATCACCGTCATCCAAATCATCCGCATCTTCACCATCAAAGCCCTAGAGACCTACACGGACAGCGAACCGATCGTGATGTGGTCCAGCGTGGAGATAAGTCTTGGTGTTCGTCCTTTCTCGCCGTCCATTCATCATCTCAACACAAGCTCAACATAGGTCTAGGTAATCATCTCCTGCGTCCCCACCTACGGCACATACTTCCACACCTTCGCGACAAACGTCAACGCCTACTGGCGCCGACACAGCAGCACCTTCACGTGGAAGTCGGATCGATCGAATTCGCACAGCGGGCCTAGTGGGAATGGGAAGGAGAATTCACATTCGAAACGGAGCTCGAACTCAGGCTCGCAAGGTACGACGCATACTACTGCCACGACTACGACGATTGGGAGTGGTGGGTCGAGGAAGGAGAGGGATACTATGGTGCCGGAGATGGGGTTGGCGAGTTTTGACTGTAATGAGTTTGTTTAAGAGTGGTGTTTGGCGTTTTGGGGGTTGGTTCTGGGATGGGACGGGATTGGAGTTATTCTCTTGTTTAACCTTTGGTTTTATATTATCTTGTTTTAGGAGTTCGATCTGGGAAGATTCGGTACTGCAAGAATGTCGACGATAGTGCTAGTGTTTGAATGCCTGAGGCGACAACTATGCCAAGCATTTCTCCTCTTTCTCCGCTCTTTCCTGTCTCTTCTTCCTCCTACATTCCACTGTTCAACATCATCTCACTCAGTTGACTCCATCAATTTATTCCAATAGTCACAACTCGGTACATCCACATACCAACATACAACAGGCGAGGAGCAGCTCGAATGCCAGAATCTCAATTACAAGGAGAAACCGCCATTTCTTATTGCGAGGGCAAATGAGACACAGCGGGCCCCACAGAAGAAAAGAATGTCCAATGTCCCAATCTGTCAAGAAAATTGTCGATTCATGCGAGATTTGGGCTGTAGATCTTCTACACCGCTATGTGATGTATCCCTTCTGTCTCAACTCGACTGCCCAGGAATAAGGTTCGTAATCCCCTCGTGCAGGTACTCCGTACTCCGTAACGACTGTACACCTGCTGTCTCGGGATGATAGAACATATGACTTGCTAACTTGGAATCTAGATCCGGCAGTACCATGATAGTAATGTCGGCCAATATAATTCCTGAAATTCGTGTCTGAGCTTCTACTGAGGTTTGATCCCTGCACTCCCAGTCAGCCGAGCACTTGCGGTGTAACCAGCAGCCATGCAGAGCCAGATAGTAAGTGCTCCTTGCATGAAACGAGGAATCAGATTGACCTGTCCTGGGGTTAGGTTTAGGCATGGGGTGTGAGGATCTAATATGTAGGGATGTGTCCCTGCACTTGCGAGGGAAGTTCATCGCGATGAGGCAGTAGTTCAATCCATTTCCTCCATTCCGTCGTTTCAGTAGATATTGCCAGTTGCGAAAAGATGGACAATCCTAATGAGAAACCCTCTTCGACATCAGGGTCTACTATCCCAAGTAAGTAGACTAACTCCCTTCTCCTTGTTGTTCGTTCAAGATTTCAAATGCTAAGATACCCAGACGAAGATGAGAGCCTCCTCCCCCCCATCGCCATTGTCGGCATGGCGCTTCGCCTCCCCGGAGACATATCTACACCCTCATCTTTCTGGTCCCTACTCATGAACAAAACCGACACGTCAGGCCCCATCCCCTCGGACCGATACAACATTGATGCCTTCCACTCGCCCACCAAGCCCGGCATGGTACGTCCGCAGCGCGGCCACTTCCTGTCTCAGGACTATGTGAACCAGATCGACGCCTCGGTCTTCCAGGTAGCCGGGTACGAGGCTTCGCATCTAGACCCGCAGCAGACACTACTAATGGAGGTTGTCTGGGAGTGTATGGAGAGCGCGGGGCAGACCGAGTGGCGTGGACGGGAGATCGGGTGCTATGTTGGCGTGTTTGGGGAGGATTGGAATGATTTGAAAGCAAAGGAAACGGGGGAACTGTCGAGAGCGCATGTGTTTGCGGCGGGCGGGTTTGCATTGTCGAATCGCGTGAGCTACCAGTTCGATCTAAGAGGTCCAAGGTATCCTCTTTCCCTCCCCACTGTCCCCTCACTTGATTGGGAGTGTCGGGGGTCGATTACGGGTTGCTAATCTGAGTATGATGAACTAAAGTGCCACTATTCAAACCGCCTGCTCGTCCTCCCTGACGGCCGTCCACGAAGCCTGTCAAGCGCTATACACGCGCAGCTGCGAATCTGCCATCGTCGCAGGAACCAACATGATCCTGACCCCCACGATGACGATCACGATGTCCGACAACCGAGTCCTCTCGCCTGATGGACGATGCAAGACCTTCGACGCCAACGCGGATGGCTATGCGCGCGGTGAGGCCGCCAATGCGGTGTTCCTGAAACGATTGGACGACGCGGTGCGAGACGGCGATCCCATCCGCGGCGTGATTCGGTCCACGGCGGCCAACTACGATGGACACAGTAGTCGCATCTTTGCACCAGATGTGCACAGCCAAGAGAGAGTAATTCGGCAGGCGTATTCGCGCGCTGGGATCACGGACATCGCCCAGACCGCGTTTGTTGAGTGTCATGGTACCGGGACTAGGACGGGAGATATGGTTGAGGCGACGGCGGTGGCGAGGGCATTCAAGTCCGAGGAGTTGTATCTGGGGGCGGTATGTTTGCGTCTGTCTCTGTTTGTGTGGACATCAGGGGAAGCTGAGATATATGGAACAGGTCAAACCGAATGTTGGGCATGGTGAAGGCGCGTCGGGATTGACGGGGCTGATTAAAGCCGTGTTGGCGTTGGAAAATCGTATCATCCCGCCGAATATTCATTTTGAGACTCCGAATCCGAAGAGTAAGTCTCTGCTTCCAGAGGATGGGCAATGCTAACGAAGGAACGGTGTAGTTCCCTTCAACAAGGGTTTGCGTGTCCCCGTAGATCCTGTTCCGTGGCCGTCGAATCGGAAGGAGCGAGTTAGCGTGAACTGCTTCGGCGTCGGAGGGTCAAACGCTCACGTATGCTGCATGACCCATCCGATTCTTTCAAAGCTGACAGTATAGGTTATCGTGGAATCGGCATCGTCGCTGAAGGCAATCGAGCCTCCCTCAAACGCACGGGCTCGCTTGTTGGTGACCTCTGCATATAGCGAGGCATCGCTGCACCGACGAATCTCTGATCTCCAGGCGTATCTTAAGCAGAATCCGAAAGGAGTTCAAGATCTGGCATATACCCTTGGAGTGAAACGAGACCATTTGTCTCATCGAGCTTTCATGATTGCAAACGAAGATGGGACACTGGAAGAACCTATTCTATCCAAACCTGTCGCTCCGTCGTCGATTGTATTTGCTTTCACCGGTCAAGGAACTCAGTGGCCGGGGATGGCGAAGGAGCTCGTTCAGTCCGTCGAGTCATTCCGTGCGGATATTAGGAAGATGGACCAGATTCTCAAGACGTTGCCGGACCCCCCGGCTTGGGATATAGAAGGTAAACGCAACCTCTCTGCCAAGCGACCGACTGTGCTAATACAACCTAGATGAGCTACTTCGTCTCGGCACTTCTCACCGCGCTAGCAAGGCCGAATTATCGCAGACTCTTTGTGCCGCCGTTCAAATCGCATTAACCAATCTGTTCTCGGCATGGAGAATCCGTCCGTCCGCCGTAGTAGGCCATTCCAGCGGCGAGATTGCGGCTGCATACGCGGCGGGTGCGATTCCTATCGAGTCGGCTATAATCATTGCATACTATCGCGGACAGGTTGCCAAGTCGAGTACCAGACTAGGAGGGATGGTGGTGGTTGGGCTGGGTCCGGAGATAGCTAAACATTACCTTGTTGACGGAGTGGTTATAGCGTGTGAAAATAGTCCCCAGAGTGTTAATTTATCTGGGGACAAGGATAAGTTGGATGCGGTGCTGGAAACCATCCTGACCGAGCACCCGGAAACATTCTACAAAAAACTACCTGTCGAGGTGGCATACCATTCACGTCTGTTTCCCCCATCCTTTCATGCCCGTCTGATCTAACATCATCTAGCCCACATGGCCGATCTGGGACACACTTACGAGGCCTCCATCCGCCCTCATATCTCGACCACTACAACCACCAGCGGGATTCCCATGTACTCCACCGTGACCGGGCAATCCCTACGTTTCACCGACTTGGATGCTGCATACTGGCGACGCAACCTTGAGTCACCCGTTCTTTTCGCCTCAGCCGTGGGTAATCTGCTGGACGCACAGACGACAGATCCCGAACCAACCCTCTTCCTCGAGATTGGCGCACACCCAGCTCTCTCTTCTCCTCTCCGCCAAATCTCCTCTGATCTCAAAAAGCCCATCTCCCACATCGCCACCCTCAGCCGACACACTGACCAACACCTCTGCATCCTCCAATCCGCCGGACACATATACCTCGCAAATCACATCCCATCGTTCTCGACTCTCAATGGCTCCGGCACCACTTTGTCCGATCTTCCCATCTACCCCTGGGACCGCCGGAATTTCAACCGCCAAGAAAGCCGACTGACACGCAACTGGCGATTCCGCAAACACGTACCCCACGAGCTGCTTGGCTCGCGGACACTGGAATCCACGGACTTAGAGCCGTCGTGGCGGAATTTGCTTCGCGCGTCGGCCGTTGCCTGGCTTTCGGATCATCATGTCTTAGGGGACATCGTGTTTCCGGCGGCCGGGTACATCGCCATGATTGCGGAGGCAGTTCGCCAGGTCTCAGGCTCTGGGGACAGTAGCAGTCAGGGGTGTTGGATCCAGCACCTGGTGATTAAGACGCCATTGACGCTGAGTACGAAGGGTGCTATGGTGGAGGTGGTCACCTCGTTCAAGCCAGTGCGGTATAGCGATCGCGTCGAATCAGAGTGGTGGGAGGTGACGGTCGCTTCTTTCAACGGGACTACGTGGACGAGGCATTGCGTTGCGCAGGTTCAGAGCGAGGAGGCTGGTGACGGTGGTTGGAGTGGTCATACCCTCTCGACTGAGAAGATTGGAAGACTTCCCCGTCCTGTCGCCCCGGAATCCTGGTATCGCACGCTAAAGAGCGTCGGCCTGCAGTACGGCCCCCAGTTCCAGCTTCTAGAAGACATCACCACCCATCCGATAGAATACGTCGCGAATGCCTCCGTCCGCAAGGAGCCCTTTCACGCTGAGTACCCTGTCCACCCAACAGTCATTGACCAATGTCTTCAGCTTGCTGGACTAGCATCGTGTCGGGGCCGAACAACACTAATTGATGGCGTCGCCATCCCGGCGTTTATTGAGAGCTTGTACGTTGGCAGTGTGCAGGAAGGCGAGATTATGTTGGCACAGACGAAGGGTTCTTCGGTTGTCGGGACACATGCGAAATGCGATGCACGGTTGATGACAGGCGAGACGACGGCGCTGTCGGTGCAGGGCGCGGTGATCGTGCAGTTGGATCGGGGTAGGCTGGAAGAAACGCGTCCTTTAGCGTCCCACATTGAATGGAGGCCGGATGCGGATTTAGTATCTACAAAGGAACTTGTGGACTGCGAGATAGGCGAGCCAAGGGTTCTGATGGATAGATTATCTGCTCTGTCAGTCATTCAGATTAACAGGGCTATCCGGGATGTGACGCCTATTCCTCAACATGAGGAATACAAACGATGGGTCTGCGAAACAGTCGAGGATGACCGGAAGGCCATAACCCCTGAGGCACAGGAATGGTCTACATTGGATGATACGGCCCTACAGTGCCTTCGCGACGGACTGAGTGCAAAGCTGAAGACCCACGGCCAGGAAGAGATCTCTGGCCTCAGTGCAAGTATTGTCGAAGCTTGCGCCAACATCCTGCGCGGGACGGTTGATGTGGCCCAATTCGTGTCAGAAGAGAGCCTCGTGCAGGTCCATGAATATACGGCGTCATCTGAGGCAGTAACTCAACTTCTTAGTCTGATGCGCCATACAAATCCCCGACTGCGCGTTCTCGACATCGGGAGTGGTTCGGCTAGATTGACATCGTGTGTCTTGAAAGCGCTTACATCGGAAGAAGGGCGATGCTGGTCAAAGTACACTTGGACTGATATGTCTACTGTCGCCGTCGAAGCTGCACAAGAAAGATATGGTGACGAGGTAGAGTGTTGTCTGTTTGATGTCGCGCAGGACCCGACGGTGCAGGGATTGCAGGATTTTGGATACGATATTGTTATCGTGTCGAATGTAAGACTTTTTAATCCGATTTCATGGGGAACTTGAGAGCCCAGTACTAATACATGCAGGCCTTGCGCACAATCCCGCAGCTCAATGCTGCTCTCCCAAACATCAAGACGCTGCTGGTGCCGGGAGGGACAATTGTGATGCAGGAGATGTCTCGTATGTTCTGGCCTTCAACCTCTTCAACATTTACTAACAGGGCAGACATTACAATGATGAACTATATTACGGTATTTTAAGCATATATGCAACTTTGCGTGAAGCTAACTCCAGTAGGGTCTTCTTCCCCAGTCGGAAATCACGAATGCAGGCTCTCTGTCGACATCGGAGTGGAACTCCTCCCTAGAAACTGCTGGATTTGAGGATGTCAATACAATTGAATTTGACCGCTCATCCCAACGGCACATCATCGCAAAGGTCCCACAGCCTGCTCTCGAACCGACATCAATAGACATTCTCGTACCCGACAGTCCGCGTCATCCCTGGCATAAATCCATAGAGTCTGTCCTATCGGACAGAGGATTCACCGTGCAGACTCACACCCTCGATCAAGCCGTCGCCAAGAACACCCTTGTGATCTCCCTCCTCGATCTTGACGGGCCCTTCTTCAAATCCATGACGGCAGATCAACTCTCTGCTCTACAAACTCTCCTTGCCTCCACCCCTCGCATTCTCTGGGTTACGCACTCCGCTCAGGTGAAATCCGCAAACCCGGACTTTGGACTAGTTCTCGGGGCCGCGCGGTGCATTCGACAGGAAACTGGCGTCTCCTTTGCCACAGTGGAGGTGGATGCATTCACCCCTTCGGCACTGGACGCCGTGTTGAGCGTACAGGAGAAATTCCGTCGGCAGCAGAGCCAAGATGATCTGGATGCGAAAGAATACGAGTTTGCCGTTCACGACGGAGTCGTCTACACGGGACGCTACCACTGGACTTCGCTCACGGATATGTTGAATGCCCAGCCGGAGCAGGGCTCGTCGCTGAAGCTGGACATCGCGACCTACGGCGCCATCGGATCTTTGGGCTGGGTGCCTGATCAGATAGATTCCCTTGGTGCCGACGATGTTGAAGTGGATATTCGATACGTGGGATTAAACTTTCGAGTATGTCCACTCCAAACTCTCTCTTTTCCTTCTATCCCCTGGCTGATATTGACATGTCCAGGATATCATGATTTCTCTAGGCGTTGTGGCGAACAGAGAGGAACTGGGCATCGAGTGCAGTGGCATCGTTACCCGTACCGGCACGAACGTTCGGCACCTGCATCGAGGCCAAAAAGTCGGCGTTCTCTATCCTGGCGTGTTTCGCTCGCGCAAGGTCGTACCGGCGCATGCGTGCTCAGAGATCCCAGCTACAATGTCGCTGGACGATGCGGCAGGGGTCATGGTGATATTTAATACGGTGATGTACTCGCTTACGGAGGTGGGGCGGTTACGCAAGGGACAGGTGAGTCTTTGGCCTGAAGTCAGCGGGATAAAGGAGGGGAAAAGCTGTTAACTGTGAGTAAATGACAGTCTATTCTGATTCAGGCCGCTTGCGGTGGTGTTGGCCTTGCAGCCGTCCAACTCTGTCAGACCATTGGGGCCGAGGTATGTCTTCCTTGGCATCTTCAAGATGGTTGTTCTGCACTAACAGAAGAAATCAGATTTACTGTACCGTCGGCAGCGAGAAGAAGGCCCAGTACCTTATCGAAACATTTGGTATCCCGCGCCATCGCATATTCAACTCCCGCGACGCGTCCTTCCTGCAGGGGGTTATGCGCGAGACCAAGGGAGAAGGTGTGGATATTGTTCTCAATTCGCTCAGTGGTCCTCTCCTCCACGCTTCCTGGCAGTGTGTAGCACAATTTGGAAAGATGATTGAGCTGGGTAAGAGAGATTTCCTGGAACATGGCATGCTCCGAATGGATTTGTTCGGAGGGAATCGAACTTTCATCGGGGTTGACTTGTTTGAGCTGGCGAAGAAGCCGGGTTTGATCGCAGGGTTAGTTGAGTTTATATCTTACAGGTCGAGCGCGGATGTGCTAATCATGGGTAGACTGTACGATCAAATTCTCGAGCTCTTTCAAGAAGATAAACTGCAGCCCGTCCGACCATTGAAAGTGATGCCCGCGGCAGAGGTCGAGCAGGCTTTTAGGCATCTGCAGCAGGGTTTGCATATGGGCAAGATTGTCGTGCAGATCCCCGAAAGCACTGCCTCATTGCAGGTCGCTAAGTCTCGTCAGTCGGTCATATTCGACCCCGACGCCGCCTATCTGCTCGTGGGTGGACTCGGGGGAATTGGTCGCTCTATCGCAACGTGGATGGTCGAGCACGGCGCAAAACACTTGATCTTTCTCTCTCGTTCGGCCGGCCAGTCGGCAAATGATCAGGACTTCCTGCACGAGCTTCATGTGCAAGGGTGCGATGCTCGCGCCGTAAAGGGAGATGTATCGATCCTGGCCGACGTTCAGCGTGCAGTCGATGGCAGCTCTCATCCCATCCGAGGAATGCTTCAACTATCCATGCTGACCCGCGTACGGTCCCTCCCCTAGTCATCTTCGACGTCTCATGCTAATCACTGTATCCAGGACCAATTCGTTCGCGACCTCACCTATACTAACTGGACCACCGGCCTCGCCTCCAAAGTGACCGGTACCTGGAATCTGCACCACGCGCTCCAGGCCTCACCACTGTCCTTCTTTGTCCTTTGCAGCTCCATCGCCGGTATTATGGGCAGCCCAGGCCAAATGAACTACGCGGCCGCCAACACATTCCTCAACTCATTCACGCAATTTCGGCTGCAACAAAACCTGCCCGCCTCGGTCGTCAGCCTCGGGGGCGTCGACGACATCGGCTTCCTAGCGACCCAGAATACCCGCGTGAGGGACAACATGCGCGCCGCCTCCGTGCGCATGTTGCAGGAACACGAGGTCCTCGACGCCTTCGAGGTTGCCATAACAGGCCGCGCCATGCCCCTGCCGTCTATCTCACGAGAGTCTCTCATTCCGCAGGAACTCGTCATCGGGATGAGCAGCACCAAAGCCCTCTCGGATCCCACTGTGCGTCCCCTCTGGGGCAACGACGCGCGGTTCTTGCACTACCGCGACGCGATGACCCCTGCCTCAAACGAGCGAACCATGGCGCCCATGAACGCCGTCCGCCAGCTAATCGCCGACACGAGAATCCGGATCGCAGCGGCGCGGTCCGCATCTGCATCCACGTCCCACCTCCCAACGGGTGGCTCTGGCGCCCTATCTAGTGATGGCAGTGATCCCCTCGAGGCGCAATTCACGCCCGCCCGCCGCGCTACAATCCGCAAAGCCGTGTTAGACGGGATCCAGGCGTTCTCAATCTTCGGCGAGGACCTGGACAATGAGGCACTTGGCAAGATGCAGATTGACTCGTTGATGACGATCGAATTGAAGAATTGGTTTAAGAGACATTTAGGGCTAGAAGTGAGTATTGGAGATGTGGCAGCGGCTGGGACATTGGGTGGTTTAGAAAATGTGGTGGTTCGGGCGCTTCTAGCGGAGAACCCGCGATGATGATTTATATATCGAAGGGAGGATTAGAGAGTCAAATTTGAGAACTTGAATTTCCGAATGATCGGCAAGTTAGGAGCAAATACAAGGTGCGAAAGCTCAAAATGCAGGCTGTATGACTTACATGCGCTTTTTGACCTTCTACTCTAACAGTATAAATTGAGAAATTCGAACAGAAAAATTTACTTTGTTCACTTTGCTCGACTTATTGAGCGGCTATCACGGAACCTGTCTTTGTAATATCTTTACTCATGTAACTCAAAAAAAGTAGCTCCAACATGAACAGGGGATGTGGTTTAGTGGTATAACGTTCCCTTAGCATGGGAAAGGTCCGGGGTTCGATTCCCCGCCTCTCCATTCACTGTTCTTTTTTTCTTTTTTCCCTTTTCGTTTTCGGATCCTTAGCTTGGCAGTGTTCGTTTGCTACCACGATCCCGAAAGAGAGATCTCCTAGGAAACTGCTTTTTTCTTTTTCTTGAGGCTTGACAATGGGCTGTCTGCCGTCGAGCGTTCCGTTGTCTGTGCTGAGTTACTCGGAAATCAAGACTAGATGGTAATTGAACATCGCCGGCCCGTAAATGGTATACACATCGCTCCCTTCCATTTGGTCTCTCTCCTTGAAACGTGATATATTGGTTATCCTGGCGTCGAGTAAATCTGAATGGTTCAGGGGGCTGGTGAGTCTCGTGATACTGCTTCAGCTCTTGGAAATTAGCGAACTGGTTTGTGATCTAGCCAGGCTGGCGCGTAGATAGTATGCACTTTTCTTCCTCTTTCTCCAAGCAATATCAGGTTGCCTAGAATATTCACTCAGTTTAATTTCCCAAAAATAGCAGACTGAATAGCCACCATAGACAGGGCAAATGGTATAGAACTACAGTCAGCATACAGTTCCTTCAAACCCCGATTGTACATATGTAGTAACTATGCAACCCCAAATGCCCAGAACAAGGGTGAATTTCCTCTTCTAGAAGCCACCGCATATCTGAGACCTTATCCAAGACATCTACTGCTATTTTATACATACCATGTCGTGGGTACATCATGCGCAGGTGTCCGGGTTTCTCCAGGAGGTTCGCGTCGTGTTGGGCCAGAAAAGAACCCCCAAGCTTTATCGGGGACGGCTGGTCGTGAACCTCGAGCTTATATTATGGACCTATTCATGTTTTAAATCGAGACCATCAGCCGATCGAGAGGGTCGAGATCGCTCGAAACTCCGAACGTATTTCGAAAAGGCCTGGTTAATATTGGCTCCTTACGTGAGATTGGCTCGCTAGGTTTTTAACCAGGACAGTGTTGACACATCATTGACTGCCTTGCGAGATTAGTGGTCACTGGAAGAATTAATCGTAATTTATCTAGTGTGTACCCTGTGAGTATGTCAGGGGTGTATGCCAATGGGATAATCAGGTAATGACAAATAACAAACTGTGGCTTTGCGGCGGGTTTTGAACCCAGTGTTCCTTTTTTTTTTTTTTTTTTGATTTGATCCGATCAGAAATTAGCAATTTAGTTTCGATCCTATCAAATTCGTTATAGCGTAGCAGGTAGGAACAAGATCCGGTCGCTTCTGAATCTATAGCCGTCAGGCTGATTCGAACTCAAGATACGAAATCAGTCAACTATGACTTCGTATACATCCTGACCAAATGTGAGTATACCAAACTGCCGCTGTAGCCTAGTAATCGGCGAATCCTTGAGAGCTGCCAAGTAGAGATGACTGTGCCTGCGTGAATAGGTGTAGCTCTATATGGAATTATCCAGGGCAATTACAGGGGTGTTTCCGATGGATATCAGTATAAACGTCTCTGGTAACCCTCTCTTCTCGCGGCTTCGTTTTGGGAGTATACATTCTTTCCGTTGCCTGAAGTCATAGAAACACTCGTTTTCTTAGAATCCGTTGCTCATACATTGCTCAATTACATTAGACCAGTCAAGGAAATCTTAGAAAATATGTCTTCTATCTACAAATTCGCGCTCCTGGCCTTTGCCTCCACTGTCTTCTCTGCCCCCCAATGGACCGGCAGCGCAGCCACAGGCCAAGTTATCACGCACTGCACCACTCCCAACACCATTGCCCTAACCTTTGACGACGGCCCGTCCCCCTTCACCAACCAACTCCTTGACATTCTCGGCGAATTCGGCGCAAAGGCAACCTTCTTTGTACTCGGCGATGCCGCCAGCTCGTCTCCGGACGCAATCGTACGCGCACGGCGCGAAGGCCACCAGATCGGTTCTCACACGTACGTTCTGACGTCTACCATGCACCTTGTGTTACGATTCACCGACCATTCGCAACCCAACTGACCCCTGTGTCCAAACCCTTCTAACCAACCATCTCACCTACAGTTTCGCCCATCTGAGCCTCCCGTCCCTGTCCAGCGCAGAAGTCGCACAACAGATGACCCGACTTGAAGACACCCTGCGTCCGATCATGGGCGACGCACCCACCTACATGCGCCCACCGTATCTCGAAATCAACGACAATGTTCTCTCCGTGATGCGCGATCTCGGATACAAGGTGATCCAAAGCAGCGTCGACACGAAGGACTACGAGAACAACGAGCCGTCGCGGATCAGTCTCAGCTTTGACAAGTTTGTGAGCGAGGTGAATGGTGGTGGGAATGTTGTGTTGGCGCATGATATTCACGAGCAGACGGTTGTTACTCTGGCGAGGAAGATGTTGGAGGAGAGTAAGGCTAGGGGATTGAAGGGTATGTTCTTTTTTATTATCTTTCTGGTCTTTTCATGGGGGTGTGGGGCTTGGATGAAGAATGGTGTGGCTAACTATAGGTGTGAATAGTTACTACCGTGGGCGAATGCTTGGGCGAGACGGAGGCGGAGTGGTATCGCCAGGGCCGCTAAGGGATCTAATTTAGGGGGATTGTGACACGGGAGAGAAGGGAGCTTCCTGATACACGTGGACTGCTGGGGAGGGTTTCAATGCTCGGTCTAGTGTCGAGTTATGTTGTACTACCGGCAGATTAGAGAGTATCACAGAGGGCCTTAACCGTGAAATTACATTTGATGGTGTTCAACAAGATGATTGAGAATTCTGGCGTGAGGAGATTAGATAGTTCTGGAGCGTTCTAGAGAGAAATCAACTAATCTAATATTATTAGCCACTCATAGGCTAGTGCAAGCCATTGATTTAACAACCTAATGGAACATTCATCAACGGCGGGAATCTAACGACGATGAGGATGGAGATTTCTTGCATATCGATGTTATTTTTTGTCCTTCATCTTTCCTAATTCAATGGTAAGGAGACACCCAAATTCTATCGCATGATAATATCATTCAGCCTTGTTCGAACACTGGAGCCTTTCCGCCCCTTGTACTTTCAATCGGACGGAACTGGATGCATAGCACGCCAATATCGTTTTCTCAACTCCCTGATTACGAAGAATTGAGACCATCGATTATAGATTTCGTCCTTATCCCATGTGGTGGAACTGCCATCCCAATGATCTGGAACCCGGGAGATCACCACATCTGGATAGGAAAGTGTACCCTCCATTCTAGGCATCAGATGTAGGAAATCATCACTTGAACAACCCTTCGCAGACATGCTCTCCAACGAAGCCCGAATAATATAACGGTAGTTCACCTGTTGCCCATGCCGCATAAATAGTCGAATGGATTGTTCCAACGCGCTATGGCCAGCATGTAGTTCAAGAGCAACTAGGGGGTCTGCGCCTCTTTCAAACAGCAGGTTAGCGAGTGCTGGTTTCCCAACAGCCTTCAATGCAATAGACAGAGCTGTTCGTCCCCATGAGCTTTGTTTGTCTATCTGAGCCCCGTGGTCAAGCAAGAAATTCATCGTTACTGTAATATTTCAACAAACCACGCTTTGGCGACATGAATTATCAAAGCTTCAGCTGGTTTGTTCTTTCGTATTGCCGACAATGAGTACAAAGCATTAACGTCGAATCCTTCTCCTAGAAAATACCCGATCACATCGACGTTTGCTCCCAGAGCTGCACTGACCAGTGCAGAGCAATGGATGGGATGACTCGGGTCCAGTGCTAGATCATGTGCAGACAGGAATCCGCGGAAGGTTTCTAAGGAGCTGGAGTATGCTGCAATTTGGAGGGCAGTTTGCTCATGGTCGTAAAGCCGCGGACTATCGAGCGGGTTGAGGAGGCTCAATTCGCCGTGCTCTATTATGCGCGAAACAAACGCAAGATCGTTGGCTTTAAACGCGCCAATAAGGATTTCTTTGAGTGTATGAGGAGCCTTTATGTCGCCCAGATATCCACGCCGCAGGAGGACCTTGATGTGCTCAGGATAATTCCTAGCGTTGTCAAGCAGTCTTCGAAACCAGCTCTCATCGGGATCTGATGGATCTGGGGTACCATGATCCAGCAACATATCAAAGAAGAGGGCACCCCGACTTTTGAATGTAGAAAAGCAGAGCTTTGACCAGTCGTCTCTCCAAGTTTGACGTTTAGTGATTTCATCCAGGAAGTATCGCGCAAGGGGCAAATTTTCCTGTCGGACAGCGAGTTCAAAACAATGCGGTAGATGGTCCCACTCAGCGGAGGAACCCCACATTGCCGAAACTTCTTGATAGAGAGGAAGATCGTTGCAAAGTACGATCATGTGATAGAAGTAGTATTTGATCTCGGGGTCATCCCCGACATCAGGGAACATTGTCCTAAGGTCATTCCCATTAATAATGTTTGTGACGGGCAAGTTTGGATACCGGTAATGATCCACAAAGTCCGCAAGGTCAGAAAGTTTCAAACAAGTGAGGCGCATACCCATCTCAATCAAATACTGTACTACCTCTTCATGGTGACTGGCCGCAGCGATATGAATAGGGGAGTTTATAGCGTGCTTGAAGATCGGCTTATCGAGATCAGCACCAGCCTCCACGAGAAACTTAACCATCTCCAAGTTGCCCTGATATGCACATCGCTTGAGGATTCCGCCTGGGAATGGCGTGTTAACATCAACTCCTCCCTTTTCGATCAAGTACCTAACCGAGGCTAACTGGCCTTCTTCAACCGCAGACGGCAGGACCGATATCTTTAGCGCCTCTTTTACTGCCTTAGAAGATGTAAGTGCTTCCAAAACACCCAGGCTGCCTTTTCTTGCGGCGCGGCAAAGTGTCGTTGCGAGGTCATCCTCAAACAATTCGATATCATACAGACAGCGACGATCACCTAGAAAGGCTTCGGTACAGGCTACCAGCAACTCGGCCATTTCTGGGAGATCCGGATCAGCAGTCAATAGAATTGGTGATGAATGATCTGTTGCGTCAGAGTACTCCCCGAATTGGAAACCATTGTCCCAGAGCTTGCGTAGTGCATCTACGTTGTTGCTCTTCACAATGCGCTCAAATCCTTGCAGGGAACAATCCGCGGCATAAGACTGGAAAAGATGGTAATTGGCAACGTCATAGAGCCGTCGACATGTTTGCGCGAGGGAGCTGATCTCATACGCGTACTCTAGGTAGAGCGTAATCGTCTCCAAGAGTTCAACAGGAAGAGATAGTAGATTTGTGCGGGCAGGTGACATTTTGGATACACAATGAAGATGTTACTTGTTGAATCTTCTAGGTGTATAGGTTATCTCGACTAAATGAGCAGCAGCGTGTCAGTCGATGATGGATATTTTTATACACACTTCTGGCTGATCAGGATCTATGACTTCATGGGAGATTCCGGCATTTTATCATGTTTAGGTAATGTCTCCTGATTGAGCTTCTATAGATCCATTTCTCTGAAAATTCCGCCTGGCCTACCTTTTCTCTTTGGTACGCCTGCGAGTTGCCCAATGAGCCCAATTTATAGCATATACTTTGCTCCTTCAATCATAGCTATAAGTTATTCATTATAAATTACTGCCTTTTCTTCCGATCGAGCCTGTGAAAAGAGTGATAAGTGCAGAGCAACTATCAAATTTTGAGATTACGAAGGCAAGTCGCGAACAGACATGCTGGAACAGGGTTGCCTTTCATTGCTCAGCCATATTTCACAGCATTTTCTTCGTTTACTAGAATCGAACGAAAGGGATTTAAAAAAAAAAAAAGAAACAAAGCAAAACATATAACAGCCGGGATTCGCTGGTGGTCACCCACCCAACTACTAACCGGCCGGCGTGTGGCTTGAACGCGGCCAAAAGCCGGGTGGGTGCCGCCCGGGTGAGCTAGCGGATGAGGCCGCTTTACCGTCGCGCGACCGGGGTGAGCTGAGAGTGAGTAGGGTGAGTGTGGAATAGACAGGGTGAGCCACTCACCTCCTTGCGCGACTCACTCAGCCCACCACCCAGCTGTGGGCCTTAATTTCCACTATATTATCATGTTGGCTCAACATTGGCTACGTGGTCTATCCCTTAAAACACCGGCGCGCTTGGCAGAATGGAGTAGCCACTTGAGTTGCGCGAAAATGTCGCTGCCTGGGAAGGCTACCAGTACTGGGTTCTCAATGCGACTGCCTCTTAGTTGAGCTTTGACTTAGTCCACAATCCCGCGGTAGCAGTGAATTACTGGATGTAATACAGCGTGCCTATTGGAAAAGGTCTATTATTCCAGCTCAGTCTCTAAGGTACCGATCTCAGTCCCTGGGTAATGATTGACTACGCCATGCCTAGCCGAGAATAAGCCAATCAATTTACTGCGGAGGTTCCCACGTACCGCCATCCGCACCGCCTCCACCGTACAGTCTTTCTCGAAATCGCCTTCACCAAGAAAGGCATGATGATTCTCTTTCCGCCCCACTGCCAAGATCCTAGCGTAGGCATTTTATTGAGCCACTAGCAATTAAGGGAGGGCCTTAGTAGGTTTGCCTTTAGTTTCAAATGCGGAATAGAGACTACACCATGGGCTATGTTGCACAAAAATGACGTTAGAATATTCACACCCTTTTGCCTATCGCTGTAGTACGGGACCAAGTTCAAGTTCTTGCAGCTACGATCGGTGACTTGCATGCGGTGTGGGGTTCCATCCAAGTTGATAAGAGGTAACTATGGTAGACATAATTTGTGATGAACAAATAGAAACGTCACTTTATACGGAAGATTCTATACGGGGTGTCTCGCCTACAAAAAGGTTCCGCACGAAAGCTAGTGAGTGATGCCAGAGACTTGAACACCATGCGCGTCTTCGAATGACCAGGACCCAGTGCCTTCGTATAGCCAGCCAATGCTCGCTGATCCATCTCCTCTGCCTCCTTCAGCTTGCCCGGATTCTTGTACAGATTCCCAAGGTTGTCAACTGTATCCAGAGTGGATGTGTAATCAGGACCCAGTGCCTTCTCTCTGCCTGCCAGTGCTCGCTGATACATTTCCTCTGCCTCCTTCAGCTTGCCCTGCTTCCTGCACAGACTCCCAAGGTCGTTGACTGTATAGTCGTTCTGGAAATCGCCTTCACCGTAGAAAACAGATGACAGTGGTTGTTCTTCTCCGCTCCCAAGACATTAGCGCGAGTAATCTACAGCAGTGAGGAACTAGCACTTAAAGACGGCCTCTGTACAGTTCTTTCTATATCAGTTATTGGGAAAACAATGTATGTCCGTACCCAAACTAAAAGATATATATCGCGAGAAACCCTATGTACCCATTGATATTCTATGTACTGTCAAGTTTGTGGTGTGCCACCAGGCGTCTATGGATGATCAGGGCCTGTCCCCGTCTCATTGCCCGCCAGTGCTCGCTGGTACACTTCCCATGCCTCTTTTTGCTTGCCCTGACTTGCGTAAAGTATCCCGAGAGTGTTGACTATGCCCAGTGTGTATGTGTGATCACGACCTAGCGTCCTCTCATATCCCACTAGTGCTTGCTGGAACATCTCCTCTGACTCCTTTAGGTTGCCCTGTTGAGAGTAGAGAATCCCAAGGTTGTTGACTAGATCAAGGGTTGATGTGTGATCACGACCCAGCTTCCTCTCATATCCCGCTAGTGCTTGCTGGAACATCTCCTCTGCCTCCTTTAGGTTGCCCTGTTGAGAGTAGAGAATCCCAAGGTTGTTAACTAGATCAAGGGTGGATGTGTGATCATGACCCAGCTTCCTCTCATATCCTGCCAGTACTCGCTGAAATATAAGCTCTGCCTCCTTTATTTTACCCTGGTCCTTGTAGAGAGCCCCAAGATTTTTGACTGTCGTCAGGGTGGATGTGTGATCAGGACCTAGTGCCTTCTCATATCCTGCCAGTGCGCGCTGATACATCTTGTCAGCCTCCTCCGCCTTGCCCTGATCCTTGTAGAGAGCCCCAAGATTGTTGACTGTCATCAAGGTGGACGTGTGATGAGGACCTAGTGCCTTTTCATATCCTGCCAGTGCGCGCTGATACATCTTGTCAGCCTCCTCCGCCTTGCCCTGAGCCTTGTAGAGATTCCCAAGATTGTTGACTGTCATCAAGGTGGACGTGTGATGCGGACCTAGTGCCTTCTCATAACCGGCCAGTGCGCGCTGATACATCTCCTCTGCATCCTGTAATTTGTCCTGATCTATGTATATAAGGCCAAGGCAGTGAATCGAATCTATTGTGGATGTGTGATCAGGACCCAGTGCCTTCTTGTAGCCTGCCAGTGCTCGATGAAACATCTCCTCTGCCTCTTTGAGCTTTCCCTGATCCCTATAGAGACTCCCAAGATTATTGGCTGCCATCAGGGTTGATGTGTGATCACGGCCCAATGCGTTCTCTGCGCCTTCCAACGCTCGCTGATACATCTCCTCTGCCTCTTTTAATTTGCCCTGGTCCTTGTAAACATTCCCAAGATTGTTAGCTGTCATCAACGTGGATATGTTGTTAGGACCTAGTGCCTTGTCGCAGCCCGTTAGTGCTCGTTGATATATCTGCTCTGCCTCCTTTAGCTTGCCCTGATCGTTGTAGAGGCCTGCCAAATTGTTGACTATATCAAGGGTTGATGTGTGATCACGACCTAGTGCCTTCTCTGTGCCTGCCAGTGCTCGCTGATACATCTCCTCTGCCTCTTTTAATTTGCCCTGTTTAGTGTAGATAATCCCAATATTGCTGGCTGTCATTAGGGTGGCAGTGTGTTCACAACCCAGTGCCTTTTCTGTGTCTGCCAGCACTCGACGAAATATCTCCTCTGCCTTCTTCAGCTTGCCCTGGTCCAGGTAGAGAACTCCCAAGTTATTGAAAGCTTCCCAAGCGGCAGCGTTATTATCTGGCCAATTGGACTTCGCCTTTTGTGTCAAATAATCTGCGTGTGGAAGTAAGCGTCGTTGAAGGCTTGCATAGTCTTTGTCATCCTTGCTTGGAACCATATACCCAATGGAGACCAGTGCCATTTCATATAGCTGAACTGCGCGTTTCTCTGAAGCAGCAATATAAAGACACCACTCCTGTACCACGGGATGTATAGTATAGCTTCCTTCTAGTTGTTTTGTCTCAACAAGGGAAAAATTTGTCAGAATTCTGATCTTTGCCTTGAAAGCTATTATATTGGGCACTGCCGTCTCAACCCGAGATGGCACGTAGAAGCAATTCCAACCGGCCTCTATCAATTCGTACCAAATGTCCCGGTTATCGAAGCAAGCGAGAAAGAGCAGCATTGTCGCAGCAGTGGGATCGCGTTTCCGAATTTCTAGATATGTGATCATCCATGTCTCAAGTATATTGCCTTGCTGGTAGTGACGTGTAGACACGGCCTGAGACTGCAAATCAGACCAGGCAGTTCTGTAGAGACTTAGATACTCCTTTATACTGGTTCCAGTCTCGCGCATGAAGGCACCAGCAAGTACAATTGCCAGCGAGAGCCCATCCAGCTGGTTTACAATTGCGCTTACATCTACAGCGAGTCAGCCATTATTCTAAACTTCATTAAAAGATATCATACCTTGTTCAACGTTAACCTGCGCAAGTATTTGTGTGGAGAGGCCAATACTCCGTAATAGTAGCTGTGTCGCATCTTCCTGTGAAAGTTTCGTAATTGGGAATGATTTTCCCACTTCAATGAGCCTCTGAGTCCGGGTGGTGATGATAATCGATCCATGATCGGCTTGTGGAAAGAATTCACAGATATCATATGCGCAAGTGTTGCAGCCGGGACGTGGGACATATTGGTCAATATCATCATAGATAACAAGCCATTTGTTGTTGCGGGGGTCTGCTAGCCACTGCAGCACTCGACTAGCTCCTTTTTCTGCTTCCTCTTCATTCTTCGGCCCATTGTGCACGGGTTGTCCTTGTACCAGAGAAAGGTACGAGCTTAAAGATAAGACCAATGCAGACCGATTTTTGCCGCTTAGCCAGAAGATTGCTGTGTAGTCATCTTTATGTTTCCGTGCAAATTGAATAGCCAGCTGCGTTTTCCCTATCCCACCAAGTCCATGGAGAACAGCGACGCTTCGTCTTTGTGAGCTCCCCGGCTGTAAATATTCCCATAGATGATTGAGATCATCTTCTCGTCCAATAAATTCCTCAATCGCGGGAACCGCTGAAAGGTCTAGCGGAATACGAAATTCGTTGGCTTCTAACGTAATTATTTAGCATACAGGTCCTTGTCTAAGATTTGCGTACTAACCTTCTCGAGAAGTGGGCTCCCAATACTCCAAGAAAGCTTTGGCGGCCGCGGCCCCAGTTGCGGCGGCATACAATTGCCATGCTTTATTCTTGTGGCTATCAGCATAGTCACACACTCCTTTAATAATGATGCATGATATGTTGTCCCATACCCCCGCTCCCTCCATCTCGAAACCAACAACACCCTCTGACTCGACCAGACGATCACGGTGCTTGCCGGATTTCATCACCGTATCAGCGGATGCAACCGTCCCGATGTGGACCCTGGGGCTGTTATGTTCTGCGCTCGACCGTCGTCGACAGACTCTGCCCAGATCACAACCTAGAAGAGTACAGGTTGAGTCAATAGCCGCCTTACAGATATCCTCGGGTGTGCCATTAAGACAAAGGCACGTAGCTGAAGTGATACCGTAATGCTTATGCTGATATGAAGCTTCGAAGAGGACGTCATCAATAGAAGTAGGGCGATGCCAATCAGGTAGTGATTCTTGAAGAGTCTGTAAATGCCGTGACAGCTTCTCTTGAAGGTCTCTGCGAGATCGCCTTGCCTGCAGGCTTGCCAGCATTGAACGGATTGCTCGGTTCGGTCTTCCAAGCGTGTCCTTCACATCTGTTTTCTTTTCAAAGCCGCCAGGATACTGCCTGCCGAAGTCATATTGAACGACAGAGTCGCTCATTATCACATCCCCTAGAAATATCTCTCCGTCAGATAATGGGTATGGTGCACCTCCGCAGATCCCGACAACCAGCGCCACTTCAACCCTTTTGTAGCTGATTTTCAAGCTCGATGCCACGCTGGCTGCGCTTCCCTTGCCCATACCAGGCATATAGCACAGGACTACATTATGATTTCCAATCCTCCCGTTAACATATGCATTATCATCGCCCGGTTCTTTCCTGTAACTTTCGCCCAACCGGTCGTAGGTTTCGTCGAAAAGGTCTTCAACTGCCTCGGCTTCCAGGGTCAGCGCGCAGATGATCGCGATCGCAAATTCGTCTCGACTGGATGGGCGCATCTAGGCAAGTAATAGCCACAAATCTGAGAGGTTTAAGAGAAAAAAAAAGTTAGCTTCGGTGTCTTGAACAAAGCGACAGCTGTCTGAGAGCCAAAGCAGAGAAACTCTGGTTCAGCTGGACTTGATCACCTTTGAGCCTCACGGCCTAACCCGTGACATGGTCTTCGCCAACCAGATACCTGCGTTAGCCGCCTGGAGAGGGGAAATCACAAAAGGACGAGCAACCCGGCTCTGCGATCAAGATAGAATTTCTCATCCATCATGGAAGATCTTGTCGCTTTCGTCTTTCTAATATAAAATAAAAAACGCACCAAGTCCCGAGTTTCAGAAGGAGGTTGACATAAAGAAGGGAGAGAACCCTCTGGCAAGAAATGGCACTGACAGTTAACATCGCCGATTTCCAACACGTGACTGACATTATCCGGTTTAACTCTCGGCCCGGGTGAGATCGCCAAGCACGAAACTCCCCACCCCAAAAACACGTAGCTTCTCTTCAACCACAACAAGACATTGGGAGAGAATGCGCAAAGCTTCGTCTTGAAATTTTATTCAGCCAACCTCTTCAAATGTGGATGTTCGCTATTTTCAATTCGCCAATAAACAGGTGAAGTAATATTAGATTTATCAAATTTGCGTAGATTCGAATGCTTCTCACTAGGTCTCCAGATGGTGACATGCCTGCCGAAGAGCTAGAGGCTCAATAAAGTCCTCCAAGACTCGTGCTCTGATCTACGATTCGAGCCGGCAGATCAACGGAGGTAAACCCCATTCCCATCCTGGTCTGACCAGTGGCTAAAGTCGGTATCCCGTTCAACGAAAGCGCCCCGTTTGGCCAATTGGAGACCAGTGGGGCGAGATGTGCCTCGCATGTCATACCAAATCATTACCCCTTGCTCGGAAAGACAAAACTTCAACTTGTATCTAATCGAAGATTTTGTGGCATTGGTCCAGCTAATCAAAAATAACTTAAAACAACCTATTGTCCATTAGGAACATAATGCTGTATGTGATTTATGTCTCTAGCTGTAAGGTAATCTTTGTATGCGTAGTATATTTGGTACGTGATTGAAGACCTGAGGGAAAGCAAAAGTTACAACATGTACTCAAAACGCCATATCTGTAACTAAGTAAATCTATATTGTCATATAACTGAGGGCCAGCTCAAATCACTTTTCAGAGATTGCTAGGGGTTTGGCTTTGTGAACTTGGATAATAATATTACAAATTATATTTGGAATGAGAAGATGAAAATTGTCAGTGCTTAAATCTCATATTAGATGGCTGTCTATGAAGCTTACGTTTGTCTAATGTTATAGTTATATTATTGATTGGGAAACATGGGAGTCGGAGAACTTATCAGTGGAATGAATAACGAGTTTAGTTAACTAGTTATTGTTGGTGGGGCCTGTATGACTAAATCTTTTTAATAATGAGTTTCAGAAGAGACTTGGCGAATGACTAATTATCCAAGACACGAGTTTTAATGATTCATTTGATTGACGGTGTTTCTCTTATGACTTACATATCAAGGCCTTATTGATGCTTTTCCTCAGCTCCAATCCAAAGAATAAGTGAAGAGTAATCCAGTGCATTATTCAATACATACCACTAACTAACTACCTGTTGAGCGAGATGACGAAAGGATAGTTCTAGTTATGGTAGCCTGCATACCCTTCGGAAGGGGGAGGGGCAAAGGGATTACGAACTCGCACATTATACGGGTTTAAGTCAGCTTTCTCATTAACTGCCGCTTGCTAATTTAGTTTTTTAGTGGTACTGTCAACGTGTGTTTACTCATGACTTCTGGAGGTATCGGACAGATCTTTCATATTTGGTGCGGACAATTTAAACAAGACAGATAGAGCACTCTTTGGCGTCTGAACCTAGTCATTCGATCGGGCGCAAAAAGAAATTAACTAGTTCGTTTGTTACCTAGTTAACGTAATTGTCAACTTTCCGCGCGGCAACAACTTGTTGTGGCAGAAATGGTCTTGGCAAAGAGCTGATTAATACGCCGAGTTTATATGATCATATGAAACGATTGAAGGTCTTGATTCATTCTAATCTACTGCAAAAAGAAGCCGATATTTATGCAATTTCAGGGGCTTCAGATATGCAATAAAAGGGCTTGATCATACGATTCAAGCTCTATAATCGTACGATCAATATTGATCGATTGCTTAATCGGTTGAGCAAGGTGATGAAGTAATTGCTTAGTCAGTTCCGCGGCCACACTTGTTTTCTGACCATCACGTGCTGGGATAGTGGACAGTGATTCTCACCACAGCCAAAAGAGTCAGGCAGTAACGGTGCAGATACCCAACTCTTGAAATATGATTGCGACTAAGCTTTCCAGTCACATAATTTTGAGCGTAGGCGGTCTTCGTTATTAAGCCCAAGTTCGGGATTAAACTGAGGGGATTCCCTTTTCCATTACAAGGTGGACTATGTTAGTTAACCCCTCAGCTTTGCAGTAATTTTGGAAGGCTAACATTAGCCACATGAGGCTTGGCAGTCGCCCCGCGGCCAATTTGACACAGCGAACCCCCTCATTTCACTGCGAAACTCTGTCTCCCACCCGCGCATCCGTCAGTCAAAAATGCAGAATGACGATGGATATCTCGTTATCCCTGGAGACGAACCACCTGATGACTTACTCGCTGCTGTTGAAACTGAGATATCGTCATCCCCTAGGAGATGTGGACCGAATGGGCAGCAGCTTATGAAGTTCGGCGTGAAGGTATGTCGATATGAATGTGCACCAGAGCTTATGCTAGTACTTTACTGACAGTTATAGCTTCCTCATGAAGCATGGTTTCAGGAATACCTCGGATGTTTGTCCTCCGACGCCAAAAAGGTCGGCGAGACAAGAATCAGGTCGTTCAATAACAATCGACCAGGGCGATTTGTTCCCGGTCCTCCTGGGACTGTGCTTATATACAGAGCAGCGACTAGACATGGTCTTAGTCCTGAAACGGGATTTTTCAGAATTGTGCCCAGATCACATCGAATGACAGCCGCCGAAATAAAACGGGCCAAATCCATATCGATTACCCTTAGCGCCAGAGATACCCTGTACATGCCGGCCAATACAACTATCGAATATATTGCATCTGGAGAGAGTGTGGCGCTTTGTGAGGCTCTATCTGCCTCACTCGACAATGATACCGAAATGGAGATTTGAAGGAGTGCCGTCCCGTGTGTTATTTTGATGCAAATGTGTATTAATAAGATAATCAATAACTATAGAAGAAGTTCGGATCCGAGTTGGAAAAAGGACTCAACCAGGTATCTTGCACCCAGCCGGAGTCAAAGTTTGGGAAATTCCAGCACGGGTCTGAATTGGGGAATCGCTGCCAACTCGTAAGATCTCGGTCGGAGAGATCCTGCGAATTAAGTGACGGGATTGCTATTCTATTACGTACTGAACCCTGATCTGCTCCTGGTGTAAAGAAGCTTTGAACTGTGTCTCTTTCATGTATCGCTGTTTGCTCCGCCGTTTGCGGTAGGAAACTGGTTTCGACGATCCGGTGTGTTGGGTGAGACACTTGCGAAGCACCTTCTATGCTACACGAGAAATCAAGATGACCCTCCTGCTGGGAGGGTATGTTGCCAATAGTGCGCTCCACGGGTTCCAACAAGTGTATCTCGAACGACTCGGTGCCTTCTTCTCTATCCCCTTGGGGTTTTTCTTCGATGCGACGTTGGTACCCGCGCACCCGGCGGCCATTCCGTGAATCCCCATCCGAAGCCCGGCAGATACGTCGCCGTTTCGTCTGAGTCTCTCTATGACCCCCAGTAGGGGAATATGAGGATACGGATGGAACTAGTTGAGTTGATCCTTGGGAACCCGAGTGTGTCAGAGAAGGCGTAGGCGTTATACAATCATGTACGGTAGCGCCAAAGCAGTCTTGAATTGCTTGTATACACGTCGAAATGTCTTGATAAGTAGAGGTCAATGGATCGTTTTTGAGATAGTCGTTAATAGCACGGATGCCGATCGTCCTCGTACGGGCCCAACTGAAAATGGTCAGCCAAAGAACAGAAATGGGTTTGGAAGATCACCTTTTCCAGTTTGGATGCTTGATCGCAGCTAGCACACCAGGATCCAGACACGACCATCGTTCTCCCTCTCGCAGCATCCAGTTGTGTTTCTTCCAGTCCTTGCCAACACTCAATCGAAATGCCAAATCACGATATGACATACCACGTTTTAATGTATGTCCTTGGGTTTCAAGTTCTTGAGATTTTGACTTGGTCTCTGCCGCCAGGCGTCTGCACAGGAGTCGACGAGCCAACGGTGACGAAGAAGAATGATGATCGATCGCGCTGACCGCCTGTTGGATGCTATTACCGGCATGCAAGTTGGAGAATGCAGTCCAGAACTTGTTCGGATTTTCTTTGTATTTGTCATAGGCCTGCGTGATGTCCTTGACTTTATCCTCATTCCTCTCAAATGTTTTCAACAGTTCTATCAATTGTGGTATTTCGTCTTCTTGGAGACCGTCATAATGTTCAAAGTATTCCCGAACTCCATCGTTGGGCGTAGCGACGGTGGAACTGTTCTGAGTTGGTTTGTTCTCCGTACGAGGTACATCTTTGAGGGCTTTGTTCAAGTACTGGATGGTTGCTCCAGCATCACCTTCGAATAGGCGCCCTAGATCCTTGAGAGTCTTGGAGAGATTCTGTGCTAGGTTAGCCTCTAACCAAGGCATAAAGTGAATATCACATACATTGTCAACTGGGGATAGCAATTCCGCAAGAACTTCAAACTGTTTCTGCAGTGCTGTTTTCGTGCTGTGTGGAACTAACGCCATGTCTGTGAGGACTCTGTTTGGCATGGTTGACTGATACCCCTCTTTCTGGAGAGACTGTACCATGTTAATCTAAGCTATTCCCAAAACGGTTTGGTTTCGTTTGTCCTGGACAATCGAAACCAAACCGTTTTGGGAGTTAAACTAAACAAAAATGCGTCCTGGGCTATGCAGTTGAGTTTTCACTGTACTTGTGGAAGCTCATGCGTTCCCGCAGCCTACAATTTCAGCTCAGTCATGCGCATTTTCAAAGATTGTGAATCCAGCGGGAAGTCACGACAGCCCATGCATACCTTACAGAGTCATGCTTGTGGCTACGCTGGATCTGCCGGGCTATGTTCATTTACGGGCATCACAACAGCTCGATCGGCACGGCGTGCCTTCATTGCCATCATTTGTAGCAAGTAATGGTGCTTCAAACCTCTCGTACCTACACGTCTGGATCACAAACGTAAAATTGGATCCGATGGCGAATCCAAGTAAACACAACCTATCGCATGATCGTCGCCTCTGATGCAAAGAAGTCGGGATTGAAAATGGCTAGCCAGCTCTTGGGGCCTTTCTATTTTGCTCGACTGCCGAGATAAGTGAAGCTATCTCACGACGTCTATAAAGATGGCAGCCTTGATAACGTCTCACCGCAATTTTGACAGAACAATCCTTCATTTTTCCCAGGTTATCTTCTACGCAAGCTATGTCGTGGCATTGTTTTCCCGGCCAAAGTGCGTCTCCGCATAGGTCAAATCCTGATTGCCAGACACAATCGAATCGAGACTATAGCGACACAGAGCCGCCAAAGACTGAATCCCTCTCTCCGCCATGGGATCAGGCCCAGGAAACAGCCGCTACAAAAGTATCCACTTTACAAGGAGATCCAGCTTCCTGTCCAGCACGCTTAGAGGTGAGCATAGTTCTACTCCTTAATGCAACGAAAACTGATTTGCGGGAGGTCCACCGAATTATGGGTACCAATCCTCGTTATAGCGGACAGCACTGTCAGCTACAGGAAGCAGAGATAACCGCACTATGCATTTCCGCGGCGGGCACTATTAGCAAAAACCTCAGTTACCAAGAAGTCCAAAGTTTACCTGGCGGACCTGAGGCTCTGAGCCGATTCGAAAGTGACCCATATGCTCCACTATCATTCAGGCCTACGCCTCCCCTTCTGGAAGAATTTCCGATGGAGCCTAAGCAACGAGAGTCAGGATGGCTTGGATGGCTAAAATGGCTCCTCAAGCGCAAACGTCATCTAAGAGCGTGGCCCAATACCTAGACCAGCACTCATGATCGAGATGAATGTGATACTGAAAGCCTGTAGGATAGGAGGACCTATAGCCAAGTAGTCTAGAACTCGTCATCATGCGGAACAGCCTTGGATTCAATCGCACACCTAATTCAGGCTTACATCCTAGAGTATCTGGTCGTAGATGAAGAGCAGCCTGCCACTCAGCCAGTATATAGTCCCACAACTGCTATTGTCTTTATTTTTACTCTGTTTTTCTATTTCTCAATATTCGATCATATTGTCCTATTCCGCCTGTATCCATCACAGCCACCTTTCCGCTACTTTGCTTAATATCCACTCTTTTCAAAATGTGTTCCTACGGTCGTGTCAAATACAGTTGCCGCTATCTAGAACCTGATCATCGTGTCGTTAAGTGCGTTCGGTCTCTAAGCATGCAGTCTCTAAATACCAGTGACGATCCACGAACCCCATCAGCGCCGGGCACCCAGGAATGCTCGGGTATAATTCCAAAGGGTATAATACCCATGAACTATCCTTGCAGGCAAGAACACTGCCCTGTCTGCTCTCCCAAATAACGTGGTACGTTCCTCACTGGCCTTACTAGAGCAAGCTTACAGAATGGACAAGGGCAGCAGGAAACCGGTACAAATCTAGATGAGACCACCGCACGACCGGTGGTGAAGGCTGGGAGCTGTGGCGACGAAAGTACTATGTAATAAGCTCGGGCGTAATTTTAATGTACAATGAAAGGGTTCTCTCAAAGTCCCTAGACATGTAGAAAACGCTTGGAACTTAGTTTACTTTGTTTTTTTCCCTTTCATTTCTTGATTCCTGCACGATCTTTGCAGGTTACTCATCGCATCCCCAGCTTACATGTATATAAACTGGGAGCTTTAGGCCGAGCTTATTGTTTTACAACTGTTCCTCGCACTGTCTCTTTTTCAAGTTCTCAAAAACACCAGTATATATTTAGGCTACGCGTATACTGTCAAAGCCATGTTCATCAGAAGACTTACGAATGTTATCCTCTTTACGATTATAGCGATTGTGCTGTGGTTATTCTATTCCTTCCTGATATCATCTTTTCTACGCATCCTCTTCAAGAAATCTTATCCTGTCCGCTTCAAGTGCTCAGTATCACGCGACGAATAAACTTTGCTCTGCACACCTTCCAGAGTCTTATGCACTGGAGGAAGAGAGTTTTACCGCCCGCAAGAATCGTTCTAAGAATTCACTCACTGAAATAGTGGTAAGTAAACACTTATCATTAGAAGACGCTGTCCAAAAGTTTATAGTATACTAATTGTGAGTCGCTAGAGGTTTTTAACAGGATGCCACAGCCTAAAACATATCGGAGGGCCGGAGATGGCTCGGAAAGTAGTTGGGTGAAAAGAAGTCCTCGTTTGTGTCTTAGAAGATTTTGCTGTGTTTGCAGAAGAGAGACTGGAGTAATCTCTGAAAGTGTCTGTTGTAGTGCATGTGGTCATGAGAGGTGTCGAAAGTGCTTTGAAACGACAAGAGAGCAATCTTAGCTAGCGCGTACAGCAATGATACTTGACCAAAGATGTGTAACCATTGAATCAGCAAATACGTAGTCCCAATGACAGGCATGGTGCTTAGCTAAGGAATGGGGTTCTTTCATTATGCGTTTCCGAAGTGTCTTTGTAGACCAGAGGAGATTTCGAAGCAAAAGAGCAGGTATCTAGTGCCTACTGCGGTGGGGAACCTAGATTGACTAGCAACTGTCACTCAGAACATTTGATCCAATATGCTCGGTCGAGGCACTCGCAGCATCAAAAACGTGAAAAAGCCTGGTGCACCACCTCCACCGCCAACAACAACTCGGTGAACGGTAACAAAGTTGGATAGCCGTGGTGCGGGCTGATTGGACAAGAATCCATTAGCCTTAATTTAGTAGAGGTTGATTGAGGAGAAATCAATTGGGAAGTTCATTATTACCTATAGAACCTTTAATATCAAATTGTAGTCTACCAAGAGTAGAATGTCCTACTTATAATTAGTCCTTTGCCGCTAGAAAGGTTATAAATTCAGTACATTCCCCAATCTTTCAGGTCTGCATCCGCAAAAATATTGGAACCAAACAGCAGACAGATCCTTAAGACCCCTGCCACCCAACACGGTATTTTGATATCCTGACCCAAGACTGAGAGGCAACACTAATATATTCATAATACAGGAAAATCGCTATGACACCAGCAACTCGTGTCGTAGAGAGTTCGAGCCCTGTTCGCTTATTCGGTCGCCTTGAAGAATTCTATGAATGGGAGCGCTCTGTTATGGGAAATCCTGACTATTTTCTTATTATCCGTATCATTTTACCGGGTGAAAAGGTGATATTTGACGCATGGGCTCCTCTGAAGTATACTTCTCCGCCTAATACAAAAGTGCTTTTTGACGCATGGGTTCCTGAGAGGTTTCTTCGGTCACTTCACTGGTTCCGTGAAAATCATACCTCTCTCACACATCCCCCTCAAATGACAAACCTGGACGAAACAGCTCGAGCCTATCAGGCCTTTTTCAGAGATAGTCCAAGCCATTACTTGTATGCTCAGGTCTGTGATAAGTTGAGAGATTTGGGATTTGATGTTGAGGACAGAATTCCTCATCGACGGGACACCTGGGTGGTCCGCTACAGAAGGTTAGTGCCTCTCTACTGGGATTTCTTTCGGTACAATGGCTAATACACTGAGCTTAGAAGGAACTAGTTCTCTGCTCAAGCACCAAAAGCTTTCAGCGGAGATTTGCGTGTGCCGGCGCTGTTTTCAAATCAGGGTTGAGGTTCCTGGAGTATCTGAATGCCAAATTGCGTTATCTTGAACTATGTGATCATCTTGATTCTCCTTCATTGAATCCAGAATCTTTGTAGTACCATACTATCTGTCTTTCAAAGTAAGCCTATTCTAAGAATCCAGAATCCGACTTTCTATGGTAGATCATTCTAGCAATCTAGGAAGTGATTAAATCTAATTCTTGCCTTAGAATTAAGATGTGAGAGGCGCCCACGATATGACAGAGGTCAAGAAGCCTGGTGCGCCACCCCGAGGGCCCATAACCAGGCGAAGGCAGCCTAGGACGCGCACGATGATTGGCCAGGTGAGGTCGGTGGTACTTGCTCTGCATTACAAACCTCGAAGAAATTGTCGCCAAAGCCGAAACAGGATGAGATCCTACCGAGGAGTTATTATGATCCAGTAAGAAATGGGTAAGAAGTGACTGCAATTTATCGGTATTAGGACATCTGAGAAGGCTTAGTTCTAGTTGCTTTGGTGAGCCCTACACGGCCTAGATAATCTGATCCAAAACCACAATTTCTTCACCTGGTCAAATCTAGTATAAATTCTCTATCTGCAATATAGCATTGCTTTTTTGGTCCTAACCAATGCCGAGAATGTTCCAAATGTAACCTCGTGGAAAACAATAGGCTTGTTTCTAAGCACGGCTAAGACACTGGTCTGATAAGTCCTTACACTCTAAATTAACCGTGTCCGCCGTGGAAGGTAAAGTTTTCCGAGTTTCACTTCCACCGCTCTCAATCCTGAGACTAGCGTCTTGGCTGTCGCACTCAGAAAGAGAAGAGTAAAACAGGTTTTGCGGCCCATTGAAAAAGCGAGGTAGAAGACCAGTGAGAAATTCTTATCCACTTGAGAGACTGTGGTTGCACATCCCTAGGACTGAGATTCTTGTTCCTCTGAACGGGAAAACCCTTCGTCCGGTCTCCGAAATTAGGTGACACTCATCTCCCTTTGGGGCCCCATCCCCACCAAGGTTCATACCCACACGAATCCATACAACCTGGGTGGGTGGGCCGAGCAAGAAACCAGATGGCTAATAGCAACTCCCCGGATTACGAAGCGCTCTTCTTAAGAGCGGAGGAAGAGCGAAAGCGCGAAGCAGAGCTGAGGAGACAAGCGGAGGAACGCGAGCGAGAGGCAACACGAGGGGCAGCGGAACGCCAGCGAAAGGCAGAGGAACGCCAACGAAAGGCAGAGGAAGAGAGGGATTACGAAAGAGAAAAAACACGACAAACGACATTTGGTGAACTTATTCGATACTGCCACGACCTGTTCTCGCGACCGTTGAGGGCTGAAGATCCGTCCCGCTCAACTACCGGAAAGATAACAGCGCCTACTGGCAAACGTTGCCCGCTACAACTCCGCCCGTGGACTGATTGCGAGATCAGGCAGCAAGAAATCTACCGCTCTGTTTGCAATTATTTAGAGCCACCGGGGCAGGATGCCGAGCAGCTATTCGTTTCACGCCACGCACTGGAGAGTTTCGGGAAAGAACTCAGGAGGCCTATAAGCAGTGAACAAGATTTGGAGAGCTATGAACGGTTTGGCGTGGAGAATCATGTTCGAGATATCATCGCAGCGCTTTGTAAGAAACCTGCCGCCCGAGACGAGTTCCACTTGAGTGACGGAGTCAGTTTTGACAACCACGCAAACGCCCTTGATCGTCCCCAAGTTGACCCATCACAACCGAGAGAATCGTCGACCTCACGGCCTTCCAGACCGGATCAATTTTGCATACGCCGTGGCACTTCAGAAACTATCCTTACCACGGTTGAGTACAAACCACCCCATAAGCTAAGCGTCGAAAATATTCGCTCCGGATTGCGACCGATGGAATTCTGGAAAGAGGTGGTAGCGCCCGATTCTATCCCTACGCAAGAACCTGAGAAACTGAGATACAATGCAGCCCGTCTTACGGGCTCGGTGCTAGTTCAAGAGTTCCATGTGATGATCCAGGAAGGGCTCGAATACTCCTACCTGACGAATGGATTGGCGGTAGTTCTGCTGCGAGTCCCATATAATGACCCGACTACTTTGTACTACCACCTCTGCGAACCCAACATAGAAGTGAACCCCGAGGATGTTCAGAGCCTTCGACACCCGGTAACAAGTATTGCCCGTGTGCTATGCCTCTGTCTCATGAGCTTTGGTTCGAGTTTGCGTGACCAGAATTGGCGAAATAATGCGAAGGATCGACTCCCAGAATGGAAGACGAGTTTTGATCACGAGCGTTCCGAAATCCCGGATGCAGAATTACGACAGATCCCTCCAGACGCCCAAAATACTCCGTCAGGATGTACAAGCTCCGAGGGTTCCGGCTCCTCGTTTTTGCCGTCGTCCCCTCCCGAATCTCCTACAGGGGGGCGTCGACCGCCAACTCGATCCCAAACTCAGTGCGCACCTTCGGATTCAATCCTTCGCGGCCACCATTCAGAGTCCGATGAGGATCCAGCACTCAGGGGCCAGAAGCGTCGCTTCAGTCGAGTCGCCTCATCCCCATTGTCCCCACCTGTGCAACGATCGGCGCGCCAGACAGGCTCCGGAAACGCCCCGAGCGGTCAAAACCAACGTCATCAGGCACAGTTTTGTACCCAGCGGTGTCTACTTGGCCTGCAACAGGAGGGATTACTGGACGAAAACTGCCCGAATGTAACATTTCACCGGAAGGGGGGAAACAGCAATCGGCATCTCATCAACGCTGAGACATTGGTTCAACAGATTAAGCAGCAACTGGATGAGAATATCGATGACTGTACCCCCATGGGGGGTTGTGGAGCATCCGGAGCGCCGTTCAAAATCACCTGTGCAGTATATGGCTATACGGTTGTTGGTAAAGGAACTACGTCTTATCTCTGGGACGAGGTGTCCCGTGAAGCAGACATCTATCGTATCCTCTCGCGACTGCAGGGTTCGGTGGTCCCGGTGTTTCTCGGAGCGATCGACCTGGCGAAGATCTACTTCTTGCATGGAGCCGGAGAGATCCAACACATGCTACTTATGGCGTGGGCCGGAAAGCCGATCAGCAAAACCGAAGCAACAAGCCCTGATATCTCTAGGTCTATCTCAAGATCGATTAGTAAGATTCGCTCATTGGGAGTATCGCATCAGGATCTTCGGGTGGATAATTTCCTGTGGAACGATGAGCTACGGCGGGTTCTAGTTATTGATTTCCATCGTTCGGCATTGAGCCGTCCACTGATAAAAAGCCGGAGCGGACTACGCGGGGAGATTTCGCGTGGAGATCCACGCGAGCGAAAACGACTACGTATAGCTTGATATGACGGTAATGCGATCATTTGTAGTTATCGTATGAAATCTTCACATGACTAACTGCAGTAATGTCATGGTCATTTGCATAATGCAGATATCCTCAAAACCCTATCATTCCGTTAATGCGTAGGGTATACTGTGACCGTTGTTGTAGCGTCATATTGCGGCTGCCAATCCACATATCTCATCTTCACGGTGGTGTGGTCCAGTTTACTGGAGAATTGAGCCCAAGACCTTCCTGGATTGAGAGCAAAGTGGTTGGCCAGGTCACAAAAGTACCAGTTCCGTTCCTGATGCCCAAGAAACCATGCGGGAGTAGTAGAATTGACCTTGTACAAGACTTCGCTGCCAGCATCATCCCCGAATCTGGTCAGACGAGCACACGGACTTTCCACGGTTGTGTTATATAAGAAGAAGGTCCCATTCATAGACCGAAAGAGAATAGTCTCGCCAACTGCAGCTTTCACAGATCTAGGTTCGAAAAAGGTATGATTTCCAGGGTATATTCTAACCGTTTGCGTAACTTCTCTTTGCGGTGTCGAGCTCGGCAAGGAGGACATTGTAGGTGTCACTCTGACATTAGACATTCCGGTGTACGATGCTGATCCAGGGGTTGTGGATGGAATCGCACTGCTTTCTGATTTGGCACATGGGGTAAAAGTTCCCTTATAAGTTGAACGCCAGCTGATATGTGAAGAAGTAGCCTTGACCGTGCTTTCTTGTTGGTGTCCTGGCGTTGTATTTATATCTGTTGTACCGGCCGTTGCTGAGAATGGGGTATCCGAAGACCGACAAGTCGACGTTGATACCACCGTTGATGATAATAATGAAGAGGTTTTTGATTTTGCACGCGACTTAGAAGAGCTGTCAGAAATTGAGGGCCCGCTCAAGGTAGACGGGTGACGGATGTCTTGGTCAGAACCTCCATAGCTCGAACTTGACGATATAGGTGTAGATGTGGGAAGCATCGCACTTGCGGTCGAACCAGCCAGCATGTATTGTGACGAGCGTGTCTGCCGCACTAATACAGAGGAATCAGACAGCTGGCCATGACATGTAGAATATGTATATGGCAGTGCAGCCTTGGTTGAAGATGGAGGCAAACGCTCAGGTATATGTGGAATGATTTCCATATCAATACAGGAGGTCATGATCTGAATATTTGCCATTGGTGAGTAATGGATCTCCTGCCATGATCTTAAATACATACCAGAAAGCCTCCGTCTACGAGCTGTGTTGTATTCCACATCCAATATATAGTGTAGACTTCCGCGACTGCTGCATCATAGGGAAGTCGAAACGCTATTGACATCCCCAGTCCTGTAGGGTTATCAGCTCACATACCATATCAGATGGGCTACCATACCATGGATGCCACCTTCAAGTTGTATTATCTCCGAAATGGTTCTATTATCCGGAACCCTCTGGACCGAAGTCCCATACCAGCTTATATGTCCAACGAGATCTTCTGGCTTGTCAAAAACATAATCAGGATAGATAACTGAGCCTGGCTCCGCGCTTAACCGACGCCACGGATCCTGCTGAAAAGGCTCCCTTTGATGGTGGCTACAAAAAACCCCTGAGGGATCTGTATCAAGCACCGCGTAGGGCTCGTTCCGAAATTCTACCATATTAGTGACTCTTATGATTGTTCCAAGTATGCAACCTTACGACTGAAGTTTCTTGGGTACCCGAATGCACCTCCGGAATGATCAACAGCGTTGATTACTTGCAGCCCACGCAGCTATTATGGGATATGAGATATCAATCAAGCATTTTCAAGGGGAACAGGTACCTGCAAGCGAGACGAAACCAGCAAAAAAAGAGAGAACAAATTGACTAAACTTGGGAGAAGATTCATATTGAACTCATGGACTTGAAATCTGGGTTGTTGTTGCAGGGTGGCAGCATCCCAGTAAATATGGGCACAGACTAGTACTATCTGCCTGCCATGGCCGCAGAACGATTCATTGTCGCAGCTTAGATAATATCTACCGCGTAAGATCCTTTGCCAAGCCACTGCAGCATGGAGTGCATCAGACGGAAGAATGATAAAATCAGCAAAATCAACTTCATTCTGGACAATCAAAAAAGGCCCAGTCTGTGCATCACATGATCAACCGTATTGGCGTCCCTATTTGAATCCAACCAAACAGCACCGATAATCGCCTCTATGGTAGAAGCGAGCGTGGCATCTGGTACACCCCCTGGATTCGCTGGATTATGAAGAATGTATTTTCCCAGATGCAGCTCCCTGCCCTTGGAGCTTAGCGCCTTATTGCGCGCATGTTGCCGTAGGATTTTATCTCCGTCCTCTGTATCAGAATTAGTTTCTAGCTTCTTGATACAGATTGGCGTACTTTCCTGTACTTGTCCCAGTGTGATACCAGTTGCTCAAAAGCATCATTGAGAGAACTGCGTCCCCAAGTAAAGCGAGGCGTTTATTGCCATGTCGATCTCCTTGAATGTTTGGATCTGAGGCCGCTGATCCAGCTGACTTTAGGGTCTCTTCTAGCAGGCTGTGTGTCCTAAAAGTATAGTTGATAAGTCTTTGAAATTCATCTTCAAGTACCTGTCTGTCGTTCATGCTTGACTTGATTCGATTTGTTCAGGGAGGCTTTGATGGGGAGTTGCAAATAGTATCAAGAGACTTTGTTATTTTATGTCCTTCGATATCTACGTGTCCCTATGTGCTAGATATCAATCATACTGACGTAGGGTGGTGATGCATACTCTGGCTTCTAGTTGATGTCGTCTTCTTAACGTAAGTGGCTTTCTTGTGTTACTGTTCGTATTGCTTGGAACATAATTGGATGAATGTGACATCCGCAGTAACTTCAGGACTTGCCGTATTATTTGAAATTTATGAATAGGGAGAGAGCCTCGGGAAGAAACGGATTACGAATACAATAATGAGTAGTTATTTTTGGTAACCCTTCAATTACAAGAATGAACTTTCAAGGCTAGGATATCCACTAGTATCTCATTTATTGCGCTCACCTGTGAGGTTTTCTACGTTTTTCAAGTCCATTTAGGTTCCTATCGTATGGATCCCCTGAAGCCTTGACTAATCAAATTTCCAATCTTATTTCGCTGGCATGCGGAACCATCTGAGGGCGCACGCGGCATCTGTTTCTGTACGCAGTTGGCAGACCTTTGCGGCTCCATGCGACTGGGACGAAGAGAGTAAAGGGCTTACAGCATAACACGTACAGGAGAGCAGTGAAATGATACAGTGGTAGATAATAATCCCAAATTTTCGATCTCACCGAAAGCGAGATAAGACTTGATACAGTAGCTATAGTACCTAGAACAAATTATATCGGCTTTCTCCAATATGACCGACATCTCCGGTCTGCCTATTTCAGTACGACTCAGCCAGCTTGCTTAACCAAAGCGTGACCTGCATCCTCTCATAGATCACTGCACCATCGCACTAGATCATGTTCCCCTCATTGTAACCGTTACTATCCAGTCCCAGAAGAGTCATGTATTGCCTTTCTGACTCGCGGAGCCTTGAATTGACTCGAACGAGGGACTCCTCCATCGACTGAAATAGACGGAAAACATCCTCCTGGAACTGGAGTAACGCGTGCTTCGATTCTTTGTGCCATTGGACTTCGGCTCGCAGGTATCCGACTTCGTATGAAAGGTCCTCAAGCTGCTGACGAAGATCTGTTGAAACCCGTTTTGACCGTTGCAGACGGGATGGGAGTCTTTCGAGATTTGATGAGGTAGATCCATGGCGTAGGATTTCGTGATCCATAGGAGTTATCTCCTCAGGAATTGCCTCGAGTGATTGCCGCGGCTGCTGCTGCATAATGCACGGGAAGGATTTTTATAGTAAGTTTAGGAAGAACCGGTTTGATTTTTCATGGCTCTTTGTGCGAGAACGGCAGAATTTATATTCTGGGTTTGATCCCGCGACCATAAGCAAGGTCGGGCATGCGATCTTGGCTTGTATAATACAATCAAAATAGAACGACCAACATGAGGATCAATGGAGGGAGGATAATGGATGCGCAAATGAATAATATGCCCATGTATGTTTCCTTTTCGTGGCGCTCTTCGTTTTGAGGAAACAGGGACAAGTTCGAGTGCTCCTCGCAGATAAAATCATCCTCAATCAGGCAAGGGAATGCTTCCTGTGCTTCATATTCATCGGTATCCTCCACAGTTTGTCCCCCGTTTTCAACACTTGCTAGCTGGTACTTCAAGGATTGTACTTTTTGTTTCTCCAGTACCAGGTCTTTGCTTAATCTCCTTTGATATTTGATAGCATTGGAGAGTTTCGCCCGAAGTTTCTCGACCTCCTTTGCTAGCTGGTGGCCCCGGTTATCTTCACTGCCGTATGTCTCGTTCGTCACTTTGTCCCTTTTTGGGAGAAGGGGTGTGGCCTGCTGAACATCAGTATTAACCATTAATCTTCGAGATTGTACATTTACCAGATCTCTATCAGTCATGTTGTAGTGGAGCAAGCAAGCAAACTTGGTTTAGATGGAGCTACTCGGAAAAAAATATTTTAATTTATACGTACTGCTATGTATTTTTTACTGGTATCTGCGACACCGAAAAGAGGTCGCAAAGGCAGGTACTATTATGCTACTGAAGTGTTGCCAAGTGCTTAGCGAAGAAGGATTCATCTATTTGGCGCGCCTTTATTTATTTTTGATTTTCTTCGTCCTATCATGTGTCTATTGTATCAAAAGCCGACCGAGCCTGGAGAGTTATTTTATTGTGTGACAAATGGCCCAGACCAAATTTGTTCCTTTCATGGGCAATTCATCTTCCAGGTGTCTGTCAGGTGTGTGTTCATACTCGGTCCTTCGCTTATCCGATACACAGGGTATCACTATCTCTACTCTTTATGTACATCTATATACTCTAGACTATTGACTTACTGATGAGCTTGGAGCCTCGTCAAGGGCCGGTGCCGGGGTTCTGTCGAAGGTGTCATAGGTGTTTCTCACGGCACCTAAATGTCCAGAAAAAGAAGCCTAGGGGTAGTTTGACTCCGATCATGAGTACGGCGCATAAATCGTATTAGTTTATGTTTTACTCTTGAGTACAGGTTGAATGTAGAATTTCAGGAGCGCCTCCGTTTTCACTGTCAGACAGTCTTTAATCGCCCTTTTATTCTTCTCCTCATGATTCCCGCACCGTTGCATCACTGCCAGACACTACTTTATTGGATTCGTCCGACGAAGGATGCTCCCATTCAATTTCAGAGCCTTCAGATACACAGCCGCATTGCTCGCAATAACAACCCGAGTAGCCCAGCTGATGCAGTTCTTCTAACTTTCCTTTCAAGCGGTGTACTTTATCGTCCTGTGCCTGTAATGTAGAACGAAGAGATGCAATCATCTTTTGCTGCCATTCGTTTTTGAGCAGTATCTCTTCAACGTTAGGGGGTCTGGTTTGCTCCAGGACATGCAACGTGGTTTTATTGATAGTGTGCTGATGATCGAGGCGGAGATGCAAGTCTGCTATCTTTTGCTGTTGGAGGGAAACTGTTTGAGAAAGACATCGCTCATTTTCAATAAGCCGAGAGAGCTTCTGTTCATGTTGCACTCGAATTTTGTTCAGACTATCACAATAATCCTGGATACGGTGGCTAGCAGTATGGTCCTGGCGAATTCTCGACTCCAACTGTGCTTGATATTGGCGCGAAGCCTGCTCTCGCTCAAGAACGCTTTTTATCAGTTCGCTTATCGGAAGGGGGCTCGTCTAAATAATGTCAGCTCCGCCAATCTGACACAACTCCTGAATACTTACCTCAATGGTGGGTATGGGGATGTCTGGAACAGCGCTCGCGGCCATGGTTTGACAAGATGATCTGATTGGACCTCAGAATATGATTCTCGAGTAGATGCGTCAGGGTTCACGTTGTAGAATCATTAATATATAGTAATTGTTGTTTAGTTAGTGCCGATGCAACAGGAATATTTAGCGACATTGGCTTGCAGGCCGCAGACAGGATTGCGAACAGGAAAGGTGTTGCAGAGAGAACGAGGGAGCTGCACCTCAGACTAGTGTCGCAGCAAGTGCTTAAGTGGTAGTTTGTAGATACCCTTGGTAGGTCCACTATCCATGTCACCCTGCCCGCCATTTCGATAGTCTGTTAATGAAGGTCCCTGTACCCTCTGTCAGGTGTTGGCAAACGTGAACTAGCTCTGGTTGGCGGGGGCCATCTCCCTTTATTTCATCAATGATCAGTCGACAAACAGATTTCTATTCTCACCAGCGACCAATGTCACATTCGCGAAGAACTTTTTAAGGTTTTACAGGAACTGGTGTCAACACCTACTTTATTTCCAGTCTGGGAAGGAAAGGAAGAGAATAATATTGGAGGTTTTTGTTCCAGGCAAAGATAACACTGCCTGGTAATGGAACTTATGGACAAAGCATGTTCCACTGATAAGTATTAATATAAAGCACGATGCACAATCCGGGATAATGTAAACTCTAAATCTTAGATTCCACTATTGATCTTGATTGCGGTCCAAAAAGGGATAGGGATATGTACTTGAGATAAAATATACCCTAATCCATTTTCGTACACTGCCTACTAATTCTAGCCTGCCCCTCCACCTGCCACTGCTTTGTTACCTTTCAGCACGTAAGTTGTCCGTCATGGTTACTAATTATTGCGTCTACACCATCCATGGTTAGTTCTCGCCGCCTAGTTCGCAACCTTCCATAGTTACTGCCATAGTTACTGACCTAGGTCAAGCTGACTCAACTGGTATTTCTCCTCTCCGAGTGTATACCCATCCTTGCCTTTATCACATAAGCATTCCAATATTCCTTCCCCGTAATTGCAGTTCTCACAACTCTTTATATTCTTCGATCCGGGGCTATTACATTACCTTTAGTTTTCCCAACTGAGAATGGGGGTTTCTTGGGCACATTCAACGTTGCCTGATCGTGTTTTACTTACTAGGTCCCAGTGTAAATATATCCAGCTGAGTGGCCCACGCAATCTTCAAGTGCCAACTTCGTTCCGACCATCTCCTTTGTAGCCTTCTCGCAGTTTCCCTGAAGGACGTAGTCTCTGCCCATCACAACCCCGTCACAGCTAGACAGAAACTTCTGTCCACGAATACCCGTCCATAGAGCGCATGTCATCGTGATCACCTCACGGATCTTCATTCTAAGAGATTGTGAGTAACTTTGGATCTTTTGTCCCTGCGAGCACAGTCCACCGCTGCTCAAATGCACGTACCTGCCGAAATTCAGTCTTACCTGCCGCGGTTTGGTTGTCTTTGTGCTCAATCAGGCCTTTCCAATTATGTCTCTTAAAGTAGGGTTGACAGTAAGTTTCTAACTCAGGTGTGCCACCTTATAAAGACGAGATAGCTTTTATTCTCAATGTGTTTGACCTGCTCATAAGTTCCTAAGTATAGAAAGCCTTGATACTTTTGGCCCGTGCAGAACCTGCTTGCTTAGAGGTTACATCTAGCCATATGAATTTGCTTACACGCCGCATACAGGATTTGCGAACAAGAAAGGTGTCGCAGAGAGAATAGCGAGGGAGCTGCACCTCAGACTATCGTCGCGGCAAGTGCTTAAGTGGTGTAGCTTGTGGGTCCCCTTGGCAGACCCACTTTCTAAAGTAATTAAGGGTGGGCTAATCATGGAGTAAGCTTGGAAAAAGGAGGCGTGTAAGAAGGATCGCAACAAGGCTGATCGGCCATACGTCCTCAACGTTGCTCCGGGTATTCGGCAGCCTCGATAAAAGGATCTGCACATTGAATCCCGAGGAGTACAGAAGTTTTCGAAATCAGATTCCCCACGAGATACACACGCTTCTTTCTCGTGTCCCACTATCGGTCTAGGTCAGGATCGTTGAACTTTAAAAAGCCATATTCATTTTCCAGTTAGAGACTGTCCTGCTCTATTCTATGAAGCCTTCTCACGGGACATATAAATTAAACTAAGTTAGGAGTCCTACAGCCATAGGCCTCAACCACTTGGAAGGCGTTTCTGAACCAACACCAAATGATTGGTTCCCGGCGATCCCGTAGAAAATACGATATCCTATTAGACTCGGTTGCAAAACTAGTGTCACCCCGAGTTCAGTCTCTTTGTTCTCCGCAGTAGAGGGTAAAACGCTTAATAAAAGGCTTGGCAAATAAGTATGATTGGCTTAAAATCCAAATCTTACTATTTATAGACTAGTCTCTGCTCGATAAAACAAAGGGAAGAATCTGGAGGGGTAGCACTGGTTTCGACTTTGTGTGTACATTCCTTTGCCAGAAAAGTACGTCGAGGCCTGGGCTGGCAGTAGGTGCTGTGGCGCAAGATGTGATGCGATGTGATGCTAGAGATGGTAGGGATCAGCGAGAGATTAACCGTACCTGCCTGGCGCTAGCGCATAGCATGCTAGGGTATCCACCACAGGAATGACACTTTGGTTGGCCACAAACTAGGACCGGACCGCAGAAATTGGGAAGCGTATCCTTTCCCCCCCAGACGATGACAGGAGAAGTATAATTGATCTCATATTCATATACTTTCCATAACATGAATAACACATCCATGAAAGCCATGATTATATTACATATCATCTGAAGAAGACCCTCCTGAGGCTCGTCGGTTTGATCGACTAGACCTCTTTGTTCAGGTGTCAAACTTGTCCAACACCGCTTCCTCGCATTGAATCATCTTACGCATCACCTCTTCAACACCGTCAATTCTCTCGAAAAAGCAATCGATCTTTGGTAGATGTTCAATGATCGGATCCAAACCATCCATCCTCTCGAGGAAGTTGTCGATCTTTGATAATCGTTCAAGGATCTGATCCAAACCATCCAGCCTCTCGAGTATGTAGCCGATCTGTGATAATGGTTCAAGTCTCTGAGTAATTTCAGACCTCAGGCTGTTTACTGCACAAGAAAAGACTTCGTAGCTGGAGGCAGTTGGACCTGGGTGGCTTTCATTACCGCCATCGTACCGAGAGTTCGTGTTTTCAAAAGCATCATGTTCTACCTGATCCCCCTGCATATGGCCGCCGTCATAATCGAAATTCAACGAGAATTTGCTGAGCGCTGGCATTCCCTTGCCGTTGTTGGCGGCTTCGCGTGATGGGTAATCGATGGTCCCGCAACCGCTATTTTGTACCCTATGTTCGAGTTAAACAGGATAGGTATTAGGGAAAACGGCGCTTACGTACAACGTAAGGTGGGAAGCCCTATGGCTGTCACTCGGTAGACCGGTTTCATGTCCTTGGAGGTTTATGTCTACCCCTTGCATGATTTGGTCCTCGATTCCGACAAGATCAGGCAGGGGATCTTCACCCGCATTGGGTAGTTGCATCATCTCGTCTATGTAGAAGAACTGCGAATTGATATTCTGGAGATCATAAACAGTAGCATCTAGAATGCCTTGGTGATTGACCGGCCAAGCTTGACTGTGAGAGTCGGTATTTGAGTGAAGTTCGTCAGATGGCCACATTGTAGTCTGATTCGGTTTTATGTTGAACCGAGCACGCAGAGGGGAGAAGTGAAATTGTAACACTGTCTTGACCCTGTCCTGTCACCTTTATATACATGTCACCATCATGCGATGCAACAAATAGCCACAAAAACCCCCAGTAAGTCTGCCAGGGGTATATGCAAGTCAGCAACTACTGCAGCTTTTGGAAGCTATGTTTACAGGGGGTAGAGTGATATCCAGAGAGAGGTACGTTACTTTGATAAGTTGCTCGGTTGAAATCTTGAGTCATGGAGGTGAAATTTCTAAACTAGTCGAATTTTAAAGTTTAAGCTAGTGTAGAATATCGTAGCCAGAGCCAATGGACTAGGTACTAAGGCCCCATTCAGGATTACCCCCCACAGGAACAAAGAAAGAATTACCAGCTAGGACATCTTCGGTTAGAGTAGGTTTCAAAACAGCCACAGTGCTCACCAACTCGCTTTACTTATAGAACTGCTGGGGATGGATATACTGGAGGCGGGGCTTCGAATCAATTGGATTTGGTGGAGTATTTGACTGGCTAATCTAACCGACCTACATGTGGGACTCTTTCCGTACTTGGGCAATAGTTATGAACCAAGAAGGTACACAGTGATAAAGGTTTCACACGGATGTACCAGGGCGATTTGGTGCTCACCCGGGGAGAGCAGTACATTCATATAATACTTCTAGTCTGCCTCCACTCTTCTCACACAATAAATAAGGCCGACTTTCCGAGCTTGAGTTGGGCAATTTCACATAAGCATACTGACACGGCTTTAGACGACAATCAAATACTTCAATAATGCGGCCGATAGATGACATAGGATGGCTACATATAGGTACTGGCGAAAGTAGAAGGTATACGCTGATTGACTGCGGGCGTTTGGAACAGCTCATCTCGGAACTGGCAAACCCTAGAAGCCAGCACCCCGCGGTTTGCGCATTCCTCGGCACCGATTCAAAAGACACGTGCCTTCGTCGATTGTACCCCCACAATAACATCAGACGCCATAGTTCAGAAGCGAGCATCAGACTGCGTTACGATATTGGGTCCCTGGGAACATCTCGCCCTGTGCTGTTCGCGGATGGCAGCCCACTACTCAAACCACCCCTGCTTCTCTCCCGTGCCAATAACGTAATCGAGCGCCCTATTGCATGGGAGGCTACGGACGGAAATGATATCGTCCGGGCTGTATGGGCTCGGCTCATCTTCCTCTTCACCGATGTTGTTTGTATCTTTGCTAGCGATTTCCCGCACCTTTCCCATGTTGCTGAATTCCTTCTTTCTTGCATCAGCCTACGATCAGCATCATCTCTGCCATCGGAAATACGTCCCCGTGTCATCGTTGTACTCGAGGGAATCGACAACGATGGGGAAGATTATGTCTTGGAAATTGAGCAGTTTTACTTAAAGCTCAATAGTAGCGAGGCTTGTCCCACTTCGGAGTGTTTTTCTGCCGTTCACATGATACGGCTAGAAAGCAATCTTCTGTCAGAGGCCCGGTATGGCCGGCTCCGAGCGTTGATTACAGGGCAGATGCATGATATGTACACATTGCGTCAAGACTGCAGGGCAATACTCAGTGCACGTCACTTGCTGCCGCTGTTTCAGGCCGCTTTCCGTCATTTCGTCGAAGACATACATCATCCATTTGATTTTGTGAGGGCAACTAGGACGCAGAATGCAATCGTTCCATCCCTCAGCTCCCACCTAGCTCATTACCAAGATCTAGGACATAAAGCCGGTCTGCGTTATACAGAGATCGCCGCCTCAGTGGCGTCAGCCCTGGTAATGGATCATTATGTCCCAGGCATGTTAGGTGAGATTGCCTGCCCCCACGATGTCGTTACATGTTTATCTGATCAATAAGGACAGTTCTGGAGCCCCGTAGCGTGTACCGTACCTTGTACCGGTCTGTGATTTTGGACAGCCTGCGGCACAGCACCTGGCTCCAAGAGTGGAGACGCCTCGAAGAGCCAATCGCTATGATCGAGGCTTTCGTAGTGGAGTATGTGGACCGGCTAGAGCGTACGGGCCAGACCTCATCACAGTTACGTCTTGGGCAGCTCAAAATTTGGAGCGGCCGTCTCTGCCCAGTGAAATCCAACAAGATCTGTCTCGTCTGCCTGATTCGCCCCGCCCAGCATCGCTTCGAGTGTGGGCATACAATATGCGACAATTGTGCTCATGTAATCGGCTCCCCCGCGACAGACCATGAGTATCAGTTCACGGTCTCTTCGTGCCCTTGCTGTCTTTACCAAAGACCTCTGGTGATTGACGTTCTTCCTCCGACAATGAACCCCACCATTCTGGCCATTGATGGCGGAGGTGTTCGAGGGGTGATTCCACTGGAATTTTTGGTACTGGTACAGGAGAGCCTGGGTCGCTGCCCGCTCCAGGATCTAGTCGACCTTGGCGTTGGAACAAGCTCGGGTCTGTTCTTTGTCTCTTTTCAACCACGGGTTGCTGACCCGGACCAATAGGTGGCCTGAGCATTTTGGGCCTACTCACCATGGGGTGGGACGTGCGGAGATGCGCAGAGGTCTTCGATCATGTAGCACACCAGATCTTCCGTGAAAGGAGAACCTCGCGGTTGTCCCGTCTATCGCACGCACTATTCGGGAGTGGCTCAGTTTTGGGGACTGTTCATAAGTGGCTTGTATGGCTACTGCATGACAGTTGCTACGACGGTCAAGTTTTCGATAAGGCTATAAAGTGTGTTTACGGCAAGGAGAGACGTATTTTTGACGGTCTTCGTTCAGAGCACACCAGCCAATCCTGCTCAACGTACTCCAGGGCAAAGGTAGGAGTCGTCGCGACTAGCATTGCAAAGGAGACGTGGCCCTTTGTCTTCGGTAATTTTAATGTCGCCGAGGCCACCGGGAACGACTGCGGTAGGCATCGTTCGCGCGATCGGCTCTTACTACTACTAATTAGAGTTTCAAACTAGGGTACGAGATTGTCCGGCCTGTCGACAGAGAGGCCGAGCCCTTTGTTTGGGAGGCGTAAGTAGGTGTGGTTGTGCGTCGGGATCAGGCTAACCATGGTTCGAGATATTTAGTGCCAGGGCTACCGCAGCCGCCCCCTTGTAAGGATCGACGTCCTGTTGGCCAGATCCCTAACGCTAACGGCCGATGCCTGCCACTTAGTTTCTTCCAGCCAACCGATATTCCCGGGATTGGCTCATTCCAAGATGGAGGCCTGCGAGACAACCTTGCCGCGGACATTGCCCGGCGTCTGAGTCGGCAAATTTGGCCTTCCAAGAAAAACCCCGCCAGACTGCTATCTATGGGGACCGGAGTGACAGCACGAAATGGTGAGAGATCACCTCACTTCCGTCACGTTTTCAGGGACAGTTTCTTGCGCCGGGGGTTCGATGCATGGATGTCTTCTATGGATACGGAGACAAAATGGTTCGAGATGATGGCGCAGACTCCAGCCGACACCCAGGAGGATTATCTAAGGCTGAACGTTCCACTTCAAAACATGCCAAGTGCCATCGATACAGTGGAGGCGATGGACGAGTACAGGAACCTTGTAACTCTCTACCCCGGAAGCGCTCGGATGGCACGTGAGGTGGCAACCGCACTATTGGTGTCGAGATTTTTCTTTGTCTTGGACTGCCTGCCGGGAGAGCGTTGCAGCCCAGTCTGGTGTCGCGGATTGATCCGATGCAAGGGCCCTGCGAAACTGATCGTTGACGCACTGGACCAGCTCCACCCGCAGGGTCTAGAATATAGGTCCGATTTTGGACTCATCGGCCGCCTGGACGGCGCATCCGAACTATGTTCGACCTGCGGCCGGTATGGACGGCCGATCGCCTTCCTTACTGATCACATAGACACCGTGGTCAATATATACGTGACGTCAAAAGCCAAGAAACAACGTTGGAGGCTGAGCGGATTCCCTAATAGCATGGCATCTTTTGCCGCAGCTCAACACTTACACGCACCATTTGGTAGCTCGGACAATTGTCGTCCCGGCACAGTCGTTTGCCAGAATTGTGATAGAGCTCAGATCCTAATACGGAAACGCTTCTCAACACAGTCCCGGAACGACCAGGCCAAGAAAGCCCGATTGGTATAAATGACAGGGATCTATCACACCTATTTCCAACAAAGTCAGTCAACTATTTGTTGGCCAGAATTATTGAGCCCGTGTATTTCTTTGTATAAATACGTACTTACACACAATCTGACACTGTTCTTTCTTCTCACTCTTTATATTGCCCTCTTCTGCGTTCGCTTCGTTCCAGTCTCCTCTCGTACATCTCATTAGTGTCGTTGATACATTTTGTTATCTCCCGGTTCAACGCGAGACATAATGGGCGGCCCTGACCCCTATCGACATGATCGTGTTTCGTTCAAAAAAAGAACTCATACCTTGTTGGACAAGGGAAATAAACTTGCTTCTCTGTTGGGCGCCAAGGTGTATCTAGTTATTGAGCACCCACGCGGAACGATCGTTTACAACTCAGACGAAAGTAAAGAATGGCCGCCCCCGGAAAAGGAACTAGTGAGCTACGCCCTTTCATACAAAGAGACCGTTTTGATTAAATGGCACCACTCTAGGATACCAAGTACCCGACCCTACAGAGGTTCTCCCCGACATCGAAAAAGTTTGCTTCCAAGAATCGAGACAAAAGCATGCTTGAATATATTCGCTACAGATCCAAGCGTCTCCGGAGATTGAAGCCATTGCTTGAAAAGAACTTGCGAAGATCTCGTGCTGCAATGGTAAAGAATTCCGTCGTTGCGCAGGCGAAGGAACCCCGTCCTGGCAAGCGAAGGAGGTCCAGTCGTATTGGGGCTGGGGGATCTAGTTCTGCTTAATATCAAGGCAAGCCGGTTTTCCCGCGAAACCGTTCAGTGTCGCATCAAAGAAGGTTTGGAAGGGGAGCAGGGGGTATCCAATTTGAGTGCAATGCGTATTAAAAGTCCCTATCACTCCCATGTAGCAATCGGTGGGAATAGAAGCTTAACACTGATCTCTTTATAAACTGGTTGTGATGGATACTCTGGAGATAATTTATACCACGATTGTTGGTGGAACCATCGTTACCCTTATGTTACGAGGTATCATTAGCTGGGCATATACAAATTTGGCCAAGTCTTTGCGGCCCCGTCTAGTGAACCTAACGCACCCAATTCTACACGAAGGCAAGTATTGTCTCTCGTCCCCACTCAACATATTCCTTGTGGTACTTTTCCTCTCTGGGATGGGGGCGTGCAATACTATTGGGGTACAATCTCTGCGAGGCGCGGGCTCCCGCGCTGCCCGCCTGTCATTGATTAATTTGCTCCCCATGTTTCTTTCCGGAGGTTACGAGTCCGGTGCTCGCCTTCTCGGTGTGTCTCTGGAGACATACGGCACTATTCACCGTATACTGGGCTTTACAGCCTTTGCTCAGGCTGCTTTTCACACTATAATCGCTACGCAGAGAACAACTGCCTCGCCATCTGATAATCTCCAATTTTACGGAATCCTGGTGTGTTGTCCTTAATCGATAGCGAACTGTCAGTCCCTAACCCTCCTGACTGCATAGGCAGGAAGTGTGCTGTTATCTCTGGTGATCTTGCCTTTGATTAAAAAGAGAGTATATGAGGTTTTTATAAGAACTCATCAAGCCTGTGCAATGGTTGCCGTCTACGGGATATGGCAACACACTAACTCCCTCAAACAAAATAAGGCATGGATCTTTCCGTTGGGATATATCGCCATCTTCGCCTTATCACTTCTGTGGCAATCGCTCCGTATCATTTACCGTAACACAGGTCCCGGAAAACAGCGCACCAAGCTTGTCATGCATTCGCATCCAGGCAGAGTTGCGTGTCTGACTGTCTTGGTTCCTCGTCCCTGGGCTGTATCTTCCGGGGAACGTGTTACCTTGACCATCCCGGGCCTTGGTCTATTCTATCTGTTCCAATCACACCCGTTTGCCATAAGCTGGTGGGAGGATGGCGACACAGGCAAGGCGGTCTCGATTTCACTCCTTCTCCGACCACGCTCCGGCTTCACCAAAAGAATATTTGACCGCCTGGAGTCGGGCCGGGTGTACACGGCGTGGATTGATGGCCCATTTGGTCCAAGCACCGTCGGTGCATGCGCCTTCTCCTCGCGATTAGGTGATTACGGGCATATCTTCATGGTGGCCACGGGGATCGGAATTGCAGCTCAGCTACCGTACGTGAAAGAGTTGTTAAACAGGCATCGACAGGCGCGGGTTCGAACCCAGCGCATCTCCCTTGTTTGGCAACTGGACCAGCAAGACGACTGGGAATCTGCTCGTGACTGGTTGCAGGCACTCGTGAAGCAAGACGCAGGATATGTGGGTCACCTTTGCCTCAAGTCTTTTGTCTATCTAACCTTTCTGTAGCTTCTACGAGTGAAAGTATACGATGCTCAACAATCGGCCTCAACCGTGGATCCGCAGCTCTTTGGCAGCCATGAACTGATTGAGACGCATGGAGGCGTCGCCAACTGGGAGGAGGAGCTGAGGATTGAAGTAGACCAACAGAAAGGTCAAATGCTGGTTACAGGTAGATATTCTTTCCCTAATAGATAGACATAAGGCTGATCTCTTGGTAGTATCTGCACGTCGTCATGTGCGGAATCAGATGCTTCGGCAAGTAAAAGCAATGTTTCAGCATGATGTGGATTACTTTGAGCCTGAATTCCAACCTTGGACAGGGTCGAGGAATTGGTGGACATTTTTAACCCCATAGCATAGACCCTAACCAACTGAGAAGTCTGCGCTTGGCAGGTTAGCCGTATCTGTAGTAACTCGCAGGCCCTTCAGAATATATATAGCCGGGTCAAGCACCTTGAAATTTTCTACGAATGCACGGCCAACTTTTGACATGGAGGAAAATACGAGTCGATTGGCAAACTTTAGACGCGCAAAGTGGAGGTCTGAATGCCGCGAACGCCTGGCGCAACATATACGTATAGAATATACACTTTTATTACCACCCATTGAAGCTAATATCAGGTAGAGGAAGCCACTGGCTGCCCAATCAAGCCATCCGCAGTGCGTTTGAAGGCCACCGAGGAGCTCAATTACATATGGAAGATCGACGACCCCGCTATCAAGCCGCTGTTTGACAAGCACCTGAGCAAGCACTCAACCGGGGCTTATATTCAACTATGCCAGGAAGTTGGCAATTCCTTCCACGCTCTTAGCTGCGACAGTTTGCAATCGGTAGGGTTGATAGCACCCCTTAAGTTAGGCTCTCACTCTAATCGTTTGTTAGCAACTGTCGAAAGAGTCCTTGGCCGACCAACTCGATCAGGCTGTTGGAGAAAAGACGGAACTAGAGGCGAGACTAGAAACAGTCGAAAAGCACCTTATCACTCTGCAGCAGTCCAAAATAGAGCTGGAAGGAGAGGTACGGAATCAAAAATCCATTAATCAAATGGCAGTACAGGAAACCCAGCATTGGATGTCAATGGCAGAATACTATCATTATGAGTCTTTACGTTACTCCGAAGCTCTCGAGCAGATCTTGTCATTTGCGCAGAGCGTTAGATCGGATCTCAAAACTGTTTCCTAACTAGCTACAAACAATTTGACAAACGGGAGACATTCCCAAGTCCCCAAGCTCTTAAAGTACAAGTAATAAAGATACTAGTAGCAACCCCTTCACAAACCGGTGAGTGCGACCAGCCACAGATTGGCAGATGGCAGTAGGAGGCGCTTTTGATGTGCTCTCTGGCGTCCTCAAAACCGGAGAGCGTGGGCTGTTTTCGGTCATTGATGGCAGGCTGATGTTGAGAAAGGTTATCGGCTCGCTTTGAACTAGGTCCCATTCCGGTATTGTTATAGTTGTGGCTGAAATAGGTTCGGAGGTGAATGATGGCGCTTCAGTTGAAGATGTAGTTTTCACTGTGGAATTTGCATAAGTCATACTGTGTGGGTGGCTTAGTAGCATTGTAAATGTTAATATTAGTTGTAATTAGCAGCCTATAACATAGGTGTCATACCGAGTATAGACCATGATGCTGAAGTGCGATCGCGTATTTTTCTCAGTGAGGAATATTAGAAGCCGATGGCTTTGCAGAATTGGTATCTGTTCTAGTTTCGTTTAAATCCAAGATCCACATAGCGTGTGCATAGAGGTATCTAGCATATAGTAGATTTTGTTGCGGAACGATTTAGTGATGCAGTATTAGAGGCACTGTTTAGCCCCCTAACTCCATTAGTGTATTTTTACTATGCTGCAGAACCATTTAGTGTCGCACAGGTATATGTCTATAGGCAGCCTTGAAGACATTGGTAAGGGCTTTATACTATCTCTCTGATATATAAACCTCTCAGCACCCTTTCCTAAATTATTCTCTAACAAGCAGGTCACTTCAGTGAAGCTTCATTGAGTCAGCACACGTGATTTTATTTTTCCAAATCTCCTTATCGAACTATAGATACTAGAAAATGGGCACCAAAGGCAAGAAGAGAAAAAGCCGTAACAGGCGTAATCTGGCTGAGCATAATGCCAAAAAACAAGATCCGCCTCCGCCGGAATCGGAGCAAGACACCGATCAAGATACTCAAGACGAGGATTTTATGGATTTCGAAGAAACTGGAAGAGAACCCCCGAAAGAATGGGTATCGGAAGCTATCCGAAAAGTAGTTCAATCAACAGATGAAAATATGGTAAAGGAATTTTTCCTAACCGGTCAACATGGAACCGAAATGACCACTCAAATCATGATGATGAACAAGGAAATTGGCAACGCCAACCAGGCAAGAGGACTTGAGCGTGAACAATATGGAATTATTCCCGAGCATGCATATAATGCTATGTGCACTTCGTGGGTTACTGAGCAAAACAAGCGCGAAGTTCAAAACGATCGGTCAAAGCTTTGGAAAGCTTTTGATATAACACATACCACATTCAATAATTTCAACAAAGCCTACGGTCTACCCCTTGGTTGGAACGTTTCTGCGTCGGACCTGGAGCAGCTTATCGGGAAACGGCCACTCGATATTCCAGACCAAGGCGTTGAGCAGAACTCTGACAGCGAGACATCTGACGAAGAACCACTTTTTGAGGACGATAGTGATTCCGGATCTGATAGGGAGGAAACCGCCAGTGAGGATATTACAGGCCTGGATCGACTGGAAACTAGAGCACGGAAGGAGGCCAATAATTGGGGCGCTGGTAAAGTTCTTTACTGGTGGCGAAAGGGAGCTGGTAGCCAGATATTTGTGAGATATGGGACCAAACAAAATCCAGTCTATCGCATCAGAGCTGGTTCATATGAATATTGGGACGAACGCAGAGTTGAAAGGATTGTGTCTCCTTACTTCCCCGGAACCAACACCCGTGGGTTACAGAAGGTTCAAATAAAAGTGAAAGATGGCACGAAAGAGGCGTGGAAATGGGGCCGAGACGATGTCTACGATATCCTTGGAGTCGGATGGAAGATCATTGATGATGATGATGATCAATGTGATCCTCTTGATTACATAGCGCCTGAGCCGGGTGCCAAATACCCTGAAACACGAGTCTTGGTGAAATGGAAAGATGGCAAGACGACCTTGGAGACCCGGACCTTTATCCGACGCATTACCAAAGGATCAACGCTAATGGCAGACCGGATCATATATCAGAAGGCCAAAGAGCTTGAGGAGATGTATCAAGACGCACAAATTGCGGAGGAGGATGAAGCTGATGAAATTGATGTCACTGAAGAAACCGATGAAGTTGAGGTGGCTGTCGCCAGAACACCAGCTAGAGTTCCCGCCAAAGCTCGTGAAATTACCCCCAATCGTCCCGCTAAGGCTGCTGCCAAGGTCCCTAACAAGGCCCCCACTGCGGCACCCGTTCAATCCTCTCGCTCTCGCTCTCCGGCGTTGCAGAAGGGCAATGCCCCTCAGTCTACAACTGATGAAGATCCACGCGACCTTGAGATCCGCCGATTGAGAGAACAACTACAGCAGCAGTCTCAATTACAAGCAAAGCAATTTGCTCGGACGACTCGCCGGCGACCAACCAATAGAAACGACAATGATGGAAACTCAGAGGTTTCCAGTAAGCCACCAATCCCGCCATTGAGGCGCAACAGGCGTGGTGAGATAATTCCACCATTTAGCAATTGGGGCTAGGTGAAAGAATGGCTTCCATCTGCTTCAATCTCCCTAAATCAATAACAAGTGGGAAAAAGAAAAAAAATAAATAAAAGGAACAGAACATCAAAAAAACGAAAAAATGTGGAAAACATTGCAAAAAAAGCAAAGTATTTTCAGCTTTGTATTGTATAAGTTAGTGATTATTTAAGGATATATAGGGTATATGTGGAAAATGAAAAGGGGCTATATAGCTCATTTGGAGGCTGCAACGTCAGTAGACAGAAACTAAGCAGAACAGAAAGTTGGACCTGGGCATGGTAGTATTATGGCTTGAATGAAATCCATGTCAGATCATATTTGATTATAAGGTCTTATTCGTGCGTATACTTGTACTTAAGCCTATACTTTCATAAACAGAAAAATTGATTCTCAGCAGCCATACTTAGATAGCCATAATCGTAATGAAATACCTGAGTCCCGAGCCAGAAGCTCCTTGTAAGATTAAATATAATATGAGACTACAGTCAATTCCGTGTACTTTATCCCAATCGATCACCCCGCAAATCAGTTCGTTCAATTCAACCCTCTCTAGCTAAAGTGGCAAACGGATTGCCAATGGCAAAGCCATCTGTATTAGAAGACACGGCGCCGTCTTGATTAGATTGATTGCCATATAGAAAGTTTGCCAATTGTGCTGCGATCAAATTGGAGTCCACATCACTACATATGGAGCTTTCCAAATTCAGAAGACCCTCAGCAATTTTGTCCAGCTGCCTGTACATTTCAAAGACGCCGGGGAACTCGATTCGTATCATGTTAGCCAGAGCCATAAGCTTGGAGTCACTCGTGCGGTAGGAATTCCTTGGATCTCGGTAAGCACATATTCTCCAGAAAGACGCAACGAGAAAAGCACATACACTTCTTTCTCAAGCTCAGGTGAGCTTATGATGAGAATGCCTGAAGATAATCTAGATGCAAGGAATAACCACCTTCTGGCTTGTCTATTTTCCCTTCGAAAACGAGCTTTTCTGTCGGCTCGAGTCTTATCGTTGGTGGTTTCCCAGTCGGAATACATCTCTTTCAACATGGAAACGGAGGCTATTTTGTCCAGATGCACGCCCTTCTTTGCTGATACCTTCTTGCCTCTCATCCTTTCAAGCTTCAAAAGGTACGTGCGCTTAACAACCTGCAGGTATTGGGCAGTTTGAGTGAATCGTAAAAATACTCCTTGGGCAATGCTCAATAGATCTAGTGGTATAAACATGCTCCCAGTCAACGATTCCGGAGATGTATGAGAAATAAACCCGTCTCTCTGCCAGATTGGGAGAAAGTGTTCGATAAGAGCCGGGGCACGATCATGGATAAAATGTTCCGCTTTGTCAAGCGTGTTTGGCTTTCGTACAAAGGTCTCTCCGATGAGGACAAAAGCATTGGTGGAGTATCGAGACCGAAATATGTCCAACAGGGATGGAGCATCGGGAATGGGTATCACGGGATTCATTTTTAATTTTTGTACGAAAATGCTTGGAGTTTGGTGACCGTAATGAAAATGGGGGGGAGATATTAAAAGGGATTTTAAGAGCCCATCAACAGATCTCATAGAGTTATGTCGAGGGCTTTTCATCATAGGAATACTAATGTCTAAATTGAACCAGATCCTACACTGGTCTAAGTTGACCAACTTCCAGCCCTGTTTGGGTCTGCCCTTCTGCGACCCTTTTTGGTGCCGGCAAACGGGATCTTCCAAACACTAGGCACAATAGGCATGGCGCCATAATACGGGTATAGTCTAGTCAACAACCTAGATCGTGCAGCAAGAGACAGTGTCGCATTTCATGTCTATTAAGAGACCGAAATACGGGAATGATATTAAGATAATGAAGAGATAAGCCGAGTTAGAATATCAGGTCTCTAGCCACTAGGTCTTATGGCTTCTTTCGAACGCCTCCCGTCGGAGGTATTATACATGATTATACAATACATCGAAGAGAAAGAGTTATTGCTGAATTTATCATGCGTTAATCAGAGGTTTAGGCTCCTGACTATTCCTTACATTTTTGACACTTTGGATGTTGAATTTACACTTGCGAGCCTTTCCTACTTCCAACAACTCTCGAAGTCTCATATCGCCTGTTATGTTAAAACCATTCGGTACAAGGCACCAGAACTAGTGGATCCAGGTAGCTTCACTTAATCGCCATTTTTACAAGTCAAATTAACCAGGAACTAGAAAGTTTATCGTGGGATTACTTTCGATCGTGTGTATATACTCCAACGGAATACGTTAGAGACCGGAAAGAATTCTGTTGGAGCTTCCGCGGGAAGCAAATCCCGTACCACGAAATTTACTCCTACTTCAATAACCTAGCACGGGAGCAGCACGAAATTATTTCAAACGACATAGACCTAATGACTCTCCGCGAGTGCTTTCCTCGATTATCCCGTCTGCAGAACGTGGAGTTGGCGTTTGTGGACAACACAAAGCATCCATTCCAATGGTTTGCAGGCCGCATGTTTGTCGACTGGCGAGACTCATTTCCAGGCCACTTTGATGCGACCATAGAGGGAATGATCGCTGCCCGGAAACATGGCATTACCATACGTAGGTTTTCGGTTTCAGGGCTTTATTCTGAACTCCCAATCGCCGACACCGGATTGTATGGGCGAGTGGTGGAAGCACTGCACAGCATCGAAAGCCTACGACTTACCGACAGCCCTACCCTATTAGGGTACATGACAACTGTGCCTCTTCCATCCCTCCGTCGGATTGAGCTGGCGAGTTGCTGGCTCTGGGCTTCTGAGATTGAGATATTTATTGGTGCCCATGCAAAAACAGTCCGGGTACTCCATCTGGAGGATATATGGTTCCCTGTCCAAAGGTCCCCCTATTTGGGTATTGATTTTACTCGTAAAGCCATTCCAGGGATCGTGGAAGAAGTGTCTACAATTCGAGACATGGGGGTTCTGCAAGAGATAACAATTAACAGAACGGGCCCTGATGCCTTCGAATATAGAGAAACAATTGAAGACGAGCTCTAAGCATATAGTTGTAGCTAATTTAGGAGAATGACTATTTATCGCTCGTCAAATTTTGTAGTCAGATTTCAGTAACGGTTTATGTGCAGTATACTGTAAATCTTAATGAGATCTAGTCGAGAAATTGATAGTCTATCGTTTGAATAACACTATACGCTTTACTCAACCGACTAACAGACCAAGTTTCTACTCAAATTAGATACATGGTTGTCTGTAATTCTGGTTATATATACCAAAAAGGTATTCATTAAAAATACATTGACAGATAAAAATAATGGGTACGATATATTAATGATTTATTAATATTTCGTTTTCATATATATCGTACCAGCGTAATCCAAAACTTGCTTCTTAGAACCAATCCGCCCCATTAAGCTTTCTATTTAAACTCTGTTGTAGTGTTGTCATTCACTTGAACTTTATATCGTAGGTCTAAGAGAATAATGTCTTTGATTTTCACTTTCCGGACCTAACCATGTTATGTTCGTATGAGATTCATAATCACGATTCTGGACTAGCAGCGCAGGCCGTATCAAGACTCTTGATTTTTCCATCTGTGTATACGTGATATGTGTAAATGCCACTACCGCAGTAGGGCCGAAAACAAATATCATGTTTTTGAAGATCAGTGGGACTTCGAGACCGACTGTATCTTCGTTACATATACGGTCCACTGGCCTAAGCTCTAATAAGAGAGGTCAGCGGAACAGAACATGTGGAGTCGAACCCTTTCACTGTTCATGATCTGTTCGCACTCCACATTATTATAGCATAAAATTTCCCAGGTTCGGTGTTTCCACATCATTTGTTCGGCAGCCCTCAACCTGAAGCCCTCCGTGATACGAGCTATTTGGTCCTCGTCAGACATCCCCTCAGAGCACACTTTGCACAGAGTGTATATATGAATTCCACATTTCCTCCGTAAGAACCGGGAGACAAGGACCTCGAGAGTGGCGCCAGGGCTATATGGTACGAAGGAACAGGTCCATTTTTTGATGTCGCATTGCTTGCAGTTGACACACGCCCAAGAGATAGAGCCTGTCATGCTGAAACAGGTCAGTACATATTGTGGGTTTAGACTGAACGGTATATCAAATAGGCCTTAACATACTTCGTTGTTCTCTCGTGACGGTCAACTCCTGCAGACAAGTGTGTCCACGTTAAGAAAGCTGGGATTATGCGCGGACACAAGATTTTGGGATAGGCTAGGTTTAAGTATTTAGATTCTCCAGGATGGCCAGGTCACTGGGATATGTATTAAATTTAATAGTATAAACTACTTTGGAGAATAGACTTTAGTATTACACTAATTTCCTGCCTACTAAAAATTTTCCTTATACTAAAGATAATGATGAAGGCTTCTGCGTACTCTTTCGTGGTCGCAGCATGCGTAGAAGAATAGGTAGAATAGGTCTGTGTGTCTTGGCTTAATAATATTAGTTGTCAAGATAATTAATATTGTGGGTCTTAGACTGCGCACGGTTTTCATAGTCGCAAGTGCCAAGAGGATTCCGCTCTGCGTAGGCTTTAGGTGATGCAAGAGGGCTTGGTAGTCCATCCGCAGTAGCGCTCCACACGCAGTAGCACTCCACACGCAACAACACTCCATCCGCAACAGTACTCCATCCGCAGTAGCACTCCGTCCGCAGCAGTATTCCATACGCAACAGCACTCCATCCGCAGTAGCATTCCGTACGCAATAATATTCCATACGCAGTAGAACTCCGTCCGCAGCAGTATTCCATACGCAACAACACTCCATCCGCAGTAGTATTCCATACGCAATAACACTCCGTCCGCAACAGTACTCCATCCGCAGTAGCACTCCGTACGCAATGACGCTCCGTCCGTAGTAGAGTTCCATACGCAATAATATTCCGCACGCAACAACGCTCCGTCTGCAACAGCACTCCGTACGCAATAATATTCCACACGCAGTAGAACTCCGTCCGCAGCAGTATTCCATACGCAACAACACTCCATCCGCAATAGCACTCCGTACGCAATAATATTCCACACGCAGTAGAACTCCGTCCGCAGCAGTATTCCATACGCAACAACACTCCATCCGCAATAGCACTCCGTACGCAATAATATTCCACACGCAGTAGCACTCCATACGCAACAACACTCCATCCGCAATAGCACTCCGTACGCAATAATATTCCACACGCAGTAGAACTCCGTCCGCAGCAGTATTCCATGCGCAACAACACTCCATCCGCAATAATACTCCATCCGTAGCAGTGTTCCATACGAAATAGCTCTATACGCAGCACGATTTAATCCATATTAGTAACACCCCGTAGGCAGTCCTATAATTACTTGATATCTGACCTCGCCTATCCTCTCTGTTTCTTCGAAGGTCCATCGGCACCTTCACGGTGCCTTTTACCTGTTGTAACATCATATCTTGATATGTACTCTGCCATCTGTTCTTCGGATATGCCACCATTCCGTTCCTCAAGGTCTCCTGGCTTTTCCCTTGCGCCAATAAGCTGTAACCCCTTCTCCATTACATTGGGAAAAGCTTCATTGGCCTCTATAACGTTCAACTCATCGTTCTCAACTCGGAGAAAGTAATGACCCAAGGCAAGATCCACTATGGTGGACCTTATATTCTTTTCATCGTCCGCAAAGAATTTGTAATATTCTCTGGAGTTAAACAGATAAAAGACAATAACATTTGGGGGCCTCGATTGATGCCATGTTGTCAAGATATCTCTTATGGAATCATGAATGGTGATTGGTGTTCTTTTACACACGGGTGCTCGACAATGTTCATTCTCAAATCCGGGTGCTAATGGAGCTGTTCTTTCCAGTCCATCCATATCCAGCTCACGTGGTGTGGGAGGGTGCGAGTTCAACTCCACAGGCGATGACACGTCATCTGGCCCTTTTGATGTCGGAATTGATGGAGATCCATCTACCGCAGCTTGTGGTGACAGTGATGGCACAACCTCTGGATTAAGAGTCGTTTGGTTCATGGTCTGGGAGGCAGGTGGCTCGGTAGGTGTATCCTGAGGCGTGGGTTGTGTTGTCTTGTCGGCAAAAATTTTATCAATCAGGCTATATCGGCCAAAGAATGAGAGGAATATGTCCCGCATAACGGCGAAGGAACTTGGATACTGCTTGGTCTGTTGGTCCTGACAGTATACATGTCCAAGGAAAAGGAACTGGCGGTCTTCCAGATATTCTCTCTGCAGCGGCCTACCAGCACGCCTGTTAGGCTCTCTGAGACTTGAGTCAACCCCAAGTGGTGCAACCTTCGGGCTAGCTGCTTTTGCCCGCGCAACCCTCACGATTTCTTGATATTTCCTAGCGATAAACGATAGTCTTTGGTTGCTGATGTTCTCAGCAGCATCGCGATCAAGCGTATCGACAAGATATTGGAATACAGACATATTAGAATTCTGTTTTATGCTTTGCTGGGACCTTGACATATTAAAGCCGAGCTTCTCGGCCGCGTTTGCCAGTTCCGGCTTTCCTCGTACCCGAAACAGTGGTTGTATACCATCGGCCTTGGTGTTACGTCCACCCCGAGGGTCCACAAAATGGCGAAATGCAACTAGCCAAAGCTGCAGGAGACTGATAATGGCAGCAGTCTCTTCGAATTTGCTCAGGCCAATCATGGGCTCAAGTGACATTTCCTCGTATTGACCTTCTGACACCTCAATGCAGCAGGAGACGTTCCGTCCACTCCAACCATGAAGCAAATGATCCGTGATAGATCCACGGTGCTTCAGGCCTCCAAGGTTACGTATGGCACGCGCAGGACCAGAGAGAAGGATCGTGTCCTGGAAGAACGTCGAAAGCGACAAGATACGGCCGGAAACATCGAGAAGGATCTGGAGCACCTCGTCTCTTCTCCCAGGTTGTACTAGCCTTGGGAATAAGGGGTTGTCGCAACTTGCAGTAATGGCCGTGGCAATCTTATCTCGATCAACCAGTGAGTATTTCGGCATCAGTCCTTCGATCAAGGCAACAGATCTAGAGTCAACCAGTGACGCCATGTCTCCAGGAAATAGCTCAGACCACAGGCTATGAATCCTCTCCAAATAGTGTACCATGATCTTGAGATGGTCAGTAACAGGCGTGCCGGATCCTGGGGATTGCGTATTTCCCACCTCATCGCAATGGGGACTAATAATGTATTCAAGCTTCCGAAACGTAAATACGTCCCAAAGGCCAGGAAATGGAGCAATGTTTTGAAGAGCCTTTCTCAAGGGAAGGTTCCTGTCCACCTTTCTTACATAGTGAAAGTCCGTTGCGGATTCGAATCGGCTGCGCCAGGCTTGTGCCGTATGAGGAGGGTAGTTAAGGAGGAGGTCACAGAATATAGCAGCATCCGAAACTCTCTCCTCAATTGAATACTGCGACTTGAGATGATCCTGTAGGTGAATGGGCAGTTCTTTGGAATAGAATAACCTGGTTAGCACTCTTACCTTTTCTAAATAGCAACAACACTCACCGTCTGAATATAGCTTTGTCACCCACCATTTTTGCCCAGGAGGTAGAAAGCGTCTAGCTGCTTCTAGGAGATCTCGACCCCGCAAACATGGAAGAACAGTATCTTTCGGTAAGAAGAGGTCCGGTGGATCGTCTGATAAAGAAAGGCTATTTGGAGTCGAACCAGTCTGAGCAACAGCCTGGTCTACTTGTTCTTTGGCTGCAAGAACTGTGACAAAATGTTCCGGGTCCAACCTCGAACATCCATCCTGATGGAACCGCCGTAGGTACCATTGAACACCATCCTCAGAGTCAAATGAACCGGAAATCTGGTAAAGTTGGATTCTGGCATAACCCAGAAAGTAAGGCCGCACCTCTTGTGATTTTGTGTCAACATTTATATGGAAAGCGTCCGTGGTCGCCATTGCTTGACAGATATTCAAAAGATACGAGTTTCCTGGGTGGCTCGGATGGGTGCCCGGGGAGTCCCTGTCCTTTATACGTTCAGGCGACCTACAGCTTAACCATAGAGCTACGGGGCCGGCCAAAGTTCTTCCGACGTAATATGACTGCTTTATTATAAACTATCTAGATCTTTTTGTTTTGCTCTTCGGGGCAAAACCTTCCCATACCCCACCGCATCCAAGTAGTGGGGTCTCAAGTTCCATGTCCGGTCACCGGGTGTCGCCTGTAGGAGAAAAGCATGCTATCTTATTAGAATTGAGATGAAAGCAGCAAGGAATGCATTTACCTGGAAGATATGCGAGTAAGAAGCGGTCTTGACTTTGGAAATGAAGTCTCTACCATATTCGGAGACGTTCGCAGGATTGTCAATGTATACGTGACCTTCCTCCATTGTCGTCCTCGGATCATACAAGTTTATTAATAAAAGGGCCAGGTCATGTCTGTCATTCGCTTCTTTGTTACCATCTCCCTCCAACACACGTTGACCCACATTTGCTGGATCGACTTAGCGGTATTTTCAATATTATGGGATAGCTCTACTCACCTATTCGCAGCTCTCCGTCTTCGAAGAGCAGAATGTTTCTGCCAGAAATGTCCCCATGGCTAATATGAAGTGTGTCATGTATGTATTCAAGGCCTTTAAGGATACTCCGGCAGATTGTGGAAAGATCTGCTTCTCCCAATGTGACGTAGGGGCTTGCGCTAACAAAGGACAAGTTCACTGCAATCCCGTGATATCGATAAGCAAGAAACACGGTAGCGTGGTCGCAAAACGCTTCCAATAACTCAACAATATTAGGATGAGCTGCTGGTCGTAAATTTGAGATTGTGGTCTTATTGACGGCGGGTATCTTTTTCAACAACACCTGAGAGGGATATCCTGGGTTGTTTTCGAGACCTATCCAACCAAGCCCGGCCTGATTGATCTGCCAGGATATGAGATATTTCCGGGAAGGCCTTCCATCGTGTAGAAATGTCGAGTTAGTTCGCAGAGTGCTTGGTGGAAGGCTCTTTGGCTCCGGAACCGTGGACTCTGGAACAGTCGGAAGTACTGGGATAGGAACGTGAAATCGGTTTTTTGGGGTGTCTTTCTGCCTTGCCTTGCTAACTAGTTTGATGGTGTCTTTTTCTGGAGTCCCACTATTATCCCAAAGATGTTTAGGGAGACGTGTCTCTCGCTTCGATCTCTCCATAGCCTCGGAATACTGTAGGTTGCCGGATCGGTTCATTGAAAGATCACAAAAATATAGGTCGTAACCTATTGCCTAGGCTCCGGCACGGGCTGGTAGCAAGGCGCGAGACTAGGGCGATTTTGCCCAGTCCTCGGGGCTCTTACCTGCCGAACCGTTTGGTGTCGCAGCCAGGCCCCACTTGATTTGCGTTTTGATCGGGGCACCTAAATATTTTTGTAAGCTTCTAACAGTCTAATGATTTAAATAACTTGGAACATGTACTGTAATCCGAGCTGAATTATTGCAAATAACCAGCTCAAAATGGCACCAGCCTTAACTCTAGGATCACCGATCGAATTGGCTGTCCGTGAGCCCGTGCATACCCCTGAGCCGGTTACTCCAGCGACAAATCCCCGCTATAGTCTTGATTTCGTCAAATATGGGTCTCCATACGACCAGTCAAACAGGATCTTTATTGGATTGGATCCGTCCTGGAACGGTATCGATGCTATCGAGTTTCAGGATGGCCTAGCTATTGGATTTCTCAGTCACTGCAAAGTTGAAGGCAATACCTTCCCCTTGCAGCACATCACACAGGTCTCCCATAGAAATGTGCTTGGTTTTAAGGAGATCTTCGTGAAAAGAGGAGGTTGTTTCTTTATCTACGGTCAGTGGGGAACCACACTTCGTGAGATTCACCAGTTATTACCGGTATTTCGCTTGAGTGAAGTGGAAGTCTCAGTTATATGCAAAGAGGTAGAGTGCCCTTTCAGCCAGGTAGGAGTGGTTACTAACATAGTGTGCAGATTTTGAACGGACTGAAATACATTCACGATGAGTTGGGCATATCCTACGGAGGCCTAGGCTGTTCCAATATTCTGATCACCCAGGATGGTGAAGTCAAGATCTGTGGGTGGTGGACTTAACTTTCTAAAAATTTCTACTGACCTTTCCAGCGGGTATCGGTAGATCCTTGGTCCAGAGCCCTACTTCTGTGGGCAAAGCTCAGGATGTACAGGCTGTCTGCAATATAGCCCGGAAACTGCTCGATTTGCAGAATGCCACCACTGTTCGTGGCACCATCGGTCTTATCGCAGAAGACTTTATAGGTGCTTCACCCACAGCCACAGTGGATGAGCTCCTGCGGGTAAGTGATAGTCTATTAGAATCAGGAATGCTTGTTACTAAGTATCTTTAAGCATCCATTCTTACAGATTCAGGCGATGCCGTGGTGTCTCCGTCCTATAAACACCCTTTGTTCTATCGCTCGCCAGCGGAGGTGGGAGAGGTAAAGGACGCTAAAACGGCTCAATGTATTAGTTTTGACGAAATTAACAGAGTATCCTTTTAGATAGGAAACATCTCAAGATATTCGTAGTTTAGTTTCTTGTTGGCTGTCAGCTTAGTCTGTCTCACCATAACTTAGTCTCGAACCCCCAACTGCCTATCACTGGCAAACTCTGTAAACTCGATAGGACCTAGGGTTTCAATACTTGCTCACCCACAGCTCACTCGTGTCAGCTTATTACGTAAATTTAAACTAGCCAGATAATATAAAGCGTTCTACATCCGGCTCTATCCCAGCTTTTCTCATGCCGCAAAAATGGAAGCCCGCCAGCCTGCCAGACCTGATGGAGAGCCTTCCCTCCATCGAACCAACACATCACATACTATTGAGACCCGTTATGTTCACATGCTTCTTGAGCTCGACTACATCCCCTGGTTCTATAATGTCCTGGCCGGTGCTGCGAGCTGGTTACTTCTTGCCGGGTATCTTGTGGTACCTGGCACGTTCACTTCCCTTCAGAAGTCTCAGCCTTTTTCGGAGGATTTAGAGAAGACGAAAACTGGACAAGCTATCATTAACACAATTCAGAACCCCCCACTACTTGCAATTGCCTGCTTGTTCCTCGCACTAGGCGCGTCACTTATGGGTTGGTTATTCTGGGAGCGAAGAAATAATTATATTTGGTTGGTCAATCGGTTGTTCATGTAAGGAGTTTCCAAATTATGTTGAGAAAAGCGACTAAAGGTTAACTCAGCCCTACCTTACTTAATGCAACGGCCGGGCTAGTAACTACTTTCGTTAATGTTTACACGGCCCGGGAAGGCAACTGGTCTATAATGGCCCTCCTGACAGCTATTACGACTGGGCTTTCGCTGTCAGTGACTTTTGCTATGGTCATAATATACAAATTCGGAAAACTAGAGAAGGTGAAAGAGGACCATGAGCTTGAGATGAAAGCCGGCTTCAGAAGGGTGAATCCTTGATCTGTTGTCGAGATTAACCCAACAAATAATACTTGTTTATGAGGGCTATACTGGTACGTCGATTTTAGGAGATCTCTTAAGGACATGTTAATTAGGAGTAATGCTAGTTTCTATTAACTTTGGCGTCTTTCTGTAGGATCATATCATGGTATTGGGAACTTATTTCTACAGTAGTTACTTAGCGGTGGGGTAGCCTTTTGTCTTCAATACACAGTCCTGGACCCATTGTGGAATTATATTGTAGCCTAACAAGCTCATATAGCTAAGCCGTTTGGTTTGGTATAGACTGAGAATTTCTCATAAGCATACGTGTTAAGATGAAACTAGGTATGAAGCTTAGTAGGGACCAATACGTTCTCAGAGTTAGGTAAGTTCCTGGAAGATTCTGGAAGTTTCCAGGTGATAAGGAAATAAATATACCTTTTGAATAAAGCCTAGAGAAACGAGAATGTTGTAGCAGGTTGTGCGGTTTCTGGAATGGTTTTAGAATTTAATGTGAGAATCTTGGAGTGTTGCCAAAATCAATATCTGCCATGTGAGTCAAGTGCATTCTCTAGCAGCATCTGTACGATATCCTGGTGGCATCCATCAAACGCTGCCTGGAGAGCATTACTCTATTATCCTTCCTACGTACTAATATTAGCTCCCTTGTCTAGCAGTATCTATATAATCTCCTAGTGGCCTTCATAAGAAGCTACCTGGAGAGTATTACCGTATTTCCTCTTATATATATTAATATCAGCTTCTCTGTCTAGCAGTAGCTATATAAAGTTCTGGTAGTCTGCATCATAAGCTGCCTGGAGAGCATTATCGTCAGATCCCCCCTGTTTATTAACATCAGCTCCTCTGTCTAGTAGCATCTGTACGATGCCCTGGTGGCCTTTATAAGAAGCTGCCTGGAGAGCATTGCCGTAATTTCCCCCCTGCGTATTGACATCAGCTTCTCTGTCTAGCAGCATCTGTACAATCTCCTGATAGCCTGCATAAGAAGCTGCCTGGAGAGCATTGCCGTAATTTCCCCCCTGCGTATTGACATCAGCTTCTCTGTCTAGCAGCATCTGTACAATCTCCTGGTGGCCTACAGCACAAGCTGCCTGGAGAGCATTGCCGTAATTTCCCCCCTGCGTATTGACATCAGCTTCTCTGTCTAGCAGCATCTGTACAATCTCCTGGTGGCCTACAGCACAAGCTGCCTGGAGAGCATTGCCGTAATATCCCCCCTGCGTATTGACATCAGCTTCTCTGTCTAGCAGCATCTGTACAATCTCCTGATAGCCTGCATAAGAAGCTGCCTGGAGAGCATTGCCGTAATATCCCCCCTGCGTATTGACATCAGCTCCTCTGTCTAGCAGAATCTGTACAATCTCCTGGTCCCCTTTAAAAGAAGCTACTTGGAGGGCATTACCGTCAAATCCCCCCTGCGCAATGACATCAGCTCCTCTGTCTAGTAGCATCTGTACAATCTCCTGATAGCCTGCATAAGAAGCTGCCTGGAGAGCATTGCCGTAATTTCCCCCCTGCGTATTGACATCAGCTCCTCTGTCTAGTAGCATCTGTACAATCTCCTGATAGCCTGCATAAGAAGCTGCCTGGAGAGCAGTACCGTAATATCCCCCCTGCGTATTGGCATCAGCTCCTCTGTCTAGTAGCATCTGTACGATGCCCTGGTCCCCTTTATGAGAAGCTGCCTGGAGAGCATTGCCGTAATATCCCCCCTGCGTATTGACATCAGCTCCTCTGTTTAGCAGCATCTGTACGATGCCCTGGTGGCCTTTATGAGAAGCTGCCTGGAGAGCAGTACCGTAATATCCCCCCTGCGTATTGGCATCAGCTCCTCTGTCTAGTAGCATCTGTACGATGCCCTGGTCCCCTTTATGAGAAGCTGCCTGGAGAGCATTGCCGTAATATCCCCCCTGCGTATTGACATCAGCTCCTCTATTTAGCAGCATCTGTACAATCTCCTGGTAGCCTCCATAAGAGGCTGCATAGAGGGCATTTCTGTAATGTTCCCCCTGCGTATTGACATCAGCTCCTCTGTTTAGCAGCATCTGTACGATGCCCTGGTGGCCTTTATGAGAAGCTGCCTGAAGAGCAGTACCGTAATATCCCCCCTGCGTATTGACATCAGCTCCTCTGTTTAGCAGCATCTGTACGATGCCCTGGTGGCCTTTATGAGAAGCTGCCTGAAGAGCAGTACCGTAATATCCACCCTGCGCATTTACATCAGCTCCCTTGTCTAGCAGCAGTTCTGCAACATGTTGAAGGCTTGCTAAAGATGCGTAGTACAATGGAGGCGCCATGCTTATGATTGGTCTCGGCCCTTTCTCCCGCGGGCGATCTGGGTTAAAAAGCCTACCCCAGACTGCGTACGCTTGCCTTTGATAGAGAAGAAAGTCCAAAATGCTCTCCTGCACGTCCTTCCCGGTCTCTCCAGCTTTCGCATGGTCCAACCAATACCGTGCGGAGTACAGCGCCAGCGGAAATTTTACTGTGATTTCCCTGGTTAGACACTGTTTGTCCAGATGAGACAAATATGCCAGGCAAACCCTTGTAATAGATCCTGATGCATTGCTTTCGCTCATGCCATTCTGGAATACTATACCGACATCAGTCATGTTCTTTGGGAAAGTCGCTTCAATTCGTGCTGATTTAAGATATTGCTGAACAGAAAAATGCGCTAACTGTAGCTCTATCAACGTCTCTCCTGTCCTGCGATTGGTCGGTCTTGTGACAAGAGAGACCAGACTTGAACAAATTCTCATAATGTCTCGGTGTTCTGGCATCCTTAGTTCAGGATCAAAGGGGTCATCTCTGCTAGGATCGACTACTATCGCATCAACAGTTTCTTGTATTGTCAACGGACGCTCTGAGTAAGTAAGAAATTGCAGAATCCGTATTGCGTAATCTCGATAATTTTCGTCAATGCTAGCCAAGATTCGGCCGTACGTCTCCTCTAATGTCTTTGGGAGAGATCTAAGCGACTCCCGAAGCTTTCGGAGATCTGGACACTTTTCCAGAAGATCGAGTTGGCATGTAGCCCACCTGAACCTGAATGCAGAGTCAGCGCGCGCTGATCGACTATAAAACCTCACAAGCCATGATATGGTAATATTTCTTACATTCCATCAGCTTTCTTCATAAGTTCGGTCTCAATTTCATCTTGAACAGATGGTTTCGAGTGCCACCTCTTAAAACCTCGATCATTTCGAAGTCGTGTATGGACATATGCGCGAATATCAACATCCACAGCAGCTTGTTGAATAGAAATCATATTCTCCTGATGCAACCAGGGTCTCAGTTCGGTTTCAATATCCTCTTCCTTCCGACTTGTTGCGAGGAGGCTGAGTCCTGAATGCCCAGACCTTGCGTGATTTTTCATCCACAGAAGTAACTCTGTTCTTGATTTGCATTCATCCAGAGCGTCTATAACGATTTGGACCTTTTCGGTGCAGTTCGCCATTTCCAGGAATGTGGCGAATAGGGTTTCGTGTGTTGGCTGTCGACGGCCATGTTCGCAAGACAAATACAGCTTGTCCAGTTCCATCCGAGATTTCTCACACTTTGAATACAGCTGTGCAACAAGCGAGCGAACAAGCTTGTCAACTGACTGTTTGTAAGAATCGGTGAAATCGAAGAAGAAATAGAGGACAATGTGAGAAGAATCAACTTCTTGGTTGAGGTGCTTAATAATTGTCGCGCTGAGAACGGTTTTCCCACACCCTGGAATTCCATGCAGCCAGAGATGCCGACGTATTCCAGAGCTCCATTCTATAAATTGTTGACTCTGGAGGAACCAAAAACCCGTTCCTTCTTGTCGCTTCTTTTGCCCTTCGTTTAAATTGGCTGAAGGATCAGGTGGGTTCAACCATTTATACATTTTGTGGCACTGGTTGTCTTGGGTGAGGCCTTCAACTTGGTTAATTATATATTGTACGTCTACCGAGTAATCAGTAAAAAGCTTGTTGAATTTTATAAGGGCATTCATCTATAGCTGCTTACTGACCGTGCTCAGCTATCTTGCATTGTTTGACCTCATCCACAGGCAGGTGAAAAAACAGCTCTCTAGCGTATGCTGCTGCTGCTGCCGCAGCATAACCCTGCCACCGGCAATTCTTATGCGAGTCCGAATAGTCCGAGATGCCCCGTATAACAAGGCAAGGGAAGTCAGCTAATGCCCCGGCAGCCTCCATCTCAAAACAGAGGATATTATACTGCCTTGCTAGTGCATCTCTCAGCATTCCATGTTTGATGACCAGCTCCCCAGCAGCAATCGTTCCCCTGTGTACGACTAGTTGCTGCCCTTGGTCATACATATCGTCGTCATCATCGCTATCTTCAGCGCGACGATCCACAATCTGACTCGAATCGCATCCGCATTTCTGGCAGGAAACATGCGGGTCAGGATGGACATATTCTGCTCGGAAGAGGTGGTCCTTGTTTGCTCCAGGATACTTGTATCTCCGCAGGCCCCGAACAGCCGTGTCGATGCGTGCGATATGATTGAGAAGCGGATCTCCCTGCGTCATTGCCCGCCTTATGTCCATTTCTCGGGCGGCATTGAGCAACACAGTTGGCGGCGGAGCCAGGTAGCCAGTGTGTCGAAATTGGCCGACTTCGGCCTTCCCGTGATCATACTGCACCACACCTGAATGTTCACCAACGGGTTTGCTTACCACCACATGACCGAGGTGGATGTTTCCCTGCTCAGTTCTTGTCGGTACGCCACCACCTATACCAACAAGGACACCGAATCTTAACTGCCGGAACGTATTTCTCATTTGAGTGACAACTACGGCCGCAGGGCTGTTCCCAGGGGAGTGAAGCCCAGCAATGACAACGTTATGTCCATTGATGCTGCCGAGTGTGTAGACGTTGTGGTCATTAGGTGGCTGTGGCAGGCGCTCATGTTCGCTGTCCAACATCTTCATAGCTGCTATCTGTTCAACCTCCAGCGGACAGACCCAAGCCACAGTATAGTCGTCATGGGTAAATATTGCATCATTTTTTGACATACTGACGGCGATTTTGTCTGAAAAGAAAGGTTCGATAGTGGTGGATGATAAACGGCGGTTGATTATAACGAGGTGAACGAAACATCTTCCCACACCAAAAGCGGGGTTGAAAGGAGGACCAGCTGACCAGCAGGTGGCAGCCAATGAGAGCATTTCGTGTATGATAACACCATTGGCTGGGCTTCAATCAGCCTCATTTCGTTAGTTAGTTGATAGTGTGTTTGATCACGTGATCAAGGATAAACGTAGCTCTAAAACTACAATTTATATCTATAGACTCTTGATTATTTCTAACTTAGGCGATATAGCTTATATTTATGCAGTTTCGGAGCTTTAAAATAAACAATAAAATCGATCAAAATAAGTTTAGTAATGCAGTATTTTCTCCTCCATTGTTCTGCGCATTTTCAATGCAATTATCATTCCTTCGAATGCTGCGATTATACGAGGCGATAAATCCCGCGGCCACAAGGTTCTATGGGTCATATGATCCAGATCATATGACCTCTAAGGCCCTAATAAACCACTGATTTAATCATTCACAGAATCATAAAGATGAAGAGGTAGAAGGAAGTTCCGGGAAGTTCCTGAAAAGTGAAAACTGTGAATCTAAAGGTGAATATATAAGTCATGGAAGAGGATAGAAGTAGAAAGATATGGATTTGGTGAATAACGAAGGAACAATAGGTAGAGTGAAGCATAATAGGGCCAGGTTCATATATAAACCCCTTCCCCCCCCTTCTTCCTCTTCTTCTCTCTTCTTCTTCCACATCTCTTCTTCTTCCATACTTCGTCTCTCTTCTCATAGAGCCTCAATGCCCCATGCAACAGATATAGGATAGTATTCTGTCTATCTTCCACACTTCATCTCTCCTCTTATAGAGCCCTATACAACAGATATAGGACAGTATTCTGTCTATCTTCTATACTTCATCTTTCTTCTTGCAGAGCCCCATTCAACAGATATAGGACAGTGTTCTGTCTATTCCTCTACTTTTATTTAGCTGCTCCTTCGAAACTGAGTTGAAACAGAGTGGCTATTAGGACAGCATAGCATGGACAACCCTACATAGTCAATAGGATACCATGAAATTGCTCAGTATCCAACTCTCCAACTTGTCGAAAAAGATGGCTCAGCATCTAAACCTCCAACTTGTCAAAAAAGACAAAGATGATATCGATACTTCAGTTTATCACTAGTAAGTTAATAATGGTTTCCTCTTTCCTTCGAATATTATACTAATATAGAATTTCTATTAGGAACCCATGAGACATACAACGCAAGCGGAAACGGAGCGCCAACGGCCCAATTCGAGCAACAGCAAGCGTCCTATAAAACCAATAGACAAATATATACCGATTTATAGAAGATTTTCAGAACCTTTCTGAGAGTTTTGGCCCAGTTCAAGCCATTGAGGTCGAAGCTAGACTATGAAACTCTGGCCGCTTATATAGGCCCAGGTATGTCCAGCACCGTTGATTCTGTCCCTGGGCTTTTGCAAGAACTAACCGGGATAGAGGCCCAGAAAAACACCAAGCCTTGGTTCAGCAATCGGTATCCAACGGGTTCTTAAAACACCTAACCCATCATTCTGAAAATCGGCGAATCTCGGTTTACTCTAAACTTTTGAGGGAAGGCTCAAGGCCTATCCCTAAACACGCAGCTTCTTTACTTGGAGTGGCTATTCTCAATTTCTATTAGGAACCCATGAGACATACAACACAAGCGGAAACGGAACGTCAATAGCCCAACTCGAGCAACAGCCAGCATCCTATAAGACTGGTAGATGAAGATATACCGATTTATCTTTTCGATCTAATACAACATTTCAATATCCTTACTGGATCATACAAATCCGATTGCTCCAATCATAGCAACATCTATTCGACACAGAATCAACCCGGACTTTTCGCTAAAAGTACGGAATACGTCCATCAGTATATTGAGAATAACATACGGATAATGAAGACTCTTTCCCCATTTATTTCCACTTTCAAATGTTTTCAGGAATACACCAATATCTACGGATTGATCATTGGCCAGAAAAAGCTGGTAACGTCCGTTTACTTTGCCTATACCCTGATAAAAACCTAAACCTTATATTCTCTGGGTTTAATGGAGCCACAAAATATCTTATCTGGGGCAGTATGATTAGAAAGTTTCTCTTCCAACTTAAGATGCCTTACTACGATGTCCGAATTCTCGGAATCTTTTAACAATGCTCAACTCCCTGAAGCTACCGGACTTGTCACCGAAGTCATATACTGCGTCCTTACATTTACTGTTGCTACACCCATATCCAACTGTCACTCCTCTGGAAGATTTGGAGACTCCTTTAAAGGCTTAATTACAACCTCGTTATCAGACAAAGCCTCTGTCATGGCTATGTAATTAATGACATCTGATTTGTCACAGCCATTAAAGATACCTATTTATCTACTCACCTCTCACAATATTTCAAGTCCTTTTCGGAAGAGAGACTCTGATTTTACGGTTCCACGATATACCACATGCATGAATTCCTGGAGCATTCCCCCAGGAAGAGGCCCAGAAAAGCACCAAGCCTTGGTTCAGCAATCGAATCGGTATCCAACGAGTTCTCAAAACACCCAACCCATCGTTCTGAAAAACAGCAAACCTCGGTTTACTCCAAACCCTCGCGGGAAAACTCAAGGCCTATCCCTAAGCGCGCAGCTTCTTTACCCAAAAGTGACAGAAAACATTCGAAATAACAGGAACGCGATGATCTGGTCGAAGTAAATCCGGGCCCACCAACTACTCTGAGCCAGTGCATCTTTTTGATTCCGAGAAGGATTCAGAACAGTGCCTGGTCCAATCTTCGGAGCAAACCTTACCACACTTCTATGAAGTTCCATGTTGGTTTTTTTAACCATATGGGAGAACACCTAGTACCCGGATGCCCTTTACATTTGGGTAACTCTTGGGTAACACTTGGGTATAATAGATATTTGATAGGTCTAATGGATTCTAGGAGGTTCTGATAGGTTTAAATATATTAGACCCACTAATAATTATACATGCAGAAGCTTTATTTTCCATCATTTTAACAAACCCTTTTGGGGGGCTCTCCCTTGACATCAAGGTCTGCAATCCATTTTCTCTTCTGAGAGACACAGTTCCTCCGAGGTTCTTCAATAGAGTGCGCATTGAAGAAATGACGCCGCAAACCCAGCGTTCCGGAATATGATCTCTTTTCACAGCAAGGATGGGGGCATTGAAGAGGCTCATCATCTTTCTTCCCACTGAGATGTTTCTCGTTAATATGGTTGATTAGCGTAGACTTAACCCGCCACTGCTTGAATCGCTCCTGGGGCTGTTTCTCAGAGTCACCCAAACAATAGGGGCAGAGCCCTGGGTATACCAATGTATGGCGGAATGTCAAAAGACCGCATCGCGGCTGTAGATGCTCTAGGTGAAAGTAACAGTGCGTTTGCCAATCGTCCTCTGTGTGAAACCACTCGCAGCAGATGTAGCACCATTCGAGGAAGTTCCGCTGCGCTCGTCGATGGGCTCGCTTTCCGTTCTTGTACAGCTGCTGGTAGGGTGCCGCATTCATCGACTTCCTCCGACACTGTAAAATATGTTTGGAACGCTCCTGTTTGTGAAAGCTGTTAAGGTTAGCTCAATTCAAATACTGGAGACAGACGCGACGAACCTAGCCATCTCCATCGAGCACACTGCGCACTTCCCATCAATTGGCTCCTCGCCCGGGTAGTAAGCAACCTTGTCGTCCTTCGAGGTACAAATGGTCACCAAATCACGTAAACATTGCTTCCCTGTTTCGCTGTGTAGCGAGGTTCTGGTGAAAAGCTTCTCCCGCAAGCGCTCTCTTTCGGGCATATATTTGCAGTAAATGTCCAACAAGCATGTGGGGTCCCTTTCCTCAAACTCGCCCCCAGTAATGTATTCATCGTAGCATGATTTCCACCAGTTCTTGATGAATTCCGCCTTTTTGTGACGGCGCATCTTGGCGGCTCTGGTGTATAATTTTGCTCTTTCACTCACGAGATCTTGGTTTTGATGCGGCTTTGATGATATTCGTTGAGTGAGTTCACTGATTTGCTGGTAGATGGCTTTCATTTCAACGGTATTCTCGGTTTCGGCAACGGCAGCAGCATCAAGTTTTTGGGGTACATTAGGATCCCGGTGATGAGACATACTCTCTTCCATGTCTAGGCAATCGTAATCCGGCTCTATATTCCAGAAACAAGATTGTATATCCACTCGTTTGAACCTCGACTGATATTTCAGGAAGGTATCTGGATTCTGATGGTCGAGTGCTTGACTGCGTGTTGCTTCGGATGCTTTGGCTATAAGGGCATCAGTAGGCTGTCCGTTATAGCACCTGAAGAGCGGTTAAAACGAATTAAGACAAACTCACGGTCGATCGTGTTTGCAACTCCACCCCTGATCCCATGGATGCGCAGCACGTCCTGGAAACATGCTCGCTGAGCAAGTGATGTGAAGTGATGCCGTATTGAAGAAAATGTTAATGCGGAGGTATCATGTGGCCCGTCAGAGCGCACCATACGGAAAATTGGGAGGTCCAGCGCTTCCTGCCTCCACAGAAGCGTCCAGGACTCCCGCCCTTTTGGAGGTGTTTTAGCCAGCAATTCGTCAACAGTGTCGATCCCCTTAAATGCCCCATCGGCAATTCCGGAAACTATGGCATAGAAAGCGAAATTTCTGCCAAGTATCTCCTGCTCTGGGATCCAATTCTTTGGGCTATGCACTGGTTATTACATGCCAAAGAATAAAAGATATGAATAATACTTACATGTTCGCTTCGTCGTCGTAACGATGGCCTTTCAAAAACTTTGGGTCAATAGAAACCCAGTATTTGATGTTCATATCCGAGTCCCATTTCATGTTAAACGTAAGATGCTTGATACACTGTAAGTTCCCTCCTGTAAAATGGTATATATTGGAAAGCATACCCTGTAGTAGAGGCACTCATTTGTCCCGCGGTAGGAGCTCGATTCGACAACAGCGCCTGCTCTTGACCCCGAATTCGAAAACAGACAAAGGGCAAACGCGTCTTGAAACCTAGCCCGTTCGTGGATGTAGTCATGGTCGTCCTTTTCAAAAAGGTGTCTAAGAAGGATGTCTAAGTCCTTCCTTGTAACAGGGAATTTTTCTCGATGCTTCGTTTGTAGACCATACTTCGGGGTAAGCACGACCTTGATGTGCTGGAGCACACGTTAGCCTAATATTGAACACGGAATTGAAAAAGGTTTAGCGCACATTATACACGTCATCAGTAACATGATCCGGAAGTTCTCTCTGTGTTTCTCTCTCCCACTCGGCGATGAAGCAGGAAAGGTTGTGACACACGGTAGACTGAGACGGTAAGTCCCTTTTTCGAAGGACTATGAAGCTCTCGCAGAACAACTTCAATATCTGGTTCGGAGGGTCAGGCTCCTGTTTGGCGAAGTATCTGGTTTCAGGTTCGTTTCGCGAAAGCATCCATCTGGTGGGGATTAGTGAATCTCTCTTGCAAACACTGTAGGGGGAATAAGTATAGTACATCTTCCAATTGTTCACTGCTCGGTCATATCGTTCGTCAGTGACTGGAGCTCGTTTCTTTCGGCATATTTCGTTCGGCTTGCTCGTTTGCTCTTCCTGGTATTCTAAAGTAAAGCCTCGTTCTTCCCCAATCTTACTAAGCTCTTCGATTTGTCTCTTTCTCTCTTCAGTCAAGAACATTTTATCACGTGATGAAGAGGTCAAATGAAACCGAGAGCAATGATTGGACAATTTATAAAGTCACGTGTAAAGCTCGATAAGCAAGGCCGTTTCGCTTCGGACAACAAACTCGATGACTGGAGGTTCAAGATGAATTGGATAGAAGTAGATGGTGATGGTCAGGAGGTGAAAGAGCCCTGGAGTATTTATGTCTACGAAAAAAGCCCTCCCCAGCTCACCTCACCCGCTCTCTCACCCTCCCTCACCCAGTCACTCACCCCACTCACCTTGGCTTTGAAAAGCATCACCCAGCTCACCCGCACTCACCCTCTGGTTTAGCGTCAATCACCCACAAAGCGGCAAGGGCTGAAGGGCTCAGGTATTGTTTGACCGCGTTCACAAGCATGGCTTAAGTACGGCTGAGCGGACGGGAAGCCCTGTTCTCCACACCCTGTGGTCGTATGTGCTCGTTTCAACTTCGGATAGGTAAATAAAGCCTCCAGGTTTGCTTCGTTTCCGTGTATGACACGATTCTTTCTGGAACACCTCGAGCTCATCGGCCTGCAAATCTTGGTAGGCCGTGACATGCCCTATGCCCTATAATGGGAGCTTCCCCTGAAAAGTCTGATATAGCCCTTTCTTAATATCCAAACCTGCTTGATTTGAATTAAAAACAGAAGAACAAAGAAGATAGGTAACAATAAAACTTGCATATATATCTTGACTAGGTGGAAGGCCCCGTTATCTCGTAAATTAGCACCAGCTCGTTCGATTGACTGTCTACATTCCATCAATTCAAAGCTAGCCAGGTCATACCGAATATAGGTGGCTCGTTTGTGCGGATAGCTCAGTGACAATCATATTTATAAATAATAGATCAGTTACTGTATCACCAGCATCTTGATGCAGGTTATTAAGTAAATAGAAGTCATGGAGAAATAGAAAGACTTATAGCCTATCTTTACGAGACGCCTCCTCCAGCCAAGGTACCTTTAGCTGGTGCCACGAGATTGCCTGCTACCAAAGAAACCGGATTATGCCTGGAGCAATTTATACTTAGTGTCGGCCTACCTCGAGGAGCCTAGAATACTCACATCATGAATCATTATACCAACTCTAACCTATCGCTGACAGCGTGGGAGCAGTCGACGAAGGACACTGGACTCGTAAAGCCACCGGGAATGTGTGGTCAGGGCCCGCGGCCGTCGACATCATCATTACGAACCTTCACGCATTCTCGATCCATAGTCTTTACCGTGCCCAGCTCCCCTTTACTGTCGAGAAGCTGCTGTGTTGGATGATGAGGGTTGTCGAAGACCGCAAGCTGCGGTCACCGCGACCCAGTTTTCGATTCGGGTAGTGCTGGCGCACGAGCTAGATCAGGAGCAATTCCGTGAGGTTTATGAGGAGATGACTTACGGGTTCTGGGACGAGGGGAAGAGTATGGAGTAGAGTGGCTGAAGTATGTGGCCTTTTTCGGAGCGAAAGGGCTTTAATAGCAAGAGTGAAGACGTTTTGGGGTTGTTCTTGGGTTTGTTCACTGAGAGACTGAGATTACTGGAGCTGGGTGGACTATTTGCTGAATGATGTATTGCTACTACTTCTTTCCATAGCTATTGCTGACGATAAGAAATCTAGTCTGGACTTCTAATATGGTGAACTACATAAGTAAACTTCTAACACCAGCGATGATCACAAATAGAAGAGGATACCGCGTATCTATGGAGTAAATAGCTTATAAACACGCCCCTTCCCCGGCAAAGTAATACAGTCACTTAGTGATATCTAAGACTACTTCATTGCATCAAAACGAAATCAGGAGAGAAGGCAAGTGATATTCAATTTCCCTGGTGTATCTCCACTGGCAACCTGCTACTACTGACAAATGACTACGATAGAAGGTCTCGCACATGCTGTAGCTCTCTGACCTATACAACAACCAACTTCAGTTGCCACCACCTCTCAACCAAGAGTCTTGTTAATCCACGCGAACATGGTTCTCGTAAACTCCTGCGCAGCACCAATGTGACAATGGTAACCAGCAACCCCTTTGAACTCATGCAGAGTACCCCTGTCGCCCAGCGCATCCTTAACCTTTTGCGGTTGCCCTTTGAAAAAGTTCTCGAATTCCGCGTCACCAACGAACACGGGGATCTTGATGTTGTCAACGACGTGCTCTAGTCGGAATTCCTTGCTCATATCGAGAAACTCGGAGGGTGAGTGCGTATGGAACGACCATAAGCCCTGGTCCACGCCCCAAGCGGCAGACGTAGGGAGCTTGCCAGAGTCTCGCAGCGAATGAACCTTGTCGTCGAAGTCCGTGTAGTTACCCGCCTCGTAGATCTCAATGATCTCGGACGGAAATTGACGCGAAAACCCAGCATAGGCGTCCCAGACACCGCCGATGAGAACAGCTGCAGACAGACGGGGCTCAAAAGCCGCAGCGCGGGCCGCCAGAAAACCTCCAAAGGAGTTTCCGATCAGCACAAGCCGGTCCGTATCCACCGCTTGTGCCTTTTCGGCGAACACCCAGTCCACGATCGGAGTGACCACGTTCTCCCACTCCGGAATGAAACCCACATTCTGGTTTCGGCGCACAGTCGGTTGCCCCGGACCTTCGTAGGTGATGCAGTTCCATCCTCTAGCTAGAGCCGGCGCCACGAAATAGTAGTACGAGTCCTCCTGCGCCGCGTCGAATCCATTTCCGATCACCAATGTGGGCAATTTGCGGTGTTCACTCCCCGGTGCGCCGTACCATATTGCTTCGACGGTGAAATTGCCCTCTGGAGACGGGATCTGGACACGCTGACCGGGAATAGGCAGGTTGGCCAAGGCCTTGTCGAACGCTGCAGTCTGCTCGACCCATAGGGTGTTGATCAGCGGGTCGCTCCAGTTGTTGTGGTTGTAGAAGTCCGCTAGTCGGAAGTACTGGGATGCAGAGAACCAACTGTCTCGAACGTTGATCGGATCAAAAGCGTTTTCCGGGTCTTCGGCCTGGGCTTTGGTGGCGTTGGCGAGCTTGTAGAATTCTCTGCTGAAGTCGGCCATGTCTCCGGCTTTGATTTTGTTAGCAGCACCCAAAACAGGCCCGATATCTGCTCCACCCTCGGTGGCGCTGCCCAAGGCAATGAGAAATTGAAAGTTGAACTCGGAGCTTGTGCTCAGCTGCAACGTGGGAGGTTTCTCGGTGCTGTTGGCAGCGACCGCAGCTTGACCGTATACCACCGTCACCAAAAGAGGGCCGGTGTAGGCAGAGAATTTCATGATCGAGTATGAGAACAAGGAGTTTAAGGTGTTATTGCTGGCGAAATGGAAGTGTGTATCTTAAGTTGCCCTTCCATAGCGGTCATACCTTCTCTACTTATACTTCATCTCGTTGTTGGAGGTCAGTAACATCACCCAAGGTGCCCGCATAGAGCACCATGACACTATCGTGAACCGAGTGACTGTTTTGCGATAGGATGCGACAAATGGAGGCCTGATGCTTGGCGATGGCTGTGTCAATCCGCTAACCCAAATAAAGTATTTGTTTTGCGATGGGGCCATTCGATGTTGGAGCCTAACTTGACTCCAGTCAGTATATTACTCTCCACATCGTGGGAGACCTGTTCTGCAAGAACCCCGTCGCAACGTTATCGCTCCTATTGTCGCCGACTCTCGCCATGGTCAACCACGGGCGCTCTAATGGTTGTCTTACCTGCAAACGACGACGAGTGAAGTGTGACGAGGCGAGGCCCAACTGCCACTCTTGTCAGCGCCTTGGCCTTCATTGTGGGGGCTACAAGGCAAAACCGACCACGTTCAAGTTCAAAGACCAAAGCCACAAGTTTGGCACCGAGGTCGTCCCAAAGAAGGCCTGTCCTAGCCCACGACCCCTGGCTGAACCCGACACAAGCGTCCCGTTCTTTCTGCAGCATTATGCTGTCATGGGCCGTGACATGCAGTCAGCCAGTGGATTCTTCGAGCTGCTGGTCCCAGTCTACTCCTCTCAGCCACAGAAATCAGCCCTCTCGCTTGCGGTATCAGCCATAGCCTCGGAGGTGATATCTCTCTGGCGGCACGATAGCTTCGGAGCACCACAAAAGGCTTATCTCCAGGCCGTCAAGTGTCTTCGGAGTACAATCCAGGACCCCAGTGAAAGGGGCAAGCCAGCAACCGTGTTAGCTGTTTTATCGCTGCAATTTTATGAGAACCTTGCTGCTATATACGACCGTCGCCCAGCTTCGAGGGTCCATCACGACGGCGCTATCTCTTTGCTCCCGTTCGCGAAGTCGGACTTTACCAATCGGTTAGTCAGTGGATACCTTCGAAAGTATATTTTTCATAGCGAAATGTCCTCGGCCATTCGCCAAAACAGACCGTTGCAAAGCATTGTACGCTCGTCTTTCACTGAGAGCAACGATTCGACCACTGAGCCTGCCAACCCCAGTTTTTTGCTTGATTCCATAGGTGCGTCTGTCGCCGAGCTGCAGGCCAGTTATTTTCAGCGAGCAAATCACGACGACCCCATGCTTTCAAAACAGCACGACCACAGAGATTGGAGGACCGAGGCACAGCACATTGACGAACAGCTCCTCGCTTGGGCTCGAAGTGTCCCAGAATATTGGAGGCCTAGGAAACTCACAAGCGGCCAAGACATCGAACCGTTGATTCCCACCTATGAGTCTGTCTGCGAGGTGTACCCTTCCTGCCAAATTGGAACGATCTGGAATCTATGGCGCGTTCAACGCCTCTTACTCATCAAGATCATCCTCAGTTCCGACGAAATCTCGGCGAGGGATGAAGATTTCGTCAGTTGTAAACAGGCTCTACAAGAGCTAGTCGACTCGGTGTGCCACAGCGTGCCTTTTTACCTGGGAAACCAAGCCGGACCATTAAGTCTTGCAGACTTCGCCGATCCGGCTGTTTTTCTCCCTATTGATCTACTCCCTCCCGACGATGTGCTGGGATCGGGGAATGAAAGCAACTGGAATGAGCATAGGAGCCATATTATCGCCCAAGGACCGTGGCATATCTTGAGTCCGCTCAGCCGTGTAGTGACATTCTTCTTGGAGGACCACGGCCCTCTGATGAAGACTTTTCTTCGACCGGGGCAGTATGAGTGGATTCGTGAACAATTCTTGCGTGTTACCATTCTGCTTCGGATTCCATTGGTGGACACGGACAATGCGGATGAGGTATCGCACCAATTCAACTCGTCTGTTCAAGGATCGGTGGATACTAGGGTTGAGAATCTTGCGAGGAAGGTCAGAAAAAGTGCGGTGTTTATGAGTGGTCCGTAGGACTTGTTATGGCTACTAGACCCTGATAGATCTGCTTATGGGTATTTTCTGAAATAGTGTAATAATGATTGGCAGGGACATGTCTGAATGGGTCAACCCAGAAACATGGCTAGCCAGATACTTTTCTATCTATCCATCCCATGTGAAGACAACAGCAGTGATTGATGGTGTAAAAAAAAAAAAAAAAAAAAAAAAAAAAAAAACATACAACCGCATGTATATGTCGGTCCTCACTCAGCCCAGCGCCCACGGGTTTGCCGTTTTGACGCCAGCGCTCTGGCGGCTTTAGATGAAGCCTTTAGTCCTTGAATATTTTCCACCTAAGCTATCAGAAGTTGGATTTTGACATTAGTATGAAAAAATAGAAAGACTGGGAAGAAATGCCTTTAAAAACCATGGCGCTCATATTCTCCCCCTTTTCCACTTTTTATACTCCAGATTGCTTGTTCAAGATGCGTCAAGATCTAGCGGGGAGATTTACGTGTGTGGTTAACCTCGATGACCACGATAATAAGAAGATAAAAGAAGCCGTTCTTCTAAAGACAGAGGCGGATTATCAGAAAATTCTCAAAATATTTAACCGGTAGAACATGTGAATTATTCTCCGTTCTCTAATTAACATTCACTAACTTAAACCATTACTTCCTATTTCTCTTTCTTCACTTGCAGTTGACTTCTAGACCCTCCCTCCTCTCCCAGGCGGAAGTGGAGCCATAGAAACGAGTAGGAAGGCATAAGATAGTTTATTCTGTTTTCTAGTTATTCTAGATATTATTATTAATATACAGATTTATTTATTTTCAGTTTGTCGTTATGATCTATGTCTGTTCTATTTCCATTCCATTCTATATGTTATTGCGATGGATATGATTCTTATGATGAGAAAGATTATATGTACAGCCGCCTCAAGGAACGGCTTACCAGAAGCCGACCCAATCTCTCTCTTTTGTCGCTTCCCTTCATCTCTCCCATCTCTTTGATTCCTCTTCTCTTCCCCTTTTCTGATGAAAGCAGGTCGACCCTTCATCACTTCCGCTCTGACTGACTGAGCGTTGTTGTGATGTGACCATAGTCGTATCATGTTAGACTGCTCAGGTGACTCAACAGTTGATTATGAAAGTCACTGTTAGTTCTATCTTCTTCCTCCTTTTCCCCATGTCTGTTATTTCTGTTGAGCATCTTCACTTCTAGATTGAGCGCCACTACAGCAGTTGCCCTTCCTGCGAGAAGTATGGGATGTTGTCGAACGGATGATGCCGGTTACAAGTAGCCGCGTGGAATATTAATCTACTACTAAGTCCATCTCAGCTGCTTAGTTCTACTGTAAGTAGATACTAGGCTCAGTAACCAATCCATATTCATATTCTCTTATCAGAGTATGAGTACACTAATAAACTATAATCCGGGGTGCAGAAGAGGCTGGGTCAGACCCGTATAAACCTGAGGTATTGACAGACAATTTTCGTTGGCCAGTCGAGCCTCTCCACAGGGAGATTCTGCCGAATCGCTGTCGGGGCCTTTCCTCCCTTAGAGCCCTCAAATTGTACACTAATATTGCCAATATCTCCCTCTTGACTTTTCCCGGACGGTCCTCCCCAAAGCCTCCTATAGGGAAACGCCGGAATCCCTAGGGCATGTCCTTGATGTCATCAATAGTACAATGAACAGGAAAGTCGAGGCCACGATCACCCATAATCAAGGCTATGCCGGAGAGAGAGGCGGTGACACAGTCGGTTTTGTTGTAAGGACTTGCGCTGCCCTCGAAGAGCGTCCTGCACCGTCCTAGCAAGAAATAATGTCTTGCACGACTCATCGGACAGGTTGTATTGGCTTTTTCGGCTGCGTAGTGGCAGCAGTTGGAGGCAGATCGTTTGCACTCCCAGAACCAGGCGGACCAGGGCTCGCCACAGTCTTTCGTTGGATTAAGGTCGACCGCTGCGGCAGGGCAAGCAAGTAAGGCAAGAGCAGAGACAGCAAGCGAGATTTTCATAATGAAGCAGATTCTGTTTTAGTAACGAAGGACATTTACCACGGGGAGGAGGTGTTCTTTATAAAGTATTCTCGCATAAATGCGGAGAGTTCTGTTATAACACGCAACACCTGTTTATACCGAATCTGGCAAGCATACGCTGTAGGTGGCTTACATCCGTATGCCTTTGCACCTTGTCTGACCAGTGGTTGCTGTGAACCGCTCGTATAGTAATCTCGCTTTGTTTATCCATATATGTACGATACTGCTCCGCTTGGCTTTGAGGATATAACCTTTAATCTTGGCTACGGCGCGACATCGAAAAGGCCCGAGGACGGTATCTGTAGCCGAGCTCCTCCCCGCTCGTCCTTCCGCTGTCCGCATCGTAAGATCCCTGAGGAGGTCATTCATATCGTGGCCCACAACCCGGTGAGTATATCGCGTGGGTGGACTTCCGGTTGTGGAGACTAATAGATACGCTATGCCCAAAGCCTAGTGGATCATGATTCACGGCCCGCAAATCTAGGCTTTAGTTCCTCAAATGAACAGAACCATTCCCAGTGCAGTGTTTAAATCGAACCCTAATCTAGCCAATTTCTTCCATGTTGCAAAAGGATAAAGAACAGCCGTGTGAGACAACAGGTAAGCACTAAGGCAGCCGAAGAAGACAGACGGGACTTTTGGCATGCACGTAAGATTGGTAACTTCAGTATCACCCAGGAAGATAGCCAAGGTTACATTAATTGTAGTTCCACTTCTCCACGCTTCATCTCGAGAGACACGTTTAGATTGACCACTATGTCGGTTTTAAAACGATCCTGTCAGCGTGTCGTCAAAGTCGAAAGGCTCCCTAACTCTAGGCCGCGCTGCCCTCCCGTACAAAGATATGTCGGGGCTTCGCCGGCAGCTCCGATGACGCCTCAATCATGTGGTGCGACATCAGCGATCGAGCTCCATGCGTCACAGCACCCCTGAGTCAATGTCCATGATTGGCGAAGCGACGGACGGAATGTCTGGCTATCAAGCGTGGCTTGGTCGACGCCCAGCTGTCATTGGGAAGTTATTCGTCGGTAACCCTCGGCAGGAATGCCAAAAACTCCCAGTTATTTCCATCGAAAGTGAAAGAGACAGCAGAAAAAGAAAGCAGAGCTACTAAATGTGTAAGCTATACATGATTAGGTAGCAAACAACACGGAAGACGGAAGACTCTGCTTCCGACCAAAAGTTGCAAGAGAAGACCACGTCAGCACAACAGACTTGACGAATGAATTTTTAAAGGGCTTCAGAACATTCAAATGAAGGACTAAAGACAGGGCGGCAAGGCACTACTAACTAAACCCAGCAATATAAAAGATAAGCAAAATCAAAAACATACAACAGCCGGGATTCGCTGGTGCCGCTTTAGATAATACCTGCGTCGCCTGGACGACCAGGGTAAATTCGTGCATCTGGTGATCAACTACGGTAATCACCCAACATTATTATATTACTGAATCTAGATTAGAGTTTTCTCTTAACGCGCTGGTTTTTCCTAGATATCAAAACAGTGCATTCCATACGCTGGGCGAGGGGCTGGATTTGCTGTACCCCGGCCTTAAGTTGAAGACCAAGGCAATCGCTCAGGCGAAGCCAAGTCTATGTCGCAGTTATATGTTGGGAACTTGAATCTTACTTGCATACAGTCTCAAAGTTGCCGTCACTATTCTGCACAAATCTATCAATTTACATCCTTCCTTCCCCCAGCTATCCACGGATATAGTTCAGGAATACATACGATACTCCGGGAAGTGGAATTGTTCACTTGAACTAGCGAAGGAGAAAGTGAACAACGATGGTACTTCCTATGTCGCGGATGGAACATTAGCTTTAATGTATGGGTTTTGGTGGAAAGATTTGGTTGCTCAATCTCCTATCCGCATTCTATGCCTCGATCAGAAGAAGTACATCGACCCCCAAAAGATCGAAGCCCAGGGAACCAACTAGTAATTCCAAGATCACTTACAAATATTCTTGATATGTGTGTGTGGGATTCGAACTAGCAAAAAGCAAGGTATCAGATAATCAGCAACTAGTACACCAAAATCTCCTCATCTTTTCCTCCCCCGTCCCTCCATCTTTTAAGCACCTTCTTCATATCCGCCGCGATATTCTGAGCATAGTCAGGCCCAGCGGCCCCGGCAGGCAAATCCGCTGGGTTTCCCCTCACCCATGCAACGGGTTCTTTAGCAACACCTGCGAATTTCTTCTTAAGCTCTTCAACCTGCTGAGTCTCATAGCCGCGACCAAAGATGACCGCGCGAGGAGGCCGGCTGTAATCGTGGGTTCCGATCTCATTGGGGCTCCGAGACTGAGGATCGCGACCTGCAAGCAGATGCGGGAGCTCAGCCTCTGCAGCCTCATATGACAGGATGAAGTGGATGACTGAATAGCATTGGCACCATACTTTGTTGAGTTCAGGAATGTAGATCAAGAACCTTCATATTCAGGCAGCATGTGCTGGGAGATTGATTTCCCCATCGCGGGTATTTTGCCACAGGCAACTACTGGCGTCGGCTGAGGGAATGAAGACATGTTGCGAGAGCTGTACGCTGTACGCTGTACGCTGCGAATGAAGGTATTTCGGAGCGTTGGAGATGGAGAATTATGGGGTAAGCCATTTATATTCCTCGTGTTCGGTCTTGATGATGAGTTGATTACGTTCGGGCCAGACGTGGCGACCCACCGATTTTTCGATTATTCAACAGTCCCGACGCCACGACCCCCATGAGTAAAGCAACCCGGTCACGTCCTTTTCGCGTTCTCAGATTATCCATGACAGCACTGCCTCAAAAGCAATCCACGATGGTCGAAGCAATGACTGACGCGCCCGCTCCTCGCAAAAGAGGCCGGCCACGAGCTGGGACGGACAATCAGCAAGGTCCCGAGGTGGGTACATCCCGAACAACTACAGAGCAAGTTGGAACTGACTCAAGGATTCCAGAGACGTCGAAAGCAGCTTCGCGTCGCGCAGCAAGTATATCGCAAGAGAAAAGATACCACGATCGCCAATCTGCAATCGCGCGTACAGGAATACGAGAAGGTCATCAAAGAGTTCAGCGAGTCGTTCCTTTCCTTTAGTGATCTTCTGTTAGAGGCTGGAGTTCTCCAAAATCAGCCTCGTGTCACAGCTGCTCTGCAAAAAATTACACAGCAATGCGTGTCGCTTGCCAAAAGTGGCTGCGACGAGGCTGAACAAGCACCTGCAGCCCCGGCGGACGTATCGCGATCGACGTCTCCCACGCTCAGCGATACACAAGATATAATCTCAAATCACAATCCGCTCATAACGCAACTTGATTCATGGCCAATGATCGGTGACGCTTTCCAGTCCTCGTCGGACCTCGCGGCTCAATGGCCTAGACTATCACAACTACCTCCCACGCCACCCTTCCAAGAACAAGCAATTCTACCGTTCGGAATAGTCTCGTCGTCTCCGACTATCCCCTTCTCACCCATCCCTAGTCCCACCTTGAATTTCCCGACCATAGTATCGGCCGACAGCCTCTTAGAGCAAGGGCGCTGGACGCTCTCACACCGTCTGGTCCGACAATGCTGCGAGACTGGTTACTACCTATTAACAAGATCATCTGCAGACGATCCAAAGGTCAAAGCAGTCTTCGGCAAACGATTGACCATCGACGAGCGCGACCGCTTCATCTTCGGATTCTTCGCCAACATGCACGACGAAATGGGAGACACGGTCGAGTTGAGTACAAAAGTTCTCAGTTCAAGGAGGAGCAGCTACTCTCCTGAACAACTCACCGCTTCCTCTCGAACGTGGCAAATTGTCAATGAATCGGGTGCTGATGAGTGGATGGATGCGAGTGGTGTGCAAAGGCTGCTACAGCAGCGAGGGATTCATATCCAGGATCCGAGCTCGCCCCTCTCCAATTCCCAGTTCAATTCGGCTCCGCAGCTCAACGCCGCGATCTTCACTAAATGTGAGTAGTGCCGAGATCAATGGTTCTTCGTGTCTTCTTCTCCATGCATCTACTGACCTTGTCGTAGATCTTGCCCTCGGCCCTATCTGTCTCGGTCGCGGACCAGCGTTCCGAAAGCGCGATGTTGAGAAAGCCATTCGCCTTGCAACTCTTGATGGATGATCCTCGGGTTTAACGCTGTGTGCGAAATACCATGAATTATGTATAATAACAATAATTGTCTTTCATAGATATAATCCCCGCTTACTTTGCATGATGCGACGATTACAAGCAGGAAATCCTTCCAGTGCATATGTTCCCTATGTCCACGAGATTTCGTTCAAAAAGCGCGCTTTGCATCCCGGTCCTTCAATTCGGCTGTCACTTTTGCGTCTAGGGGCTGGCCTTTGAATTCCAGTGCCGGACTCCAAAACCACCTATAGTTTCTATTTACCTTTTCTCTCTTTTTGGGTCACACAAATGCGCAGGCACATTTCTAGTCACGTCGACGCCAAATAGAGACTCTGTCATGGATCACCCCATTCTTATCTTTGCCCACAGTGTGCGTGCGCTCTGGCTGCCAGTACGCCACTCTCTCCAGACCCGCCTTGCTGGGCTCTCGCAACGGGTCCGCATCGACAAGACCCTTATCGTTGTACGAGATCTTCTCACCGGGGTGGCTCAGATGCTCCATGTAGGCCTCGGAGGGAGAGGCAAATGGAGGGCCGGGGGCCAAGGGGTCCTTATGACGAGGAGATTCCAGACAGATCAGATTGCCTGCAGGTGAGGAAGCAAGGAGCTCGGTGTGTCGGAGAGCCCATTTAGGACGGAGCTCTGGGTTCAGAGCACAGAAAAACTAGATGGTTGTTAGAAGGACAAGTCCAGAAGTGCAGAAGGAACCCCGGGTGGGTCGGAAATGGCACATCAAAATTCTAAAGACAGAGTGAAGCATCTTGCAGGTCCCTCTGTAGGACACAGAGTACAAGTGGAGAGACGGAATGGAGCCCAACAGCGGCACTGAGTATACATACCGTGTAATCATAAATGACATCGAATCCATTTCGAGAGACTCCAATTTCCTTCAACCAGGTATCATCAAAGAAATCCCCCTGGACGAACGTGACCTTCCCTTTCCCAACTTTCTCATCTCGCACGCGGTACCGGCTATGGTTCTCCTTCTCCTCCTTCTTGCACGCTTCGACAGCCGTCGCGCTGCACTCCAGGCCATAGGCATCATACCCAAAGCTCGCAAATAAGAGCACGTCGACTCCCCGTCCACAGCCCGGCACCAGGGCCTTCCGCCTCTCACCGTCCTGGGCGATGGGCCCGCCAATGGTGCCAGCTCGCTGGACCAGGGTGTCTTCTAGCGCGGGGTTGGGGAAGCCACGATCCCAGGGCAGATTATCACCTTTGTCCCAAAGGGAGGCCCAGCCCTCAACATACCTGTCGCCCTGATATTGGGCAAAATATGCTTGAACATTCTTGGGATCAATGTTGGTAGGAGTCGTCATGGCTATGGGGTGGCGATGGAGTCCGGGGAAGTTAAGAGGTGCTCGCTCTGGCGTGACAGTTGATAAACAGAGTAGAAAATTAGGATTAGTACACAGAGTGACCAGAAACTATTGACTGCACAGGGAAGTAAATGATACTGGGTGCACGGCGTCTGTTCTACTTATGCGTCTCTTCACCCATAATTGAGTGTCTTAACGCTGTGGGTAGAAATCACTGTCGATGGGTTAACCTCAAGCTCCGACCGCGAACCAATAGTCAGGTGCTGGCACTGCTGGGTCGAAGGTTAATCTGTCTTTACCTGTTTATTCATCATACCGAGACAGAGCTCCAAGGCTGTTGAGAAAAGTGGAGGTTTCTACTACAGTGGCATGGGATTGGCCCCGGCGGAAATCTTGGGCCCACCGTCGTCCAAGGATTACACTGCTCTCCATTTCTAGTCGCCATTCTTTCCCGACATTTTTTCCCTTGAAGGCTTAACTATCATTGGGGCTGACTACGGGAAAAAGATAAGGTTTCGACTAACTTTAATGCTGCGCCACCCGAAAATATATCTACAAAGGTCCGGGAGTAGTAGTTAGTGGCGGTAACAAATTAATAATCAAACCGACGGGTTAGTTAATTATAATAATAAGTTAACTTGAGATCGAGATCAGACAGAAATGCCCATGGAAAAAAATGAGTATGACCATTGAGAATAAGTGGGTTCAGTCGATCTTCATTAACGCACTGAATTGATTTCTAGTCCTTCAACCGTCGTAGCTCGCAATGAAGGTGATTGATTAGTCGGATCAACTGTCGATCCACGGGGCTAGGGATTATAGGGTTAGACCCGCCCAAATGGCGCAGGGGGCTCCAGCAAGCAAGTTAGTTAACTAGAGCTAGGAATGTATAGTAATCACTCCGAGCGGACATGCCTGATGATCCAAGAAAGACGTTGAACTGACTGTTAGGAAAATCTCAATACACGAGATGTTCACTAATCACCCCATCCGTCGAAAGATGTCCCATACTCTTTGTTCAGTACATTAATAAGGGATGAGACAGAGGGCTTCTTTGGGCTCCGGGCCTCGAGTCGGATTATTAACCAGAAGTTAAGTTATGATAATATATCTCATTACTTTATTGTCCTTATATCTCGTTATTGTTCTTATATCTTGTGCGTGATGTTGCTACTCTCCCATCGGCAACTCCAATCGTCTGATCTCCAGCATTTTTTCCCATCGAAGTTCTTCTGCTGTCACAGTCTGGCAATTTAGCGAATCCGAAGAATTACAACATGGAGGTCAATCGTGACCCCGAGAAAGCGATGTATCAGGCGAATTCGCTCAGAAAGCCTTCCGAACGATCTCCCTCCCCAATGGCGGACACTATCGTCAACTCCAGCGCGGAGCAGTCAGGCGACGAGTCCGGCCAAAAGACCGACTCCCGCGACATCTCACAATGGCCCATCACTCCAGATATACTACAAATACGACAACGTAACGAGACGAACGGTGGGAAATCGAAGAAACTGGGTGTGACATGGCGGAATCTCACAGTAAAGGGCGTCAGCAGTGATGCGCTTTACAACGAAAATGTTCTCTCTCAATTCAACCCATTCGGGAAGGGCAGTAAGAGCCCACCCCTGAAGACTATTATCGACAACTCTTTTGGATGTGTCAAACCCGGTGAGATGTTGCTTGTTCTTGGAAATCCAGGAGCCGGATGCACAACACTGCTTAGCGTTCTATCAAACCACAGAAATGGCTTCGCAGAGATTACTGGCGACGTCTCGTTCGGTTCCATGACCAGTCAAGAAGCCAAACAATATCGTGGTCAGATCATCATGAACAAAGAAGAGGAGATCTTCTTTCCAGCTCTTTCAGTTGGTGACACCATCGACTTCGCCACACGTTTGAAGGTGCCCTTCCACCTGCCACCGGACATCAATAACGAAGAGGAATACGCCCAGATATACAAAGAGTTTCTCTTGAAGTCTCTCGGTATCACACACACAAAAGATACCAAGGTCGGAGATGAGTTCATTCGTGGTGTTTCGGGTGGCGAGCGTAAGCGAGTGTCCATTCTCGAATGCCTTGCGACTAGAGGGAGCGTCTTCTCCTGGGATAACTCTACTCGTGGTCTTGACGCGAGCACTGCGCTAGACTGGACGAAAGCTATACGCGCCATGACAGATATTCTTGGTCTTACTACAATTGCCAGTCTATACCAAGCTGGTAATGGTATCTACGAGCAGTTCGACAAGATTCTGATTCTTGACAACGGCAAACAGATCTTTTATGGATCTCGAGATGAAGCTGTACCGTACATGGAGAATCTTGGCTTTCTATGCAACCCTGGAGCCAACAAGTCAGATTTTCTCACAAGCGTAACGGCGCCTGCTGTACGCACAATTGCCCCAGACTTTGAGGACCGGTTTCCTCGATCAACAGAGGAGCTGCTCGCTGCTTATAACAACTCGCCCATAAAGTCAAGGATGATGGCCGAGCTCGACTACCCCAATAGTCCTGAAGCTCAGCAGAATACAGAGGACATCAAGAAACAGGAGGCTCAAGACAAGCACAAGAACCTCCCAAAGAAAGCTACGGAGTCCGCAGGGTATTTCCATCAGGTGCAGACAGTTACCAGACGCCAATTTCAAATCCTCTGGGGCGACAAGCAAACTCTGTTCATCAAGCAAGCCACAACTATCGTTCAGGCGTTGATCGGTGGCTCACTGTTCTACAATGCCCCGGACAACACGGCGGGATTGTTTATCAAGGGAGGCTCACTCTTCTTCTCTCTACTCTATCCTACCTTTATCGCTCTTGCCGAGGTTACGGATTCGTTCGTTGGCCGACCCGTCCTAGCCAAACACCGAGACTTCGCTCTCCACCATCCATCCGCCTTTGTCTTCGCCCAGGTCATTACCGACATCCCGATCATGCTCTTCCAAATCTCGCACTTTGGAATTGTGCTGTACTTCATGACTGGATTCCAGTACACCGCCCAGGCTTTCTTCATCTTCTGGCTCATCAACTTGATCTCGGCCCTGGCTATGACACAGCTGTTCAGGTTCATCGGCGCCGCTTTCCCGAATTTCGACGCAGCAACTAAAGCTTCTGGATTCACCATCGTCGCTGCCTTCACATATGCAGGATATATGATTCCCAAGCCCGACATGCACCCTTGGTTCGTTTGGTTCTTCTGGATCAACCCCATGGCCTACGCGTTCGAAGCATTGCTCGCGAACGAGTTCCACGACCAGGTGATCCCTTGTGTGGGCCCATTCCTGGTTCCAAATGGCGAAGGATACAGCCCCGAAACAGGGGGCGGACAAGCATGTACCGGCGTCCGTGGTGCGCCCCCTGGAGCAACGAGCGTTACTGGTGACCAATACCTAGCTTCTATGTCCTTCAGCCACAGCAACCTTTGGCGCAACTTTGGCATTCTCTGCGCCTGGTACGTTTTCTTCGTGGCAATGACCGTTTTCTTCACTTCCAGGTGGAAGCAAATGGGCGAAGGTGGTCGCGGCCTCCTCATTCCCCGTGAGAAACAGAAGAAAGTACCTAAGGCCATGGTTGCGGATGAGGAATCCCAGGCTGTCGAGAAGCCACCCGAGAACTCCGGCTCCGATTCCGAGATGTCTGACGCAACCACCGACAAGCAGCTCGTCAAAAATACATCGGTCTTTACCTGGAAGAATCTGACTTACACCGTCAAGACGCCGCATGGCGATCGTCTTCTTCTCGACAACGTTCAAGGATTTGTCAAGCCCGGTACGCTCGGTGCTCTTATGGGATCTTCAGGTGTAAGTGCTCTAGCAATGCGATTGACGGATGGATATATGCTAACGTTTTCACTCAGGCTGGAAAGACCACTCTGCTCGACGTTCTAGCTCAACGCAAGACTGATGGTACCATTCATGGCTCCGTTCTAGTCGATGGTCGCCCGCTCCCTGTGTCCTTCCAACGATCTGCTGGCTACGTCGAACAGATGGATGTCCACGAGTCATTGTCCACGGTACGCGAGGCTTTGCAATTTTCTGCTCTTCTTCGTCAGGGCCGTGAAATTCCCCGCCAGGAGAAGCTCCGCTATGTGGACACGATCGTCAAGCTTCTACAGTTGGAAGATCTCGAGCACACCCTCATCGGTCGCCCTGGTGCTGGTCTTTCTGTCGAGCAGCGCAAGCGTAAGTCTGAATCCGTTGAACAGAGTCGAGACAGCCACTAACAATTTACCAGGTCTCACAATTGGTGTTGAGCTCGTAGCTAAGCCCAGTATTTTGATATTCCTTGACGAACCTACTTCTGGTCTCGATAGTCAAGCTGCACACAACACGGTACGCTTCTTGCGGAAGCTCGCGGAAGTCGGACAAGCTGTCCTCGTCACGATTCATCAGCCATCGGCCGATCTCTTTGCCCAATTCGACACCCTCCTCCTACTGGCGAAGGGTGGCAAAACCGTATACTTTGGCGATATCGGTCATCATGCAAGGACCGTCAAGAGATATTTCGCTGATCATGGCGCACCGTGTCCTCAAGAAGCCAATCCTGCTGAGCACATGATTGAAGTTGTATCAGGAAGTCTTTCTAAGGACAAGGACTGGAATCAAGTCTGGCTCAACTCGCCAGAACACGAGAAGATCACTCAAGAACTTGACGCTCTTGTCGCCGATGCTGCCGCCAAACCGCCTGGAACTGTCGACGATGGCCATCAATTTGCAGCGCCCATGTGGAAGCAGGTAAAGCTTGTCACGCACCGCATGAACATCTCCTTGTTCCGTAACACCGAGTACATCAACAACAAGCTCATCCTGCATATACTCCTGTCTCTTTACAACGGCTTTTCGTTCTGGTCGATTGGTAACAGCGTCAGCGATCTTCAACAACGCCTCTTCACGGTCTTCAGTTTCCTGTTTGTCGCCCCCGGTCTCATCTCCCAGCTTCAGCCCATTTTCATCGATCGTCGCAACGTGTATGAGACGCGCGAGAAGAAGAGTAAGACCTACCACTGGGTGCCATTCGTCACTGGCTTGATCGTTTCTGAGCTGCCCTACCTGGTCGTCTGCGGTGTGTTGTATTTTGTGTGTTGGTACTGGACTGCTGGATTGCCAAATGATACCAAGTGGGCAGGCAGCACATTCTTCGTCGCAGTAAGTTCTCTCTTCTTTGGTTGACTCCCCGCCCCAACTAACAAACCGTCTAGATGTTTTACGAGATGTTGTACACCGGTATTGGACAATCGATCGCCGCGTACGCTCCCAACGCAACCTTTGCATCTCTAGTCAACCCGCTGGTCATCACTACCCTCGTATCATTCTGCGGTGTCTTTGTTCCTTACTCCCAGATCACGGCATTCTGGAGATACTGGTAAGCCTCATACGACTATCAACGCCCACGAGATCAATGCTAACATCAAATTTTAGGATCTACTACCTCGATCCCTTCAACTACCTCTTCGGCGCCTTCCTCACCTTCACCACTTTCTCCGTCGATATCACTTGTGAACGGGGTGAGCTTGCAATCTTCAATCCTCCTGTGAACGAGACATGTGGAAACTATCTCTCCACCTATCAGCAAGGCATGGGACGTGGCACGAACCTTCTGAACCCAGACGCTACGGAGAACTGCGAGGTGTGCCGGTACACTACTGGACAAGACTACTTGAAGACACTCAACTTAAACGAAGAGTACTACGGCTGGAGGAATGCGGGGCTGGTTGTATTATGGGCTGGAGTGTTCTACGCCCTGGTGTTCTTGATGATGAAGTTGCGAACCAAGGCGACAAAGAGGGCGTCTGCGTAGACGAATGGTGTTTGTTGGAAGGGTGAAAGATTGCAAAGGTAGCTACTCGAAGAAGAGTAAAGACGGAGTGCGAAGTTGAACGCGTACGTGTTAGCTTCGGGTGAAGTTATAACTCTCCGCTTACTTGGATGGAGAGCATCGTTCCAGCTTTCCCACCCTCTCACTTCTTTAGATGAATTGAGATTCTTTCTCATTCCTGACAACCCGGGTTCTAGGGCTGAGATTTTTGATTCTATCGGAACTTGGCTCATTGGCGGAGTTGGAGAATACTGCTGTTGAGGCTGGGCTATGGCGCTTGTGTGAACTAAAGCAGAAGAATAGCGCTTTCCATTTGTAATAGGGTGTTTGGAAATATTATTTGTATTGCAATAAAACCTTATTTGAACGAGTTGGCTCCGATAAAAATTCATACACATCATATACGCAACTAGCACAATGGTTGCCTATACCCATCCTAACGCCCTTCTCACGAAGGCCAAAATATCTTGAAGAGACATCAAAGATGTCCTGTCTCGTCGAAAGCTCCTTATTTGCTTGGCTATCAATGGCCAATCCTGCTGTTCTGCCGTGTCTGCTGGAGTCTTCCCATCGTGGTCAGGGGTCAGTGCATTAGAACCAGCTTGCCAGAGTACCTCGACGATTTGCATATTCCCTTCTGCTGCCGCCAGATGCAGTGGAGTGCGACCAAACCTGTCCTCTTCCGTGACATCTGCCCCTTGTCTAAGAAGTAACTTGGTTATATCTGTGTCCTGAGCCGAGGCTGCCCAATGAAGTATCGAACAGTTACCCACCGTCGATCCCATAATATCGGCCTCGTTCTCCAGCAACAGCCGAACCACCTGCGCTTTTCTGCTGTTGACTGCCAGATGCACTGCCCTCACTCCACCTCGCGCAGCGATATTAGGGTCAAGGCCGGCATTTAGTAGTAGGAATGCCACATGATATTGGCCTGTTTGAGAGGCGCAGTGTAGAGCGGTATACCCATGACTGTTCTGTACCGCAAGATCAAAATTTTTGGAGAGCAGCGACTTGATAATATCAATCCATCCATTTGCGGCGGCTATATGGAGCATCGTATCACCTTCATCGTCCTGAATGGGAACCCAGTATTTGGGTTTGTAGAGGCGGTCCATACCAGGGATGGCTCGAGCCAGGTGGATTAAGTCCCGCGGGCCTAAGAGCCGGGCTATTAGAAGAAGAACCTCTGCTGGCAGTGAAGGAATGTTCATTTGCATTGTGGAATATGCTGTTTGATTTTATGTCACTATAGAGAAGAGTTTGGTCGGCTCTTATACAGCTGGAAGGGGTCGCACCCTACTCTACCCCGAATTGGGGAATGGCCCCTTGGCGGACCCACACCCGCTCGTTCATGATGGAGCATAGATATACATCGGTACGCTCCGAGCTGGATGTTATCCTTCTGGGACTGTGACATGGCGACGATTTTAACTGGGAAGAATGTAAACATGACTGATAGAGACACCGACATCGGACACTCAGGTATATCAAGTGGCTACACCAGCTATATTAACAACCACAATCTTTCGACTTCCGTAGTTGTCTCCATGTCTATGCCAAACTTCCAGGATAGGATATCGATGCGTTCCATCGAATCACGCCTGTGTCAGCTGCTGTTACTTACTTCAAACAAGGTCCCGGATCGACGCATCGCGGGTCTACCAGCTACATAGTTCCCGGGTTCCCAATGCGGGCATTTAGGCGGCGCTATATTAGCGTGATACACTAAATATGATCGGCCCATTCGACAGAGTCCTACAAGAACATGGATAGACTCGACTTCTCTGATCGGAACTTCTAGAAACCCTAGAAGCTCCATTACCAAGTCTACTTGGCATGCAACACATCTCAGTTTCTTGCGTGGAGTAGCCACTTTCATCGTAGAACCCACTGGTTGTGGAGCTCAGTATACTGCAGCAGAACAAACTTCGTTCTAGTGGATACTTTGCGTATAAAGAGGCTTCTCTTCCTTGAGGTCACGGTGCATCGACAGCCCATTCCCATCCTCAATCCAGCTACCATGGCCTACCGAACTCCTGTCTACACAACCGCCGCTGCCCTGCCCCTTCCGCAATATTCTCAGGCCGTGAAATACAATGGCCTAGCTTACTGCAGTGGCTCACTGGGCATTGATCCGAAGACTGATGAGCTTGTTCTGGGGACCGTGACTGACCGCACGCGTATGGCTCTTCGGAACCTTGAGGCCATCCTTCTCGCGGCCGGGAGTGGCATGGATCGTGTAATCAAGGCCATTGTCTTCTTCTTCGACATGGGTGATTTCAACGCAATGAACGAGGCCTGGGATCATTTTTTCCCCCGAAGACCCTAAGCCGGTGAGTTGAGATGGTACTTAGCGGGGTACTCGAGTGAGCGACCTCGACAAAGGGTGACGCTGACGGCTCTCAGTGTCGAACATGCGTTGCGGTTCGTCAGCTGCCGCTTGGGACTGATGTTGAGATTGAAATGATTGCAAGTTACGATTAAGTATGGGGATTGTGCGTTCAACTTTCGAATATATGGCCAGAGAACGAGACCTTTTTCAAGACCGGACAAAGATAGCAATGTATTCAACTTAAGACTTCGTAACTACATACATTTCTTTCCTCCATACTTGAGTGGCATTGCAACTTTTCGATTGATAACTGCCGCATTGGACGACACAACGGGATATGTTCCTTGAAAGAAACTAGATCGATCCTCAGTATATTGGATAAAATGGCTAAGAAGCCCAAAAGTCAGTCAGAATGAATGTTAGTATGACAACAGATATTGATTCCATCTCATCATCTGCTTTCAAGACACTTAACCTGAACACACAGAATTGTACGTGCACCGGATCGTCGTTCCCACGGACTTATTAAGCTAGGAAACAAGAGGAAGTACATAACTTCCATCTAACCACCGTAAGACTCAGTATAGGATTGCAGCTACCATTAGGATTTTACGTAGCAATGGACATGCATCGTGAACTTGTCACCGGACTAAGTCTTGATTTCATTTTGGCCAATAACCCACAACAAGAAAGGGGAAATATAATAGATTGCATTCTATGAAGCAAACCATTCCAGGACAAGTCCAGTGCGTGGCATTAGAGCTTTGTGTGACCAACCAGCGTCGCAACAGTTCGGAAGACATCCTATGGCCCTACCATTCTCATTTCCGCATTCACCCACTCGTCCAACAAGATGGAGGGATTTTTTAAATGGTGACCAACCGTTCCTTGTAGAGAGTGGAGATAAAGTGCCTTGCTTTTCTTTTCTTTTCTGTTCTTCATTAGCCCCTAATTGACCCGTTGTTGTCTCGTCGCAATATAAAGAAGCCCAACTATCGGGCCGCCGGTGTGTCCTGTAACACTCATCAACCCAATTCACTTGCACACATCTGTGATAATAATCTCAAGCATTGAAACTGGTAACAATCCCTACCTTCGAGGTGTCGTTGAAACTCCGAGAATTACTGGCTTCGTGCCCGACATGGGAGCTTGGAAAGTTAAAAGCCAAACACAAAGGCGACAGATACTAAGGTGAAAACCCAATTACCAGACCACTGATACCGCCGATAGAAAATTATAGGAATAACCTGAACAATTACACGAGCATCTTGATCCCAGGGAGCGTTCTTCAGAATATTGCTAGCATTGCCCAGGCAACGAGTTTTGGTCATGTTTTCTAATGAGGTAAGCCGCCCTTTATATCGAGAGCTCTTACAGAAGGAGGCGGGTTTACCTCCTTCTGTGGTGGAATTCGACTACGACAATGTAGTGGTCACTAGCTCCATGTCCAAGGTGTATGCGCTAGCTGGGATTCGTATCGGCTGGGTGGCATCAAAGAACAAGGAAATCATGGATGCTTTGGCGTCTTCCCGGGTTTACACCACCATCAGCGTGTCTCAAGTATGACCAAATTGCCAACTATGCATTGTGCGACACTATTCATATTACTCTCCAGAAACGAAACGTGAAATTTGGTAGCAATGATCTCACCCTGTTGGGTGAAATTGTTGACAGATACAGGTAAATACTCTCTCCTAGGTCAAGCCTAATGCAGGCCCGACTACCTTTATAGAACTGCGCATAACGGCATCCCTGTGGATGAAGAGAGTTCCGCAAGGACCTGGCCTTTCTTGTGCCGAGTCGAAGATGTTTTGGCAATGGTCAGGATTTTGCAGGATTCGTTCGCGTAGGCTGCATTCGTCACACCGAAGTACTAGACGTAGCTCTGGCTTTACTGAGTCCTTATCTCGACAGAACTTTCTCATACTGTGTAGTCATTTTTTGATAACCGGCTGGCAGAGTTAACCATGTGTCAATGATTTCTGTCGGCTCTTTCAATCTTATTGCCTGATTGCCAAGTGGAGATCTTTCTCTCGTAGCCAATTAAGCACCTGGCCACACATGCAGTGGAACAGTGACGCCTACTTCATAGAGGGGAAGATACATACAGTGGATCTTTTTATGTAACATTATCGCCAACAACAGAAAAAGCGTGGTAAGACACCGGCTATGACCGGGAACGACCCACAGAAGGGATGCGAGGGGCCCATCTGAGTACCCACTGACCATTACCAAAGGGGAAACTTGAAGCTACGACTGAAAGCTAAAAAGCTATATCAGCATGTTCCCTGTGCCCAGCCCGTGCCCATCGAATGATTCCCTTATAACTTTTAACCAGTGAAGACGCCAGGACTTGGAAAACTGGGGAAAAGACGGGGTATCGTGGTTAGCCTGGGGTAAACGTAAATCTAGGTCCACATACCCACGCACAGCCGGACAGTTGTTCTATTTATTTTTGTCCTTCCCCATATCTGGGGTTGAAGGTCAGCTTATGTCCACCCTAAACCGCCTGTCACCTTCAATCCCACAAGAAGGATCCGTCAATATGGAGAAGAAGGATACTCCCTCCCCAAGAAGACCCATGGCACATTCAGCAAAAGATGCCGGGGGTCTCAACCCGGACGAAATATCACGCGTCGACGCATCCTACGATCATGCAATCGGAACTGTCAGTGACCTGGAGAAACACAAGACTGTCGAAGGAGAAGCGAAATTCCGTCGCCTTGGCTGGAAGCGAATGGCCGTTATTCTCCTCGTCGAGGCCATAGGATTGGGGACATTCAGCCTTCCCAGCGCATTTGCAACGCTTGGCCTCGTTGCGGGCGTTATCTGCTGCGTTGGCCTTGGGTTTGTGGTCATATACACAGGATATCTCGTCGGAATGGTTAAAGTCCGCTACCCTGAAATCAATCATTATGGAGACATCGGCGGCCTTGTCATGGGCCGACCTGGACAAGAGCTGGTAGGCATCTTGTACGTGCTTCAGCTTATTTTAATGACGGCATCGTTTTGCCTTACGGGCACGATTGCATTCAATACCCTGTCCGACGAAGGTACCTGTGGCCTAGTTTTCGGTGTCGTGTCGGCTATACTGCTGTTTCTCCTTGCAATTGCTCCATCTTTCGCCGAAGCCGCCATCTTAGGTTACATCGATCTCGCGTCTGTGACGATCACCATTGGAATTGTCATCATAGGTTCCGGAATTGAAGCAACAAACTCCCCTGGCGGAGTCGCCGGACAGAATTGGTCCGCATGGCCAGCGCCAGATGCTACGTTCAAGGACGGAATGGTCGCAATCTGCAACATCATGTTCGCCTACAGTTTCAGCATGTTCATCACACCCTTCATGTCTGAGATGCACACTCCAGAGGACTTTATGAAGTCGGTCTGGACCTTGGGAATTATCGAAATGGTTGTGTATACCCTCATCGGCTCACTTATCTACGTTTTCGTCGGCGCCGATGTCCAGAGTCCTTCCCTCCTCTCCCTAACAGGGGTCCTTCCCAAGGTGGCATTCGGTGTCGCTCTGCCACTTATTTTCATCTCCGGAGCTATCGGAAATACCGTCACTGCACGATATGTCCATCTCCGCATGTACAAGGATTCTATTGTTCGCTTCATCAATACCCCAAAAGGTTGGATTACGTGGATTATCACTCTCGCGATCATCACCATCGTGGCCTGGATCCTAGCCGAAGCTATCCCATTCTTTGACGACCTTTTGGCACTGAGTTCTGCCCTTCTCATCTCTGGGTTTGTCCTTTACTTCCCGCCTGTCATGTGGTTCAAACTTCTTCGCGAGGGTAAATGGTATGCTACACACAACCTGCTCCATGCGGTTTCCTGCATCTTGGTTTTCCTAATGGGTATGTTGGTTCTCGGTGGAGGAACGTACGCCAGCGTTCAGGATATTGTGAGTCTTCCTTCTTTCCTAATCCCACAGCTCTAAGGATGAGATACTGATAGGCTCACAGAGGCATCATTACGACATTGGGGCTGTCCGAACCCCTTTCTCATGTTAGACTCTTCGACTGGCTGGCTCTAGAGGTGTTTCTGCATTGTTGTATTTAAATGATCTCATGAAATTGCTATCCATATTTCGTTAGCGACTGCATTGTATTATCGGCTGAAGTTATTTTCTACATTTTCAATGATAGCCCTGATGCTCAAATTCTGCTTCGTGCAGTTCCCACCCACCCCTGCGCAATTACGCAATTTACAATCCTTCAGTAAAAAGGAAGAAGGACGACTTCATTCATATGAACAGTAAAAAGAAAAAAAAACATACAACAGCCGGGATTCGCTGGTGGTCACCCACCCAACTACTAACCGGCCGGCGTGTGGCTTAAGTACGGCTGAGCGGACGGGAAGCCCTGTTCTCCACACCCTGTGGTCGTATGTACTTGATTCCATTTAAATTTAATACCTATAGTTCAGAGTATGGGTATTAGCATTCATCTTAAGGTTAACCCAGTATCAGCACTCTAGGCATGGTGGAAACCGGTTGAAGTATGTGCGATGAAGGTTATCAGGCGAGTAAGAGAACAAGCTGTTGCGCGTTGCTCACACCTGCTTTCGGTTGTTACATGGAGTCAGTTATGTAGGCGTTCAAATGCCAGAAGCATCCCCACAGACATTTTGTCCTTCTTGTACTCCTTGGCCCTCCTTAGTCTCCGCACCTGGTTGAACGGTTGAATTCAATCATTTGAGCATCTACGGCAGCCTATCTACGCCCCGTGATCTACACAGACCGACATTGTAGACTAAATATAGACCGAAGGGAGAATCTAATTAAGCCTTTAAACTCCTTCTGAAAATCGGCCAGAACGAATATAAATTTGTACAGACTGTAAAGTAACGATACGCGATGCAAGAACCCCCCCCCCCCCCCCCCCCACCCCCCTAATAGACCCATCTCTCAATCACCAACTGGAAATAAATAAGTGACTATTAGCTCAGCTAAGATTGAATAACTATCCACAAAGCATCGCCTCCTGGCATCCATCGCCCATTCTTTCAAACGCGCCCAATTCCACAGTTCGAAGGAACATAACCCAGAGCGTCAGTTGCCGCCGCGGCCGGCGTAATGGTCAGCCCATCGAGGTCACCAAAGAAGTCCGTATTGGAGCTATCAAAGGCACTAGAGTTACTGTAGCCATTGGGTTGGCATGAACGGCCAAAAGCTGCCTCGCACGAAGCGGCGTTGTCGTCACTGGCGCTAAAGAGCTGATTCTCGGGCTCAGCTGGGGCGATGTCGGCAACATCCTCAAAGTAGCACCCTTCGAACACACCGCAAGGCGGAGTCCAGCATAGATACCCGAATATAGCTACTTGTAATATCACTTACTATCAGAAATAACACTCCACAAACACTATTCTGGCTACAGACACACCCCGACCAAGACGGCAAGGGTTCGAACGCGTGAGGTTGCAGGGTAGGCCTGATCGCCTGTGTGCGTGGTTGAGGAACTTCCCGGGCTCATGGCTATTGCGCCTTAATGACTGTACTAAAAAGGATTAATCCCGTTTAGCGGAAAGCCATTCTAGTGCATATATGCGTGTACAAGGGGGCGTTCCGGTAGAGGGCTTCTATAAAAACCCCCAAAGAACTGAACAAGCAGGCACAGATGTTATACCTGGTTGTGGTTAACAGCCAGATTAACAGTCCTACTCTCACAACTTTTGGGTTTGCATTGTTTCTGATCACTCGGAAAATACTCGCTACATATGGACAAGATGAAAACCCCAATGACTTCATCTCATATCAGATCCTTGCCGAATGAGATAATCTTGAGCTTTTTCTGCTCCCTGGCGTCATTTTCGGATGTTGTCTACTTTGCGGCCACCTGTCATCTTTACCGCCAAATATGGACTAACAATCCCTATATGATATATAAACACGTTGCACCGCGAACAATTCCATGCCGTAAGCATGCACGGGCATTACTCGCCGATCAAGGCGGTCCCTCCCTCGATACACGTCATCTGTCAGTCCAGGATGTTGTTCAAATCATCCGAAATGACCAAGTCGTGGAGCTGGCTGTTGTTCGTTTTAACAAACACCACCCCCGAACTGTCGAGTTCAGGAACCCATTTAAGCTACGCCGAAAGTATCTCACACCAACCGAGCGTCACCGATTGATCCGAGTTATGTATCACGTATGGCGATTGGCGCTAGTTGACTGGACCACTATGAAGCAGCGAGTCGACGCTTTGAAGCTAAAAGATTTGATATGCATCAAAGAAGTGTGCTCTTTCTTTGATTGGTGGTTTGAACAATATCTAAAGAAAGATCCCACTGTCAAAGGAAAGCTCAAAGCAGAACCGGACTTTTTCACGTACATGCCCCGCTTAATTAGAGAACGATCCCACCAGGTTATAAGCAAGATTTACAATAGCAACGCAGGGTGGCAAAAGATAAAATCAGAAAGCTCATTGTGTAGGATCGTTCTATGGGATGGGTTCCAGGCTCATTTCAAGAAAATAGTCCTTGGACCCGAGCTTCAACGAAGCTGGCGCCCCCTGCCTCATCCGGAGAATGACTGGTATGATACTTCTGATGACGGCCGGGCAGGGGGAGTCGAGCCGGGAAATGTTGTTAATTGCAATTGCTTATGTTGGCACCCATTACTTTGTTCTAAGGAAAACCATTGCATTGAAAGCATTGACTTTGAAAGTGATGACACTAACAGCGATGACACCGACAGCGATGACACCGACAGCGATGACACCGACAGCGATGATATCGACAGCGATGATATCGACAGCGATGATACCAACAGCGATAACATCGATAGTGATGACACCGACAGCGATGATACTGACAGCGATAACATCAACAGCGATGACATCGACAGCGATGGTATCGAAAGCGATGATTCCGGAATCTATGACTCTGAAAGTGATGAATATGATCGAGATGGCACGGAGGATTATTACTCTGAAGATGAATCAGTATGATGGTGGTGACTACTGCGAATGCTAAATAATATGATGTTCGTTCCTTTCAACCCAATTGTCTTTCGGCCCAATTGTTTCCAATGTTCAATTCAATCTTTCTTCCAGTTGAGGCTGGAAAGACAATACCTTATACAACTGACATGGCCGCACCATAGTAAAGGAGCAGAGCGCGAAATGTGCGCAGGCTTCGCCAAAGTCCCCACTGAGATCCAAATTGATGCTGATTTATTTACCAATGGTGTCTCTAGATTGTTTTGTAGGATGCTATAAGGTTCAAACTGCATAGACCTGCTCCCTAATATTATCCAGGCTTTCTCACTGAAAGCCCCGCAAAGTTGATAAACTTGCATTCTGATACTCTATATCATAGATAAGACCGTCTTCATCCCTCCTTTCCTTGAAATAATCTTTCAGCTTATTATCAGCCCTGGAATATCATCAAAAGAAGTGTTCGACCCGAACCAGGAAACAGGATTTGTAAAAGTCGATGAGTAATAATCAGTGTACTGAGATCTCGCATACTCAGACCGACGCTTAGTGCCGAATAAATTCTTATTGGTTGCAACATGGCAGTTATCTTGACTACTAGCAACTCGTAGCTGATATATGTCTATTGCTATACACTTCGAATCGCACGGCTGCACATCCCACCCTGGGGTCCGTTGGACCAGTAGGCGTTGAAAGTAGCCGGGTCCGTCTTCAAAGAGATAGTGACATTATGCCAGAAAGCCGGAGTGAGCTCTGTTATGGGCGGGAGACCAAGAGGTGGGCAAATTACTCACCCATAGGGCTCCCTTGCTGAGTAGCTTCTAGCCCACACCGGCTTTGTTTGAAATTCCTCGTTGTTCATGTCCGCGATGTATGTTTCAACACCAGATATGTCGAACGTGACGGGATCCACAGTAGGAACTCGGAAGGACTCGGAATGCCGGCATGGCAGAAAGAGGTGACATAGAGGGTGCGATATAAGAGACTGATACGGCTGTTTCAGCTTCTTGGTTTTGATGGTCCGAGTAACTAATTTCGAAACGATCCAGGTGAGTATGACCTGCTACATTTATCTTGGAGGCTTTAGAAATTAATCGTCCGAGACAAAATTAAATACCAAAGAACATGGCAGCAATCGTCGCCTGGTATCGTTCAACGATATCATCGAAGTAACTCGCCCGCGTCGCGGAAAGCATCAGGACTTCCCATGGGCATGTGGCCGATGTATACGCGCTCTCCACTGTGCTCGACCGACTAGAGCTCATCGACGAGCCACTAAATTGATGGTCTGGGTTCGAGTGATCCAAAAATTGATACATGCAAAAGCTCATGGTGTAGTATAGGTTAGGTGTTAAGTGAAATGACGCGCAAATTCGAGCCAGAACGCTTGACCGAATACCGCCCAAATTATGTGGTTTCCGTGGAAGGCTCAATCCACGGTGATCATGCTTTCGATATCATTTTAAATAGTTATGTTGTACTATCTTTAGTGTCCGACGGCATAGAGGCGTTTGATGGGGACATTTTGTGGTTGCCGAGTGTGTCATAGATTTGTGTTAAGTTAGCATTCACTATTTGTTGATACGAATTGCGTATTCCCAAGTTGTTATAATCTACTGATTCAATGCGATGGCATGATCTAACAAATCTCTGATAAATATGGTTAAATTAGGTGAAAGCTTCTTAATCGTCTTATACATGCTCTGTTTAAGACTTGGCGGGACATTACATTTGTGGCTATTAAAAGGTCTAGTAGGCTTGTAGCTTTGAGTGTTCTTATCAACATGTGAACCTTTAATTAGAAATGTTAGTTAACAACATTTATAATAGGAGGTATTCTGGGACTTGTTATTTGCATTATATTGGTTTCGAACAATCAGCATTCGACCCGGGAACATAAAAGTTGGTCGACATGAATGTCAGAAACGTGAGTAATCCGAATAGACGCTAGGGAGGCTTTATCCTCGAGCCTTGCAGCGGACTATGAATTGGCCGCTTTGAATGATACACGAGCTCTGTTGTGAATTGAAAAAGTGACATTCAAACCCGTCACGTCGGGATAGTCACAAACATCCATAACGGAGACGCAGAGTAAGGCCTCTCTGCCTTGGAGCCCGGGTTTACCTTTCTGAGTCTGTGCGCCAGAAGGGGTCCTTGTGAAGCGATAGTTTGTCGACAGACTTGGCTTGCGTTGTTCTGTTTGTTCAGTTAGAAATGATCGTCGTGTTCAAAATTTCTTCCGGACTCCGAGCAATGCCCAGGCATGAAATAACTATAATTACCCAGGATACTTCACAAATATCTTTAATACCCGTCACAGCTTCTTCATCTCCCATAAGCGCTAATTCTTTCATATTTGCTAGCGTGGCCTTTGAAAAAGTGGTGAGAAAAATTCACTACCGTGAATGTGGTTGCCTAATTACCTTGCAATTTGCACACTCGCAGATAAATTCAGGTCTGAGGTCAAGGTTTTGAAAGCATCAAGCTTCACCATAGAAGTACAAAAGAGCCAAAATATCAGTCGTCAAGTCCTCATTTTGATACAGTGCACCTCGGAGATCATAAAGAAGGAAAACTGGTTTGTGAAGACTAGTCAGCTTAGAAGATCCAATAGTTCAAGCAGAGTATGTAACAGGGATGCAGCAAAAGGCAATAGCGCTCGGAATACAGCATGGCAAGCTCATCGCTCCGACCTCCGGTGCCAAGAGAAATTTTTACTTCAGTCGAGGAGGACATTATGGTTCGGTCTTCGGTGATACTCGAATAACTACCCCTGGTTATATCCTACTTGCGCAACAATATTCTTGAAGTGCAAACGTCCTTCGTCGGGAAATAAAACCGAATGCAAATGTGTTACAATCTCCATAAGTGATTGAGCCAAAGCAAATAAAATCACAGCGTTGTGGGGCACTGTTCAACACGAAATAAATATGTAATTCGTATGCAACCCTACTACTTGAGACATTCAAGGTTTCAGTAACTCTAAAGTGCTTATAGCTATCTGCGTAGTACTGCTGGAAACGTCTCATCTTCAACGATCTAGTGGCTCAGAGAGATTTGAGAATAGCCATTGGGATCAGCGTTCTCTTTCAGTTCAACCTGTATTCCATTCTCGTCTTCTGCCCTAGTTCGCGGTAACAATGCTACTCCGGCGTACAAAAAGAGTATAGACACGACAAACTCCATGAAGTATTGGAGGATTGCCAGGGCGACGACACCCGATACCTCTGTCATGAATTCGCTGTCATTGGAAATATAAATGGGCGTCAATCCGTAGCCAACGCGCATTCCAAGAAAGGGGATGCTTATAAGACAAATAGTCGTGAGAGCCCGGTCTCCCTTGCATGACCAGCACTCGTACTCAATGATAGCGCAAATGCCAGTCTGGACAAAGAACAATACTGCGACCAATATTGATGCGGCTTGACTTAGGTCATCTCGCGATATACCCATGCCAACAATGTAGAGGATGAGAGCAGCATATTGCGTCAGATGTAGAAGGGTCCATGTCTTCTTGGGGATTGGGTCGCGGCGCAGAATCCTGTCTTTCCTGTCCTGATGTGAGTATGCAATACTAGCACCGAGTCGCTGCTTCCCGTCTGTACCTACATTGTCCAAATGAGCTCAAGCATTCCCAATAACAAGGCCACGACCCAACAGAACCAATCACGTTGGCAGCCATCTTGAGTCCGCTTTGATGGTTCTCATCGCCGGCGATCTGCAGCGCCGAGCCCACTATACGTGCAAGCAAAAGTAGGGTGAGGTAAAGCCAACCGAGCTGCTTTCCAGATCCATGGCAGTGACAGACTTTCGCAGAAACAAGTAACAATGGGAAGAAGCAGATGACCACGATAATAGCGAGCGCTGAATGTGGGGAAATGGCCATTTTGCTCCCCAAGTGTTGGCTGCTATTGCTGGGCGAGGGCGAGAGAGAGAGAGAGAGAGAGAGAGAAAGTAGTAAAAGAAAGATTTCAACGAATTACGAATTCCAGCACGTTTCACTTTACCTCGCTACTGCTGATCAGTGAGAAATGCACCCAGCCGAGATTGCGAAGTATAGGGGATTGAAATTCAGATCTCGGGACCGAGATTGATGACCCACCTCGCACGTACGGGAGTCTACTTGCTTTCACCGGTATCACTTTCCTCTGCTGCCACTTTTCGTTCGCTTGCCGGATGGTAGGTGCTATCCCTGGGCCTTCAGTAACTTATGACGTAACCTTGCCCCTTGCCACTTTTCTTAAAATCGTTAGATCCTGTAGATGGAACCGAACCAGACCACTATTTTGTGCGTCGTCTATTGCCGTTGGACGAGAGATCATGCCAATCATCTTTCTTCAACGTGCCAGAAAGCTAATGAATATTTATATCCTGCGCATAGCTCACATAACATTATTGAAACATCTATGCACCATGTGACGAACTCTGCCAGTCTATGACCGACGCGAACAGCGCCCCTAAATTAGCTTCCATGGCAGTCTGCATACTGGAACGCCATATATTGTCGTCCGTGAACTGATCTTCAAACGCAGGAGAATCACTCCGAGTACTTGAACCACTCCTCTCCTCTGTTCTCCCCTCGATGGCGTGGTTGTTAATTTGTTTCTTAATACATTAGCCGTAGAAACCATGATCGGTGGTATAAGTCTGACCTCATTTTGGACCCAAGTGTCTGATCGTTCCACGGGCAAGCTTTGGGCGTCCTTGGTAACATGGGACTCGGGCATAATAGGCTGGTCAGGCATTTGTCTCTCGTGGCTCTCGACATATTCCTAGCAATATACGGGAAATATGATAAATAGCCTCCCGGCTGTGTTCCTCCAGAACGCCGTTCGATGAGACCGAAATGTCCAGAGACAATTTCCATCAGCATGAGATTTTGGTGAGCCTCATGGTGGTCAGGATAATGAATAATCAAATAGAAAACGATAAAAAGCGTAGACAGGGGCATTATGGCCAAAACACTAGTACCAATAAATTAGTCCAACATTTCATCCTCGTTTCACGGAGGGCGCACAAGGTAGGCGTATACGGCTCAACATCAATGTGGCTGGTCGATTCAATGGCCCGGCTCCTTCTAGCAAAGTCTTCTCACTTTCGTGAATCTGTTTTTGGGTTGAAGCTAAGTGAAGCTTCAACCGTTCCGATGTTATAAGTAGAACGTAGGACAACGGGATCCCCTTTATCAATGTCCACCTCCCATTCCTGCAACCACCTGGTGCCGTTGGCGGCGCAGGAGATGAAAGCACCGACTTCGCCAGCGTAGTCGGCTCGTTCATAAACGGTAACGTAGTGTCCAGCTCGCCGGAGCGAGATCGCTGCCGCCGCTAGACCGCCGATCCCACCGCCAATGATGGCGACATCAAGAGTTCTCCAACCGTTTTGAGGATACATTTTAACGTATGCAATAAACTAGCTTTCTGGTGAGCAAATGATAGACCGCGTAGCTTCTTACAAGGCGCCGGTCCTAGCGGGCCCCTCTCGGGCTCCTCTCGGGCTTTGTACTTTACCATAGTTTGCGTTTCTTGGGCTAGTTTGCACCTTAGCTGGCTAGCTAGATCGTAAGATAAGGCGATTTAATTGATGTATCAGCTACTGCAGCTGACATAGCAGATTCTGCACAAAGAAAAGGCAAGTTAGGGATCATATTAAAAAGTTCTGCGTCTTCGATTAGAAACTACTTCACCAAGTCAGTCATCCCCTGCACATCGGAGTGGCAGGTATCTTCCCGTACTTGCCACTATAGTCAGCGAAAAGAAAAAGAGAAAGAAAAAGAAAAAAAGAAAAAAAAGGGAAGTGCATCTTATTCTCTAGCCGGGTTTTCGAAATCTCGCAAGGCTAACTAATTCGGCAATATCCCCATTGCCATACGGACGGGGCATGCAAGGGAGACCGGCACAAAAGGCCCCTAGCTAGAGCCACCGCCACTTACCCAAGCTAAGCTGCCATAGTGTAAAAGAAGGAATTACGCCAAGTAGTTCTCTGGGGATTTTCTTCTTGGACATCTTAAGCCGACCACTGCAACCGGCAATAAAACAAACGCGTAGCATGTGCCCACAGGAAGAGTATTCTTGTTACCATCCCTAGCTCATCCCTTTTCGCGTGTATGCCTTTTGTGTGGGTGGTAATGTAGGATGATAACTGGAAACGTATTCCGCAAAATTATACAGTTGCCATGTAATAGAATGTTGAATTCTTGCATCTAGCTTCCGGCCGATAGGTTTCGGCTTTCCTAACATTAAGGTCCGGCATTGGTCCATTTCGATGCACAGGGAAAAGGAAGACCGAATATAGATATTAACCGCAACTGCGCAGTCATGTCCCAAGAAACGCTAGTTGCATTTGCCTTCCCTAGCAACTCAACAGCCAAACACCGGCTAGTTGTGTTGGGATAATAATTCTCAGAAGCCACATAACCAGATATACCCATTGGCTAGCTCACCTGCGTGCGTGATGCACCCTTGCCTGATAATATTGATAAAAGGAATTACTATATCGCAGTTGCTCCTCATAGTAAGTAATATGTCATGTTATCCTAGTTATATTGGCCTAACTGTTCCCGGGTTGTGTGTGTTCTTTCTTAACTCCTGTCCAAGTGGAAAGAGAAAACTTTATACAACCTTATTGCTGACATGATTGCATCATGATTAAAGGCATGCGTCAGATGCCGACTTAGTGTGATTCCATCGTCTTCCCATCCGGGATTTAGAATCGTCAACCAAATACACGCAATCGATACCATAGCACCATCCAGCGCCATTAAAGCAGGCTCATTATTAGCCAAGCTGCTATGGAAATCACCATTCAGCTCGAAGACCCGGAAAAACGATCGAATAGATCTCGTAACGGTGGCGACAGGGATGCCTAGACATATTGATTCTCTATACACTTGTTGGACATTCTTGAGCCATAACTTACAAACCCGGAACCATTTCCACTTTCGACTGTTCCTGACCAAGCAAAGCTCGGGATTTGACGAGCGAAACGGCTCGAGTGCTCTGGTCTTCTTCGACCGCATGGTTGATCTAATTGCGGAATCGGCCCCGAATGCCATGTAAAGCCCCAGTGCCGCGACTCAAAATGCGGGACCCGCTATCAAGATATTAATACCCTAGGTGCGAAGCTCCTTGGTTTCAGTGGAAGACGTAATTGCACCTCCAGCAGACTGTATTTTCAAGGAGATAACACGAACAAGGTCTTGTAATCCCGCGGTTTAAGACGAAATATTTCTTCAACCCCGATATAGTGGAGATTCGGCCAAGACAGAGATAACACTGCTGCGCCAAAGAAGGTCGGTCCGATAGTGAGACAGACAAGGTAGCTATACAGATCGCAATAACATCAGTCTTGGGATTTCAATAATTTGCATGTCCTCTGCAAGAGATAGAGGAACAAACTGTAGAAAATTGGTAGATCTGAACGGATTACAATGCAGTTTTATTCGTCTTGCATATCCTGCACTTTAAGGACAAGCCGGCATATCATGTTCGCAGAGAAGGCCCACGTGCGGTACCAAAATAGAAAGACTGTCTGAATGAGCAGAAGAACCAAAAAGACGGCCAAAAGGAAGACATTTCCGCCGATCGAGGGCAGACATTCAACTTATTCAAGGTCGAGGGAGCATGTATGCAAAGTGCAGGAATCGGTTGTCGATGTGATGATTCCAGTTGATATGTTTGTAAAATAGTCGACCTCAGTATGCATCAGCGATAGCCTTCAAATCAATCGATTCTTCTGCTCGATTAGTGTCTAGAATTATATACTGGCAATTTCGTGAATCATCCGAACAGATTTCACTCTAACGTTGATTCGGTTAAGGACACAACTAAGACCGAAGTATGGGATTTCGCCATAAAAGACTTATCATTCACCAAAACACCGAAGACCGAGAACGTGCTCAATCTCCACTACCTATTATCTACCGCGTTACTCTTTCCCAAACTAGAGATATGTACATTACTTACGAACTAGCATATTTTAGATTAGAGCAAGATTAGAGCGAGATTGTCGAGTTACAAGAAACGGCTGCAGACAACAAGGTACACACTTACGAATCTGAGTTTATTACAGGCTTCTTCTTGGCCAAATCATAGTCAAGAGATTAGGTCTAATTAATCAAAGCATAGCAATAACAACGCGGGTTGACAGCCAGGCTAGGTACTGACCCGTCATAACCCCTCAGGTCTTACTTGTGGCAACTCATTCATCGAAGATGATTCTCCGTGACACCAGATTGCTCAGGTTGAAAGGAGATAAGGGAAAAGGCATGCTTAAACAAACCAAAATTCCAATCTTTAGAATAGAACACGCCGCATAAGTTTAGAATGTTGATATCGACCCGTTCGAGGAGTTCAGTTGCCAAGACATTTGTACATTTTTCCTGTTCACGTTGTGGGCCTTCTTTCTAGGCATTTTGAGCCTTCACTAGCTCCTCTTTGTGGGCCGCATTGATTTGTAAAATTAGTCCTGAAACTCTTGCGGTAGGATCAAGGAGCCAGTGTGCATGAGGAAGGTTCAGCTGACAATAAATCTCGGTAAACCTGAGATGTTCTGACTCTATGAGACATTTGCGTGAATCTTCGTCTTGGTGCTAATCTTCCAGTCCACCAGGACCGAATCGAACAAGGCGACTTCAAAAAGCTGGGGCTTTTGTGGCCCCATTTCGAATTATGCATCCAATTCGCACTTGCCCTCTCTCTTGGCTTCTTTCCCGGAGGGTGAAGTTCATGCATTTGTGTCACTGACAAACGCGTTTCACATCCTCCATGACCTCGATATGTGAGCAGCTTTATTCGTAGGCCCTGTATCGGAATCTTAAGAATCGAGGAATATAATCATAAATTTAATAAAAAACGTAATATGCATCGTGATAAAAGCCTCTGCTGATTAGAAAATGAAATAACAGAAAAATAAAGCAGCTGCAAGTGGATAAATATCTCCTTAGAAAAACTGTTGAATATAAACGCGGGTTTCTTCTCCAGATTATTAATCAATTTCCAAACCGCCCTCTTAAGTACATTCCTGATCGATTTATCCGCCCTATGGCCGAAATGCATCGCACAGCGAGAGAGGTATAGACAATCTTAAAACTCGTCGAACAGTTGATGGGCGACGCCAGCGTCGTTAACGTAGTATCGAAGAGTCAGGTCTCGGAGGCCCGTCATTCTGTCGCGGGCAAGCTTGCAGAAGTCTCCCCTTCCACAAGAGTATTCCCCCCCCCAAAAAAAAGACACACAGACGGACCGAGACAACCGCAAACCGAGGCAGGCATAAAGACGACACAACCACGACGGCATCCGAGAGGAAACGCCAAACAGTTTCATCACGGGAACCGCGTATTAATTATCAACTAAAAAGAGCTCTGCCATCCAATCTTCCAAGTACCCGGTCTCTTTGTCCGGGACCACGAACATAACGCTAATGTAGAACAGTTGGCTTTGCATGGCTTGAAGTGTCTAATAAAAAAGATAACGCATGTCGTCCCGTTGGGTGTTGCTTGGTAAACCGTAGGCAGCCAACATAGTAACGATAAGTGGGAGATAAGTTGGCATGTTAGGAAAATTTGCAAATTAGATTGATTTGTCAAGAAGAGGAATCCAGCGGGTTTGTAATCGAAAGCGTGTTAATCAATGATTTTCGGTTTAGGGAGGAAGAGAAGATTGCGGTTGTATAAAAAAAAGATGAACAAGAAAATGGGAGGACAGCAGAAAAGGAAAATCCCACCGGCAGAGAGGCTGAACCATCTGGTCCAAGTCCATACAGCGTTTTGGTGACGCCAAGAAAATAAATAGCTTCATGAAACGATTACTGATTTGTGCTGTATGAACACTCTCACAGAAACCAGCACACTCTCCAATTCCCCGAGTAGACATTCTAATGGTTTGTTCAGACACCGTATCTTTCAGTGCAGCTTTTTTTTCGTCTGGGACATAGTCCTCTCGCGTTTCTTCTGCCAGCGGCAGGCATTTCAGATATGACCTATCTCCAGTTAAGTTGGTTATAGGAAATGCATCCTTCAGATGCCAGCCCACAGCTGCTTCCAACTGTAACTTGATCGTCGACAGTTCGTGCGAAATGTTCTTTCACAGCGGACTTAATTCTAGTCTGGTTATGCTAGGTTATTATAGTTTCGTTTGGCAGAACAATCAACCCTGAGACTACTACCAGGTGGTATGTTCGTCCAAGTAAGTCCTCAGAGATAGAGACTCTATAGAGCAGTTGGATAACTTGTCTTGTCCCTTCAATGAACGCATGGGTTGGTTATGCTGGTCCTGAGCGAAGGCCTGGAGCAGACATGTTCGTGGAGTTTCTCAATCGACGATTCGGTACAGGTATCGATACAATCTCCATAGCTAACACGTGTATTCCCACGAGTCGTTTTCTTATTATCGAGA